TCAATATAATATCAATATTCCTTAAATTTCGTGTCCAACCTAATTAAGACTATAATTCTAGAACGGATGAAGTATATAAATATATATGAATCATCCTATAGCATATGCTAATTAAGTTAAATGAGCATCATACTGACTTGATTGGAACAGTTGATCAATGCACGATGGAATATTATATCTTTCTAAAATAATTTAAAAACAATTACCTAAAGAGTAGATATAAAACGATTAAATAATGGGAAATTTTATACAAAAATTTCATTCATCAAAGTCAATTTTTTTTTATAATTTTTCAATCATATTTTTCTTTCAAATAATTTCATATTCATTAGTTTCTATATTCTCATTTATATTAATAATGTGACTAAAATATCCCTCGAAAAATATTATTTATCTTTACTATACCAAAATAAAAAATAAAAAATACACACATATGCTCATACATCATTAGCAAAAGATATAATATAAAATAAATGATATTAATACTCTCTCCGTCCCAGATACCGTGTCTGCTACACTGTAGACACGGTATTTTAAGATGGTGTAATTAGTAGATAATTAAGAATGTATTAGTGAAAATAATTATCCTATAATATAAATAATTATAAATTAAGATTAAAATAACTAATTAGTTTAATTAAAATTTTAAAAATTTAAAATGAGATTAAAGTGTGTAATCATTTTCCAAAAAAGGAAAGTGACATGGTATGTGGGACGGACAGAAACGACAACGTGGACATGGTATCTGGGACGGAGGGAGTATTATATTTTTTTCATTATTTGTAGGCATCAAATTTTTTTTTATACTAAACAATTTTATGTATTTATAATTTTATTTTATCTTATTTTAACAAATAATACCCAATATCTATAAGTTTGAGATGTATTTAAGTATTTATTAACATTTTACAATTATACCAACTTTTAATATCCCTAACTATGAGAACAAAATTAATAGTTAATATAAAATATTATATTTTTATATTATCGACACAATTTTACATATTTTACATAAACAAATTACCTCAAACTAAAATACTACACAAACAAACAAACTCTATGTTTTTGTAATATTATTCTATGGATTTGTTTAGTTTGAAGTTGAGTTTGAATTTTTGTTTTTATGTGTTTTAATTTAAACAATATTTTGTGAGAAAAAATAATATTTAATTCGTCCTATAAAATTAGAGTATTTGAATTTGATATGAGAATTAAAAAAAATCAAATATTTTATTAAAAATTAAAAATAAAAATATATTTTGAAGTATTTTTGAAAATTTAATTAAAAATTTAAAAAAAAAATAAAGAGAGAAAATGTAATCAAAATAGTAATATTTATTGTAAACAAATGTTGAACGAAAAATAATAATTAAATATTAATTTTGTTAAAATTAACAATGAAATAAATTTAAAAAACAGACTAAACAATAGAATAAAAATAAATTTAACGGAGCAATTAAGTATATGTTTATTGAAAACAACACGAATTTATATATATATATTTGAGATTGTAAAGTTCTTTGGATGAAATAATTTTTTTTTTTTGAATAAATTTTATAATTGCCCCTTGTCTTTCAATAAAATTACACAAAATACTTTGTATTTTATTTATTGCGTGAAATCCGTAAAATTTGCACAAAACACTCTTCTTATCCAAAACTGATTTTGATTCTAAACAAAGACATAAATTACAAAATTTTTATACAAATAAAAAATGTAAAACATCTGAAATTTTTTTTTTGAATAAAATAAATAAATAAATAATTGATTAATAATTCAATTTATAATTTTTGGAGATAAAGTGTTATCTTATTTTTACAATAACTATAAAAGTAAATGATTAATCAATAATTTATTTCTTTATTCAAATAAAATACGGTTTTTTATATATATATATATAAAACTTGCGTAATTTAGTAATTTAGGTTTCTATTTAGAACAAAATATCAGTTTTGGACAAAAATGATATTTCATGCAAATTCTACATTAACACAATGGGATTTCAAAGAATAAATAAAATATAAGATGTTTTGTGCATCTTAACTAAAATACAAAGGGATAGTTATATAATTTATCCTTTTATTTAAATATTATATATGAATAAAAAAATACATTTTTATTAAAAATATATAAATAAAATTGTATTTATTGAGAAAAATAAAAACATAAAAATCGCAATTTTTATATCTTTAACTCTTAATATTATTATGGTGCATGTATAGCCACACGCTTCTAATGTTTTCATATATCGCATAATTAATTTTGTAATTAAATCTCATCGATATTTAATTAATGCGATTTATTGAATTGGAAATTATTACAAGTACATTTGGACCATTTTTTTACCTAACATGTTTTTTTTCTTAACTCCTATGATTTTGTCTTTTTTCTTTTAACTATTTATTTTTTAAATCCTTTTATGATAAATATTATACTCCCTCCGTCTCAGATACCATGTCCAAGTTGTCGTTTCTGTCCGTCCCACATACCATATCACTTTCATTTTTTGGAAAATGATTACACACTTTAATCTCATTTTAAATTTTAAATTTTTTTAATTTTAATTAAACTAATTAGTTATCTTAATCTTAATTTATAATTATTTATATTATATAATAATTATTTTCACTAATACATTCTTAATTATCTATTAATTACACCCATCCTAAAATACCGTGTCTACAGTATAGGAGACACGGTATCTGGGACGGAGGGAGTATAATATTTAATAATTATTCTTCATAGTTAACATTACAATTTACTTATCATAAATGTTTCTTTTCAAAATCAACAAAATAAAATACAAAATTTATACTCCTTCCGTCCCTAAATAATTTATCTATTTTTTTATTTTGGTCTGTCCCATATCAAAATATTCATTTCATTTTTTAAAGTAATTTTACTATCTACCTAACATTATAAATACCATTCCAATTTACAATATATTATACAAATATCATTAACTTTATATCATACAATACTAAGGTTAATTTAATCTTTTTACCTTTATTTCTATTTTATTCCAATATAAAAGTACTAATATTTCTAAAACTCCGTATAAAAAATAAATTGACTATATAAATATGAAACGGATAGAGTATATGTTAACTCAAACATGGTCGCTGATATGACATTTTTTTTATTATTGATTAACTCATATTAAATGATAATAATAATAATAATAATAATGTCCGTAAAAGGATGATCTGATATATATAATTTTATAAGTATTTGATTATAATTTCAAACATAAATACTCATTATTTATTTACTACAATTTTCAATAAAAATATATTATTTTATTAATTTTGAAACATTTTATAGAAAACCATATATTGTTATTAAGAAAATTTTAGAAACATGAACAAAAATTTTTAATAAAATATAGGCATAGTATTTTTTTCGAATAAAGAGAATTAATCAATAAGGGATGTGTTTTGTGTCAAGTTTGTAAAGTTTTTCAATGTTAATAATATAAGAAATAATATTTTAGATTAAATAATTATTTTTTTGGGGTAAGAAATAGAATATATTTTCTCTATTATTTTTTCATCTGCTCTATATAATTTGTTTTTTTTAAAAATATGATTATATATTTTAATTATATTTTAAATTTTATAATTTATAATTTTATAATTTTAATTAAACAGTTATCTTAATTTTAATTTATAATTAATTTTATTATATAATAATTATTTTTATTAATACACTTCTTAATTATATTTTACTTAAATTCTTGTATTTATAGTAACATAGACTTTTAATTTGGACGGATCAAGTATTATTTATAAAGAAAATAACAAATATCCAACATAACATGTTAATAATATACTTCCTCCGCCCACATTGCATGTTCGAGTTACTGTAGATACAAGAATTTAAGATAAGTATAATTAGTAGATAATTAAAAATGTATTAGTAAAAATAATTATTCTATAATATATAATTTTAAATTAAAATTAAAATAACTAATTAGTTTAATTTTTTTATAAAAACTTAAATAAGAAATTTTAAACTTAGATTAAGATGTGTAATTATTCTTAAAAAAAAATAAAATAAATAACATGAGATGTGGGACGAACATAAACGGCATGGTAGGTGGGACAGAGATAGTATAACACACATTTTGATAGCACATTATATAATTTTATGTAGCATAATATATTGTATTTCTCGGCACAATAACTAAATTATATAGCACAACATAATATATCACTCAGACAACAAATGTTAATACATATGTAGTATATATTTTGAAAGCACATTATATAATTTCATATAGCACAATACAGTGTGATTTGAGCACAATAAACAAATTATACTGCATAATAGTACAATATATAACCCACATAACATTTTTTTATATATATAACACATCATATGTAATAAAATATTAATTGCTTTAAATTATTGTGCTAATTTAATTAAATCAACAAAATCAATACTTTAATAGTCATTATTATTTATATTATGTGGATTTATATATATATATATATATATGATATATTCCATCCGTTTCAATTAAAATTATCATTTTTATTATTTTTGTCTGTTTCACTTGATATTTCTTTTTTATTTTTTAGTTAAAATAATTATATACTAATATTTCGATCCAAAAAAAAATAATACACTAGTACCAAAATATCCTTAATTTTTACATAAATTACAATTATTTTATTCAAAAATTCTTACGCTGGTAATTAATAAAATATTATCATTTTTTAATTTAATACCAAAATCTAAAACTGAGACAAGTGGAGTATTTCTTTTATTAATATTCATCATAATTGTATTAACAAAAATTTCTGGGGAACAAATCAATATAAAAATAAGGCAGGAAATAAAAGTAAAATGGATATATGTGTTTTTTATAAAATTTTGAGTTAACCAACTTTTTTGTATATTTTCCCTCTTGATTAAATAAAACAAAAAAATTGAAATAATATATATTATAATTAGTAATAATGGCAGTCGTCTTTGTCCTTCTGAACCTTACAAATTTTAAAAGCAAAATCAACTGAGAATTCCGAGCGAAGGTTTGCTGCTGAAAACTGAAAAGGACAATTTAAGGAACCGTTAGAAGGATTTGGAGCTCCATTTCCTCCTCCTTTACAGCTCTCCAATCAATCATATCGGAGTCTCCCACCATCTTCACGCTTTCCTGATTGTGGTGTTCTCATCTTATTCATGATCGGTACCCAAGCTTTCACTCAACAACCGCCGCAGCAGCTTTGAGGAGGAATACTCTTTCTGTTTTTTGCCTTTTTTGTTTTATTCGGTTGAAAAGCGATCAGTTTGGACTGATTCGCATCTCTGCTGCGCTTCCAATTTCGTAAGCCTTTTTGTTGTTATTTTTAATAGTTTTGATGCAGAGTGATCGAATTTTGGATTTATGGTAGTTATTTCTCCCTGTTTTGAGATCGAATTGGTTTTTGCCTAAAATTAGGTTTTAGTTAATGAGTGGTTCATCATTCATATCGAAAATTGGATTCAAATCCTTCATCTGTTATTGAATTTGGTTATTACTGCTGGTGAATGAAATCGAGTAAAATTTAGTTGCTGAAATTTTTTTGAATATTCAAATCCTTACTTTCCGCCTGTTCACTTTCACCATCTGGAAATTTAGATTATGCGCGTGATTGCGTACATAATTTTATCTATATTCACTTTGAATTATCATCAGATACAAATCCAGTGCAATACCTCGATGTTTCGAAACCGAATATGCAATGGCTGAAGATAATATGGTGATGTCAGAATCCGATATCTCTGCTCTGAAGGAGACGCTCTGTGCTCAGCAGCAGCTTCTTCAGAAGCTATACAATGAATTGGACGCAGAAAGAGAATCATCGGCCACAGCTGCTAGCGAAGCTCTGTCGTTAATTCTCCGCCTACAAGGCGAAAAGGCTGCCATAAAACTGGAGGCCGAGCAATACAAGAGGTTATCAGAGGAGAAAATATGGCACGCTGAGGAATCCTTAGCCATAATCGAAGACATAATATATTCGAAAGAAATGGAAGTCGCTGCTCTAGATCACCAAGTCCAAGCGTATCGTTGCAAACTATTGAGCATTGGCTGTCTCGACGAGATAAAAGCTTCTGAAGTTCCTCTGCAAAGATGCGAAAATTTGGTTGAAGAAATCAGTCATCAGAGCCTTGGAAGAAGGAATTCAGCCACAGTTGCTCTTAAGCATATGAAGGTTAGTTCTGACAAAGATGCAGATGCTGATTTTGTTCTTAGGTCAGTGGAGGAGCCAACGGTGCAGGAAGAAACGTCAGACATGGACAGCAAGGTTACCAATTCGTCGGCTGTTGACATCAACTCATACATGGAGCAGATCAGGAGATTAGGCGAACGGGTGAGGGAGATAGCAGGGGCGAATTCATGGAGCGAGACGAGGTCTCTTTCGTCGGCTTCTTCTCAATCCAACAACGTCGGGAATCGAACAAGATCTCCGTCTCCATTCGACTCGAATCCTCTGTCAACTGTGAACGAAACAGAGAAGCCTAATGTTGCGGCAGGCGATCACCCGAGCTCTCCGAGCATCCACGACGTGTTTGAAGTTCCTCGAGTAGTCGAGAGAAACGAACACAAGCTCGGCATCAGAGATGTCATCCACCCTGAAGCTGTCGAAGTACATTGTCCTAAAGAGACATTCGAAATTCCGAGGAAGAAACCGTTGCGATCGTCGGCTCAGCGCAAGAAAAAGCTTCGCCGGCACGAAATTGGTTCCGTCGCTGACGGCTGTTTTTCCGCTCCTCGTCAACAATTATCGAACCGAACATCGGAAATTATCGAAGTCGAGGGGCCAAGTGAGAATAACAACAACAGAGAAGAGCAGGTTAAGTTGTTGAATGAGATTAAGGAAGAAATAAATTGTTTACGAGATGAAGTTAGGAGTTGGAGAGTAAAGAAAAAATCCCCTGCAAGAGAATGTCCATCATCATCATCTTCACTAAGCTCTCTTCAAGAGGTTCTTTAGCTTATAACAATGGCTTCCTCTTCCTCTTCTTCCTTTTCTTCTTTATTCTTTTGATTTATAGCTTCTTCATGACTGTATATTTTTGGATGTATTTTTTTTTTTTTGCAGGCAATGATTTACTTCTGGATTTAACTGGTTACGATGGAGTTGGATGACAGTGTCTCTCTTCTTGCCTTTGGATCTGACAATTTTTTTTCGGGTAAGTGAAAGATTGTGCAAATTCTTCTTCTAAGTGTTTAATTTTCTTTGTTTGTGTTGTTGCTAAGGATTTGATTGTTTCCTTGCTCGTATGATTTGGTGCTGCTACATGAATATGATCTTTGCTTAAAGAATGTTTGTCTTGCACAAAATGAATAATAGTGTGAATTCTATGTACTTTGTCTTGTTACTGATTGTCCCATTTGGGTAAATGTTAGAGCGACCTGCATATCCCTTCTTTAGCACCTTTTCAGAGGTAAATTATACAACACCCTATTTTAGTAAAAATACAAAAAACGTAAAGTTGCATGCATGAAACAAAATTAATATTTTTAATTCTAAATAAAGGGTTAGGTTATCCAAATAATAGATTAATTCTTTATTTTATATTTTTTTTAGAAAAATTATTATTTATTTATTTTATTAAAAAAACACAAATCACCTTATACTCCCCCGTTTTATAAATATAGTATTAATTAGATTGGGTACGAGATTTAAGAAATAAGTGATAGTAGTTGGTAAAAAGTATGAATAAAAAATTTATTTGTCATTGTTGAGTGTATTAGAGTAAAAAATAGTTGCAATTGTGTAATAAAAATAAAAAAGTAGGAATATAATTTACCCACTTTGTAGTTATCAATATAACATATTAATTTCAATATCTGTCTCAAACACTCGATCGTGGTCTTCTTTTTTTAAGTAGTGGAATGTCTGTCCTGTTTTGTGTAGCCATTCGTAGATAATGATATTGCTGAGATTGTAAGTGCGCGTGGGTAAAAAAAGAATGATATTGCTGAGATTTTGTTTTTTTTTTTTTTCCGAAATAAATGAGGATTTGTTCTTATTGTACCTAATTTTGTATTTTATTTTAGTAATTATTCCTTTTCCTTCCTTATGTAAAGATAGTCTATTTGGATTGGCAAAAATTGTAATTAAAGATATTTTTGAAAATTTAATTAGTAATTAATGTAATAATACTTTCAAATTTAATTCACTTTCTTTGCAAAAATAGTTTCTAAAGTTGACTAATTTGAATGGGAAGGGTAGTTTTTATAGTAAATAAAACCTCGAAGGAAATTTAATAATTAAATGTTAAAAATTTATTTTATCAAAATTAATAATAACTAAATTTAATAAAAAGGCAAATTTTGCAAAGAAAGTAATATATTTTCATATAAATCTTATACAGTATAAAGTTTGAAAACTTTAAAAAAATAATATAATAAAGTCTAACATATTTTATTGTTATCTCAAATTATTTTGATTAGTCAAATATATTTTTTTCCTTCTAAAAAATTACATATAAAATGTTGAATATTGTAAAAAAAAAAAATCGTAAACCCCCTGTTATAGAAAGCTCACTACTTTGAGTTCATAAAATTGTTTCTGATCATAAAAAGACCATAATCACTGAAATGTCAGAACATTATTTTCCCAGGTTCCAAATCCAAATTCTGACCATAACTTATGATGAAAATCTCTAAAAACCACCATTATAATCTAAAACACATATCCCTAATACCTTGTTAAAAACAGAGTAAGGTGTCTTTCACCTGCTCACAAACCTTTATAGTAGTCTTTGAACCATCTAAGGAACAGACCATTCTTGATAAAATCTACACATAGCTAACTAGTTTGAGCTCTGGCATCGACTTTCCCGACAGGAAAGACTGTATCAAAGTTAAAGCTTGCTTTGGTTTATGTAGAGGAACTTCATGGCCGGCTCCTCTTACTGTCACCAATGTTAGCCCTTGGTATTCTTGTGTCCATCCTCCTACCTGTTTTGATGTTTCCATGTACTACGAGTAAATTAAGCCATGCCGGTTATTATATAGGATTTGAAAAGTGATGAGCTGACTTACCTGGCCCTCATCGTACCATGCGCGCCACGGGCTAACTGTTGGCAGCTTTAGTGCATCCACGCTGTAGCGCGTGGATGTCACTGGAATTACGGCATCCGTGTCGCCGCTGTCAATAAAAAATATAGAACAATATTTCCTCACATTTTTATTTGAGAAATGAAATTTGAAAAATGAATCATTTCTTATATCCTGTTTTCTTTTCTAAGCCGTATGCAGAGCGAATATAGTAAAATAGGTACTGTCAATAAGGAATAAGACTTTTGAAGTTGATGATGCTATTAGGCGATGAGGTCCTGTGATTTCATTTTAAGGGATCGAGAGAGGAATAATGTAAAACCTGAAGATCCAGATACGGAGCTCCCCCGATTTTAGTAGCTCACGATAGACATCCAAAACGGACAGAGGAGAATCCTTCCAATTTTCAGACACCGTGTCGCTGCAATGAGAATGTAAATCTGTCTATACTCAATCAAACAAGAATATAATGCTAAAAGCATAATTTGAACTAGCAATCACTCGAGGTGGATTTTTTCGACATATTAGAAGTCATTGGTTTGAACTAGCTTCAGTCCTAAATCCAAAACATCGAAACAAGTTTGACACTTGATCCTATAGTGACAATGCTTTTGATTCAAGAATAAAATTGCACCTGCAAGTGTCCCATTTCAATGAGGAGTTATTGGTCTGAACATGAAGAGCATGTTGAACTTCTGGAAGATTGAAGTAGACGACCGAGTGCGCCTCTGTGCAGGGATCATATGCTCTATAAAGACGGCCCACCTTATATTATCAAAAACCATAACAATTAGTAATTCAAATTACAAAAAACAGGTCAGACAAATAATACAACCATGAAAATTTGATCACATACCTTCTTTCTTCTCCACGAATTGTTTTGTTTACTCGTGAACTTAGCCGTGCAGGTGGGCGTGAAAATACTATACATGTCAATGTCTCCGACTTCTTCATAAGCATTGTCAAGAACTTTGTCACATAATTCTGATGGCTTTATGAATGACTCGAAGTCACACGCCCTGTTCAGCAGCTTGAAGGTCTGATCGGAGATCATTCCAGTTGTCCATAGAAATTGGAAAAGTCCCAAGTGGTCATGAAGGTCATCAGTTAGAGCATTTCCGACCTGGTAGAAGAGTTGCCCTCAACAGTTAATCATACATCGACATAAAATATAATTCTTGAACCTAAATCTTACTCAGCAACATTCCGTACCATGAAACCCTTGAGATTGATAAGTTCTTCATTTTTTCTGTTGTGCCTCACAATAGCTTGACTTAGTTGAGGAACATAGTGTCCTATACATCAATAAACAGTAATAATGCTGTAAGGACGAAACACTTGAGAAACTATTAGCTCTACACACACGATACGAACTGTTTAAGCATTAGATTATTGTTTTATATTGTAGTTTAAGGTTGTATAGCATTCTGAAATTGATTTCGATTAGATCACCGCGTTAAAAGTCAGAAATTGCTTGGAGAGAGTTATAGTTAGCAATTTAGCATATGATCACAAACCAGCATAGCTTTCTCCGGTAATGTAGAAGTCCCTTCCTTTATACTGTGGAAAGCGCTCAAACCACCGTAGCAAGAACTCGAGATTTGCAGCAGCTGCAAACAAACAAAGTAAGATATCAAAGCTGCTATACAAGCAGAGATATACAAAACAAAAATGAAGAAATGAAGGGGCAATACCAGTCCTTTTGTCACCATTATTTAATAAGTCGGACGAAGTGTTTGAATATGAAAACCCAACTCCAACAGGGGAGTCCACAAACAGTACATTTGCCACTGCAAAATGGAAAACCTTGAGCAGTGATGCACTCTGAATTACCAAAATAAATAACTAAAACCTAAATTAAAAAAACATGGCGGAAGATGCAAAAAGAAGTCCAAATCACAGTATAGAAATATATTATCAACAAGGTGCTAAAAGAAGAAAAGGAAAGAAGCCAAAGGAACAACTTTTACAATACGGATCCGGCAAAAGAATTCTCAAGTGATTGCTATATAAGACTATCTAACAATGCATCATAAAAGACCAGCTATAGGAACCCGTGAACGTAACAACATTTGTTGATTCAATAGAAGTTGAGATGATCAAGCCTCTCGATGCCAAGATATTCTCATGTAGCTAACTCATTCTTCGTAGATATACATTGGCTCAAAACAATAACGATGAAATCACAAGAATTTATAGGAACCCGTGAACACAACAGCATTTGTTGATTCAATAGAAGTTGAAGATGATCAAGCCTGTCGATGCCAAGATATTCTCATGTAGCTAACTCATTCTTTGTAGATATACATCAACTCATACAATAACGATGAAATCACAAGAATTAGAAGTACACCATACAATCAGAACATATATAGAATAATTGGTAGAATGATCTATTTGATTCACTGCAGTTTGTTAGAAGATTCGGGTAGTGATTATACCTTTGTTCCAAGAATAAGGATTCAAATACAGGGTTTTCCCATCTTTCTCGACATGGAAGGGACCAATTTCCTCAGCAAGTCCATATGCAATTGATGAGCACCCTGGCCCTGAACTTTACAAGCATTTTATAAGAAATCATGCAATAGTTGGAAACTCGAATGAGAGGGCAGTGTAAATATTTCACCATCAAACATCCAACAAAAGGAAGCAAATTCAGAAAGAGGCCTTCAGTTAATAGACACACAAAAACATTTGAGTTGATGCTAATTCTAGGGTTTATATACACATATACTATACTGAAAGGGGAAAATTAGTCAGAAACAATTGTTTATGTATTCATTTCTAAATCATCTCAAGCACCTCCATTGCATCCCTCTCACAAAGTTTACATCAAATTAGAACCACTTACAGACGAAGTATACCTAACAAATTGATACATCATATACATATATATATATAGAGAGAGAGAGAGAGGGGGAGAGAGAGAGAGAGAGAGAGAGAGAGAGATGCGTATCGGAGATTCAGCAAATGGATATACTCTAGGGAAAAGGTAAAAAGTCATTATGATTATGAACCATCCTTTTGGATTCATTTCCAAATCATGAGAACACTTGCTCTCTTAACAAAGTTTGCAAGGTATTAAAACAGAAGAATCACCTCCATTGAGCCAGAGAACAAGGGGCTTGGAATGAGGATCCTCCTCGGCCTCGAAGAACCAATAAAACAGAGCACTTCCAGACTCCTCATTAACAGTAACATAACCTGCATAATGCGCAAACTTCACATTGAAATTCTGGCCTGGTAGCTCCGGAACTCTGTCCGCTAGCTGCTGATCGGGTACGATTAATGACGAAGTAGCGCGGCAGCCGATCAAGTGGAGATTGGCGATGCAGTAAATTAGTAAGACAAAATTGGAAAGCGCGCGGAGGAGCGTCGTCTTCGTCTTCGTCTTCATGTTCCTCCTCCGGCTCCCGGAGGGTTTGAATTTGGGCGAATGGCGTGAGGATGGCCTTTGCGGCTGCCATGTTTGTGTATTATAGGGATCTGCGCCAAGTGATGGGACTTGACTGGCTCAGCTCAGCACACCTCGAGACTGGATATTTTAAGTTTAGAAAGTAAATATAAAATTTCAAATATAATATTCCCTCTTTCCATCCACTTACAAAATTTTTTTTACTTTTTGCAGAGGTATTTAAAAAATAATAATATTTTAATTATAATGAATAATTAAAAATAATATAATAATATTTTTATCTTTACGTTTTTTTTGTATAAAATTATTTATAAAAAAAATAAAATATTTAATAAAATATTAATTTTATAATTAGAAATTCCAAAATAAAATATGTAAGAGGAAATATATATTTATACTTGGAAGTTTGGATTGTGTATCTTTTATAGCACTCCCTCTTCGTTCAAGAAACCTGTAGCATATTGTTCATCTAATGTGATTTGTGTGTCGTGCGGGTATTAAATTCAGTAGGTTTATCTAATGCACACTGCGGGTTCTCACGTTATCAAAAAAAAATGAGCACATTTGGATCGATAAAAATGAATATTTTATTAAAAAATTGATAAATTTTGGGTAGCGATTGCAGGTTTCCACGTCATAAAAAAAATTGATAAAAATAAATAATTTATTGAAAATTTGATAAAAGTATAGTTGAGAGTATTTTAAAAATTTAGTTAAAAATTAAAATAAACGAAGAAAAAGAATATAATAAAATTAGTGGTATATGTCGTAAATAAGTGTTAATTGAGAGCAATTATTAAATGTTATTTGCCAATAGTAATTTTGTAAATTTAGCTAAAAAAAAAAGTATAAATAAATTTGAAGAACATGCGAAGAATTATCTGATATTATAAAATATTAATATAATATTTTAAATATAAAAACAAATTAAATTTTAATAAGACAAAAAATAAATTTAAAATATTTAATTTAATATTTTAAATTGAATGTTTTTTTTCCTTGATAGTTAAAATTCTCAAGAATCTTTCTGAGAAACACATTTACTAGTATTACTTTGTGCAATTTTAATTTTGATTTTACTATTTTAAATTTTTTATTCTGAAAAATATCAAAGTAAATATTTATTTTTTATTTATTATATTTTATAAAAAATTAATTTTATAAAAAACATAGAACATAAGCATCAAACAACTATTTTAATTTAAAATTTTACTATTTAAAATCAAAACTCAAAATCAAAATTTTAAACACATCTATAGATTTTTGTTGAAATTAACATTAGACGCAAGTAGTAATTTTTATATATTGCTTCATAATACTTATCATAAATAATATTTTAAATTAAAATACTAGACAAAAGACAAATTATAATATTATTTCTTTACATAATTTTATTTTTTTTAAATATATAATATATTAATATTTTTTTTAATTTTTATATTATTTTTAATAAAAAATTAAAAAAAAAAATCAAATTTGTTCCTTGGTTGCTTTGCATATCAATTTAGGAGTCACTTCTTTTTGTTATTATTAAATATATACTATTCATTTAAGGTGTATTTGTTTGGGATTGGATTTTAAATTTACTATTCATTCTAATTTTTTTTTTAAAAAAATATCAGATCAAACATTTAGTTTTTATTTTTTATATTATACTAAAAATCATTTTTACATTCGTCCATATCAACACCTATTTATATCAATCATACAACTATTCAAATTCAAAATTTTTACTATTTAAATCCCAGCTTAAAATTTAAACCCCAAATAAACAAGACTAATTACTTTTATTTTTATATATTTTTGTACTATATGAAATTTCATGATACATATATGAATATTTTTTTATTTAAATTTAGTTTTAAACATTTATCTTGATATACATATAAATATTATATATATATATATTTATTGAAACTAAGAAATTAGAATATGATAGTTAAAAGAAAAAAAAGTTATGTAAAAATGAAGTTGAGAGTTTTTTAATACTAGTGGGGTGGCAGAAAGATGAGGCAAAATTGATTAGTATGAGTTATTGACATAAAATTTGATCTCTCAACCCTTATAATTTACTAAAAGTTTACTTAGGGTTTGTTTGAGATTTAGGAAATTTGGGTTTGTATTTGATTTTTATTTGAATTTTAGGATGAGTTTGAATTTTGTTGTTTCTTTTGTGTTTAGATTTGGTTGGGATTTGGAGAGTTTTGATGTATGTTGATTTGATCGATAATGAATAAAATAATATAAATGTAATACACATTTAATTGATAAAATTTATATTGTATGGTTTGATTATAAATTTATATTATACCCAACATATATATATGTAAATTTTCATTTATTTGTATTATAAAAAATTTTATTTTCTACCAAATGACATATATATTGTATATATTTTATTAAATTATACTTCATCCGTCCCAAACACCCTGCAATATTTCTTTTTCGGTATGTCCCAAACAACCTGCAATATTTCCAAAATAGAAAATAATTAATTATACTTAGTCTCCACTCACCTTGTTTAAGACGGAGGGAGTACTTATTAAAATAATTAAAAAAATTAATTTATCATATTTTTGCATAGCTATACACATCATTTTATAATTTAAAAAAAAAAATAAAAAATAACAGAACCACTGACGTTCGTAGACTCTGCACCCTACGACTTACATCTTATAGTCAATGAGCCTATTTGGCGCCCAAACCACCGTGCAATTGCACAGTAGGTTTGGCCAAAGTAGGCTTAAAGAAACACACCTTTAACTTTTATTCAATTGACCTCCTTGTTTACATTTATTATTATTATTATAATAACGCGAGAAAACCCGCAATCGCTATTTGAAAGTGTGTACTGAATAAATTTTCGGTCGAACTTAATACGCTGCAAATTAGGCCCGGCTACATTATTGTTCATGTTATTTGTATTGTTTGTAAAAGAATGTTTGTATTATTTGTGTTATGCACTAGTTGGTTGGTTTATTTATGGTTGTTCTACTATGTTAATTGTTTACTATTGTAGTGGAAATGCAACTTTGTTAATTAATTTGTTTATAATGATACTAGTATTTTGGTTTATGATTATTAAACATATTATTGATTTGCTTGATGATAGTTGTATTTTGGGTTATGATTACTAAAGATATACTCTCTCCATCCTACATATCCTTATTTTCTATTTTCGTTTGTTCCATATAACTTGTCATTTTTTTTTTTTCGGAAATATGATTATTTACTTTAATCATATTTTAAGTTTTATATTTTATAATTTTTTTAATCTTAATTAAACAATTTACTTATCTTAATTTTAATTTTTAGTTATTTTTACTTAATAATAATTATTTATACTAATACACTTTTTAATTACCTGCTAATTATATTTTACCTAAATTTTTGTACCTACAGTAATACACTCAAAATATATGGGACGAAGGGAGTATATTCTATGTAAATAGTTTTGGCTATGACATTATTTGTTTAGGTTGTATTTGTATTATACTCCATTCGTCCCACTTCTCATGTTCAATTTTTTATTTCCGTCAATCTCACTTATTTTGTCACTTTTCTTTTTTTGGAAAAGAATTATACACTTTAATTTTATTTTAAAAAATTTAATTTATATTTTTTTTTTAATTTTAATTATACCAATCACTTATCTTAATCTTATTCTATAAGTATTTTTATTATATAATAATTATTTTTACTAATAGATTTTTAATTATTTACTAATTATACTTCTCGTAAATTTCTGTATCTATAGTAAAACTGACAAAATATCCGAGACGTGGTTTTTTTTATTTTTTAATAATTAAATTGTTTACATTGATAGTGATCCGATCTACTTTCTTTGTCCTACACAAAATGTTAATTTTTCTTTTTTCATTTTGAGTACATAATTTATTTATTTTTCTTTTGGAAATATAATTATACATTTTAATTATACATAATTTATAATTTTATAGTTTAATTAAATTATTTAGTTATTTTAATATTATTTTTACTAATGATTTTTTTTTTAAAAAAAAAAATTGTTTACTAATTATATTTTATCAAAATTATATTATTTACACTAATGTAGAAATTTAACCGGGACGAAATAAATATTTCATTTTAAATTCATGTGGGTAAATATAATTTGTATAAAAATAGTTAGCACAAAAAGAACATTATAAATAATATACTTCCTCAACCCCATTTTAATTATCATTTTCTTAACTTTTGTCTATTTTATTTTACTTGATTAATATAAATCAAATTAATCAAATTTTTAACCTCTTACCATGATTCATTCAATTTTTTTTTTTTTTTTTTATATATCTCCAATAAATAAATATTTTTATCTATATTTAAAATTTCTTATTTTTATAAAATTAATTTTAAGTAAAATTATAAATAAAAAAATTACTTTATTTATTTATATTATATAAAAATATTATGATATGCATAATATATATATTTAAAATACAATACCAAAAAATTACAAAAATACTTATGTTAGTATTTTTGTAATTATACAATATTTTTAATGTTAAGTGCTAAATATGATCCCTGGACAAAGGGAGTATTATAATTTATTAATTTTGCGGACGAAGAGAGTATTATAATCTATTAATTCTTAATCTATTAATTATGCTGACTAAGAAAGTATTATAATTTATTCTTTCCGTCCCAATATAATAGTTTTGTTTACCATTATTTTTTTACATTAGTACTTTTCAGTGACTATCAATATAATATCAATATTTATTAAATTATTGTCCAACCCACCTAATACTATATTTACGGGACGGAGGGACTATTAATTTTGGCAACCTAAAATATCTAATCTTAATTATATCAATTTTCAAATAGAATATATATCACCCCCACCCCAAATCAATTTGAAAAACAACTAAACAAACCCCCTTACATAATCGTTAATTAATTACAATGCATGTTTCGACCGCTGCGACTTCCCGCCCCGGTCGAGTCCTCGCCGCCGATTGCCACTACTCTGCGCCACCCAACCGAACGGCCGCCGCGCCGCCTTTATGCTTCACGAATGCCGCGTAAAATTCTTCAACGTTACTAGTGTGTGTCAGCCCCAATTTCTAGGGTTTATTTGTTTTAACTGGTGCTGTGCCTGCATGAAGGAAGGAATGCTAATTGTCAATCTGTTTTGACAGGAACAACAGTTTTGGAAAGGCAATACTAAGTAAATATTGACACTACTTGCGCCGATTTTGATTCAAGTTCGTTGGTAGGTACCTTTTCCCGTTTCTTTGATTTAGATGAAATTGCTGATGAGTTTACAAATTTGGTGGTCAAATAAAAAATTGTACCTCTACTGTCTGTCTTCAGCTTTGATTTGATCGTCTTCCTTCAACATTTATTTTATTTTTCACTTGCTTTTCAATTAACCAGATAAAGGCGAATAGGCATGGGAATTATTAAAGATGGTTCGATTTCGGGTTTTCTGCCTAGTAGCGGCGGGATGTTTGCAGTTCACTATCCTGGTTATCCCTCTTCCATAGAACGTGCAGTTGAGACTCTTGGAGGTCAGGAAGGCATTCTCAAGGTAGTTGCTTGTTTTGGGTTTGAAATTTGTAAGGTGAATATGGGTGGTGGATGTGATGTTGTGACTCGGTATTGATTTACATTTTCTGTGGGAAGTCATGATCCAATGTTCGATAAATCTTAGGCTTCTAAGGTTTATATTCTTGTTCTATGATGGTTCTTTTGTCTGAAAGCAAAGTACATAATATTAGTGTTATATTTGGTTATAAGCTGCATTTTATAGAAATCAAGTGCTCTGTTTTCCTTCCTACTGTGTGTGAAAATAATAGCATAACTTAATTCAAATTTGGACTAATTGATGCATGTCGAACTTTCCTTCCCGGGGTTCTCTGTCTGTCATTTATTCCCCATTTAATGTCGACTAAAGAGGTTTATTTTTGCTTGATTATCTATTTTTTCAAATGTAAAGGTAGTGACTATGTTGAGAACCATTGTATTTTTATATGATCACAATCACATGATAATTTATATTACTCTATCTTCAGGTTTGTAGTGATAAGTCAAACAAGCTTGAGCTGCATTTTCGCCCTGAAGATCCATATTCTCACCCCGTGTTTGGAGAATCCCGTCCTTGCAATAAATTTCTCTTGAAAATTTCCAGCAAGAAAGTTAAGGGAATTCGAAATGTAGAGGAACCTAATCAACTTTCTGAACCTGCATCAGCAGATTCACTTTGTACTGAGCAGAATAGTCTGATTCCTGAATCTGATGAAATTGCTAAATGCACCAACCCTCCTAAACACGAATCCAGTACAGCATCTGAAGAAGCCAAAGCAGACATAGAAAATGAAGTTCAATTGGACCTTTCTGCAGATATTGTTGCGAGGGTACCCGAGGCATATCACTTTGATGGTGTTTATTTTCCCTTCCATTCCCCATTTCACTATTCATGTGAAAGTTTTACTCTACCAGCATGTATCTTACAGTGTCGTTATTGCGAAATATAGGGATGGTGGATTATCAACATGTGCTTCCTGTTCATGCTGATGTAACTAGGAGAAAGAAACGAAATTGGGCTGAAGTGGATTCAAATTTTGGTCAGCTTTTCCTAATTTCTTTTGAGATTTTAAAATGAATTGGAGTTTCTCTTTCCCCACCTTACTAAATTGTTTGTATTTTTTGCAGAGTCCCGTAGTCTGATTGATGTTGAACAGGAGGATTTGATGATTTTGCTTCCGCCACTCTTTTCATTGAAGGATATTCCAGAGAAAGTTGTGTTAGTTACTTTATCTCTGTCTATTCTTTATTTATCTGCCCATGATTTCAGTTTTGCATGTTACCATTCATGTATCACAGAAATAAAAGTTCCCTCTTATATCTAGGGAAGCTTGCCTTCCCATCTCATGTAGTATAGAAGCTTTATGTAATTTTAAGATGGAAAGTTAGTAAAGTATGGATCAAATGTTTTGTATATTTCCTTTTTCTTGACTTCTATTTTATATTAATGCTAAAAGATTTACAATCATTTTATCTTATCATGAAACGAGAAACAATGACTTTCCCACTCTTGAGGGATATATATGGTAGATATTGTAACCACATTTTGAAATTTGCAGGTTAGTTTTTTAAACATAAAAACTGGCATCCCTCAAACCTTTTGTGCCTACTTTGAAGTTGTCTTCTATTTCACCTTTTCCACTTTCGATTTCTGTTATCCGTATACCTTTTTGTTCCTATTAGAAAGAGTGTACCTTATTCATGTTATGAAGGGTTATGGAGACTAAGATAGCATAAATGTGGCCCTGGAGTGCATTCTTACTCAGGTTTGAAGTGCATTGCTTCTTTGTGTTTTCATTACTTAGGCAAGTGCTTTGAAAGCATGAAATATCTTTTGCTGTAACACGAAGCTCTCAGCTTTGTAATCATTTTGGCTAGTGTAAGCCTTTTATAATCAGATTTAAAATGTGTCCAATATAAATACTATTAGTTTAATAACTGGAGTTTAACAGAAGCCTGTTGAGTGTTAATAATCCTTTTAAAATGCTTCGGTAAGTTATTGTTCGATAATTTTTTGGGTAAATATCTACCTATTTCTTATGCAATACAGTAAGATATGAACAAATTGTTGGAATAGAGTCACTCTTGACATGTATATTTCAGTAGTATTGTTATGACTAGATTGCAAAACATTCACTTCTTTATAATGTTTGCAAAAATATTAAAGCTTGCTCATTTTAATTGAGCAAGTTGAATGTATTGTCTCAGCGCTCTTTTGAAATTAGCATGTAGGAAGCCATTACCCCTAGGGAGCTCATAGATCGATTTGATTGTATAGTTACGATAGATGAACTGCTAATTGAATCTATGTTCTATTTTGTGTTGATTCACCTTGTTCGATACCTTGTCAATATTTTCTTTACATTATGCATTTCGTTACCATGGTTTTAGGTGGCTTTTCAGCTGTAGATAGAATCTAAAGTCTTGAAAGAAGCATTAGTGGCCAAGTACTTGAATGTTTTGCTAGATTATGGAAAAAAATGACTGTCATTCAATCACAATGATTGTGTATCTGCAGTTTAAAACCATCAGGGGATCCTGGTTTGAGAAAGAAACAAGATGAAGCTGTTCAACAGAACAGTGAGGTAAGTTCTTTCATACGAATAAGCAAATATCTGAGTTATGTTAGCATCCACCACAGTTGCATTTAGTTAAAACTTTCTACCATTTCAAATAGAAACCAACTGCTGCACATTTTTATATGATATTTTGGATTACCATTAATAAATCACCTAATCAATTTTACCACCTGCTATAAAGTATATCATAGGTGTAGTAACCTGCTGACAAATTTTGGGCATGATTTTTGTTGAAAATGATTTCAAGATTTTAAGTTCTCTGTAGATCCTATGATGTTGCAAGTGGTTATATATCTCTCTTCAAAGAGTAAATCTAGCTAAATTCTCTTATGCCTTTTCTGTCAAATTTTTTTATGGTCTTAAATTAAATCCCGTGTTTTCTACTTTTCTGCTGGAATCTTACAACATACCTGGAAGAGGTTTTTGCATTCTAACATCTTGATTTATTCTTTCTGATATTCAACTATTTTTTATTTTATTTTGTTTTATTTCTGATATTTAACTATTTGTTTGGTGGTCTAGTGGATGTACCTATATATTTGTAGATAGCTTTTATTAATTGGTTCTCGTTCCTTCATATTTGAAGTTTTTTTTTTTAATAATTTTTTATGCAGATGGAGATAGAGCAATGTCTTGCTATCGACTTCAACATCAAAGATATCCTGATTGCTTCGTATATGTGGCTAAATCTTAGTCATGCATGATTATTTCCTGCTATTTCTCCTAGAGCACATTTGCAATTATATCATATGTAAATTGCTCTGGACCTTGTTTTTAGTAGCCTCATTGTGATATTTGAAGTCATAAAAGGATATTTGTTACAATGTCCTGTGGATTAAATGCTTGATTTTTAGTTTTAGGTGATATATCAAAGCCTCAATGCAAATGTAGGTGAGAAATCATTTTCAATGATCTTATTATTATTGAAGATGTCATAAGATATATGAAGCCTGTTTGTTGTTCTTATGCACAGTATGCAAACCTTCATTATATGCTCAAGACATAAGTACCTTTCTTATCCAAATATATTTTATAGATATGTGTGGTTCTTTGACATGATAATATTTTTACCCTAAGTTGGAGCTCTTGTTTTGCATTCTTGTGTAATTTTTGTTTTGTCTTGATAAATTGAGAGTGTGATAGTGTCAGTTATCATCAATTGAGCGTAAGGATGGCGATGAATGATAAATCATCACTTGCACTGGTAGATTTTTTTGAAAATTGAAAGGATTTTTCAATATCAGAATTCCTTCTTTCTATAGTGCTTGTGCTGCTGTCCTTAACATTCTTACAGATCCCTAAGAAAGTAGATTGGAAAAAATTAATACCTGAGGACTCAGATCTATGGCAGTGGCAAACGATAGTGTGTGAATTGTTTGATGAGCGTCCACTATGGGTTAAGAATTCTTTTTCTGAACATTTGCTTGACCGTGGTCTGAATGTTGGGAGCAAAACACTCAAAAGGTGTGTTATAGTTACTGTCATGTGAATTTTTACATTGTCAGCATAGATTGTGATGAAAATATCTAATGCAAGTCCATTTCCTATATTCAGGCTTCTATTTATAGCAGCATATTACTTCTCCAATGGACCATACAGAAGAGTGTGGATCAGAAAAGGCTATGATCCACGCAAGGATCCTGAATCACGCATGTAAGATTCATATGAGATAAACTCTGATTTTTCTAATCTTGTTTAAGTAATGAAGTTCTTATTTTGTGAGTTATATATGCATTTCACTTTCTGGTCGCATATATGTTTGTTGACGATGATGGCTTAAGCCTAGTCAGGAATGTTTTGAGCATGGGGACTGGTGGGCTAGATGTTTATGTATGACCGAAATTGCAGACTATAACGCAGTCATTTTTCTGAAATTGTTGAGGCTTATAGAAGATGGTGAATAAAAGTGGACACTAGAATATTATACTGCCTCCTTTTGCAAGAAGTAATTTTTTAGATCTATTAGAACTACAGAAGCAATATAATTACCTTAGGACATGTTTTGTTAGATTCATTTGGATTTGAGGGTGTAGTTAAAATGAACGCATTTGAATTACCTCGAATTCATAATAAAAATCCATTGTTTGGTTTTATGGAGTATTTGAAATGACACAATATTAAAGAGTATTTGGTCATTTCAAATCTCCGATGAATGATGAAGTCATTTAAAAACATATAGTCCAAATTCCCCCAAGTAAATGGCACCTTAACTAATTAAAAAAATCTCTGTTATTGCAATATTTTGTCTAGTTTCTCTCTTTTATTTTTGAAATGTCAGAGTTATCAATTTTTTGGGATCTTGCTTTTCAAGAAACATTATTCACATTATGGAATAACTCAATGATTTTAATTTTTATTTGAGTTACACCACAGATATCAAAGAATCGATTTCCGAGTGCCACCATCATTGCGAAGCTACCGTGATGACAGTGATATATATGGGTAAGGTTTAATCTGAAAATTTTATCCGTCATAGAAATTTAAATATTTTATTATTTGATTTTTCAATAGAATAGTAAAACTATTCCTAAAAGATATTTGTCATTATGCACTGATATGTACCACACACACATATATTTGTTAATTCACTTGTATATATGATGAACTTCTGTCATTAGGATTACCATTTATTAATGAATTGAGTAGAGGAATAATACTCTTCCAACTCATATTAAAAGAGAAATATTTCATTAGACATTGTACTACTAATAGTAGAGTGATGTGATGAGATTGCAGATAAATTTTCTTATGCTTCATATATGTAATGCCTACACTTGTACATCTTTCTCCTCTTCATTTACAACTGATTTATTTGTCTTTCTTTTGCAGAGTTAAGATCAGGTGGATGGATCTTTGTGCATTTAAAGTTTTCCCTCGTAAAAGCCAAATTTTACTGCAACTCATTGAACTTGAAGATGACTATATACAAGAAGAAATAAAAAAACCTACAAGTCAAGAAACCTGCAGCGTATGATACTTATATTCTTATTCGATTTTCTTGAGGTGCATTTCAGAAAATATTGTAGGAAAGGAAATTGTGAAACTAGTCTTGATAAATTTGTCAGTTTTTTTCTTTCTGCGTGTTCTAGACTTCTAGTAAAAGAAATGGGAGTTGTTGTTAGTTTTTAGGTATCTACTCTGCTCGCTTTTAAGTATTGGTGTTTCTAAATTAATTGTGATTATCTACTAGTGGCCACTTACTAAAATATTATATGCCCCAAAATTTGAGAATTTTTAGCACCCAAACTTTGTGCCGAACTTTATATATTTTTCAGCCTTGAAATTGCTCCAAATGCTCGTGTTGAAGAAACTGACGTTGCTCCATCACCATCTTTTCAGGGCTTGTTTGTTTCGTTTTAGTTCTTGAATTTTCTGTTCACTCTCTGATTTGCATGATTAGATATATACATTTATCCGAACAATTTGCAATGTTTTTGTGTATACTTTCTGTGTTATATGGAGATGTCTGAGGCTCTTAACCTATTCATCATATGATTTATAAAATGTTGCGCGTTTTGGCAGCTGCAAACAGGATGGTTTTCATCACGTGTACTCGACTGTTTGAGATTGCGTGTTGCGCAGAGGTTTTTGTCTGTATATCCCGGCGCTGGTGCAGAATCTCTATTGAAGGCTGTCACTAGACGCTTTCAGAGGACTAAGAGGCTGCCTTTAGCTGGAAAGAACTCGAAAGTTAATAAAAAGGAGAAACAAGATGTTAAAGGTTGAAAGAAAAATTTACTACTGTAGCAGGAATTCTGTAACTACTGACTTATTAATTTCACTTTCCACACATTTCATCTTCTAATTACTTCTATGGCATATTTCAAAACTTTCAGAAGTTTTAGAGCATGAGGGTACTGAAGCTAACGATGAAGTTGAGCATGGCGAAGAAGTTGAGCATGACGAAGAAGATGAAGATGAAATGGATTATGACAACCTCGGAGAGGATGTGGATGCAGATGAGGCACTCGATCAGGTGAATTTATACTTGCTTGTTCCGATATTTGTCCACATGCCTGAATTTTGTCTATCATTCACACCTGATAGAACTTGGGGTAAAACAATGAAAATTTTCAAGGATTCAATGAATTAACCTACAGAAAAGCCAATTCTCTTCTACTACAAAACCAAAGTCGTTGCCCTACCAAAAACTCCATCATCACTTTAACATAGATGGACTGCTTATATACATATATATATATATATAAATTGGCCATTTATATGGACTTTATTAGATATATTGTACAGAAGACTCAAAAATAAATTATAACCGAATAAAGTGAAAGAACATTCTTGGACTCATTTATATGCGGTCTGTTCACTCAGCATTTTTAGATAAATTGATTTTTTATGTGTAGTTTGAATGGTTGACTTTTTATGAGTGGATAATGTATATATTAGATCAATGTGTGTGTATATTTGTATTTTTTAAATAATATTTATAAGAAATTGTTCCATTGAAAAATGCTGAGTGAACAGACTAATGGACTCTAATATCGTTTGCTCTCTCATATCACCCCCACATTGACTTAACTGATCGTCGGCCTCACATTCAATCTCCTTTTTCACAGGTCGATCAGGACGAGGATTTCCTACTACAACCAGATTCATGTATCCCTCTCTACATTTTATATAATTTTCTCTTTTCGAATAGTTGATGATTTTACGATGTATAAATTGCTTCTGCTAATTAACTTGATTCAGATACAGACAACAATGAGAGTGCATCAAAAGGCTATTTGCAGGAGCTTTTTGGCAGCTTCCCCCTCGGCACTGGAGTTGGCGATGGAATCGGAGACGCTGACGACCCTTATGATGATATATATCAAATATATGAACATTACAGTGATGACAACGACTCTGACGATGACGGCGACGAGAATTATTGAAACATTTATCGAAATAGGACATCAAGCCTGCCTGGGAGTATGGTATGTTCTTTTTTTTCTTTTTTTTTTTTTTGAGTTTTGATTTATATTGTTTTCTAAATTAATTGAATGTGATACTTTTGTACTATAAAAATTTGGTATGTTTTTAAGAAAACTGTGGCCTGTGCAACTTGGGTTGGTATTAGATTTAATCTACTTGTATCATTTTTTTTATTATTATTATTTACAGTAAGGTATTTTATTTTATTTTTTTCAAGAATGGAAATCAATAATGGCAATCTATCGTTTTATTTTGTGTAACATTAAACCCGATCGATTTAGTTTCAACTTTTAAATTTCAAATCATAAAGAAAGAGGAATCTTTATGGAAGTAGTAGGAAGAGAAAAACTACAAAAAAATAAGATGGGGATCAATAAAAAAGAACTCATAAATAAAATAAAATATTGTTTATACATAATTTATAAAAATTTGTCACAAATCTGCCGTTAATGAATTAGCCTCCGGTTTGGGCCCAGCAATCATAATGGGCATGATGCTGGACAGATTTCATTAAGTCGGGCTGGGCCTAGCCTGTTAAGGTCAGGCCCATCTGACCTAAATTTAGAGATTAAATAATTTTAAAATAAATAATTATATATATATTGTAATATTAATATCGGATTTGTCAATAAAAATATTAATTATTTCAATTGAACTATCTTATATTATGTAATATTATATTATATATATATATATGCAGTGAGATAGAGAGAGAGAAGAATTTTATTTACTTTATTGGTTAGTGTGTATATATAGGTAATACAATAATCATGATTTCAACTCATATATATCAAATCAGTGTTGATTTGATTTAATTAATAGATAAATAAATAAAATAACAAAGTATTGATATAATGGGAGGGGATTGCAACTCCTCTTCCATTCAAATCCAAGGATTTTGAGTTGAAATTTGAATAGTAAAAATCTTGAATTAGAGTAATTGTATCACGTAATATAAATATATGCTAATGTAATATTTAGAAAAAAATTTAAATAAATAATAAATTTTTGGTCAAGTCCGTTAAACAAACACACCCTATAGTGTATCACTTGATGTGTATGTATGCATATATGCACATATAATATACATACACTATACTCCCTCCATCACATAATTAGTCCACTATACACCCTATATCACGCAATTTAAGAAATATTGTATAATGTAGTTAATTAATTTGATTAGTTGATATAATAAAATTTATTTTAAATATTTTTATTTGATAAAATATAAAATTAAAAGTTTAAATATCTTTTATTTTAATTTTTAAATATTAAATTTTTTATTTACTAAAATAATTTTAAAATAATAATAATAATAATAATTGTTATACATGGTAAATCAATACATGCAATTAGATAAAAAAGAATAATTTTAATAATTTAAATGTAATTAATACAATAAAAAATTGTAATAATAAAAATTTTATATAAAAAGTACATAAATTTTTTTAAAATTGATTTGTTAGAAATCGTTTGTTATGACACATCAAATTTAGTGCCACATTGTATACGATATCAAAATTTTTTATATGATATTTTAAACCAATGCTATACAAATATTTTAGTATATCGAATTTATGAATAAAAAAATATTGAATTATGGAAAAACATAAATACTCATATAAAAAAAATATTGAAAAAAAATTTAAATTTTCGGTACGATATACATGATATATTCTGTATATATAGATAATAAAAAAAAAACGATATTTATGTATATATCAAATATTCGATACAATATGGATATTTTTTTTTAATAAATTAAAAAATTTGGTATTCGATATTTTCGTTATACTTTTTCAAACCATATCTAACTGAATTATATACACCGTATTAGAATATAATTTTTTACATTGAAATACCAAAATTAAAAATAATTTTATAATTTTGCATGATAAATAAGTTTTTTCTTTATTATTTTTTTGCATAAAGGAAAAAAATTAAAATCAAACTTAATTAATTTTTCGGCCATAAATTTTTAAATCAAATTTTTATCAATTTTTTATATTACATTAAAAATTATTAAAAAAATAAAAATTAGATGAATACTTATTTATATCATATTAAATATATTTTTTTTTATTATTCAAAATTTTTGTCAAACTTCTAAATTTACAATTAAACAAATAGTAAAATTAAATATATTAGTAAGTTAATAAAATATGATTAAGTTTTTTTAATTATAAGTATTAGTACTAAAATAGAAAAAGTAGACTAATTTGGTGGACAACTAAAAAAAAGAAATGATGGACTAATTTGGTGGGACGGAAGAAATATTATATACGAGGGGGGGGGGGGCAGGGTGGGGCTGGATGGAAGGGCGGGTAAATAATTCCCTCCGTCGTATAACTACACATAATAAAATATACTCTATCTGTCTTAGAAGTAAGTATTCATTTGTTTTTTCATATAGTTTTAGAAATATTAGTATTATATTGAAATATAGTATGAATAAAATAGAAATTACTAAAATAACCTTATTAGTATGTGTGATATAAAGGTAATGACATTTGTGTAATATATTGTAAGTTGTAAGGGTATTTGTAATGTTAGGTAAATAGTACAGTAACTTTTAAAAAAAAATGAATACTTTATTATGAGACGGACTTAGATAGAGGGAGTATAATAATTTCAACATATTATGATGTATTATATTTCAGCTTAAGAATAATAATTTAATCTAATAAGTAAATAAATTTAATCATATAATTAAAATAAATTTACTTTAAAATAATTACGTCCAATAATAACTGATTTAATCATTTAAATTTATTCTTAAATACTAATTTTGACAAAAGTTAATAAATTAATAATTATTTATTACTTTTCATTAAATACTTATTATTTACGACAAATATAACTATTATTATATTATCTTTTTATTTATTTTAGTTTTTTATTAAAATTTGAAAATTGTATGGTACAAAAATAATTGGACAAACAAACGAATATAATTGCACAACCGTTAGTTGGCGAAACTATATTGACGTAATATATTTAAGATTCAACCGTACTAGCAAGACCTTCAAACGGCGTCGTTTATGAGGAATATACATACTCGTTCATAACTACAATTACATATGGGAGATGTTCTCCAAATTGAGTTTACCCTAGTCTTCCGACAGAATTTTGAAAAGCTAAGCTTCAAATGGCGGGTCAATCATCACCGCATCGCATTCTCTGCGCTTCCTTCAATCAAGATAACAGGTAGCCATCTGATCAATTGGTTACTAAATAAGTTCTGATGTTTTCTTAGTTGAATTTTGACTGATGAGTATTTTATTTTACTTCAGCTGCTTCGCCGTCGGAACTGGAGATGGATTCAAAATATTTGATTTGAATACCGGACAAATGCTTCATGAGCAAGGTGTTTGTGTTAGATTTGCAAGTTTAATTCGAAATCAAGTTGTTTATTTATTTACTTAGTCTTGCGCGAGTCATTGAATGAATTGGATGAACTTTTGGCAACTGAATTTCCAAATAATGCGCAGTTAAATGAGTGTTTTTAGTATCAGAGCTCTTATCGGTATGCATTGTTTGTTGTTTTCTGAATGCGGGTCAGCTTGTAGGGATAGGATCAATGGTATGTTTCTCACAAATATGTTTTGTTTCTTCGGCATTTTTTGTGAAATAATGGTGAAAGAAATTTTAAGTTGAGACTACAGCAAGAAGATAGCTGAATGATGCTGATTTTGTGTTTTCTGTTTTGTTTCCAAGTTGCTGGGGCGTTCAGTATTGTTGAAATGCTATTCAAATCAAGTCTTGTTTGCATAGTTGGTGCTGGAGAACAGGTTTTCCTTTATTTGATATAATAATCACTTTCATCATCTCCTTAGTTTTTTGATAGCTTTGTTTTTTGGTATCTCATAATTTGTGTGCTTCGAGCAGCCATCTTTATCTCCGAGAAGATTAAGTTTGTTTGATACTAAGAAAGGAACTGCTCTACGTGAAATGAACTTTTTGACTTCTATTCTCGCAGTTCGTGTAAATAAGCAAAGGTTTGTCTCTCAGCTATGATTTCATAAATGATATTATTCTGAGCAAAAGCAAAATTCTTCAAATTTTTAGTAATGTAAATGCTATGGCAGATTGATAATTGTATTGCAAGAAAAAATATACATTTATGACACTAACAATGGGGAAATACTGCACATCTTGAACACAGTGCCTAATGTAAAAGGTCAGTATAAAATGATCATATGCCATGTCCTCATATGCCATGTCCTTATTGTTGCTAAAGTAATTTAATAAGAACTTTCAGTATCCAATCTGCACTCCAACTATCTGATATGAATTTTCTGTACGGGTACGCTGAAGCCTGAAGCTGCTGCTGCTGCTAGAATGATCTATCCTAATCTGGTAGCTGGTACTAGAAATTATAAGGATGTTTTAACCAGAAACATTGTGAAAAGATACCAAAGCTAAATATAGTTTCACTGTGCACTGCTTCTTTTCTTCTTTTTGTTCTTGGTTGTGGAGATACGTGTAGTTTTGAAGCATTATTAAGCTGTGACGTTGAATCTTGTGATCTTCTTTGACTTCATAGTATTCAGTTGTTTTCTTTTCTAGTTCAGGTCTTTGTGCTTTTTCAGCAAATATGGATAATCCCTACCTGGCTCTTCCTGCTAGTACAACTGCAGGGTCTGTACTTGTCTACAATGTTATGGATCTGCAGTCACACTGTGAGGTTGTGGCTCACATTCTTACTAGATTTTGAAAGCAGTATTTTGGCAATTTTTTACTTCCCTTTGTTTAATTTATACCTTGGAATTTGTTTATGTTTTCATCATGGTCTAACATGTTTATAAATTTTAACACGTGCTCAATCTTTGAGTGGTAATTTCTCACCCTCCATAGGTATTGGGCTAAAGCTTATTGCTCACTGGATAGAAAATTTTGTTTGCTTTCCAAAATGATAAGATATGTACCTGAGCATGAATGCATTTGTTTTTCCCTTTGCCTCCTATAAACATTGGCAAAAGTATCTGAATTGTGTTGAAATTAGTTATGTTGAGATCATGTGTAACATGAGCTGTGATTAAGGTGTATCAAAAGAATGATCTAAATTTCTTGTTACCATCCCTAAATTCTGTAGATCGATGCACATCGCTCACCATTGGCTGCCTTAGCTTTTTCTCCAAATGGGATGTATATAGCTACAGCATCTGAACAGGGAACCATTGTTCGAGTTTATCTAGTTTCAGATGCTACTGAGGTACGCTACCAAAAGTTGGTCATTCTTATGTGGAATCACAATTGCTTTTTCTTCTTCCAAAGCACGGCAAACCAAAGCGAACTTTATAGCTCACCAAATTTTAGATTCCTTATATGAGATCTTAGTGATTTATGTTCGTCAGTCCCACAGTTTCCGTAGGGGCACATGTGCATCAACAATATATTCTTTGTCATTCGGGCCGTCAGTTGATCTTCCAGATATTCTTCTTGCAACAAGCTCTTCAGGTTCTGTTCATATTTTCTCCCTGGGTTTTGTTCTGAAAGAGAGGTGCGGTCTATATCCTTGATTCTCCAATTCATTAACCATTAGATTTCTACAACTATTTTAGCTGTCATTATCTTCTGAATTACAGAAACCTATGCTATCTGTTATTTGTTTCTTTAATCCACTGATGTGTCATAGATAAATTGCCTTATGTGTCTTGCGGAGCAGTTCTTTATTGGCGTTGTTAATTTGCTTAGAAGCTGATTGTTCTGTTCAAACTGTCGCTCATTTTTCTTATATTCTGAAGCAGAAAATCGAAGAGTTTCTTTGGATCAATAATGTCTGGCTCTGTTAGTGATACATCAGATCACCTTGTATACCACAATGCTTTTGCAGCTGGAGTAAGAAGGTTACTATTAACCAGCCTTTATGAAATTTTCACCTACTTTCGAGTTCTGTAATGGTTTCCAATTTATACTTATTATTGAATATGTTATGGGAAACATTCAATGAGTATAAATTAAGACAAATTTAGAATGACTAGTTGAAATGACAACCTTGTCATCTCTTCGATCAGTATAAATCTTGAAAAGAAATATAGTGAGCGTCGATCTAATCTACTATCATTAATCCTATAGTTAATTACTTAATAAATTTTTAAACATTTTATTGCAGTGATGCTATAGTTCAAAAGATAGAGAGAATTAGTGATACATCAAGTTCTAATCCGGTGGCATTGAGGTAAGTTGGGACTAGTCAAGATTGGCTTTCAAATTCTCATATGAACGATCATAGTAGAATTTCTAAGGCTCTCGTGTGATTTTGTAGAGCTACTGTATCGATGATCACCTTCAATGGATACTTCCAAGAATATTGTTTCAGTATAAACCATAAGCACGAACCTACATGGACCTTGGAACGCCAGTTCAATCTTTCGACGGCAGTTGTTGGCCAGAGCTCGAGCTAACGTAGCGCCAGAGGTATGTCGGTTCATGACTCGATCTACACTTATGATCATGTTTATTACATAGGATTCACAATGAAGACGACAAAGTTTTCGAATATTTCATGAATCGCCCCATCTATGTTTCACCGCTCGTATAAAGAATAGAATTAGAGAAAGTAATACATCGTAATCTTGCCGCTAAAACGTATGTTCCCCTTCATTCCATTGTTGAGAATTTATATGCCGATCTTATGATTAGGTTAACGGACATTTTATATTGATTGGGCGATATAGGCTATGGAAAGATGTAACGAAATGAATGTGAGAGTCAATGAGGCAAAATAAAGAAAGATCAACAACTTATACACTATGGTAGTTCAATGAAGAAATAACATTTTGAAATGTAAGTTGACATTTTACCGACATAAAATGCATGTTCGCCTAATCATAAGGCCGGCCGGTAGATAAATTCTCAACCATGTTCATCAATTGAAAGAAAGGGAACATAAGTTTCACCGGAAAGATTACAAAGTATAACTTTCCCTAATTAATTATGTTGTTCTTACCGGAGGCGAAACATAGACAAATCAATTCATGAGGTATTTGGAAAGTCTGTCACCTTCGACGTGTGTTTGTTTGGGGGTTTGGATTTTGAGTTGACAGCTATCGTGGATGTGACATTGAGTGCTTTGATATCAAATGTCATGTGTTGTACTCCATACAAATTCACATGGACAAAGAAAGTAAGGGATGACAGGTGGTCTAGGGGTTGGATTTGTGACCATGAGGTAATGGGTTCAAACCTCCGACCCTTCAGGTTATCTGCTACACATGGTTCGCCTAGTGTTACCCTGCAAATTAGGTCCGATCACACATCCAACTCCCAGATTTCCAATCAACCTTAGCCTAATTTTCATCAACTTTGCTGGATTTCACCCTGCCTCACCGCCGTCACCACCATTCTCTTCCTGCAGCAGCCGCCGCCAACTTTCTTCTTGTTGCCCACGATCGATCCTCAACTGCCATCCGAGTTGCCCATGTGTAGAAAGAAGGTGGAGCAACAGAGAAAGAGAGGTATGAATTGTCGATGTCGCCTCTCCTGTACCAAGCCAAACCGAGGCAGCTTTGATTTTGTACCATCGATTTGGAGGGTCACTGTGTTAAAATTTTTTCCGAAGAAAACAAAAAAGGGCGGCGAGATTGGAAGAAAGACTCTGGAATGGAGAGCCAATGTATATGCTCTAAGTGTTGTAGTTATTAAAGTCGTAATCGGTTGAATAACACACTATGACAAGAAAAATATACTATCTCCGTCCGTCCAACCGAATGTATACAATTTTTTTTTTGGTTAATTTTTTAATGTTAATTATTATATTAAAATGTTTTACAAATAAATAAAAAATAACAAAAACATCTGTATTAATCTCTTATATTATAATACAATGATATTTATAAAATACAAATATAAGGATAAATATAACACAAGAATTAATAGGATATATTAAGGGTGCAAGAAGCAAGTCAGTGCACTCAAATAGTATTACACGAGAGTGTTTACGACTTGAAGTGGAGAGTGTTATTAAGGATTGACAATTTTGTCTCAGTTCTCGGTCATAATCTATGTGAAGTCTTCTATCCTTTGGTATATTGATGGCCTATATCTCAATGTAAGTACGTATATATATTTCATATAGTATATCCAAATTTGTTGCGCATAGGGGTATACTATGATAAACAAATTTTAATTAGAATCAAAATGATAATTATGATATTGAATTAGAAAAAATATACTCTATCCGTCTCATAAATAGTTTTAATTGGGTTGAGTACAATATTTAAGAATTATTGATATTATATTGGTAATCGATAAAAAGTATGGATAAAAGATTTTTTTGCCTTTTGTGAGTGTATTAGTATAAAAAGTAGTGACAATTGTGTAATAAAAATGAAAAAAAAGTAACATTACGATGATTATTTATGAAAATTGTTTTGGGGACGAACAAAAATCCTACTATTGTAATAGTATATTTTTTGCTCTTTTTATTTTTACATTTAGTAATATTCTTTTATACGAGCAACACGCCATTTCCTAGGGTTTTAGAAATTGAGAGGGGTTGAAAATGGCGGGAGCCCGGTGAACCCTCGTCATCGTCTTCGTCATCAACATAGACTTCTTCTCCATATATGGTTGATGGAATCGTACTTATTTGTGTGAATCTACACCCCCCGCTCTGTTTTAGCCCTCTGGAAGGTATTTAACAGGATGTACGGTAACAGCCAATTCGATGGAAACGCTGCCTTCTCCGGCGGGGGTTTCATGCCTTCTCAAGCTACACAAACTGCCGATCCAGCATTTACTCCGGCGAAGGTATCGCTACATGATTGAAGCTTTCTAGGAACATTGCTTTATTTTTATTTTTTATTTTGTGAAAATCGTTACTGAAATTCAGGATTGGGCTTATGATATATTTGCGTTCTATAGATTTCTAAGTTGTCCAAGGGAAGAAAGTTTTCTTTCCGTCTGAACAATCGCGTTTTTGCACGGAACTAATTTGAATATGAGGAACAATTGTTTTTTGGCTTTGTGCAGAATCGCGAGGCTCAGGCATTGCTTCCGTTAACCGTGAAACAGATAAGTGAAGCTTTTCAAGCAAGTGACGACAAAGCGAACTTCCTAATTGATGGGGTTGATGTGAATAATGTCAGTATCTAGCTGTTCTTACGATGAATTATGACCGATTTGTTTATCCTCTGATGTTTCCGCGTTTCTGAAATAACTTCCTGTAGGTGAAATTGGTCGGGATTTTGTATGATAAAGTTGAAAGGATAACTGATGTTTCATTTGTGCTTGATGATGGGACTGGTCGCATAGATTGCCATAGATGGTATGTTTTATGGCGTTTCGCCATTTCCCTTTTCTTTTTCTTTGGTTGCAATTCCTTTGCTTGTTGGATAATTTGTTGAAAGAGTTATTGTGCTTCTGTATGCTTACTTGTGTGTTTTCGAATTTCAGGGTAAATGAAGCTATTGATATGAGAGAAATGGAGCTACTCTTGTAATGGTTTTTTTGAAGATAGATTAGATACTATTGTGTGTTATATTCCACTTGGTTCTAACTTGTTTATCGTGTTTGTCTGGATTAGAAATGGCATGTATGTAAAGGTACACGGGCATTTAAAGGGGTTTCAAGGCAAAAAACAATTGATGGTGTACTCTGTCAGGTATAGGTTTGCTATGTTTGCTCATAAGCTTCTTCTTATTTTCTATTCTTTTTTTTAATTCTTTCACGAAACACAGAGATATAATTATATCCACATGGGTTGAGTATGATGTTATATCTTTTCCTTTATTTTTCGAGGTCCTAACAAGCGAAAATATAGCATTTCGTCATCATGAATGAAAAAGACTATGCAGGATGGGGTCCAAATATTTGCGATAGGGAAACAACCATATCTATAGAGAATAGACCACTAACGAATATTCATATCAATCATTTTCAATGGGGCAGGGTGGCAGTGGGAGAGTGAAGATACATAGATGTAGAATGTTTGAGCTGGTCAGGAACTTAAAAGAAGGAATAAACATATAAAAATGGCGCGGTCTTTGTTTACTAGGTTTTTCTGTACTTGTGGTGGTTGGTTCATATTTGGTAGAAGCAACTGGCGGAAACTAGATATATGAATACAATATAGAAAAATCACATTAAAGGTATTTTTGCAGGCTCTTGATGACCTAATTATAATAGGTCTACCTCTAACTCAATTTATTAAGGTTTCACATTCTAACTCGATCAATTATGTCCACACTACTGATAGAGTTACACCTGCTTTGACACTCAAATATTGTTCTTAAGTATTTTCACTGGGGAGTTATTTCTGGTCTTGATAACTGTACTAGAGAACACTTTCCAGCTGCTACCTCCAATATTTGAAAAAACCTTGCTATCACGTTATCTCAAGTCAAAACTTGTGTATGCGTAGATTTTCTGTAATAGGAAGTTTTGTTTGATTCGTATGGTTGATTTCATCCCTGAATAACGAGATTTAACCTGGATGCTGTTACTAACAGGCCTGTCACAGACTATAATGAAATTTCAAACCACTTTGCTGAATGTATATACGTCCACTGCTACAATACCAAGCACCGGGTATGATATGACCAACTAAGCTTTGCATTGGTATTGTTCTGAGAAATTGTTTTCTTCCCCAATTTTTATTTGATGTTCTATTTCTTTATCCTCTTCACAGAAGCAGCAGGATGCTGGCCAAGTTTCTGGCCATTTACCAAATTCAGCTGTTAACACCCCTACAAAAGGATTTCAATCAACCCCGTCAAATCAGGTGACGTGTAAGGATATTATGCTATAACTTTACTTTCTAACGACATTGATGGTTTTGACACTTTTTTCTCTTTAACTTTCAGTTTTCTGTACAATATAACTTGGATGATGTCCAGGGCATTGATAAAATGGTTCTAAACTATTTGCGGCAGCCATCATGCATGTAAGTTCTACAAACAAACACCAATCCATCCACGTAACTTATCTATTGTTTCCACTACACTTATGGCCAATTTAGGAAGGGCAAGCCATGAATTTGGAATATGTTAGTTTGCATTCCTATTTCTTGGTGAAAAATTGTGTGCATCATGCGAAGCATGCGAGCAGAAGAACATGAAGTTAGTGGCACAAGGGGAAAAAGGTGATCTGAAAATCATTTAACAGGTTGGACTGGCATAAGTATGGACACTTCAACCAAATATCTCTGCTCGTAATGCATTAAAGCTATTACAAAAATATCGAGGTGGTCTTTCATTTCCATTTTTGCTGATTTATAAAATTGAGAAAATGCCATTTCTCTGTCATAACCGCTTGGCACTGCGAAGAAATTTTGAGAAATGAATTGGATGAGAATAAAATTGATGCTATAACTTCATATTTATATTTTTCTGTAAAATAATTTTTACGGTAGCTGCTGGTATATTTACTCCTGTTCTCACATAGTAGTAGATTAAGAAAGATGGATTTATGGCTTTAGCTCGCCGTGATTTTATTGAATGGTTTGCCTGTATTCTCTCCTGGTCACATCGCGTCTATGACAGAGAACCTTAGCCATTTATTCCAGGAATTTAGGATCTTTTAACAAGTCTTATTGAATATTGCAGTGCACGAGAAAAAGGCGTCCATCGAAACGAACTTGCCCAACAACTAAATCTTACTGACACAAATATTGCGTGAGTTGCTCTACAATATGAGTTTGTTTTGATGATATACGTATATTCATATAAGTATATATGATATTCTTTGGTCTCCGACAGAGATGCGATTAGGTCTCTGGAAGGAGACGGTCTAATATATTCGACCATTGATGAGCATCACTTCAAGTCCACCACCAATGGTTGAACAACCAACACAAGACTCAAATTGGTGAGATGAACTATTGCTTGTATATTGTTCATGCATGCATACTTTGATTTGCATTTGCATTTGCATTTCTCATTAGATTGTCAATCAAATCTCTTCTATTGCAAGGTATTTTTATTGCAATTGCTGCTAGCACCTGTTGGTGTAATTTGAAAATATTTGATGTCAATTCATATTTGTAGGTTTGTGTAAGAATATATTTCAGATATTGGAATCAATACTAATATGTGTGATATGTATTGTGTTATATTCCAATTATAAAATTTAGCATAGTTATTACTGTAAATATACTATATATTTATATAAATCATTCTCCGATTTCGGCCCAGTTCACTTGTACCCTTTAATTGGGCCAGACCGTACTAGCCCAATCCTGGCTAAGTGAATCTAGGTAAGCCCAGCCCAATATATCGAAGCCCGTTCAAGTTAGACGGGACAAATACTCAATTCTCCTAAGCTCGCCCAGCCCGGACAAATACTGTCAAACACGGCCCAATCTAGCTACCCCAGTGCATAGATATGGGCCATTTCAACTAGGCCCAACTTGGCAACCCAGTACAGTAAGGCCCATCCAACCAAACTAAACTTTGAACTAATTGAAGTAAAATTAGCTTCAAGTTCAAATACTTGGTAAGAAAATTGGTTAGAAGATGCAGCAACTCGTTTAAAGCAAATGATATTTCCTCTACCAACGATGAAAACATAGTATGAGATCAGTGCATAGATAGCAACTAATTTGAGCAGATAGAAAGAAATAACAATTACATAGCACACCAATAAATGACAAAAATACAGCTTAAAACAACAGCACACCAGTAAAGATTCGATTAGAAAATTCATAAGATGCATGAAGGATAATAGCAAGCAGTTTACAGATGAGAGAGGACTTGCAAATATGGAGTTCAAATTTCCCCTACAACAAAAGGGTCTTTCGATAACAAGTTCTCTGATAAAACAAATTTCAGACAAAAACATAGCAGCCCAGCCACAACTAAAGATAGGGGAAGAGAGGATTATAAAATAAAACACACACCTTCGTCGTCGTCATCATCATCATCATCATCATCATATAGTTTGCAACTGCGAGAAAGAGATCCGCATGGTTGATCCTCCGAGCGATGTGGCGTGCTTGCATACAAGGGCTTCTGTAGCCTGCTCCTCGTTTTCAAAATGAACAAGAGCCTGTTTCTTTCCATTCATCTCAAATACTTTTGTATTGACAATAGCCCCGTGCTCTTCAAGATGGGCTATTATTTCCTCTTCGGTCACATCCGGAGGAAGTGTGGAGATGTGGATCATTTTGGTTGGCGAGCAACAGTACCGGTAGTTTTTGGCAGCATTTCTATTGAACCGATTCAGATTTGAGTTGGAGTAGTCGTGGGTATCGGCTCCAGTTGTAATGTTTGGATGCTTCGAAAAATTTACCTCCAATCGTTTTCCAAACAACATTGCACCCTGTATTTAAACAAACACACATCAAATAAAAATAAAATGAAAATTTACTCCCATAAAATGAAAGTGAAACTAAAGCAGCAGCTAGATATGTACTGTCAACATATTTGCATATAAAATTGGCCTTTCATGGAATAGAATTTGCTAACACTCCGTTCCAATCCATTTAGCAGCACTAGTAATATTCCAAAATTTCTGTCACCAAGCACTAGTAATATTCCAAAAATTAAGTAGTTACCGACCTTCAAGAAGTGAACAGCCAATTCAGCCTGAAAACCATCACCCATTTGAACCAATGCATGATCTGGTTTATTTCGCAGAACTTTGATCCTAATAATGTTCCCATATAATGAAAATAAATTAAAAAGCTTATCCTCGTCTATTCTCTGCAAAAGAAGGTAAATTGATGGGGAGCACAGTTCATTATTACTACCATTTAAAGAATAGGAAAGAAATGAAAAGAGACAACCAATCTTGTACCCGTATGTGTGCATGTGTACTAGAGAGAGAGAGAGAGAGAGAGAGAGGGTATGCAGAAACTCACATCAGGGTTCAGATTAGATACAAGAACTGTGCACCTATCATTTGTCCCACTTATACCAGGTGGTAAAACACCTCCGAAGGCAGCAGAAACAGCAGCAGCATTGCTCACCTACAATTCAGGACAATACCAAAATGTGTCCAACACAAGTGCTATAAGCAAAAGAACCAGTGTAATTCCAGGACCTTAATAACCACCACTCAATGTTAGCATAATTGAAAGGAAGATGTAAGCAAAGCATTATTCAGATATATATTAACATATTTATAAATATGCATTATGATGTCATACCTGGGCTATTTTATGATGGCCATTTTATAATAAGTTTTCGAAGAAAAATTAAAAATCTGACTATTACATGGGAGCATATCGGCACCATACTTAGAATCCAGATAAGTTCATGCAATGTTGTTAACCAATCAGAACGCCAGTTTCATCTTAGCAAACAAGTGAGATACCAACCTGCGGAAATCCAACTGGGAAAGAGGATTTTGGGGATGGGATGGGGTGGGGTGGGATTGAGTGTTAGAAATAGGAAAGATAAAAAGAAAATAACATAAACTTCACTTAACAGCAATTTAAGTACCTGCATGCGGATACATCCCTGCATCTCCGTACCCAGACTGATAAAAACAACCAAATTCAATATCTGGTCAAAAAATGTATATGATAAAAAGCTTGATAACATTAAATCTTGTGGTGGAGAACTGATTTACTTGAGAAGATTTGCCTTTCTGTTCTGAAGGTAAGGAAGGGTTGGTGAAGTCCCTATTGTGAGAAATTTAAAACAAGAAAACAAAGGGTCACTAGTGATAAATTTTTCCAAGTAAAAATGTTATTTGATTCGAACACTCACCTAGATCGCTCGTTGTTATAATTCACTTGCAACTCATCAAGGCTGGAGAAAAGAGAAAACATGGTAACTACTGGTTATACAAAATAAAAGTAACAAAAACTCAAAAGCTATGGTACTGCACATATATAGCAAATTCTGAATTAACTCACTTGGAGAATTGAATGTCAAGCTGACAGCAGCCATCATATATATTTCGCCCCTGCAAGCAGGTGGCAAGTTATGCATGTATTACGGTGAATTCTAAACAAATGTAATTAAAATGTTTGTCAGGTAATGTACCTGAAGAGAGTTTCGTGCAGAAATTGCACTCTCATGGAATTGAAATTGAATCAGAGCTTGAAAGCCTACAATATTTGCAAGACTAGACTATCAGAATTACAATTACAACAATGGCAATTATTAATGCATTTCATAAAATGGTGTTAAAATTTAAATTTAATACACAACAAAGAAACAGCACAGATCACACAAACTCCCATAAAAGTAGGTCAGTATGAAGAGGGGCACTGTGTAGCCACATTTCTCATAGACATGCCTAGGCATTATCATACACCTTAACCACAACCAAAATTAAGAAAGAAAAAAAAAGAGGTAATACGAAGGTGCTGACCAGCCGACTTCTGAAATGTGACAATCTTCTCAACATATCCATGGGGAGCAAAAACTTGATGCAGCACTTCCACAGTAATGGGATATAGCATGTGATGTATTGTAACTAAGAGGATTCGGTTAGGCTGTGTATCCAGAGAGAGCCAAGCAGCACAGAGAGAGAATAGAGAAGACCCCAACGCCAAACCAGCACAGAAAAGCAGATAGAAAAGAGAAGGGAATGAATAGAAAAGAAAATACAGAAAGAGAAATGTAATGACCATATAGAACTAGAATAATCAGAGCATCCAGCATTCGGGCACAAGGGTGCAAAAATACATTAAGAACTAGAACTCTACCCTGAGCGAATGAAATAACTGCATATTAACAATATAGGTGCTTTGACAGATGTGGCGCCATAACATCCAACCTTCATTTTAAAGTACTATGAAGCCCGCCAAAACCAGAAAAAACGCACATTGAGCTAGAAATTAGCATTTAAAGATATTCAATAATGTAAGGCTTCTTTCAAGAGTACACAGATATCTCGGAAGAAAATTTCCAGCCAACTAGGAAATGAATGATACAGTTCTTGTGCCACTTATAAGCAATACACACAAAAGAAAACAATACATGGCACCTACTCCAGTATATTTACCAGGAACTATTGTTTAGAATTGTTGATACCATACTTCTAGTTCTTATTTTATAAATGCACGGTTAGAAAAGTGCATCCAAGGCCACCATTTCCTAATAAACTGTATCCTGTTCACCCTCTAGTAGTGAACAAAAGCCACTGGAACAGCAATGTGAGGTAAGTAAACAATATTAAATAGCATGATTTGAAATACTGTTAAAAATCCAGAAAGGCATTCAAGTTTTACTGATGTACTTCATGCATTCTTTTAATAATGTATAATGAAAAGATAAATTTATGTTTCACCAATTGGGTGATATTTAATAAAGTTAGAATAACATGCTCCAGAAACGCATTCAAGTTTTACTGATGTACTTCATGCATTTTTTTAATAATGTATAATGAAAAGATAAATTTATGTTTCACCAATTGGGTGATATTTAATAAAGTTAGAATAACATGCTCCAGAGAATTGATGGATATGAAACCAGCTCTCAAATACTAAAGCCTAATTGGGTTAAGAAACTATCAATAGCTACTCACGGCTCATTGGGAGGTATTCATACAGTAAAATGGATATGATCAATTACAAAAACATTCTTATGAACCCATATTACTTCATCAAGGGCTAGGGTATCAAAATTATAAAAAAATTAAAAAAAAAAAAATTCATCAAGAGAGCACAGTAAAATAGGTTACTTGAACACCCTGGTTATTCCATATTATATTTAATAATATAATGCAGTTATGCCCATATTTGACGGGTCTGCTTGCAGCATTTCATTCATACTTTATTGAATTATTATCTCTATATGTGTGTAGTAAATGGTTGCTGGTATCTCTAATTCTTGCAAACATAATGTGCCTAACCATGAAACACCAATGATGATTTCAACAACACTAGCACAAGTGTTACTGAAGGGGCAAAAAATAGTGGCATGGCACATGATAATCACCTCATCGCCTCGTGATTGAGTAGTCTGATCCATGGTTGTCAGTTCTTGGTGTGATGAAAATTGAACATAAACATTCCTTCCCCTAAAAAGAAATTGATATATATATATATCTAAACCATAACAGAAGTTGGAAGGTTCACAAAATAACAGTAACATTTATCAATGAAGATACCTTATACTTGGTTGGACGTTGGAGTAGAATTGCAATGCATTTACAGCTGAGGGGACATCTTGCAATTGAAGGAGGGCCTGTAATTTTAATTGAGTAAAGATATATAAATATATATATGAATGACAACTTTGTAAGGCAATCCCCACCCCACCCCCCCACCACAAACAGGCATATTATCAAAATGAACCTGATTTTTGGCTCGAAGCATCACAAGCTTGGTGATGACTCCAAATGGCTGGAAGAGCTGGAGCAAGTCATTCTAGAAAGTATAAACTACCATCAAAAGTTGAATCCAGGATAACCAGCCAGTAAATGTTAATGGTTGTGAGAATACTGTAAATAATTTGGTTCCTCAATGCAAAGGAAACATGTATATACACGCAAAGAAATAAAATGCAAGCATAACTCTCTTTTGCACCAAGACATGTATAAATAAATCCAACAACAGTGGATATAAATATCTTCTAGTGATACTTAAACAGCATTCCGCTTATGATCAATGAGCATACTTTGATCAAGATCCCAAGCTCTGCAAGATCAATATATCAATATAAATGTCTTATTCAATGAAGCTACGTCATTAGCTTCACATCTACAACAGAAAAGTCTCTGTCGTATTGTAACCGTTAAACATTTAAGACAACAATAAATGTGCGTTTGGTTGGGGGTTTGGATTTTGAATAGTAAAAATTTTGAATTTTAACAGTTGTTTGATGTGATGTTTTGAATGTAAAATTGATTATTTGTATAATATAAAAAATCCAACCAACACGCCATAAGTGACTACAGCTAGGCTTGATTCCGAGGGCATATTAAATTAAGATAAATGCATGGCTCAAACTCTATTATAAACAAGTTTTTGTGCATTTCTATAATTAAGTATTCACCGGAGACAATGCGCCACTCACCACATCAATCAAGAAATTAGTACTTTTGAAAAGATTTTCTTCTAATGCCTTAAATCAGCGAACATACTCTCATTTTACGCTGGTAATCAAAATATGAGATCAATGCGACTAAGACTGCGTCCATATCATTTACCTATCCACTGGCTTCAACTTTGCAAATGCGAACCAGAATATTGTAACAGTCAGAAAATAATCCGAAAATATGCGACAATAATAGCACGAAATATGAAACAACAGATAATGAATTGCATATGCATCGGAAAATGGATATATCTGACCTCAGAAATCTCATGACCCACATTTCTAACATGGATAACTTTTGATGGCTCTGTCATCGTCAAAAGCCTGAAAAGAAGGATATATACACGTGGCCTGTTACGATGACGTATATCTCAAGAGAATCAACTATTGGATAAATAACTAACGGCAAAAAAAGGAGGGAAAAGAATAAATAACTAATGGCAAAAAAAGGAGGGAAAAGAAAAGGCAGCTTAATAGACGTAAGGTTAAATAGTTAATAGCAAAATGGCTCCTTCAACTCATTAGATTTTTCATGCTGCAGGCACAGGATCGAGCTAACAAGTAACAACTAAGCACAATATCATCATCCATGAACCAAGAAACTTAAAAATAATAATAATAATAAAAAATAAAATAATCCCGTTCAGGTCTGAAAAGTACCACACAGTTTCGTTCCTGGCACTAACCCAAGATCAAGCTATCGAACCAAAGAACGCGCGGAGATCAAAAGGGTTAAAACTACTATTGCAATACAACAACATATTTTTATTACCTTATTAAGAACAGAATCTCAGTCAGTCTTAATCAGTTTATTACAGAAACAAAAGCCGACTCGGTCGCAGAAAACCAGTACAAAAATTCCGAACATCATGTAAATTCTACACCACCGCCTGTTAGTAGCTGCCCATCCACAGGACAAAATTCCGAATAATACACAATCAAATAAGCGGCATGAACCTTTTTCCTATCGAGCTATATGCGAAAGGTATTATTTCCAGGAGCCATAAAGCACGATTACAATAATAAATCGTAGTAAGACAACCATAATCACCTAGAGCGGTACCAAGAGACAGAAATAGAGAGAGACACAGAGCGAGCTTCAAGAACCACAGCGGGGTAGAGAGTGTTGCTTTCGAGAGCGAAAGTGGAGGGACAGAGAGAGAGAGGAATTGATCCTCCTCCTAGGGTTAGGGTTTTGTTGTTCTCAGCAGCATGGACGAGTAAGTATTTTCTTTCCAGTTATACCCCTCAAGCCAAGGATAAGGTTCCACGTCAGCAACCGGTAGTTGGAGGGGTGTTTAAGAGAATTCACTGTGAAGATATTTACGGAAGTACAACATACAAGGGACTCCTATATATAAATGTGATTATAGCAACTAGGTCAATACACTACTTGATCTTATCTGAGCAGGCGGCGGCGCTGCCGGGAATTGGGGGGAGCTGTGGACGGAAATTGGAACGCCGCCCTCCGTCAGGTGCAGGAGGCTTCCATATCTTTCGGTTTTCCCCCTTTGAACCGTCGGACCCTGCTTGTACTGCGATGAAGACTGCCTGCCGCCGGAGCCAGCCTGTCGCGGCGGCGATGACGGATGCGCGGGCTATCCTTTCAAAAGAAAACTGGAATTTTGTTTTGTTTGTGTGAATTTTATGGTTGTTATTTTTAATTTTACTTTTTTGTAGTCACAGGTTTTGAGGAAAGCACAAGCTAAATTTCATCCATGAGTTTGATCTTTATGAGCTATTGTTTATACAATATTTTTCATTATCATTTGCTTAAAATTATTTGTACATTTCTTGTGGCTCTTCATTGTAGGAATTGATCAGAGATCTGACCTATGTTTTGCTTTGTTGCTATTTCCGTTTGATATTGCTTGTGCATGTACTTATCATTTTAGTCATTTGTGCTAACTGGAATCTTATATATTGATTACATGGCAGGATCCTATTTCATCACCATGTCCTCTGTAAGTTTACTAAAGATTGTTCCTGGATGTCTTTCTTGATCACTTATTACCAAAATTGAGCAGGATTTAAACCTTGGCCGTGTATTGTTTACAAAATTTGATGCCCTTCTTTATTCTCAGGCTTTCAAGTTCAGATCTGTAGGGGGGAGCTACTTCTAGTTTGAATTTAATGTGATATTTGGAGCCGTTCGGAGGTAATATATTTTAATTTAACAATATATGATCTAAATAGTAAAAAATATAAAAAAATATATCCGGCGCCATCTTTATAAATGTTTTATGTACATTTCATGTGGTTCTTCATTGTAGGAATTGATCAGAGATCTGACCTATGTTTTGCTTTGATATTGCTTGTGCCAAGTACATTTTCTTGGGCCCAAAGTCTTCATGTGGATGGGTGCAACTGGAATCTGATATATTGATTACATGGTAGGATCCTATTTCATCACCATGTCCTCTGTAAATTTACCAAAGATTGTTCCTGGATGTCTTTCTTGATTACTTACTACCAAGATTGAGCAGGATTTAAACCTTGGCCGTGTATTGTTTTACAAAATTTGATGCCCTTGTTTATTCTCTGACATTCAAGTTCAGATCTGCCGAAGAGAGTTAAGCTGCAGGCTGTAGGGTGAAGCTATACTTCTAGTTTGAATTTCATGTGATCATTCGTGAGATGAATCCAAATGTAATGTTCTAAAAAAAAAATTACTGATGAATATAGTTCCAAAAGTTGGTGTTCAAAGTTGATGAATATATTTTTAACTGATTCCATTTATGTGTAAGTTTATGCAAAAAGGAACCAGCAGCATCCAAAAACTTGTTCTTAAGTACATCCCAGAAACTTGTTTTAGTTTACATATGGCTACAAATCAAGCCCAGGGCCCTGTAGATTCATATGACTAACTCAACTCATCTTCAAGATATCTGTACTCAAAAGTGAACTCAGTCTTGATTCTCTGGCACCTGAAAAGAGAGACAGACAAAAATAAGATAATTTCTGGCAAGGAACAAAATATTGAATGAAGGGTAGTGACTTAAAATAACAAATAAGTAAATAATCTTAAGCAAAAGAAATATGAAAGATCATACCATCCATGCTGTTCTTCATTGGCAAAATGGAAATCAAAGTACACATAAGTCCCTTGCTCGAATTCCTCTGTGGCGATCTTCGGCTCCTCGTGACGCTGGAACCATGTGTTGAATTTTTTGTGGAATCTCCACGACTGTTTTTTCAGTTCCTTAGCCGCCAAATATTGCTGGTAAGTATTCTGCAAATAGGACCTTCCCATTAGCACAAATCAAGAATTTCTAAATCACATTGGGGTACAAAGAAAAGAGTTGCAAGTAACCTGTTGATAGTAGAATGAAAAGAACAGAATATCCGTGCCGTAAGTATCTGATCCGAGCCGCTCCCATAAAGCTGGATTATTGACAATCGGCGCCTGTACTTGAGGATAGCATGTAGGTGTCACCACCGGGTGCCTCTGCATTTGAAAAAATAAAGTTTGAGCAGCAAATACAGAGACGTTGATACGATATCAAAAGCAAAAATATGATAACTGCATACAGGAGTATAAGACTTCGAGCGCTCAGAATCTTTAGGCTGAGGAAGCTTGGAATAAGCAGCCTCGAGCATCTGCAGATTGTATAGCTGGCCGTGCATTCCTCCAGAATTAGCAGTCGATGCACTGATGTTATCTCCAATGGTGCCAAGGTCCAAAACACTTCTTCGACCAATAACACCAATGCTTCCGGAAGATGGAGCGGGTTGCATTGGTTGCCCTAGAGAGAGGTCGGTATCTCTAATCAATTGTGCAGGCTCGGCAGGCGGGCCAGCAACAACTGCAGCCTGCTTAACAATTACATACCAGAAAATTAAATTAAATCAGCGATATTAGTGAATTTGTAGATGATTTCAATAATTGAAACCAAAATCTAGGAATAATCTTGGATGCTGAATATTAATTGACAAGAATTTCAGCATTTTGGGGATAATCATGACAATAATAATAATAGAGGCGAAATTGAATGTTACCGGGATAAATTTCTATAATGAAAAAGAAAAATAAAGATGTAGACATACAGAAGTATCTAAGGTATATGAGGCCTTCAATTCATTCTCTTGCACAAGAGTTTTCCCGAGCCCAGTGTTTGAACCAGAATCTGATAGTGAGTCATCAACAATAGGTTGTTGCTGCTGCAGCTCCTCTACCATTGGAGGGTCAGTTTCTAATTGAGCAAAAGTTAAACTAATAAGGAAGTCACATTAAAACAATTGTTTTCTTAAATCACATAAACTCAATTTCTAAATAATAGTTAATGGTTGAAATTAATAATGAATTGCACAAACTAATCCAGGACCCATGGATAAATAATTATTTAAAGTGGCTAGAGAGACACATTGCCATTGCCTTCTCAGCCATTTTATTTTGTTGCAGAGCATATTAAGAAGCTCAAATTAATCTTAGTATCTTACCAACATCCATAGACGTTGAAGAAATAATTGTCTGCAGATTAGATGGTTGATGGACTGAACTTGTTTGCTGCTGCAGCAAAGTAGGTGTAGTAGCAGCATTAATACCTGAAGTTTGGACTCCAATCCCCAAACCGAGATGTGGTGATATAGATGAGCTTTGCGCATTGAACTGCGAGGGAAGTCAAACAAGATGCAACCTTTATATATTAAAGAATTCTGGACACATAACAGTCCACTGAATTCTCTCATATAGAGACAACAAAAAAAATGGATGATTCTACAGACCAAACTCTACTCAACTTGATTGATAGTCTTTTCCACTCACATTGAAATAGGAGCATATAACTTTACGATCAATTCGAAATATACACAAGTCTATGGGAAATTGCGATATCTGAACTATTAATCAACCCGGTGACTCTAGATATCTTATCTCCTCTATCGTTGTATCATTCTTAGTGCTTATGATATGTGTTTCATCCAAGTGCAATAGTATTCACCGTTGCAATGTCCATGAAAAATTTTCCAACCAGAAATTAAATATGTCACATAATCAAGGCAGCACATCTCATCATTGTGGCTGCATGTGAAAGTCAGCCAGGTTGAATTGAATATGAATTGGGAGCTGGGAGAGGATGAGTTCATTATATAGCCATGAATTTCGAAATAATTTCAAATTTATGTAGAAACAAAAAATAGTATTGTGGATTTTCATAATTGATAGAATATCATAGTTTACAAAGAACTTTGTCCATGCCTAAGTAAGTGTGCCACTACTACTTATTCAGCACGCACTAGCAGATGCTATCTTAGAAGGAAATGTTAAAACAGTGTCTAACTTAGTAGGCGAAAAAAGAGCAACACAGAAGATAAAGTATTGATAATAAAATGAAAAGAATATATATATAGTAATAAAAACCAGAGGAAACAGCACCTGGTGTGCGAGCAAGCTCTGCTGTTGTGCAGAATACTGCTTCCCTCCAGCAAGGGGTATACCATGAAGATTAGTCTGACCTTGCTGCTGCACCTGCTGAAATCGTTGTAGAAACCTCTCCCTTTGATCAGGGGCAATTTCAGTTCTTCCACGAAACTGCTCACAATGATGCAGAAGTATAGTTACAAGAGATGAATAATGTATTTGGAATCAAAGAACAAGTATAGGGCATGAATTACAGGCATAAGGACATTTGGAAAAAAAATGTTAGTCATCAACATATTTAAAGATCATAGAAAATGCTGTGTACGAGCATCTGTAGAGTCCAACTTGCTGGTATCTAATAATCTCATCACTGAAACATGATTGATGATCAGAAGTCGGAACCACTTCATATTTGCAAAATTTACCCATAACTCAGAAAGGAAAACAAGGCCAATAAACGTATGTTATGTTATGTATTAACTAAATTCATTTTACCATCCCATGAAGATATGTCAGGCGGATCCTTCAGACATGTGGCAATTAATAAACAGGAGTTCAGGTCATAGTGAATACCAAACAGCTGAAAACGATATAAACTACAGATGCCAAAAATACAGAAACAGAAGGATGAAACATACAGGTTCATTTTGGTTCTGAAAGGAACCTCCAGGCCTCCATTGCATACCGGGACCAGCAGGTGAATTGAAAACCCTGCTTCCTGTAGTTGTAGAATCACCAACATTTCTAGTATCAACTGATCCAAGTCCTTCAGCAGCCTTGGCAGCTTGTGGCAAGACTACTCTATTACTTAGAGATGATACAAGGGACTGTGGCATACCACTGCTCCCTGATAGATCATTAGAATGCAACATATTCTTTTTCTCCATTTCCGAAGAAAAGGGAATGGTTCCAACAGTTACATTGCTCGAAACTGTGCTTCCAGTACTGGGAAGGATGGTGGATGTCGCTTGACTTGGCAAGCCACCTTTAGACAGAGCCCTAAATCCAGCTTCTGCAAGAACTGGTGAAGATTTACGACTGGAGAAGTTTATAGCATCCTCCTCTTTTGTAGTATTTGGAACAGGTATCGGAGATGAAGCACCAGCACCTGAAGTTTCAAAAGTACATATAGGAAATTAAACTTTGACACCAAAATAGGATTTTTTTTTGTTAAAGAAAAAAGGCTATAGTGGAGCAGCTTGTGCTACCAGGATTTGCATGGCCTGCTGCTGGTGTTTGTGACACAGAAATACTGAGGGCAGCACTTTTAGGCGGTGGAGTTCTTGTAACAACATCATCAAGGAAATCTGATCCATCAACTTGGTCATGAGTAGAAGCAACCTGTTGTGCAGGAGCAGAGGCGGTTGCCTGGATAGGGAAATAGTCAAGTTATATATTGGCATAGGGATATTAGTTAGATGTTATGTATCGATAAGCATAAAAAAATAAAGTAAAATAATCACAGAAATCAAACACAATTTCAAAATCCTAAAACCCACATAAGCAGTGCAACATAAAAGGAGTTTTTTGCAGAAACTTCAGGTTCAGATCATGCAAAAGAATAAAGGTCATTATTAAGGGTAAACATTAACTCTTGACATTTAAAAATATCTTAATTATTAATATTGGTCCTCCACCTCTCCATTAAGCAATTAATGTATAGAGTACGTGGACTTGCATCTTTCATTGAATGAATACGTCCACATCACTACAGAATCAATCTTACTTCTACCCAGCCACCCAGCCAATAGTTTAGGAAAAAATTTTCCATGTGTTCTATGTAATGAAAATAAGCTAAAAACAGATTGAAAAAACTATTTAGAACTTTATTTAAATTGAAACTTATCTCAGCATCTCCATAATAACTAAGAATATATCTAATGATTAACAACAACAACCCGTTTTGAGGGACACTGCTCAAAATATGCAGTTATTTATTCCCAGAGACATCCAAATCATTATAATGTCATTAAAACATTAATCTAGGAAGAATATCATGCTGATCTTTAATTAAATTTGTCTATTGCTATCATAACAATAACTGGAGAACAATTATATTCTGAATGAAAATTGCCAGCAGGGCATCTGAGATTCTACTGCTGGATAGCAGGCACTAAACAAGAAAAAAATAGGACCAATATGGCAAAAAGTTCCTCTACAAAGGCAGCTACCGCAAAAAATGATTGACAACTGAACAATTCAATAGCTACAATTCAAGCAAATACTCAATACCATGAGAAAACAAAAACCTTCCCAGGCAAACATAAATTAAACATGGTATTCAAGAAACTCTGATGTCAACACCACCAGATAGAAATTGCTATCTTATTAGGGATTCCACACAAGTCCTCCCTAGTGCTGACCAAAAGTTTCTTCAACCAAACATAATTGTGAAGTGCAAAAATGCAATTTAGAATGAACTTACTGGAGCCAGGGTGGGTGCAGCTGCTGTAGATTTTGCGCTTAAAACTGCACTGGATGAACTGACACCCTGCCAATAACAGAGAACTTGATAGTTAATTTTTTCCAGGGTCATAACCATGAAAACTGAGGTGAGAAATAGCACACAGCTTCTATCTATCTTGTTCGATGTTGAATCAGAAAGGCAAGTTACAGCCATGTAGATATGAAAGCTTAATTGGACCAGTGCTAACCAGAAACATGGGAAATAGGACAGAACCAAGCATATTGAGAGAATAATGAAATAGAAATGAAGACAACTTCTGAAAGAAAAGAGATAAAAGAAAAGTCATGCACCTTAACAAGACCAGGAGGACCAATAGTCACTAGATCTTCAAGAGACTCCACCTTGTCTAGTGGTAAAGAACTGTAAAGCTCATCAACGTCGCTAAACTCATCGAAGTCTTCCTGCAAGTATGCACAACCAAAATGGATATATTCATCAAGAGGTAAATAGACTTGTGCGTAAGGGTTTCAATCTGGTTTTACAAACAGATTTAATATGCTTAATATTATGGCAAAAAAATAGCCAGCTAATATTTTCAATTCAGTTCAGTAATTTATTACGTCTGTCAAAATATGTTGGTATTTTGGTAAAGAAATAAAGAAAGATTCTTTTTATATTTAATGTTTATACCTTATTGGTAATTATATAAATTAATTTAATAATTATTTTAAAAGTCCATTCTTACGGTTCATAAATTAGATTAAAACCAAAAAAAAAATCACACAGAATGTAACTTCAAACCAAGTAATAAATGAGGAAATTGTTGTATTAGTTACAACTTACAAGATAAAAATATAGTTTGGTATTAGGATAATTCCATGGGAGAAGCCCTCGTTACACCCCACCGCCTTACGGGTTAGACACCCCAACAAGAAAGTTCCAAGTTAAATTTCAAATTGAAAACCACACAAAACTAAAACCCACAAAAATTCCTAACTTCTAAAAGGTTTGTAACACAATAACATATGCTTCATTTGTGCCAGTAACTTACAAAACTAAGGGCACTCCACGCTTCTTGTTTATTACAACAAATCAATGAACAACAAAATATATATTGCCATTTGCCATTTTATTTACGGAAGTAAAGGGTCCAAACAATTGAGGGGACCAAATCAAGTCAATAAATTAGGCTGCCTACTAACACACTGCGTAATAAAATCAGCTTAAAATGAAAGATAACATAGACGTGTATAACTTCATTTCATCAAAACTGACCTGATTTCTTTCCACATAGTCATCCAAGAAATCCTTTACATCATTAACTTGCTCTGGACTCAACTCATCATTGTCCAACAGCCTTAGAATAAACTCTAACTTCATGATATGAGCCTTATGCCGAGCAATAGATGCCTCCAGATGTGTCTACAAAAGAAAGATAACCATAATGAGCATAAAAGCATGCTGCACATCATTATATAGCATTCTTGTCCTTTCAGCATACCAGTCTAGGAGGCCTTGTCTTTCCCTTCTTAACAGAAAGCCCCTCTAGTTCAGCTTCAAAGCTATCAATTTGGTTTTCCAGCTCGCTGACCTACTCCATATATAATGCATCTCATAAAACCAGTGTTATAGCTCAGTCATTGCAACAAGAAAAGAGTGGCCATGTAGCAATATGTTGCATGGTTAGAATGAATAGCAAATGTCCAAGAATAAGGTATGTTCTAATTATATGTAATACAATATAACATCAATTTAGTGAATGAAACTCAATGTTCTAATTCCACATGGCCAATAGGCCAATTTGGTTGGATTGATTTAAATTTGAAAATGGGTTTAAAAGGAACGGAAGTGAAATACATCGAATATGAAATGCAGAGGAACCCAATACATTCTTTGGATTTTCAAAAGTATCTGAAACTAAAAGTATTTGGGGGATGTGGAATTATAAAGATAGTGTATTTCAAACTCCCAACTAACTTTATAACTTTGAAATAATTCGCATCCTCAAATAAAAGTAATGGATTTGCAGGAGTAATTTCAATTTCATATAAATAAAAACAAACAGAACCTTATATCCTAGACACCAGCTCCAAGAAACTAAAGAGATAGAGTAATGTCAATTTCATCAATAACAAACATTCAGCTAAACTACTTCAAGTTTTATCACACAATATGTGGACCTTATTTCAGGAAAAGAAATAAGAGTAAGTAATATAATATAATATGAGGTTTAAAAAGAAATTATATTAATGAAATCAACAGCCGAGCTAAATTAAATAGTTAAGAACAAGGGAAAGTTATGTCAATTTAATAATGATAATTAAATACATAAATGACAGAATTTTTTAGATTTGAATATTAAACATAATGATGATGAGTGGTCTTATGAATATGGGAAAAGATCCTTGAATATTAAAACAGTTAATAAAGTAATTAAATAAGAAAAAAGAAAACACATGCCAAAATGACAGAGGCCTACCACATTATTCAACCAATCTCTTGTCTCTGATTTAGCCTTTTCCTTTGGATCCTACACCACATGATGAAACATGCATACAAACAAGCTTGAAGATGTAAGAACATGCTCGAAGCATCCAAAAAAAGGGGTGGGGGGGCATTTTGCTGTACATTCTAGAAGGTTATCTAAAGGATCAAATAAAAACCACCTCACATGGAAATACTAATTTAATTTTTATTATATTTGAAGCAATTAAAGAGCATTGTTATGGAACAGAATCCAAACAATAAACATGGATGTTTGAACAGTCAAAATCAGGAGCAACACAACAATGCAGTACCCACCGTTTTAGGTTGTTGTCCAAGGCCTTCCTTCGAGAATGCCTTTGTCTTGGTTTCTTTTTCACATATTTTAAACCGTTCCATTTCACGTTCAATTTGCTTTCTAGCATCCATCAAAGCCTGCTCATAAGAGGCACTAACCTATGTCAAAGGAAATAGATATTAAACAAGATGAAGATATCATTCTCTTACTTACAACAGGATGCTTAGGCAAATAGCATGTAGCTATTTGCACACAGAACAAAAAAGGGACAAAGCGGGCCAGAACATAGTGCAACAAGAGCAGGACTATAAGAGAGCCAGTGTGTGTGTCCACTCCACATATACTTCATTTTATGACAGACTAATACCAATTATAAAACACCACTTATCAAGCATTATGGATCATTATCATTCAAATATGAGGGGCTCAAATGGAAAGCCTTCGCTGCTCAGAAACTTCTTTCCTACCATATCTCTCAACCACAACCATCAGACAACAAGCGAGTACCATAATCAGCATTTATAGAATTGTTAAGCACAATGCTCAGGGCGGAAGAAGCTCTCTTTCTGGCTATAGTTCTTTCATTCTATAGAGCTCACTATATTTGTATTTATAGCTTCTTCGTGGTTCTAAGAGGCCCTATCTACCTGATTGTATTATAGTTTCACCACGAGATGAATATATACCTTTCTCTCACAAAATATATATGGATATATAAACATTTATAGAATTGGCTTCTTTTACTAAACAAGGTGTTTCTCTTACATTAGAGTTTACATCAAACCTCCTTTGTAAGTCCGCTGTTGCCTGTTGGCATCATAATAAATTATGCCTAAATCTTTTTTAAATGGAAAAAATAAAAATAAAAATAAAATAAAAAACCCTATGCATCTAATAAATAAAATGTTCAATTTTAATTTTTGTGTCAAGTTTATTGGATGCAAATTTTAGTTTCAAACTTAATACACAGGAACTCAAAAACAAGTAAACAGGGAAATATGTATATACATATACACCACAACGACTTAGCAATATACTCCTGAACCCTAAATACTTCTCATTAATAATGGTCCAATTATCCGTAATCCATCAAAAGCATCACATTTGCCATGAGAATAAATATTATTAGACACTACTTGATTAACAATCTTTTCTGAAAAGTTCATTAAATCCCAAGAGGTGAAAATCACAGACGCAGCATCCATGTAGGCACACAAGCTCATGTTAACCAAGTTATATAGGTGCTGCTTCTTATTACGATTCAAACTATTACAGGCATCCACTTGTTACTGTGAAATATGCCATTATGTCCCAGCCCCAGCACTCAGCAAACATTGCTGGCTTCCAGCAGCAAGAGAACTGGTTGCTGCAGCACCTCCGCGGTGGCCTTTGATAGCGCCAACTCGTGCGCAGCACCAATCCTCTTCTCTGTTGTCCTTTTCAGCAACAACGTCAAAAGCAGTCCCACTGTCACTGTCCTCCCAGTGATGAATGTGGGCACCACCCTCAGCCTCAGCAACATAGTTATCAGTAATGGAAATCGTCTTCTGTAAAAATATAACATTGTTCTGTTCTCCTTATTTGTCATTAGACTCTCTTTTCTGGAGGCTCACGCTTCTCCCATTATGGCCAGACCATTCCAAATGACATACTAGAAATCTCTCTCCCTCTCTCTCTAGATATATATATACATGTGTGTATATTATGTTTCCATGATTATATAAAGACTATTAACCTGCTTGTGGAAAGCGAAAAGTGGGAACGATTTGGAAAGACTCTGGATACCGGTTTCAAATGGATGTTGTCAGCAGCATAACTTAATAACAAAGAGGCACGTGGCAGCGGGGAAAGCAGAAAATAGCAAATATTTGGATAGGCTATGAATAAAGGTCTCAAATGGATGCTGTCAGGAGCATAACTTAATAACAAAGTGACACGTGGCAATGGCAGTGAAGAAAAATAACCTGGCAAAACCCATGAATTGCGTATACCAATAAATTAGAATAAATTGGAGAATACTAAAGCAATAAAATCTGTGAAGAAGATTGAGCGATGTGGGTGATGAAATTGAAATTGATCTGGTAGAACTATTGGTCATGATAGATATATGATGTTCTTCTAATGTGTAACTGAAGAAAAGAGAATAATATACTCTTTGGCGGAGAAAACAAGAAAAGTCTTTTGCATGGACACGAGTGCTTACGTGGATGCCAGATAAGATATCTAGATGGCAGCATCATAAATGCACTTTCCAATCCTGGGCAAACCTGATAGATTGATCTTCCCACATTATATCCTATATATTTTATAATGCTTATGATGGCGATTGATTCAAACTCTTAAGATAGCTTATCTTCTATGTCTTCAACAAGTTTATTAATGCATGTACATAAAAAAACAAAACAAAAGCGAATATGCGGAAAAAACAAGAAAAGCCTTTTGCACAGACATGAGTGCTTACGTGGATGCCGCATGACTTAGACGACGGCATCATCAATGCAATTTCCAATTCTGGGCAATCGGATAGATAGATTTCCCCAGATTATATCCTAAATTTTCCTAATTCTTATGATGTTGATCAATTCAAAACTCTTTAAGATAGCTAATCTTCCATGTCCTCAACAAGTTTAGTAATGCATCTAGCTTCTACCCAAGAGAAAAACCTATGATTAACTGCTTCAATGTCCAGTAATAATTTAGCCATTTTGCAGAGCAGCAGGGCAAAGATAATAGCATAAACTAACACGTAAGGGGCAGACAACATGATAAAAAAGCTTAGATTGAATACCGTAACGCAGAATGCTTAATATGGATAATTGATTTTCGAAAATGAAGTTTGCTTAAGCAGGAGATAAACCTTCTTATCCTTAATCTCGCTGGATTGTATCCATGTCTTGATCTGGTCTCTGTATCTTTGCAGTTTCTTAATCTCCTTCTTCAAGTCCGCCTCGAATTTCTCCTTCTGATTCGCATTGTCTGTGTCGTAAACCTGGAGGAAAAAACGTTGAAATTGAAAAATATAGTTGCCCGAAGACGATCAGAGAAGAAGAAGCGAAATAGAAAATGAGTGAGACGAAAGGAAGACCTTGTTCCAAATGCTGTCGAATACATCGACGCCCTCTTGAACCCTCTTGAGGACGCGGTCGATCTCGCCCTGTAGCTTTCGACTTGCCCCCATTGACGATTCCTTCAAATGTAGGAGAACTCAATGAAAGGGTGATCCAAACCCTCCCTGGTGCTGGTGGCGGTGCTGTGCTGTCGAGAACGGGGAGGTGACGACTGGTGATGAAGAAATGAAGAGGCGCTTGCTTGCTTGTGAGCTCCAAAGGCGCTTTTTATATGTATGAATGTATGTATTTTGGGCCGGGCTGGGAAGGGCCGGGCCTAGGCAATTTGGGCCATGCAAAGCTTTGATGGTAATTGCAAGCCCTTTTACTACATAACTGTTCCTTTTGAATTTGTTCATTATTTTTTATTATTTATTTATTTAGTTAGGATATTATTTGTCTTAGAAATATTTTTGCGAGTTCACTTCACACCATCAACTCACCCTAATTTTTTTTTTTTTTTTTTTACGTGGAACCCGCAACCGCTGATGAAAGTGCGTATTGAGTAAATTTCGGTCGAATCTAATATACTGCAAACTAGGCTTAAATCATCCTAATTTGTTTTTTTTAATGACGTGAAAACCTGCCGCCGCTACCCGAAAATGCTCACCGGGTAAACCCCGGCTGAACCTAAAGTCATCTTAAATTTTTTTTTTGGATAACGTGGGAACCCGCAGCCGCTACCGAAAATGCGCACTGGGTAAACCCCGACCGAACCTACAAAGTCATCCTAAATTTGAATCATGGTTATGTTGTTTGTGTATTATATTATTATTATTTAATGTAAATAAAATATTTAACAAATATTTATTTAAATGTATTTTGGTAGTGAATTTTTACAAAAGATTCTATTATTCATTATAATTTGTTCAAAAAATATATATATCAAATAAAATATATATATATGTTTCTATAGGAAAAATATCATCAACTACATTGTACATTCACTGTTCAACAAATTTGAAGCTAAAAAAATCATACACAGACAAAAAAATAAAAATAAAAATTTGACGGAATAAACGGTTGTAAAATAAATCACAAGCCACAACATATTGGCTTTTTATTTTTATTTTGAGATTGTCAATTGTTTTCACTCTCCTGTGGACGAACAAATCGCCTCCACCAAATAATTGAAATTTGGCAACTATAGATGGAGATCGAGAAATTTACCCATAATACCGAAATACTAACTTATGGTACCGTATCATGTCGAAAATATCGAAAATTTTGATATACGGAAAATTTCGGTACGGTATCGGTATGAATTTTTGGAAAGTTCGGTATTTCGATATGATATCGTACCGATATTATTTTTATTAAATAATTTAATTATTAATATAAATAATAATTATTAATATTTTTAAAAGATCATAACAAAAAAATATCTAAACTATTGAAAATTTATTGATTTTTTCATAATATTTTTGTAGTGGAGAATAGTGATATTTATTAATTTTTTTAATTATGTTAAATTTAATCGGTATATACCAATATCTACCGAAATCAAAATTTTCGTTATAAGCGATATATACCGATATCGTACCGAAATTGAAAATTTTAGTATAAACGGTATATATCGGTACCGTACCGGAAATTTCGGTATATTGAAACTTTCGGTACGGTACCGTTATGTATTTTAGTTATACCGAAAAGTTCGGTACGATATCGGTATCGACCGGTATTTCGGTACGGTACGGTATGTCATCCCTAACTATAGAGATCTTCTCGTCACGCTATTCGAATTCCAACATCAATCGTTTGTTATTTTCACACAATTTTAATTATACGACTTATCAATTTTTTCTTATGTCATTCAAATTTATTTTTATTTATTTTTTTTTTTTTTGCCATTCCATTTTTAGTTAAAAAAATACTACGACTGTGTTTACTTGTAGATTTAGTTTTGGATTTTGATTTTGAATAATAAAATTTTAAATTGAAATGGTTATTTAATATGATATAAATATGTATGTCATGTTTTGAATGAAAAAATAAAATTTAGTAAAATATAATAAATAAAGAATAAATATTTAATTTGATATTTTGTGAGAAAAAAATTGAACATAGTAAAATCAGTTAAAAAAATTTACGAATAAACACACCCTCTATATATATATATATATTTTTACCATAAAAAAAAAATAAATAAATTATATTTTTGTTTATTTTTCTTTAAACTCGTTCCAAATCAAATATACATCATATTAAATATGGAGGGAAGTATTTAATTCCAGTAACATTTGAATACTATCATTTATCATTTTTATAAGTAGTGTTAGTAGGCCCGTTTCAAACACGAAAGTATTTCAACTACTATTTTCTATTACAATTAAATAAGATTGACGACTAGTATTTTAAAATTGAATAAAAGAATGAGTTTATTTATGTTTGGCAAGGACCTTTTTAATAGCTTTTAACTTAATTGAACGACTAATCTAAGTGTTTGGTAAATTAATTTTTTAAAAAATAAAAAAAAAACTAATTTTTAAAAATTTAACTTACCCAGTGTTGGAAATAATTTTTTTAGTTTAATTTTTGTTATTTTTTTATTTGCCCATAAAAATTTATTATACATTTTACACAAATAAATATATTTTGATTAGGTGTGTTTATTTGGGGGTTTGGATTTTGAGTTAGAATTTGAATAGTAAAAATTTTGAAATTGAATAGTTGTATGATGTGATATAAATAGGTGTTGATGTGATGTTTTGAATGTAAAATTGATTTTTAGTATAATATAAAAAATGAAAATAAATGTTTGATTTGATATTTTTGGGAGGAAAAAATTGGATAAATAGTGTAAATCTAATCTAATCCCCGTACAAACACACCCTTGTATTAGAATATTTTATTATATTATAGTTTTATTTTTATAAAATTAAAATAATTAATTTTTATATATAAAATATTTTAATTGTAAAATATATATAAATTTATTAAAATCAATACAAAATAGAAAATATAAATATTAATAATTTGTTTTTATATTAAATTACATTATATAAATTTTATGCTAAAAATATATTAAATAAATTAAATCTATTGAAAATTATAAATATAATTAACTAATCGATAATTAACATAATAAATATATACACTAAAAAATTATTATTTTATATTTTACATCATTTTCAATAGAAAAAATTATTTATATTTTTCAATTAAAAAATATTATTTTTTAAATTTAACTATAATAAAAAAAATAAATACTATTTTATAATACTTTTGCAATTTTTAATAACTAATAACAAAAAATTTCAAATGTTCTATACTCAAAAGAACACAATTGAATAAAATATATTAGAAAAAAATAAAATAAAAATGTCCTCAATCGTTATTTTATGTATAAACAGCTTGCTTTAGCAATCATTTTAATATAAACAGAGCTAATTGAATCATATAACATATAATCGTCCTTAGTATTTTTTATGTTATGCATGGAGAATTGTGCTGTAATATATATATAAAAATATTTTGTATTAAAAAATTAATTTTATAAGTGAATAAAATCTATTAACTAGCTTGAAAGTATTTAAAATATTTCGTTAAATATATTTTTATATTTTGTATTAAACAACAATTTTAATTCAAGTTTTTACTCAAAATTAATTCCCATACCTATATTTTAATGCTCTCTTTGTTCCTACATTTAGGAGGAGTTTTATAGTAAATAAACAAATAATATAATTTTATTGATCAATGTAAATGTATAAAAAAATTTGAAATTTGTTATATATTACTTGATGCATTAATACTTTTGAACGTGGCAAACTAAATTATAGTAAAAATAGTATTTTGAGTTGAGGTAAATGAATTTTATTTAATATATAGTATTCCCTCCGTCCCAAAAGAGTTATCTTATTTTTTTCATTGTTGTCCGTCTCAAAACAATTGTCTTGTTTTCTTATTTAGTAACTATGGTTTAAACTTTATAACAAAATTATTCATATTTTTCTAAACTATCCCTAATTATTACTCTAATTTACTTTTTAAAATTCTTCAAATTTTTTATATTCTACTTTATACTTACTTTCAATTAAATACTATTATTCCTTAATTCTCGTGCCTACTTCCACCGAGACATCTTTTCACTGAGGGAGTATATAATATGATATTTTCAAAGTAAATTATATAAAACCTGTAATGTATTTTAATAAAAATACACACAAAATATTTGTTTATCTTTATTTTTTTATTATTGGTATAAAACTCGCATGAGTTTGAACCAAAAAAAGTGATTTGTCCTATGTACGCTTAAATAGGTGATGCCATTGCCATTGCCATTGCCATTGCCATTGCCATTGCCATGTTCGAGACGTCGAGCTCTCAAGTCTCAATGCTGATTTTGGGCGTCGAAGACTCAGCCGCCGCTAACCTTCTGTACGTATGCACAAATATATATATATATATATAAAGAGAGAGAGAGAGAGAGAGAGAGAGAGAGAGAGAGAGAGAGAGAGACAACATATTATTCACCAAATACAACACAAAACAGAAAATTACAGTTGGGTATATACAGTGGCAGGCAGGAAGGAAGGAAGGAAGGAAGGAAGCATTGCATTTCAATGGCAGCTACTATACCATCTACCTATAATCAAATCCTTTTTCATCTTGAAGTTGATCTCTATCATCATATTCTTTCTTAGGTCAGATCCAGCTGCAGCCTGATTGACATATACAGAAGTGTGAGAAGAGCACCTTGTGGCAATGGAGCATACCTTGCAAGATTCGAACCAATCCAGACTGCAACAACCACCAAAGCAACAACACTGCTGCTCCTTTTCCCGCAAGCCCAGCTTGCAAACGATAGCAGCACTGTAAGCATGATGCCTGCCCTTCCACCCAATATCCATGCGCACAAATAACCCAGCTTATATCCTGCGTCCAATTTGCCGTCGACGAACGCCATGAGGCTGCTGAATGCTAGCGACAGTTGAATTCCCACCGTATGCATCAGGAACACGGAAATGAATGTTGATCTAACCACCTCGATGAAGGTGCTGCCTCTTTCGCCATTGGCTGATTCATCGTCGTCATCGTCAAATGATGAAAATTCGGTGTGATGATCTGCCTGTGTGCTGCGCCTCCTCTGGTAAGCCCATTGGTAGAACCTTAGTCGATTATTGTTGTATTCAGGATCAATGGATGGTTCATTTTTGAAAGGTGTGGAGCTTTTTTGACAGCAGAGGGCTTTGTCGTAATCGGTTCTCGACGTTTCATCAATCAATATCTGCAGTTGGTGAAAATTGTTTCAAAGAAGGCGAATGAAGTTTAATCTGCGAAAATTTAGGGTTGGGGAAACGAAAGGTTTGCTGAAAACTTGATCTAATGGAAATGAAACTGAGGAACAGAAGGAAGGACAAGGCACTCACATCGTAGGCCACTCGGATGCTTTTGAAATTCTCACTAGCTCCTGTTTCCTTGTTGACATCAGGATGATACTGCAGTGAAATATCAGGTGCAGGAAGGAGATCAATCCGAGTGGAACTAGAAGAAGGAAAAAATATTTTCACGAGAAACCTCGATTTTTTGTCAAAATGAAGACGAAACTGACAGCAAAATCGCCCGAGGAAATGATGAAATATTAATCAATTTGCAGGCTTGGCATTCGAGGACAAATTTGAAAAACCTAATTACCAGAGGCGGATGACAATCGAAGCAATGATTTTGATGAAGAAGAAGATACCTTGAGAGCAAGGAGACGGTAGGCTCGCTTAATGTCTGCAGAGGTAGCGTCTTGTGAGATCCCGAGGATGTCGTAGTGATTCCGATGGGCTGCGGACGTTGTGAAAAGACGACGGCGATCCCTAGAGGCGAGCCAGGGCCATCTGGAACAGGCAAAGCCATCGAAAGAGGACACTGGACTCAGCACAAGGAAGCAGTACGCCTGCATATCAAGCCGTGGTGCTGTAATGGCTGCTTCACTGAGCAGGGATGGAGGTATATTGCAGAGGCGGGCCTATTGTTCAATACCCACGCTTTGGGTGGGCATAGCCATAGCCAAATCTCAAGTGGACCGATATCTTGGGTGGGCTGCAAATAACAACAAATTGGACCAAAACAGAACGACATGGATGCTATCTAGGGCTAAGTCAATTTCTTCTTCTTCTCTCTGTGTACGGGAGGAGGAGGATGAAGATGATGAAGTGTGGTGCTGTAGTACAGCAGCTCCTTCCCAATCCTCCTTCCCTCCCAATTCTCGCTCTCCCTTTCAATTCTTCTTCTTCTTCCTCCCGCAGCTTTCTACATCTTCATCGTAATTATAATTACATCCATAACAGCAGCCTCAAATCCCTGTTTTCTCAAAAGCGATTGGCTTCTCTATCATCCTCCAATCAGGTACGCGCATCTTCTCGATTGTTGGTTTATATCGATCTCCATAGCTATATGTGCAGCTGCTGTTGCGGTATTAATTCTTGCTTTGGCGGATTTCTGAACAGAGCACTTCCAATGAGCAAGGGGAAGTTAATGCCTTTCAACTCATCCAAGCTCACCAGGTTCTCATTTATGCGATGCACCATTCCTGCATATAGTTGTCGTTATATTATGCACGCGGGCTACTCATGTTGAATTGGATTTTGGTGTTTGTTTTTCAGGAAAAAGCTGCTAGGCTCTCACCTGTAGAGGAAGTCAAGACACTTCTCTATTACAGTTTGCGGGGATTCTTGTCTACCTTTTCGCAGGTCGACTCCTCTTCTATATTGAAACTAGCTACCTTGGTCTACTTCATGCTATTTTACCTCCAAATGTTGGTTGCTCATTGAGTTGTAAATGGCATTTTGTTAGCTGTACATTTTCTTAATTGGGTTGACACCATTAGCCGAATCCCAATGGCCCTCGTGTAATGCTGACTATAATCTGATACGATTTGTTGGCATTCGAATTTACTAGTTACAACAAAAATTTTATTCTTCTAGAACACATTTGAGGGTGTGACTATGGATGATATTGGGCTCACCAATGCAATGTCTCTTTAGCTCCTATAATTCTGGCATTCTGCTTGAATGCACATCCACATGATCCAAAATTCTGGTTTAGTTTTCAGGTATTCTGCTAAATTTCTAAATGTTGTGCATTTTCCTAATCCATTACAGAGATTTGAGGGGTATCCATCAGGATCCATGGTTGACTTTGCTTGCGACGCTTTTGGATCTCCCTTACTAGCAGTTAGCAGCTTGGCAGTTCATACGAAGGTTTGTACACCAGTTGAAATATTCATTTGTTTCTCCTAATAAAAGGTTGAGCTCTGGACAGGTAGTGTCTAGTTTCATCCATGAGAAGGATAAACTAATTGCAAAGAATCTCTGTAGTTCTCTCTCTCTCCCTTTAAGGATTTAAGTTGATATTTGTATAATTGCTATAGGATCTTTTGGCTAACCAAAAATGCTCATTGCTTGTGGCAAGAGATCCTGAGGATCGAACTGACCTTGTTGTTATTGTTCATGGGGATGCTGTCCCAGTAAGCTTTGCTACTGCTATATCTTTCAGTTTTTTATGCTCTTGCTGGTTTGCCATCTAATGTTAGTTTCTTCTTCCCTATACTTACTTCTGACCGGGAAGTTTTTGTGATCACTCTAGGTTGAAAAAACAGAAAGGGATGTTATCCGTGCAGCATATTTGGCTAGACACCCTGATGCATTTTGGGTAAATGGAGTCTTTCTTTTATAAGTATGTCAATATCTTGCACAAAGCTGGCCCTAATTTTTCTTATCTGAACTACTGGGACTATCTTTCGTGAAGGTTGACTTTGGTGATTTCCAATTTCTGCGAATTGAACCAACTGTTGTAAGATATGTGTCTGGCGTTGCAACAGCTTTATTAGGATCTGGAGGTTGGCCTAATCTTGGATTCCTTATGTATTTCGCTAATGCTCTTTTCCTTTAAGCCAAGACCTTACAATACCTCAGTTATACATGAATTATTTACGAGCACATGGCCTTTGACTCATGCCTTTAAAGAAGATTTGGTGGTAATTTTTTGTTTTATTCATTAATTGTTGCTTCGGGTTCTTTCACTATGTGAATACTTTGCAGAATTCACCAAGGACGAGTTTAAAGCAGCGAAAGTGGATCCTATATACCAATTCTCTAAGCCTGTGACAGTATGACACACCATAATGGCAATGTGCTTAATATTGTTTTTGTGGTTATCCGGCTCTGAATTCTGCATGTGAATAAACTCCCTTGCAGTTGCACATGAACAAAGATCACGCAGACGAAACAAAACTGATAGTGCAGCACGTGACATCTGTCCCGGTATTATGGCAATATTTTTCTTGATTATTTATAGAAACTTTGGGGGTTGTTTCTTTTCTTGTCTAAATTGAACCGGCATGAAATGTTGCTTACTTGGTTGATAGCATGTGGGCTTTTCTATGTATTGTTTGTGAACAATGGAGTGATTAGAGATATGTTGTTGTGATAATTTCCTTTTATTATACGGAAGTGACGGGTTCAACTACTACATTGTTCTTCTTCTTCTTTCCCGAGGCTAGATGCTGATTATAATTGGGAACTAATAACTTTTTCAGGTAGAGTTTGCATACATGGTGGACATAGACAGTCTGGGATTCAATGCGAAGGTTACAGTGACACTTCTCCTATATCTTCTAGTGTTCATCACCATATGCATGTTTTCGTTTCTTTTTTTATTTACCTATCCATTTAGATACAAGTTTTTTGTAGTTTTGGAAAGAAAATCGGAATAGGAAAAAATTGATACTCGATGTTTTTGAGAATAAAATGTAGATATGATATTTTTTTAAAATTACTTGATGAATAGTGTCAAAAGTTTTAAAAGTATTGGTATAAAAAGACAAATTCCATATGTGTGTGTCCATGCATGTTGTTATTATATTTATTTAGAAATGCTAAATTTACGGATTTTTGCTCTTATGAAGGCTGGGTACGAAGGGAACACTTTCAAGATACGGATCCCTTTCACGAGGCGCGCTGGTGATAGAAAGTGAGTAATTATGAAGTATGAGTTGAGGCATTGCATTGTTTACTCAGTTATATATTTGCACTGTTTATTAAATACTATTGTCCTTCTTAAAAGCAGCATCTAATTAAACTTAAATGAGAAATAGTCTTTCTGATGGTAGTTGATGATGATCAAATATGGTGATTGTGTAGGGATGTGAAGACGTTGATAGTGGAGATGCTACAAGCTGCCAAATCACAGCTACTTGTTTAATTGATGCTTTTAGCTTCAAGTTAAGGGGCCATGGCCATGGCCATTGATGTACATTTACATATACATATACACAGTTTGTTTCAAGTTAATGTAAAGCCAAGCTACTTAAAGAGTGTACTGAAATTTAATAACTATAAATTTAACTTTTGAATTTGCATTGCATGAAAGAAGGGAAAGGAAGATACTACTAACACTCCCATCTCCTCCCTCTTTAAGGTGTGTTTGGCATTTACTTTCTGTTGGAAGCAATTGCTAACTTAGAAAATAGTAACTTTATTATTTATTTTTCACCGAAATTTTCTTATTCAATTCATGCCTCATTTTGATCAATTAATCAAAACTCACTTGCTTCATTCATCATTTTTTTTTTTTTTTTACAAAATCAAATCACATTGAAAATTTTCAAGAAAGCACAAAAATAATTCCGTTCGATTAAACCTAAAGCTAACAATATTATACCTTAAAACATAGACAAGGATGCAATATTTTGAAGAAATGATATGTTTGGTTTGAAAGAAATAATAATAGTACCCTCTTCATCTCAACTGAAATGATCCTTCTTTATTATGTTCATCCATCCCACTAAACAATCTCTTTTAACTTTTACATAAATTATAAACATTATATTACACATACAATTAAATTATACAGAACACAAAAAACATAACAAATCAAATTTATCTCTCACATCTCTACTCACTAATAAAATTTATTTTATTAAAAAGTAGAAAGATTAAATGGAAGTAATTTAAATGTGTAGTATTTTTAAAAAGAAAAAGCAGTAGATTGACAAATTTAAAAATAAAGAAACATGGATTTGGCAATATTTCATAAAAACAGGATTTAGAATGCATGAGTGTGTATGAATTTCGCCTACCTCCAAACCTGAGAATGGGATGCATCTAAATAAACTCAACACCACCTTGTAAGCCTCTCTCATCTTATGAATCTATATACCAACAAAACAAAACCAAACCTATATTAATTTATGGTTAAAAACATGCTCTCATATTAAGGCAAAGCAACATCCAGGTTCCCATTTATCTAATTCATAAAACTCCCAACAAAATTAAACAAAAACACTGAGCATCCAGCACTATTCATGCTTTCAGCAACATCCAAAGTCATCAAGGGTAAAACGAGACAAACATAATGTCCGAAATCTTTGAAATCTCAACGGTTGGCCTTGGCAACTCTCTCAATCTCGTCTTTCTTCTTAATAGCATAACTGCAAAATATATTCGATTGTTCGCCTGTTAGTCACACAGAATGTACAATTTAAAGTAACTATTGTGAAAGATTCAGAACACAGTTTCTTACCTGTTAGAGGATCCTTTTGCAGCATTGATAAGCTCGTCAGCAAGGCACTCGGCGATTGTTTTGATATTCCTAAAAGCGCTTTCACGGGCACCGGTGGTGAGCAGATATATCGCCTGATTGACGCGGCGCAGTGGAGATATATCAACAGCTTGTCTTCTAACAACTCCGGCTGAACCAATACGGGTTGCATCCTCCCTTGGACCACTACACAAAATATTCAGTGCTCAAATGAGTAACACAATATCCTCAAAAAGCAAAAACGAAATGCACACAGCAATTTAAAATCAATGTAATTATATTCTTGCACCATGCTTTAAGCTTAAATTGACATATGCAAAAAGTATGATGTTATTATGCAGTAAAGCATTAATTGAGGAGTAAAAACCTGTTGATAACAGCATCAACAATAACTTGAATTGGGTTCTGGTCAGTCAACAAATGAATGATCTCCATGGCATGCTTCACAATGCGGACTGCCATCAGCTTCTTCCCATTGTTTCTTCCATGCATCATGAGGGAGTTGGTTAGCCTCTCGACAATCGGGCACTGAGCCTTCCTGAATCGTTTTGCCTGGTACCTCCCAGCTGTGTGAGGCATATATGTCGGATGCTTGGCAGCAGTTGCAGTAATATAGTCTTCCACAGAGATATCATTAATCTACAACAGAACAAGGTTAAGATGAATCAATAGACAAATAAAAGGGATAAACTGGAAAATCATAACTAAGAGTTTGTGTGCATACTGCATAGTAAATTTGCATCAAGAGGCTTCCAGTGGCACTCATGTAAATACATTAACATTTATGCTCTGTATCCTGTAAGGTCTTTAAGCTATGGTTTTGTTCTCTCACTATTCATCAAAATTCTGCACCACCGCCCACCACCCTCAACTATCAAATTGAACTCGGTTTTTCTTGTCCACTTGTATTAGTATCAAGGATTTTCAAAAAAATTTCCTATTCATCAAAATTTCTGTGCCCAAAAACATTGAAATCAAACAACCATATTTCATTTTTTATATTTTCTACTAAAAATTAACTTTACATTGAAAATAAATACATATTTACATGCGTCTTACAACTATTACAAATCAAAATTTGGACAATTCAAAGTACGAAAAAAATCCAAACCCCTAAACAAACACACCATTTCAATTCAATTTTGCACTCTTTTCAAACAACAATGCAAGTTATCCACTAAACACACCATCTTGCATAAAAAACATGTTAGGAAAAAAAATTAATCTAGATACCAATGCAAGTTTTTTCAATCTATAGGACCCCAATGCGTTATCCACTAAATTTAAATGTTTTTCACTCATGCTACGTGGTGGTAGTCAGCCAAACAAGGTAATCAAATGAGAGAAATAAAGAAAAGATGATGATACAGTAATCAAGCGAAGAATCTAACATGAATTGATCAATGACATCCACTGAAATTTAAATATTATGGTGTACGTGACAAAGCAGAAAGAAGTGGAAACCGAGGCAGAAAAAAGGAGACCTGGACTTCGTCATAGGACCAACGGTTGAATAGCAAAACACCGGTGTGAACCTTATCCGCCTCGTCTCCGGCTGTTAATACCGCTTCTGTGGCCATACCTGACGGAACATTGATAGTATCAATGAATGCTCACCACAAGAGAATAACAGATAGAGAAAGGATAAAAGAAAAGAAACCTGCAGACAGATCTGAACTCCGATCGATTGTTGCCCCGGGAGAGATCGATCAAAGCTGCTGGCCGGCGGCAAGGAGGTGTGACAGCAGATACTAAAACCCTAAAAGTCTCAACTATATAAAAAAGGGCATTACTGGGCTCAGAAATGGGCCCAATGGACTGACTACTAAAGGCCCATAATTATTGAGTGCAAAACTAAGGGTGAAAAAATTGAGTTTGAGTTTAATTTTTATTTCAAATATAAGATAGGTTTAAATTTTTGTATTTCTTTTGTGTATAACTTTGGTTTGGGTTTGGGGATTTTGATATATATTGATTCGATAATTAATAAATATAATAATATAAATGTGTATTAATTTGTATAATTTGATTATAAATTTAAATTACTCCCTCCGTTCGTATCTATTTTTTTATTTTAATCTGTCTCTAACAAAGTATCTATTTGTAACTTAACATTACAAGTAACCTTATAACTTACAATGTATTACACAAATGTTATTACTTTTATATCACACAATACTAAAATTATTTTAGTCATTTCTATTTTATTCATACTACATCTCAATATAATACTAAATATATATTTTTAAATTTTTATTTATTTATATTATAAAAAAATTTATTTTCTACATAATAACATATATATTATACATTTTTTATTAAACTATAATTATTATAAAATTTTCAATTTAATTAAAAAAAAAACAAAAAAAAAAAAACAAACAAACAAGCAAACGCACACGCAAGCTTCCTGTCTGCCAACAAGGGACAACCCAGTTTGGGAATTTTAAATTTCCCAAACTTATCTTGAAAAAACACGGCCTAAAATTCTTGTGTTCACAACAAAATAATTGTGCTGTGTGGTAAGAAAAGATTGTTTTGAAAGTTTTAGATTTTGAAAATAAAAAGTTTAATGGAGTAGTATTAAAAATCTTCAAAATTCACTATTTTAGTATGTTCACAAAAATATGTTTATATGTCAATAATCTTTAAATTTTTTATTTTTTTTTTAATTTTTAATTTTTTCTTTTTATCTATTTACATTATTAATAATAGACTCTAGATATTTCTTACACTCAAATTATTTTAATTTTAAAATACTAGTAATAGTTAAAAACAATATTGAACTACTATTTCTTTTAATCCTTATATGTTTGTATTTATTATATTAATGAGGAATAATTATTAATAATATAAAAAATAATATTTTTAATATGTGGTGAGAATATATAGTAAATAATATGAATAATAATTTTAATTTATTTCACTATTTTAACATATCCATAACATATATATATATTTTTTTTTTATATTACTATAATTCTCTATATAATTTGAAATTAGAAAACAACAATCCCTAAATTTACCATTTAAGGAGTGTGTTTGTTTGGAAGTTAGATTTTAAATGTACATTTAAAACATCACATCAACACCTACTTATATCACATTAAAAAAGTATTTATGAAAAAAATAAAATATTTAATAAAATATTTATTTTTTTATTTTTTTTGTAATTATGCGTTCTAAAATAAAAATATGTATATTTTTCAAAAGAACGAAAGAAAGTATCAAATCTAACACTATTTTACTTTTTTATATTTTACTAAAAGCAATTTTTTATTCAAAACATGTCTATTTACATGTAGGAACTATTTTAATTCAAATATTCTACTAAAAATCCAAAACCCAGACAAACACCAAACTCATGAATAAAATTTATAAAGCTTGCTTACAAGCTACAAATAATGGTGAAGAATTAATTGTCATATAAATAAAATATTGCGAGGACATACAGATAGACAGACACACAAACAGAGTGAGTTCTTACTTCAAAACCTCTTTATAAATTATCAAAATTAAGTTCGGCGGCTGCCGATTCACACGTCATAAAATTAATAAAAATAAAAATAAAATAAAATATTGGCAAACCTTTTTAATTAGGCATATCTATCCAACAAAAAATCCTCAAGCAAGAGTGGTCTCCACGTAATCCATGGCCTTCTTCATCACATCTTTAATACGATCCTCGTCCCCAACACCCTTCTCATACTCAAGATACTTCTTGAATAAGAACTGCATTCATCCAATACAATTCTCAAGTCAATAGACAAACCCTAGTAAACGATAACAACACAAATATACAATACAAACCTTCATCTTCTTCGGGGGAAGGCTCAAACTAATTGCTCTCTCAAACAATGCACGTATCGTATCCATATCGCCAAGCCGGATCTCCTGCAATAATTTCACAACCCAAAACAATAGCATCATCATTGCACATGGGAACAAGAAAGCACAAATTTACGAAGAGGAGGATGAAGTACTTGATCCAGATAAACGCTCCACAGATCTGTCCTCTTGGGATACTCCCTGAGTATCCCCTCGAACATGGACCTCCCCCTGTCCGGAACTCCACACTTGAACTCTAGCAGAGCTGTTTGTGATATAAACTTTATATGCTTGTGTCGGGGAAGGCTTAGAAGAGCGCGGTTTACAACAGACTGAACCCCATCATTGTTTTGCTTCAAAAGGGATTGAATCTTTCTCAACCATATCTGCATGGCCAATGACAGCATAATCGACAACAGCACAAGGATATGAGGTGGGGATATTTAAATGGGAAGTCGTATAATGGAGTACCTTGCACGAATGCTTGAACTTTCTACACATTTTGTCAAGAAGCTCATCTGCCAATTTATGTTGTTCCGTCCTCTCGTACATTCCCAGAAGTGCAAGATAAACCTTTTTGGGATTGCAGTACTGCAATGCTCGTTGAAATATTTTTGTAACCGCTTCCTGAAAATGGAGGTAAATTAAAATTACCTTCAACTAATTATATATATATTTTCTCTTCAAACTAGTGCAAAGAATAACCACATCCAACAAAAAAGCGGGTGTTTCTAAAGGGCATTTTTATACTTACCTCAGAAGGGCTACCGAATTCATTTTCCAAATTGAAATAAGCAACCCAGATATTCAGCTTCTCAGTCTCCTCTCGAATATTTATTGTTCTCAAAGCCCTAACATATCAAAATAGAGTTGAGTGGATCATTGTGATGCAGGGGAACACAAATGCACTAACGGAGATTTCTAATTATCAGTACAAGATATTGATTCTTCTAAAGGCCAATATTATGTACCTTTCAGCAATTGACCGTGCCTTGTCAACATTAGCTAAAGAGAGCATAAACGCCATGTATTTTATCCATAAAAAACTGCTATTTGGGGAGCCTCGAATAAGTTTTTCAAACTCTTCTTCAGTCCTTGGGGTTGCTTTCTCAAGCAGCCTCTCTTCAGCAGCACTTATTTCTAGTTCCCTGTACCAAAATATAGGCAGTACGGAATCAAGTTTAGCTTCTATGCAAAAATGTTGCAATAATATGCAATGCCTTACTTCTCCTCCCTAGCTTTCTTTTTGACCTTCTTTTGGTTCTTCTCCTCATCTGTATCTGCATTCGTATAATTTTGAACAGCCTGACCAACATCACCTTCATTATCTATACTTTCTAAGTCATCAAGCTGAACTTGAAGTGGTGGAACAAGAGCCCTGGATTCCGCTTCCGCCAGTATACTATGATGACTTTCAGATTCATTTTGAGTGCTCTCAACATAAGCAGGGCTATGCAGTAGTGGCATGGTTGGATCAGCTAATATAGCAGAATCATCTGCGCCATTAGCGGAATCATGATTCTGTTGTGAAGGTATTTCCAATGATTCTTCATCTTTGAAATATGATTTTTTCATCCCAAGGGACACTCTATTCCTATTTTTATCAACCTAGAAAGAAAATTATAAACATAAGCCAAGAGTTATTGTTGCTTGAAATACATAATAAAAGCCATGAATTATTGTGCAAAAGGAAGACCAGAGCTATCTCGCTGATTGTACTAGCTACTATGTTTTCGGGATTCTATCCTGTATTTTATTCTCTCTTAAATAAAAATTCCTTTTAACTCTAAAGTAAAAGCCAAAAAAAAAGAAAAAAGTTGCTTCATCCCAATAACCAACTGACCTATAAGACTTGCATAAAATTTTGAACAACTTGGGGCTCAATCATTGAAGAATATAAATTGCTACAATAATTCATGTTTGACAAGATCAATAGGCTCTCAGAAAGACATAAAATTGTCAAAAGGAAGTTTTGAGCATTTCTTAACAATAAAATTTCCTTTCCACTAAAGCATAGAAAATAAAACATAAAAAAATAAACAGCCTAGACACTTTTCATATGTTGACATAAACAATGTTATTTCAGTAATATGTGGACTAACCTTCAAAACTTTTGCTTTCACGCTTTCACCTACTTTGAACTTTGTCATTATATCACCCACATGATCATCAGAAAGCTCTGATATATGGCATAACCCAACCTAGGCATAAGCATCCAAGTTTAGTTTAATCACATGCTGCTCAGTAAGAAACTGAAAAGGCTTCAATTTTAACCTCACATTGTATGGAATAAGTGAACACACAAAAGATATTTACTCAACAAGCTGTTAATGGAGCCACATAACAGTGATTCAAATGGTGGTTAAACCAATTTATAATTAGATCATTTTCACAAGCATCAGTTAGCTGCTCGATATAGCCACAAACAAGAAATGCTAACATAGCAGATGCTCCGGGATTCGTAATGCTAAACAAGATGTATAGGATATTGAGATCAAGTTAGGGAAATTGAGTTGACTCAATTACCACATTTGTGTTGTCTATGGATATAAATAAACCAAAAGACTCGATCCGCTTGACTCGCCCAGCAATAGTATCTCCAAGTGTAATCTGGTTTAACAGAAAGGGGTCTAATTGTTGTCCACTTGCTGCACTTGAAGTCTTAAGAGAAACTTCAACACGCTTTGAGAGGGGCTCAACAGATAAGACCCTACATTCAAAAGAACTGTTAACTGCTGTATACTTGAAACAAAAGGAAATGTTCCATAGATAGACTTGCCTGCCAATCACAAGTTTCCCAACTGGAAACTCACTTTCCAGATTTTCGACAAAGCTATCAGACAGATTACAAAGGAGAACCTTTGCATCTATCTTCCGTGAAAGCATGATAAAACATCCCTTCGAAGTAATGCTTTTAACATAGCCCTGGAGTAATCAATTCATGGGAGTTAATAAAATCATATGCTGAAATAACCAGAAATAGAATGGTTATTTGGTAAAATTATATTTACATTTCTGCATTATTTGCAGATTAGTCATGTAGTGAACAATAGAAAGTAATAAACAACTGGCATTTAATTTTTCATGGAATGATATATGACAATTGACAGGATAACTTGATATCAAACCTGGACAACCATATTCGGATAAAGATCTGCTATATTCTCCATACGCTGGCTAGACGTATCCCTGCAAACAGTTAAATTTAACAATACCATATGAAGGGAACACAGAGAAAAAGATATACACAAACAAGAATAGCTGTATCAAATAAGATAAATTGCTCAAAGTTAAAACAAAATTCAGGGAGCAAAAGCTTCTTTGCTCATATTTCACTTGTGCTTGTGCAGTTTACTGAACAAAATGTTTGCTCAAAATAATAAACAAATTGAACTTGAGCAAGTATTTTTGGCTAGCCAAGCAATCGAAATAACAGTAACATGTTTGTGAAGCTAAACAACTATGTCATTAACATTGTGAAAATTTCAACAAGAATGGGTGGTTTCATTTTGATACCATAAATCTTCATATTAATTACGTGAGCATTAAATAATCAACTTTGTATAATGTACAAAATCAAAAGAAGTTACAATGATATTATTCCCCTTACCACAAAAATGTAAAAGGAACCGCAACAATCCTAACAGGTTTGATGGAACCATAAAATGTCAAAAATAAAGCATGGATTAATCTTATATAAGCATGACTTACGCACTGAAGCCATGTGACGCAGCTGAAGTTAATCTGAGTGATAAGTCAATATGGAGCGTGCCCTTAGAAGCACGCTTGATTTCCAGAACTCTACATTTCACAAACTGTCCTTCCTGATAACCAGAAAGTGGGTTGGAAACCCACGAGTCAGTGAGCTCCGTAAAATGAACCTTACCATAGCGGTGCTGATCAATTTGAATCAGCAATCCACCAACACCAGAAAGAATTTTAGAAATTCTCCCTGCAACTATGCTTCCTTCAACTAAATGGCACGGAAAACCATCATTAGAATCATTTTCTTCGAGGGCTATAGGACTATCAGCTGGAGCATGGGGGACAATACGCACCAACTTCTTTTCCCTACTCATGCTGACTACATAACCCGAAAGAGCTTTTCCAACATAAAACCGCTTCTGAAATCCAGTAAGTTCAGAGGGCTCAGAAGAAGAGTCTAGAATATACAGTCGTGCCTTAACATCTCGAGACAATGTCAGCCAAATCCATTCAGGATCAATCTTGAACACATAGCCACAGACATTTTGTCCATAAGAACAGTTGAACCCTTCAGAGATTAAGCATCCATCCATTTCACTAGACTCTGTAAATAAATGTAAACAAGCATGAATTGTTAGCAGACAAGCAAGAAGACCAAATTAGAAAGTGACAAATATATATATATATATATACATATATCAACATGTCTATGCATGCCTGCATGGTCTAGTAATGGTAAACATCCATGTCAGGAAAATAATTCATACAATGCTTACCTATGAGTAAAGAAGGTTTTATAGATAATTCCCATCCATAAGTTCCTTTACCATCTCCTGCCTTACCACCCTTTGAAACAATCCTTGCAGTCAGTGTTTGCCCTATTCTGTAGTTGGCAAAAGGACTTTCAGCAGAATTACCATCAGTTGCCTGTCAAAAACCATATGAATCACAACTTCACATTCTCCGATACACAATCGAAATAGATGAATAAATAATAATCTAAACAAGGCTCCAATAATCTCAACCTCTGTAATATGTATTCTTCCATGTAGTCTAGAACCAAATTTCACTCTGAGTTCAAGTGGCTTTATTTCAGTAATCTGAAAATTAAAGAAAGTTGTAAGGTATTAGGTATTAAGGAATCACGGAGATATACCAAACTCAGCAAATAATCTACATTCAGAGATACGTGAATCAACTGAGGAAAACAAAATAACACTTCACCTCTGCCTGAATGAGCATACCAACATCATAACTAGAATTCTTCTTCGCCCGCTTAGAACTGGATGTCTCCACACCATCACTTAATGATTTGAGCAGTAACAATAACCTTCCACTTGTCTCAGGGGCAGGGAGTGTCATTACAGTGGCAATAACACTACACCAGAAATACAACCATAACCACCCAAATAATAGAATATGATTACTTCCAGAAGGCTTTCACATAATCAAGTAAAATAAACTGCAAACAAAATGACATTTTAAATAATTGTATATCATCTTAGCAATCAAAGTCATGAAACTTTTACGGGAAAGACATTTTTAATACTTGCATATCATCTTAGCAATCAAAGTGATGAAACCTAAAAGATAAGACATATTTTTAAATATTGGCTCCTGGATCACTTCTCAACCAATGATGCGGAATACAAGAGCTCCTGAATGCACTATATTAAAACCATTTACAACAGTAAAGACTACAAACCACAAAATTTTATACGTTATACTTTTGACTGACACACAGCTGTTCTATTTCAAACACTTGATTAACAAACACCCCATGTCTGCCACAGCAACAAATTTAGGACTATTCTCCTGAACTCTGATACTGTGATAAGTTAAGCTTGATTAGTTGCTTAATATTTAAGTTCTGAACAGACATGGAATTTACACTCAATGTGAATGCTAGTAAAACAAATAACCAATCATTGAATGCCTGATCAATGATTTAAACCTGACTGATGCTGAAATTTTTTAACTGAATATAAGAAACACAACGGCATAGTTGCCATGCACTGTATCAGTTATGAAACCATTGATTAAGAGAGATAACACTGTTATACTGCTTGAACTTGAAGAGACAAACATACAAGCTTTCCTCAAAGCTTTTAGTCATTCATTTAGGAAGCAACCATAGTGTTACCTTTGTCCTGGGGTATACGGTTTAGGTGGTAATTTCTGAGTGTTGTAATCAGTCAAGGATGCATATCCTATCGTAAAATTATACTCAGGAAGAGATAGGACCTGTTTTCAGAAAGAAGTGAAAACTTTAAAAAAATGATGTCTGAACTTCAGATGCCATGAATTAAACACAATCAATTTGAAACAGGAAAACACTTGCCAAATAATTTTCCTTCACAACTTCTACCAATGCATTTACAATTTGATTCACCTCCAGCTCCTCATCAGCATCTCGTTTGCGCTTCTGCATTTAAAAATGAATACAGATCAAGCATAAAAGGAAGGTAAGACATAAATTTTGTTAGTCATATATCTAATATACACAAAAATACACATATATGCAAGATTTTACAAAATCAACTAGTCACAAACTTATTACCAAGAAACCATGCTTCAGCAGTGTAATATAAGGAAATAAAAGGCTTCAAAGGCATTGAACAACTATCCAGATGGCAAAGCAGATCACTCACATTGATAATTGACATATATTGCTAGTAAGGCCTCCTTTGCATATAAAACAAATTGGAAATTAGGAATTATCCACCGCCTCCACATAGGAAAAAAATTCAATACTTACCTTTTTAAGAGTTTTTAAGGCAGAGCCATCCTCATTAGATCTTATCAGAAACTCTGGCTTCAAAGATAGATCAACAAGACGTTCAATCTTGGAAATGTCAAGAACTGCAGCTCGGATAACAGAGTTCGTTTCCAACGAGGTGCCAACCACTGGAACAAAAATATATTATATAATTAATTTCAGACTCTACAAAGAAAATAACACACAGCTCCTTCAATGTTGTATGCTTCCTTACTCTGATAATGTGAGATAAATCCATAGACATCATTGTATTTCTCAAATCTGACAACAGCGCCAAAATCTTTAATTTCATGTATTTTCCCTTCAATGGTACTACGAATACCAAATTCATCAGTCCATCTCAATCCAGGATCTTCTGAGTCAGATATTTGCATATTTGCAATCTAATCAAGAAAAAAGGTGAAGTGTCTCAATATATGAAGAGAAAACTATTAAAAAGTCCAGAAATATAGTTATTAGAGAAAATTAAGAGAAGGAAAATAATAAACAGAACCATAATGGTAGAAAAATTATACTTTATCCAGAATTCAGCCTCAACAAGACAACAAAAAGTGACATTACTATCAATACAATCTCCTTGATAATAGTAAAGTTATTTGACAGAGACGATTACAAAAAACATAGCACAGCTGTGTGTGTGTGTGGGTGGGGGGGAGAAGAAAAATCACAAATTGGAATATCCAATTTAAGCAATGTATTATGAAACTTTAGCAATGTGTAGACTTCAGCAACTACCTTCTCTTCTAAAACAAAGTATTCTTGAATGAAAGATGTGTTAATTGAACAGCACAATGACTGCTTCAGGGATACTGTTATCCTGCCCGTCTCACCACAAACCTTGAAAAGGACCAATGTAAGGACACATTTTAAAAGATAACATTAAGTTTTCTATGTCAAAAAATGGATTCTAGAGTTAAATTTACGTCAACTATACTGCTTCGAACAGACTGCCCAACACAGAAGACCTTCGAAAGATCTGATCTCCGATCATCAGTAGCCTGCATACACCCAGGAGTCCAAACATTATATAAACAGACATATCCTCGTTTATACATAGATTTGTATATAAAAAAGAGAGTAGTTTTGGTGTATACCTTACTCTTGGGAGAAAAACCTGTTAATCGTCCAAGAAAGCGAACAAAGCAGCCATTTTCAATTATATTACAAATATAGCCCTGGGAAAAAGTTACAGACAAATAAAAGATCAGAGTAGGAAGAGGCATGTTTCAGTAATGGAGATTCAGTTTGAAATGAAACAGTTTTCAGCAAAAGACAAGAAAATACATGACCGTCCTTGGGCTAAAAAATTAAATTTAAAAAAAAAAAAATGAAACTAAGAAACAAATCTTACATGCACCACAGAATTCCTTTGGACTTGGGTAACATCTGCAGGGAGCTGATCAATAGAATTAACTAGAGAGTTCTTGGCGGTAAGAACAAGACTGTTACCCTCGAAATCTGTAGGTTTAAACATTGAGAATGAAAATCAAGAATTGGACATTCACACTCAAGTTCATGACTGCTCTTCACATACAATATACCACTGATCTAACCAACAGAGACATTTAAATATAACTGTGTCACTCATTGGATTTCAGATTGTTTTAGGACAACGTCAAAAGACAAATGCTACAGCTTATCTGCAATTATTTCTACTTAGGCATATGCTAAATATTATAATTTTGGTAAACCGGGAAACAAGGGAATAAAAGGAGGCAGTTTCTTGGAAAGTTTACCATAACAGGCACAGCAAAAGAAACCCACTCTTGGCAAGATTATTAATATAAAGTAAAAGCTGAAGATTACCGAGAACCAATAGTTGGTCAAAGCAATATCCGGGTCTCATGACAGATAGAAACAAAGCAGCAAGGCCTGTTGCATTTCAAAATAATATAAAAAATACATACAGTGAAATACTAGAAAATTTAGAAGCAATACACTAAGAATCACTTTCGGACAAGAGAATTAAAAGAATACGAAAATAACATGTGAAAATTCAAAAGACCACAAAACTATACACAAATAATGCCGGAAATAATACCTTGGTGGTCAGCTAAATGCTCCAGAGTGATTGTTCCTTTCATGTGACTTGAGGCATTCACATTCACGACTACTGCATGATGTGTAACATGCTCAACAACTCCAGAGACTAGACTACCAAGTTTCACGGTCTCATCATCTAGTGACCTACCAACATTTATTAGTGAGAAAGACAAACATAACTTTAACAATCTTCAAAATGAATCATCCATCACATATATACAAAAAACAAAGCATACATGCAATCAAAAATTGACTACAGAATGAAATAACCAGATTGATAATCATTTTAGATATAGCTGATATCTAAAAGTAGATACGTGATCTACTGCAGAACAAAAAATTTTAAAATTTAAAACACAGGAAACAAAGAACCAACCAATGAATACTGCTACAGAGACATCTGCGACAACTTCCAAGAGATTACCAAGTGAAACACATGCAAGCCCATTAAAGAGAGAATTTTGTACAAGAGGAGAGAAACCATCTTTACAGTTTTTGATTGACAGATCATCTAAACTCAATTTATTTTTCACACATTGCAGAATTATAAAACATGTGATTAAAGATGTATAAAACACTAGATGGAGTTCATTGAATTGTTTAGTTAGAAACATAATTTTGAGATTTTGTTGCACCCAAACATTACCTACGATGCTTATAAAACACCAAGTAAATTTACACAAGTTGGAAAGAAGCAAACCTTGTAGGTTTAATGTTGAAACTGAGGATTATTCGATGAGAAGCAGGTATGCATTTTACAACTCGACATTTGACTCCTTGTTCAACATGATACACGGAACCTATGTCAGTACCTTGGCTTAAACCAAGTTCAGATCTGCAACAAATAAAGCTTCATTTATATCAAATAATATCATCAAACAAGCCATCAAAAAAATGTGTCACCATCCCATTTCTTGACCAACTCATTTTGTGTTAATAACAACTGACTATCAAAGCTATGGATTTATTAAATCAATGGGTACTTGAGGTATCAATATAGCGCTTGTAAGAAACACAAACTGCCACCACAGCATTAGTATTCCTGTTATGTTAAAAAAAAAGTTTGTACCATATATTGGACAAAGGTTTTCGCATTAGGAACCAGGAATGCTTGCTCATAATGGACAAATTAAAAACAACAAAACAAAACCCCCCTAATACACAAAAATCTTCGTAAAAACAGGTCATAAAAGCAGTAAAATGTATCGTTAAATCTGACACTAAAATTTTAGAAGTCCTAAATTAATGAAAGTTTGCATTGTAAAGAAGCATACTACTAACATAATAATAATAATAATAATAAGAATAATAATAATAAGAAGAAGATAAAAAAAAACAGTTTCCTTTGGAGACTTCCATTAAGGGGACTCTAATGACCAATCACAAGAAATATTGTTTGGCCTTAAAAAATTATAAATGCTCTAGTTGTGACAAGGCATATATCTATCTATAGGCAGTAGGTTGCTCATGTTTTGTTTTGAACTATCAAAGGACACAATCTTTGACTATATATTAGTTTGTATCTTTGTATAACTGATCCATAATCACACGTGATAGTTTAGCTTTCTAATTGGTTTTCAGTTTTGCATAGGTAAGTTGCATCACTGGTGGTTATGGTTTATCTGTCAACGATACTAGAGTTTATTAGAAACTGTGTACAGCTTCATCTTCATTTGAAAAAACAATTCTTTGAGATGATTATCACGAACTATTAGAGAGAACTTTCAGATCTGCTCAGAAAATGATAACATAACATACAGCATCATAGATATTCAATTCAAATGTGTCAAGTAACTGACCTGGGGGCAAATCCCTGAACCCCATTGTAGAACCGAACAAAGCATCCATGCTTTTCAATCTTTGTTATCCAACCGTGAGTCACTAAACCATCAGTTGCATCAGCATAAGAACTAAGAATCTCTTGGTCAGAGTTCACCTATTACCAAAGAAATACATTAAGAAAATCAAACGAACTGCTAAAAAATAGGCAGGGTTCTTCTCTCAAGTCTCAAATGTGCGCATCCTTTTGTCGAGGGGTGTTGTCGTTCATTAAGTTAAACACATTCTTTGCATGCCGATTGGACTAGGTCTTCGTCACAATTAAACAAATCCTAAGACACAATCTTCCTCCTTTCTCACAAACAAAACTATCAATAACTAATTAACTATGAATCAGACCAAGAATTTAATACATATGATTATAAACCAAAACAAAGCATCTTTTACCGTTGATTAAAAACCAAAACAAAAATAGTACTCCCTCCATCCCAAAAGGAAATAATTAATTATACTTAATGTCTACCCCATACTTTATTTCATCACATCACCCAAATGATTTTAAAATGAAATATACACTTCTCTCCCCATCACACCACCTAATTTCTAAATTATTCTACTTAAGACTACCCACCTAAAATCCTGTGCTCAAATCAAATATTGCACCTTGTTTGGGACGGAGGGAATATAAATTAGAATTAGTTCAAATCAAAGGCTGAGTAACATGGCATTGAAGAGGCTACATGATTGGAAAAGTATTAGAATGAGAACTTATGATTATATTAATAAAGCAGGAAGCAGGAGACCATACAAGGGTTCTCTTGTGCGTCACAGTGATTCTCTTGGATTTGCTACCAAGCACACGAAATACTAACTCAATTCCAACCTGTAAAATGTCCATTTATGAGAGAATTATATTTAAAAAGAAAAACTAACCACCATTTGAATCCAGACAAATGAAGAGTATATTATAATAAAACCTGAAATCTTTTACTAGGCTTTGTTCTTTCAAACTCTGACATGTGGCGTAGGGGGCACAGCGCTTTCATTCCACTGGCAAATTGCAAAATAGCACCAAATGTATCAACAGCAATGACCTTGCCTTTTACCACCATTCCAGGTTTCACATCAGCGTGAGTAAAAACTGATCCTTCAAAGGCACTAGCCTGCTTAAAAGAAAAGAAGAATGAATTGCATGGCAAGGGTATCAATACAAATTTCTTTAGAACTTCTTATTTAAAGAAACCATTTGCAATTTGAGTTTCTGTAAAATAAAATTACAAACCCCCCATGAGGTTGTTTTCTGAAGGATATAAATATGTATAAATCTTCCTTTGTTACCATAAATTGCTGCAGGTTTTCACATCTAATTTTCTACCATCACACCACCCTCAAAGTACCATTTTTTACTAATCAAAAAATTTTCATAGCCATCAGATCCCTAGGATTTTATTATTTAAAACCCATCCCAACATTAAGCAAGCCCAGTTATGTACTATATTTATTCAACCAAATTACTATAATCAATATCAACAATTTTGTCCAATAATTGATTAAGCAAACTTTCTTTGCATGAATTATTAGTTGCACAAAATTTTGCATGTCTGTCAAACTATCTTTATGGTAAGCAAGTTTCGTTAGTTCATCTGAGTATCTTACAGCATTGTGCTTAAAAGTCTGTTTGGGGGAAGCTACTGCTCAACAGTTAAAAAAAATTAAAAAAATTAAAGAAGAAGAAGAAAGAAAGAAAAAAAAGAAGTCACAATTGATCAATGTAAAAATAACCTTTAATGTACCAATTGCAAGCCCCTCCAAGCGTCTATATCCAAGTATCCTCACACGAACACAGCTGCCTTCCTTAAACTTCTTGTTCAATTTTCCAATTTCCTTGTCAGCCACATCTGGCATCTGAAATCCGCATTGCAAGATTAATAGAAACTAAGGAAGTTCAAAGATGAAGAACCCAGCATGCTACTAAGAAAAACTCACATTTACATAAGTTGCAGTTGGAACAGGCAAAGTTGGAACTTCCAGAAGGAGACCTGAGTCCTTGTCGATCCTGACTACTTTAGATTGATCAAATATATCACCTATTTTGACGAACTGTTCAATGTATAATATTGGGGAAGGTATTGGTCATATATTCTAACATTTTCAGTTCTTCAAAAAAACTGAAGGGAAATGAGATATAGAAAGGGTCTTTGACAAGCATGTACAAATGGAGCACATGCAAGCAAAACACGCATGCTAACATGATTGCGGATGGGTAAGAGTATACCTTATGAAATATATATAAAATAAAGAGAAAGAACTGACGGTGAAAGAGGTACAATGAACTTACAGATGCTAAAGCTTTATTACTGACGAGGTGGGGATTCAGCGTTAAACCAATAGCCCTTGTTGAAGGATCGATAAACAAGACCCGGGCATTGAACTATATAAAACAACAACATATATGTTTGACCACAGTGAATATCAGAACAGCAAAACTGAAATTTAGTTTGGATAGTAAACTTCAAATGAAGTTTAAAATAACTATGCAATTTGTGCAAAATCAAACTCTTCCACAAAACAGGAGCACATGATTATACAAAGTACTTGGAAGGCAATATAGATATCCAAAATAACCACACACTACGGGGATATATTCTGCCATTATATATAACAGGTTAAGTAGAACTTATAAACACTGGTATGAGTACATGATTTTTTATACAATCCAAACATAAAAAACGATGGTGCTACCTTCATATTTTTGTCATACTCCTGCTCCCAGTTAGGACCAGGAAATATTTTATCTAGGTTAAAAATGTCCACCTGCAATATCAGCAAAGACACATCATAGAAAGACCTGAAAATAACATGTTCATACATTTTTATCACAATAAAAAATGGTGCAACATACTGTTCCGGTGAAATATGTAAGAAAAGATAGCATGATGCCATTTTCAAGTGTTGATTGCACACGCGCATTAACAAGCATCCCTGGAACTAGAAGATCTATTGAAATGCCCTTAAGCTCTTTGGTCTGCAAGGATAAGTAACAACCTATCACCTCCAAACAAGTAAATGAAGTTCTTCATATAGTGCAGAATAAAATGAAACATACCACACATCTTGAGACAACATCAGGGTCTGAACTTATATGAACTACCCTCCGATCTCTGTCCACACTCTTTACGACTCCTTGTGTTAGCTGGCCAACAAATAATTCAACCTTACTGCTCTCTGCAAAGAAAAAGTTAAAATCACATTACATTTAAAAAAATAATAATAAAAAATGCTCTAACATATATAGAAGAAAGCTTCAATTCTCACAAGATCCTCCTTTTTCATGAGTCAAATCAAAACGATTCTCTAGTTGTTACAATTATGCTGATAAAAAAATATATATTATGCAGACAAGTCCCATTTAGTGCACTAGCTCAGAGCAACATTCATGTTAACATAAAGATGGAGAGTAAATGCAATTAGTCACATTATAGCTGACGGAAATGTTAAAAATTGGAAGAAAAACAGAGGTCTAATAATTACCAGGTAGGTTGTGAGTTGGCATAAATCCAGTAAAAGACGGCACCCCAAAGTGAAGTATACAGCCATGGTCTTCAAAGCTCTTCATATAAGCACTTAATACCTGTAAACAAGCATATATATTTATTAATTAAGAATATGTGAAATCATCAATAAAAATGTATGATTTCCTCAATAAAAGAAAAGCAAAATGTATACAGTTGGAGAGAGAGAGAGAGGATCAAATAAACAAATGCTGTATCTACAGCCACATATATTAGTTTGGTACTTTGGTGGCATCATATCATGCACATTAAACATTACATACCATCCCTTCTTGAATAGCATCCAGCATTAAGTTCTTATGCAACAAAGACAACTGCAGAGAAAGCCAAATCTTCCGTTTTCCTTTTTCTTTTCCATCATCCTCTACTTGCATAACAATGCAAGACACAAGTTGGCCTTCATGATATAGTCTTGAAAGGAGGAAGCTAACCATATCCTGGCAATGGTTAGAAAAGCAACATCATTTTGATCATTATAGCCAATCTAGACTAATCTTTCCCCAAGAAGGCATTTGGAACATCAATGGAAATTCCAAAAGAAAATTAGAAATGGTCCAAGGAAAGAGCAATACCCCTTTCACTTCATCATCCAATATAGGATCAAAGGCATCACAAGCACGAACCAGTCCCCGCAAGCCTCCAGGAAGGTTAACTACTATATCTTTTTCATTAACTTCATCAATCACACCCCATAGCTTCATTCCTGGAGATACATTCTAAAAAACAAAAAAAAAGCAAAAAAAAAATTGAAAACAAAATTTAATTTCTTCCTAAATAAAAATCTAACTGCGTGAATGGTATATGCACAATATAAACCTACTGCGGACAAGTGATTCGGATCACGCTTACTTCACATGGAAGGTATCCACACTCATATGGACAAAGAGTTACAAAAACTCTTTAGATTTTGCTATCCAGGACATAGCAATGCATAATAACCACCTAGCATAATTTACTTAAGTTGGCCAAGTAGAAATAGATGCAACAAACATACCTTGAGAGTGATCTTATTGGCAAACTTTGGATGTTTTCCCACAATTCCATCTCCAAAGAGTGAACCTAAATCATCCTTTGCAGATTTGTCTCTATTATGAACTCTCTTTTCCTTCTTCATTTTCTTTAGCGAGAGCTTGTCTTTGTTGAACTCATTGCGTACTATTGCATTGCCCTCATTTCTCTCTTCTCTACTTGTTGAGCTTTCGCCGCCTAGAAAGGTGGAGAAAACGTATTAGATGAGAACGAATTGTTTACTGAAAGATCTAGACAAGGAATTTAGTTACATAGCAATATCACCAAATGCATGGATTTTTAAATTTCTCACTCTTCCAGATTTTGATAAAGAAACAAAGCCCTTCCATTCACTTTTTTCCACATTGTTTAATCCGTGCCTTCAATGAAAGGACAAGGACCGAAAGAAAGGATATAGAAGAGAAATTTACACTTTCCTTTGGTGGAGTTGATTAACAATAGAAAACAAATGAATGTGATGGAATAAACATTCATCGAATGGGCAATCTTTATTTCACAAACTCCCGAAAAATCTAATCCTCAGTAAGCAATCAAGAAGCTAGCACACAAGGGCTACGTAAAACCCACTTCTTTCACACTCCTGCCCTGGTAATTTTCCAGCCAGCACTAACGTCGATCGACATAAAATAAAATAAATCAACAGCTGTGTAATCTTGAAAAAAAAATGCAACTTCCCATCCAAACATCACGATTGGGAAGGTATTATTCTATCCTTGATAAAATTCGAAGCCTGCTAGTGAAAATATAGATATAACAGTTGTACGATTTCCTTCCATTCCATTGAGATACTTAAAGTAAAAAGATAGCAGCACATCATGTAGAAGCATGAAACAGACATAAAGAGAGAGCCTTCCAACAAAATGAACAACCTCGGGGAAAGTCGGGGACGTCGTCTTCAACCTGAAGAGGCAACTGAGCGGCGTGGGATTTACTTCCCTTGGATATAGCAAGCTTGTGGGGTGGCCTTGGAAGCTTTTTCAAATTGGTAGGTTTAGGTTTTTTGGAATGCGGTGCCATTACTAGGGAGCAGAATTATGTCGCGCAGTGCGCGGCGGCCGGTTGTCAGAAGTCCTCCTGGTTTACCGTTGCTCGGCGGCGCTTCTGAAGTAAGCTTGACGGCTCGGGTGGCAAGGAAGAGGGACAGCGGGAAGGCGAGGAACAGGGGAGAGGGTTTTTGAAGGGTTTGTGAGTTGGACTGAGTTTCTGCCTGCAACTACGTTCGTATGTCTATGGCGGAACTTGATTGATTTGGGCTGGGCTCTCAATTAGAATTAGAATATCTAATATCTAATACAAGGGTGTATATTTATTTGTTTGGATTTTTTAGGTAATGTTTTTAAAGTAAAATTAAATTTTAATTTTATTTTTTTGAAAAGACAATAAAGTTATAATAGTAAAATCAATGTTAAAATCTTACAAGGGTTTGTTTGTTTGAAGAATTTTACCAAAATTTTATTATTCATCCAAAATTTTTCCTCCAAAAAAATCAAAACAAACACTTATTTTTTATTTTTTATATTATACTAAAACTCAATTTTACATTTAAAACATTACATCAACACCTATTTATATCACATCATATAACTATTCAAATTCAAAATTTTTACTATTCAAATCTCAACTCAAAATCAAAACCCCAAACAAACACACCCCAAGTAAACAGAGCTCTAGATTTACGTGGATTTAGAGAGTCAGATGATTTTATATATTAATTTAAATAGATTTTTATACATTTTATGAATTTGTATAAATTTGGTAAGATTGTAAAATAATTTTTTATTATTTATAAAAATTTATATGAAGCAATATTCAAATAATTAAATAAAAATACAAAAATGTAATATAGTTTTAGAAAAATATTAAATTATTTATTATTCTTATCTCTATTCTCGTTATTTTTATTTCCATTACCATTATATACTCCATTCGTCCATCCGTCCAGTTGGAAAAATATACATATTTTTATTTTTTTTATGTTAAATTACAATTTAAACATTTCATTAAATACTTTATTTTTTTCCACAAATACCTTACTTTACATTACATCGTTACTTAAAAAAAAAAAAAAAAAAAACAAGGGCAAAAATATCGTTACACTATTTTTAACTACTTAGTATTATTAAATGTTTACTTCGTGTGTAGACGGAGAAAATATTATATATAATTAGTGATATATAATAATTATAGCATAATACTATTTTTATATATTAATCTTTAAAATTTTTATTATATTATTATTCAATATATTGCTTTGTTTTAATAAATTATAATTTTAGCATAATTTTATAATATGTACATGTATTATTACTTTAACAAATTTAATGTGAAATAATAATTTATAAAAATAAATTTGGAGATGAATAATATCTCATTGTGAAGTAACTATGATTCAAATTTTCTCTATATCATTTTCAATTAAATTTATTTGGATATTTTTTATAAAAAAATAAAAGAATTAATTTAAAATTTTAATTAAAAATATATATTCAAAAATGCTGCTATTATATCTTAGTTTTTGAAATTATTATAATAATATTAATAATTATAGTAATAATAATAATATATTTTAAGAATTCATCAAAACTTTTCTTTATACATAACTTTTCTTTAAAATTCAATAAAATTACATACTTTTAAAGTTTATACATTATTGAATATAATCAAATTTTAGAACACTTTTAAAGGTCTCGATTGAATATCATCAAATTTAAAAAAAAAAAAATTAAGTCGAATACTCTAAATTTTAAAAAAATTCTAAAAAGTCCAATAGAATTTTTTGTTTGTCTTTTTTTTTTGAACATATAAATATTTTTTTTATTAAATTGATTGTTTAAAACTTTTTTAATACTATCTTCGTCTTAATACAATAGTCTTGTGTACCATTTTTGTCCGTCTCAAAACAATAGTCTCATTTCTGTAAATAATCATATCACTATAAAATTACCCTTATTTTTTCTTTTTATACTAATACACTCACAATGGCAAAAAGTCTTTTGCCCATATTTTTATACCCATTATCAAAATAATATCGTCAATATTTCTTAAATTTTATGTCAAGTGCAACTCAAACTATAGTTTTGGGACAGAAGAAGTATAATATTTGATTTTTTTTACTGTAGGAATATTTTCATTTTCATTTTAAAAATTTTTTTATTGTGTGGCCTTAGTTTTTACTTTTAATTATGTTATGTGCTTCTTTATTAAAAAATTTTACATATGGATCTCATTTCAAATGATAATTTATCTTAATCAATTTATTGCATTTCAACTTAATACGGTTGGAGTTTCAAGATAAAGATAAAGTGGTTCACAAAAGAAAAATAAATAAATAAATATTGGTAATATCACTAATTATATATATTATATTGTTTTCGTCCAACAAAGTAATGTAAATTTGTTGGACATTGAAATTTTAAAAATAGTAATAATATTTTTATATTAAAATTATATATTATTTTCGTCTCATTGAAAGGTTACCAATTTTTTTATTTTCCTCCGTTCCATAACAAGGTTATCATTTTTTAATTTAGTAATTGTACTATCTACTTAACATAATAAATACCCTTTCAACTTACAATATATTATACAAATATCATTACTTTTATATTACATCATACTAATAAGAGTATTTTTGTCATTTTTATTATAATCCATTATAATACTAATATAATTTTGACATTTGTTATCTATATATATCACTTAATTAGAAATTTAGATAAATAAAAGTGAAAAAACATTATTATCGATTTTTATTTTATCTTATTGTAAATATAAATATAAAATAAATTAAGATTTATATAATTTAAATAGATTACATATAAGTTAGAAAATATAAAATATAAAGATAAAATAGTATTAAAATCTTTCTTATGCATGCACATTTATTTATTAATAAAATACTATTATTTTTAATATATTAAAATAATGAAATAGTACATACAGTAGGATGGTGGAAATAATATTAAGATTATTATTTTTCATAAAATATCAAATCAAAATCACGTTTAAACAAAACTTTAAAAATTGATTGTTTGCTTGGAGAAAAATCTTTAACTTATTTTTCAAAAAAATTAATATACTACACACTTATTATTTTTATATTATATAAACAATTCTCGATATCTAGAACATTAAACAATTATTTTTTTTAATAATTATTTTTTTTTCTTATCAATTTATATTTATAATAATTACAAAAAAATTAATTTAACAACAATTATAATGTATAAAAATGTGATCTTATTTATGTATTATTTTTTAAAAAATATATACTACTGATATTAGAAAGATAGATTTATTAAGAAAATGATGAATCAAATATTTGATAATAATATTTAAATTAGTTGATATAAATATATATTGTTCAATATAGGATAAACAAATAAACTATGCATTTTTTTTACTCAATTCGTCCGGACTTTTTATATCATATTATTCGGACATAAAGATTAATAAATAAAAGTATTTTAATAAAAAATTGGGTAGCTGCAAAATAAATAAGGATATTATAGTGAGATAAGTAAAAAAAAAATAATGACAAATTTGATAAGTATTTGTTAAAATAAAGACAATACAATTGTGGATGAATAAAATTTTTATTATAAACAAATTATGCATAAATTTAACGAATAAAAAATATGGCATAATTATCATGAACGAAGAAAGTATTTTTTAGTTTAAGTATATTAAAATGACAGTGATAAATTAGTGAAATTTGATTTTGACTTATTCAGATATTTTAAAATTTTTAATGACTGATTTTTCATTTAAACTATATTTTTAAAAATTGTTCATAAAAATATAAGTGAATGCCACTAATATTATATATAGACATCATTTTTATAATATATATTTAATCAATAAAATATATCAATATTCGATATTTATAATATTTTATCCGTTCCTTAACAATCTATCAATTTTTTTATTTTTGTCCGTCATACAATAAATTATTCGTTTTATTTTTTAATAATTGTACTATATATTTAACATTATACTCTTTCAAGTTACTATATATAACACAAATGACATTACATTTATATCATATAATACTAATACTAATAAGGGTGGTTTAATATTTTTATATTTATTTATACTACACTCCAATATAATACCAATTATTTTAAAACTCCGTACAAAAAACAGACGTATAGATAAATATGAGCCGAAAAAAATATTAAAAATTGTTCATGTGAAATATTTTAAATATTCAAATAATTATCATATGAAAACATTATATATTTAATAATAATAATTAATTTTAATAATTCAATAAAATTTATAATTACCACCTCTAAGTACAAATATATTTGATTAGCTATTCAAAAGTAGAACGTAAGTTGAAAGTCGATTGAGTTAGATAAATTATTGTGTTTCTTTTATAAAAATTGTTTATTTTAATTATAGAAAAATATATAAATTTTAGTTGTATTATACAAAATTTAATTCTTTATAAAATTATATTCAATATTTTTGTATTTTATGAAGATATTGTTTTTAAAATGTTTAAATAAATATTCTATTTTTTTAATTGTATATTAAATTTTATTTTAAAATTATTGATAATATCTATGGACATAAAAAATTAAAAAATAATATCATAATTCATCATTATTAATTAATTAAATTTTATTATCTTAAATGTTTCAAATAAAAAACAGTCATTTATTCCAAATGGATGAAATATATGATATAAATATTATTTTATGAAGAATATTTATAATTACTATAATTATTTTATAAAAAAGAATATTGAATATATATAATAATATATTTATTTATTAAAAAAAAAGATAAAATAAAATATTTTGAATAATTTTCATACAGTTAAAATTCTATTTTTATTTGTACTTTTAAAATTTTGACATTTTTTTTGAAGTTATGAACATAAATAATACTCTTCGGTATCAAACACCTTAAACATTTTCTTGGTTATTTTCATCCATCATGTAATATATTTAAAATTGAAAATAATTAAATATATTTAATATATACTTACATTTTATTTATCACATTGTCCATATAAAAAATATATATACACTTCTCTCATTCACTACATTACGGAAAAAATATTGGCAAAAATTGTCCATAATTTTCTTATACTTTTCAAACTCAGCTTAAATCTCATTCATTATAAAAATTGAATGGAACTCCTCGTACTTTTAAAAACTTTGCATGAAACTGGTTTCGAAACTCAGTGTAAATATCTACTTTACTTTAAAAAATTGCATGACGCTCCCTTATATTTTAAAGAATATTGCATGAAACTCCAGCCATGCAAACAAATATGGATAAAAAATCATTATTCCATCACACAACGGATGTTTTTTAAATATATGAAAGTGTCGTACAATTTATAAAGTACAACAAAATTTTAAGCAAAATTTCAAAACTATATAAAAATTATGAACAATTTTACCAAAAATACTTAAATAAAATCATATCAAATACCTATTCTATATTTACTAACTTTTTATTATTTTCAACCTTTTCTAAAATTTATAATATTTATATCTATACATGACCTTTTATTTGAGAATATATATAGCAAAATATAGTACGTGTTTATTTGGGAAATTTTCCCCTATTCTACTATTCCTCAAATTTGTTTTCACCCAAAAAATATTAAATCAAATATTTATTTTATATTTTTTATATTATATTAAAAATAAATTTTATATTAAAAATATTATATAAATCATTATTTATGTCATCACATCACATCAGTTCAAATTCAAATTTTTTAATATTAAAATTCCATTCAAAATTCAAATTGCACACACCCACTGCACAATTGAATTTTCAACCTAACATAGATGGCACAAATGATAAGGCATATGTCTCTCCCACACTATATACACATACAACCAGTCGAACATACATACAACCTCTTTCTCAGACATACACCATAGGTCAACTCATAGACTCAATTTTTCTACTGCCACCAAAAAGCAAGAAAATTTTTGCAAATCACAAGCCCAGGTGAGAGAACAGAGAAGGAATAAGATCAACAACAGACCAGGCAAGGCCAGCATACTGGAAGAGCCTTATGCCCGTGTCCACATCGAACGACGTCTGCTTGGAGAAAAACAACAATTTCAGGACATGGCCCGATTGCCTTGGGTCATCCGACTTCTTGTCGGAAGCCACCATGCCATTCAAGGTGGGCAGATAGTTCGTCGATCTTACTGGGATTCCCAAAGTGTTAGCAACGATAGGAAGAATCCACTTTGCCAGAGCCTTGCTACAAAACTTAACAACGAGTATGCCCGGGATTCCTACCAGCATTCTACCCACAAATGGCAGAAACGAGAGGTGATGAGAAAAGATTCGTGGAACGTTTTCATGGTGAAACTGATGAAATGTCTGGTGGATGCCAATCACCTGGATAGCATAAGATTGCCGTGAATGATTAATATAATTTCAAGCTCATGAAATAACTAGAATTGAAGCCAACCGGGTGAAATACGCATGCTGATTATATATCTGAAATCAATCGATAAAAAATGCAATGCAGCAGAAATTTGGAGGAGCTGCACTTACAATTCCTAAGGCAACACCATTGAAGGCTGTGTGATACTCAAAACTTGGTGTTGGATGCTCGGGACTTGGGTATGCAAAAACCAACAAGAAACTAAGGGCGGACCAGAATGATATAACTGCAGGGAACAAAAATACAGATTGTTCAAAGGTTAACTATGAACTAATATCAAAGAACAAATTTTAACTAAAGATGCATCATTTACAGTGGCCATTAATCAGCACAGTTGTATTACATATAAATTGTGTTCTTTTGTGGATTTTATTACAGATTTTTACTATTCAAATTCTTTTTTTCCCTCCAAAAATTTCAAATCAAACAATTGCTTTTCTTTTTTATATTATACTACAAATTTATTTTACATTCAAAACATCACATCAACCTCTATTTATATCACGTCAAACAACTATTCAAATTAAATTTTTTACTATTAAAAAAATCTAAATCCAAAAACTAAAACCCACAAAGAAACACACCCTAATGTCATGAAGTGTTAATCAGTACTATCAACAATCCAATATAAGCCATGTCGAGTCCAGTTTTAAATTAGAAACCAAAATTTTGCCTGGCCCTCAACACATAAGAATAGGCTTTCAAATTATTTCTTCAAATCGAGTGGTACAATGCTGGCGGAATAAGTATCCTTACCATTTTGACCCGCAACTACGAAATTATCTACGTATTCAGAAACAGAGAGCCAGAATGCGAGGATTCCTAATCCCAAAGCTAGGCCTCCAACAATATCAATCACACTGTGCATTCCAAGGTATATCCTTCCTAAAAATTCGACAGCATCAATTAACATCAGATCAAGACAAGAAGCCAATAGAAATGTGAGCAATAAATGAAAGCTTACCGAATCCAATAAGACCAACAACCAAACAGACCAGAGCGAACCCCACCACCTTCAGATAGGCATCACCGATTTCGGCATAGTCCAGAATGTAGTGTAGCAGATATCTGATTCGTAAGCGAATAAATTTAGACAGCACGAAAACTAATGAATGGTACAGGGAAGAAGGGTTTCAAGCTAACTTAAGCAAAGTTTAGCTGAAGAATGTTACCCTGCCAAGCAAACAGTGTTAAGAGTGTGGGAAGAAGGTAACCCATATTCCATTGCATTTTCTTCCTCATCTTTAGTGGCAATTACTCTCCTAACAGGAGGGGAACTTGGTCTCGGTACTGATACCACATCCTAAGAACCATAATCAGACCAAATCAAGATCAGAGAACAACAAAAATCAACTATACTGAAAGAATCACATGAGCTGAGCCGCTGGATGAAAGAGAAGCCTACTTTTATGCAGTTTCCGGTATAATCACAAAAGGCAATCAAGAGAGTCATCTGCCGAGCCAATTTACAATGCCCTGTCTGAACACACGAATCAGAAGAATTAATTTGAAGTTTCACAAGCAGAAGTTGCATAGGAAGAGGTCTGAGAGAGCATACCCAGAAAAGCAAAGGAAGGAAAGCAGTATAGAAAGGCACAGAAACGACGCATGACAACCCAGAAAAGAAAGCATCCAAATGTCTGTGTTGGTATTTCTGCAATCCCCACAGATAACAGCTCAAGATCATAACCGAAACCTAAAAAATGATTCAATCTTATTTCTAGATGTGTGTGTTTGAAAGAGAACGAACCTGGATCTTGAGAATAATAGGTACGTCAGCGATGACGCGGCGAGATACCCATGGTTGGGCGAAGGATCTGATCTTTTGAGTGAGATTTAAGATTGTAGAGATGACAATCCACAATGCTATACCGCCTAGAGAAAACACTTGCCAGCCAAGGATGCTTTCCATCTGAATGCTTTGTAACTTCACAGTCTGCTCCTTGTCTTCGTTCCTTGAATGGAATTACTGATTCCCTTCCACCTCCCTCCCTATGGAAGGATTCAGAATAGGGGTTGTTATTCAGGAGTAGATCTGAAGAAATTTCAAATACCACCAGCTCGGCAAGTGTTGAAAAATCTCTAGGGTTGACTTGTAACGAAGCAATCTTCGGCGGGGCGGAGCGGGGCGCCGGCGATTTCAATATATATGCATATTTATACAAGCAATTGGCCTTACTGGAGTTTGTTCCTTTCAATTAATCCAGGGGAGCGGCGATGCAATCGAGGAGCGTGATGGTGGCGGCGGTGGCGGTGGCGGTGGCGGTAGGGTAGGCGTGGAATCAAGGCAAGGCCAGGGCAGAGAACACCGCTAGGGTAGGATTCGATACGTACGATGCGATTCAGCCATTGAATTGATTCTCAGCATAGCATAAGATGAATCGATGGTGATAATCAGCCGTCGGCTTTTGACCGTTGAACTAAAAACACGGTTAATTCCTTCATGTAACTACCCACCCACGCATTTTATGTGATTTTTATCGACTTTGTACGCTCCAAAAATTTAAAAAGAAAAAATTTATAGCGTTTTTTAATTAATAATATAAAATATATAATTTATTAAAAATAATTATTTTTATATTAAATTAATAAATTTTGTATTTTAATAATAATTTTAGTATGTCAAAATTATTTTAGTAAAGCTGATATTAAAATATCTATGTAAATAAATTAAATATGATATTATTTATAATATGCGTAAAGTTCATACGAAATATATAATTTTGTATTTGAATAACAAAAAATATAGCAAAATACATACTTACCAAGTACACAAAGGAAATATAAATATTGTCTATGTACTGCTCCAGGGTCTTATTTATTTTTTGCCGTGTTAATTTTTTAATATTAATTATTATATATAGTATAAATTAAAAAAAAAATTGCAAAAATACTTCTAAAAATAACTTATAATACTAAGGATATTTGTACAAACAAAATTATACAAATATAAGAATATTTTTAATGTTAAATACAATGACACAGAAAAGTAAATGTCACCTTAGAGATGAATGGAGAGAGTAGTATATTTTTTTTTATATATATTACTAAGTGTTTTTTATATCTACCATAAACAATACTTCAAATTTATATAACACACAACAAACATAACTTTTATTGTTATTAAAGAAGTTTTTAATATTTGTCTCAATATAATCAAAATTTATTAATTTTAATTTAAATATAAAAGAGTTATTAAGAAAAATTATCAATTTTAATCTTATTATAAATAATTTTAATCAATTTTTGTCTCATTACTGAAAAATCAACAAATATTGCTGACGTAAACGTAACAGAATCCAAAGTAGTAGCTTATTTGAACTTAATATGATAGTGTTTGATGAACAAGAATGTGTATAAATAGTTAACAATATGTAGAATTAGCAACCAAGGTCATGTTAATGTACATGCTCTTATTGCAGATAATATCCATATATCAACTCATATTTGAACACGATTGTATTCTATTGTAAACACGGTCATGTGTTGAGTATACACGCGACGATATTTTGTAATATATATATATTTTTTTTGTAAAATCTCTTTTCCTCCGACTTACTCATGGTTTTTTTTTCCCTTGCACTACTCTTATTTTAGTATGACGAAGGCTATATATTTTGTCTCTCTGCATTGGAAAAAATAAAAAAATAAAAAAATGTAGAATATATATTTTATCCTCTAACATAGGATGCCTTATATATACATAACAGCGTTTGAGGTTATTTTATTTATCTGTTACACTACAAGGAAAGTTCAATCTTTTAAATTTTACATCCTATATTTGTATATTGTATTTTATATACTCCATCCGTCTATTAAAAATAGTTTATTTGGGTTCGGTACGGAGTTTAAAAAAAAAATATTTTATTGAAAAAGTAATAGATAGTTGAGGGTATTTTTTTAAATTTAGTTAGAAATAAAACTAAATGAAGAGATAATATAATAAAATTAGTAATATTTGTTGTAAATAAGTGTTGAACGAAATGTAATAATTAAATATTAATTTCTTGACTTTGGCAAAATTAGTAATATGATCAATTTAGCGGATGACTAAAAATGAAAATAGAATAAATTTTGCGGACGGATGAAATATTTGATTATTTTACTTCTCTTGAAAATGTGTTATGTATATATATATGGCATGTATAAATTGTAAAAAATATATTATTGTTATTGTTATTGGTTTTGTTTTTTCTTTGTTATATAATGTTATTTTTTGTAGGTAAACAAAATATATTGTGAGTAAAAATGAGCAGTGCAAACGATTAAGCGATTGATAAGGAAAAAATATAGAATAAACTATGAAAGTATGGGTGAAGAAGAACCATACAATGAAATTCATAATGAGTCCCATTTTTTGAAAATTATGACAATAAGATGGAAGAAGGCAATGTGAAGGATTGTTTAATTGATCAATCATTGTACCATAATATGATATATATTGTTTAAAGTAATGAAGATCATAGTGTTGTGGTATGTTAAAAAAATTTGTATGACTCACAAGAGAAAAAATCTCATAAATATTGTCAAATCATATACAAAACATATGAATTTGCACACAATTTTTGATCCATCTACAAAATACAATCCTTATTTTACCCGTGGAATGATCTTTAGTTCGAAAAAATGAGTTTAAAGATGTCATTTAGATCAAATCACGCCATCATGACCATGAGAACTCTGGAGTTTGTGAAATATAAAAGATACTCCTTCCATCCCTTAACAACCTATCCATTTTTCCATTTTGGTTCGACCCATAACAAAGTATCCATTTTCTTTTTTAGTAATTGTACATCTACCTAACATTACAAATACCATTCCAATTTACACTTTATTACACAAATGTCATTACCTTTATATCATACAATACTAATAGGGTTAATTTAGTCTTTTTACCTTTATTTCTACTTTATCCCAATATAATACTAATATTTCTAAAACTCCGTGCAAAAAACAAATGGATATATAGATATGGGATAGAGGGAGTAATATTTTATGTTCGATGTGCAGTTAAAAGTTATAATTGAATAATCAATGCATTAATTAAAGGTAACCAATCGATCAATATTTCAAATCAAAATATGAGTGTATGTGTGATATGAATGTAAAAAATATGAAGTCATCATGACTCGCGAAGAAATACAAATCGTTATTTTGATCAAATCCTTCAAGACGTGTACAAAAATTTAGAATAGATGTCTCCGAATACATTAGATGTAATATATCTCATCAGCAAGCATATAAGGCAAAATTGAGACTACTTAAACCGATTGATGGATATGCAAATGTGCAATATGAGATGTTATGGAATTATGTTGAAACATTGGATCAATTGAATCCTGAATCAGGTATTTTGATGAAGTTGGAAGGTAAGTTTATCAAAAGACAATGACGATTTAGAAAATATTATATATGTTTGAAATTTTTCATTTATGAATTTAACACTGGTTGTCGACCTATGATTAGGGTCAATGAATGTTATTTAAATGATCAATATCAAATTATACTACTAGTTGTCATTGCAATTGATAATAATAATGAACCGTTTTCCTTTAACCTATGTTATTGTTGATAGCGAGACACGTAAAACATGAGAATAATTTTTTATATTGTTGAAAAATGATTTAATATAGAGCGCAATAAGGCGTATACCTTCCAATTTAAAATAGATATTAAAATTAAAATAACAATATTTTAATATAAAAATATAATAAATTTAAATGTTATGAATTTTATTAAGAAATTGTTTAAAACGTACGAACGAATGAGTAGTAATGATAAATAAGGGTTAGTTTGTGTCTTCCGATTGTGTTTGTATTGGTTAAGTTTTGGGTATAATAAACTTTTCATAAACTCGATTGAACATGATTTTAATTTACTTTTCAACCTAAAATTATAAATTTGGACATAATACAAATGTTTGTAGAGTTTGTTTTTGAAAGCCAAAACATTTTATATTACCCAATATCACCGTTCAAAAACAATAACAGACAGACTCCAAACTAAACTGCATTTTTCCTCAAACTTCATTGCACCTAAAACCCAAGATTTAATTATATACCATTAATACATTCCTCTGTCATTATGAAACCTCTAATTACTACATTAACAACGACAGATTTCCTGACCTGCTCTAACCCAAATAAAATGCCTATACATTCCACAACATACCAACCTCTGTTTGCCACTATAGTAAAATCAACATAGCCAACAATATTTCGTACCAATATCTCCCTTCACCAATCTCCATATCATATACTAACATTTCCTTATTATCCTCAACAAACTTTATCACATTGCCTCTTGAATAAAACGAAACTCTCTTCCCCCACAATAAGTGGCCTGAAAACCTTTCCCCACCAATGCATAGAAGACATTCGCATACAATAGGGATTAAACATCAAAATAAAAGTGCATGCTGACCATAATTAACGATCTCAGTCATAACCAAACAACCATGTCCGGTCCCCCCCTTGCCCCTCACTTCGCCAACCCATCAACCAAAAAATTATGTTATCTGAAAATATGAATAACATCTGCAGAATTGCAGTGCGCAAGGAAACCCTCCACAGATATTGTGATTTCATTTGAAGCCACAACACAATCATTGACGAATCGCTTTCTAAGATCAATTTGGGAACCGGAAACCCCACCGAGTTCCGAATTTCTTATAGCACACTCCACACTACCTCAAACTCCGCAAATATCAACTCAGCTACACCAATATATTTTGACATCATCAAGATGATCACTTATGTATCATCTCGGACCACTACCCCAGCCCATGCCGCCCTAAGACACCCCAAAGCCGATCCATCTACATTAATTTTCCACCACCCCTTACGCGGGAGGAGCCAGTTTAGATTGACTCTAAATACGAACCTCATTTCTTTTGAAATTATCTGCAATTGATCTATATTCCCATTGAACATTATTGCCGGACTAACCTCTCGACCAAACCAATCTCCGATACCAATTTACCTTGAAAAACTAGTTCATTCATTGACACCCAAATGCACCAAATCACTGCAAAGCAGAGAATCTCTCATATATATTCATATAATTTACATATCTGTAAATACTTCCAACTCGAAATCAACCCCTGGACGTCCTTTGGGGTAGACCATGAAATCCCAAACCACCATACGGTTGTCCACCACAATATAGATGCAAAATTATAGTGAATAAAAAGATGATTAGAATCATCTTCTTCTGAGACGCACAACGGGCATTCCACCCCTCCATTGATTGACATGCCCCTCCGATTAATTCCATTCGGACGGGAACCCCTTTATTTAATATTCTATACATCAGAACTTGTGCTTTAGGCGGAGCTGAACTTTTCCAAATAAATTCTTCCATCAGATCATTGGGCAAGCTTCCAAACATTGCTCGACATCCAGCCCTCGTCGTAAAAATACTATTTGATGTCCCTGTCCATACCACTCTATCGTCCAAATCTTTCTTTGGGCATAAAGAATTAATTAGATCTAAAAAGGACTCCCATCAATCCACCTCCCAATCCAATACTTATCTACGTAATTGGATAGACCATTTTCATTGACTTTCTGACCATTCTCTAAAAGAGGAACCCATCCCTCATTTTGCGTTGCTCAAGCAAAAATGCGAGGAAAAACATCTTTCAAATTGGCATTCCCCACCCTTACATCCTGCCAAAATTTGGTTCTGCTCCCATATCCAACAATAATATAACAATAATATGCAAATGCATTCCATCTTGCAACTTTCTTTCAAATTTCTGCCAAGTTCTTCCTATATGAGACCAAAGCGAACTATTTATCCTTCCCAACATAGGAATCAGTTTAGAGTTAGACAACCCTCTGGTTACACCCCGAACTTGCCACCACTTGTTTCTACAATTGATTATCATCTTTAAACCCCAATTTTCATTTGTATAATAACGCATAATTAGACAAAATAATATTTTCCAATCCAACACCACCTAAAGCTTTGGGTGCTGAATAAGACCTTAGCTTACAATTCTCAACTTAGTCCTATCTTTTCCATCACAAAAAAAAAAATTATTTTTTATCTCCTCTATTTTATCCGCCACACTTCTCGGCATCCGGAGGAGAGACATAAAATAATTTGCCATGACACTACAAATAGTTTTAATCAAGCATGCCCTGTTTGCGATAACAACTTTCATTTCTGAGACAGTTTTGCTTGTATTTTTGTAAGCAATGGATATTAAAATAATATTTGATATGATATTTTTTTAAAATAAAAAAATATTTTTTTTTCAAAAAATACAAAATCAAATAATAAAATTTTAAAAAATTGATCTAAACGAACAAACCCTAAAAAAATACTATAAATTTACAAAGATGTTAATATATACTATAATTAGTGGTACTCCTGAGTACAAGTACCTAAGTCTTCGGCGTCGAGTCCCAATCCCAACAGCAACAGCGTTTTATTACTTAGTTGCGCTTGAGTCGCACTTTCTTTCTTTCATTCTACTCTTTCTCCTTAGGACCGACCGTACTTAGACCTTAGTCCCATCTTTCTCTATCCCCTTTCTCTCTCTCTCGTCTAGGGTTTCTGGAATCGTCGCTTACCTCTCTGCCTCAGCAAAAGCAATCCCCACTCAATCTCCTGCTGCGCCAACTAAAGTTTTGCTCCGTTCCCCCCCGCTCTCAACTTCAGGTTCAGGTCTCACTTTCTCTCTCTCTACATTTAAAACTCTCTGTCGTTTTTTTCTTTCATTTTTTTTTTTGTGCTCCTCCATACCAGTTTCTCTTTCCAATGTTTTGACTGCTTAACTTCTTCCAATATCGTTGCGGGAAACAGCGATTGAAATAGTAAAGTGTATTATTATTATTATTATTTTTTTTTGTGTAAACTAATCATCCCGTCCTTTGTTTTCACCCGTTGTATTTGTTGCCCGCTCTCCATGTTGATTCCCGTCTTTATTTTATTTTTTCTGTTCAAGATCCATGATTTTAATCTATGTTATCTTTCCGCAAAGTTCTGCCTTTGGAATCTGAAATACGAGAATTTATAATCTGGATTGTTTAAACTTGACCTAAAATAGTTTATTGTAGGTTTTCTGCATCAGATAATAAAGGTTATTCAAGGAGACTGCTCTTGCAATGAGGACTTCATGGGCTGATGCTGCTGAGAATGTTGACGCTGGATCCTCCAATTCTGTGGGGGCTGGTGATGGCAGTGAGCGCCCATCACTGCGCACGAAGCCTGCTTATGTACCGCCTCATCTTAGAGGCAAGCCCCCGGCAGCCGAGCCACTTGCCCCATCTCTTAGTGGACCTCAGTCTGGCAACGATAGGTCAGGTTATGGTGGACAAAGTAGTGGTCCACGGTGGGCTGGCACTAGATCTGATTATGGACGCCATGGATATGGTGGTGGTGTTCGTGGCGGCAGTGGATGGGGAGGTAGTGGTGGCAGGGAAAGGGAGGTCAATCCTTTTGGTAATGATAATGTCGATGCTGATGCGGATCGTGTATTTGAGGAGCAGGTGAATACGGGTATTAACTTTGATGCTTATGAGGATATTCCTGTGGAGACAAGCGGGGATAATGTGCCGCCACCTGTGAATACATTTGCAGAGATAGATTTAGGAGATGCTCTTAATTTGAACATTCGCAGATGTAAGTATGTGAAGCCAACTCCTGTCCAGCGACACGCTATACCGATTTCGTTAGCTGGTCGGGATTTGATGGCTTGTGCTCAGACTGGGTCTGGGAAGACTGCTGCCTTTTGCTTCCCAATAATTAGTGGAATTATGAAGGGCCAGTTTCCCCAGAGACCTCGTGGTGTTCGCACTTTTTTTCCTCTAGCTCTTATTCTTTCACCAACTAGAGAACTCTCAGTTCAGGTGGGTTTCTTGTTCGATGAAGACTCTTATATAACTTTCCATTTTTTTTGTAAGTTGGAGACTTTAATGGTTATATTGCATTCTACCTGCAGATTTATGAGGAAGCTAAAAAGTTTTCCTATCAAACTGGTGTCAGAGTGGTTGTTGCTTATGGTGGTGCACCAATTAATCAGCAGGTATATTTTGGCGTCGTCTTTTAAAGGCCATTTTTTTTTGTTCTGGTGATAACTTCTTGTGTAGTTAGGTTTTCCCTCTATTGTTTGACTGCTAATTTTCCCTGTGATGCTGATATTTTCTGGTTCTGGCTTGTGGTAACTAGTTCTTATATAGTGTTATTGTATTTGATAAATCATTTACATTTTAATTAATGGATTCTCATTTTTTCACTTTTAGTTTGTAGGTCTTTGATTTTGTGTTGGGTGGAATTGAAATTGAATTGGTTTATGTTGGAAATTTGAATGATCTTGATATCGAAAATTCTAGAGATAATTCTCCAATTCGAACTTGATTCAAAACTCCTAGGGTGTGTTCTTTTATCAAATTTCTCCAGATTTTTATTGTTCATAAAAAAATTTTCCTCCGAAAACATCAAATGCATTCTATTGCATTTTATTGATCATCAAAATAAGGGGCCAAACAACATAGCCAAATTTAAATCTAAATCTACTAAATATCTAAAATATCTTAACAAATTAAAAATTCTTACTATTCAAATCCCAATAAAAAAATCCAAACTCCCAAACAAACACACCCATAATTTCCATTTCCTTGTACCGAATCTCTTCCTAGTTTACTGTTTCCTGATTGATTAAATATTGGAAGTATTAATTTCTTCCTTCTCCTTTTGAATTTAATATGGAAAAAGCACAGATGGGCAACTTATTTCTCTCTCTTTTTCCCCTCCTCTTTGATAGTGTTGTAATTATCTGCTTTTGTGGGGTTTAGAAATTTGTTAATGCAAATTATATCTGAATCAAATAGAATGCATGCTGAACAAGTTTGTTTCAGGTTGAAGGAAATGAGCAATATTTATGTACCATGGGTATACTGTATACAATAAAATTACTAGAATGTGTTATGCAGTCCTATTTCTGTGGATATATATACATATATATATCATTTTATAAGTTCCTATTATTTTCACTAACAATTTACAGAAAATATTACTATATTAAATTTTCGCACAAGGTCGGCCATTATCAAAATACACACTCAGATATAATCTTTGTGACCACTTTTCATTTTCACAGGATACTAATTGTCAGTTCTTTTGTATTGTAGCTGCGTGAACTTGAGAGGGGAGTTGACATCTTGGTTGCAACACCTGGTAGATTGGTTGATTTGCTTGAGAGAGCTAAAGTTTCATTACAAATGATAAGATATCTGGCTCTTGATGAGGCAGACAGAATGCTTGACATGGGTTTCGAGCCTCAGATCAGGAAAATAGTGGAACAGATGGATATGCCTCCTCGTGGTGAAAGACAAACGATGCTGTTTAGTGCTACCTTCCCCAAAGAGATTCAGGTTTAAGTCGCATATTGGTTTTAGTTTTGGTTTTAGTTTTCTATATTGTCGGCTTCCCTTTCCTTGCAGTACTAACCCGTTCTTAAGATGATTAGGGATCATATGTAGTGGATCCTGCCATTGAAGCCTCTCTTTCCTCTCTCTCTCTCTCACTCACTCACTCTTTTAAACATGAAACCTTCACATGTTAAAACAGTTTTTGTAGCTGGATTTAGTTTCCTTTAAGTAGTGGCTTGTTTCATTCATATTTGGCATGGATTGATTAATAATTTATTGTTTATTTTGACTGCCGTTTAGAATGAAATTTTGAATACTAGCTGCGCGCTTTGAATGGACAGTGTGCTTGTACTTCTGGCTTGTACACTAAAATAAACACATCCAAGATTGGAAGTGGCATAACAAAATCTATATTCTTATGTTTATTTGGGGTTGACTAGTTGCTTGGTAGACTGATCTGTAATATAGTTAAAATAAACACATCCAAGATGTACCTTACTAAACATGTAACTAAGCAGTTGATTAGTTGCTTTGTAGACTGATCTGTAATATAGTTGAAATCTGAAAATTTCTGTTTTGGTGTGCAGAGATTGGCATCTGATTTTCTTGCAAGGTACATCTTTTTGGCTGTTGGAAGGGTTGGTTCCAGTACAGATTTAATTGTTCAAAGAGTGGAGTTTGTACATGAGGCTGACAAGAGAAGTTATTTGATGGATCTACTTCATGCACAGAGGGCTAATGGAGCTCAGGGAAAGGTAGAAATCTGGACTTGACTTGCAAAGATATACATATAATATTTAATCTCACTCATTTTTTCTTTTATATTTTTGATCCATATATTCTACCTTATAGTTTATTTATTTATTTATGTAATATATATTCTATAAGGGGATTGGTAATGATATTAAGATACTTTACCGCTCATTGAATTAGTTAAGAGTGTTTCGGTCATTTGTAGTTGGTTAGAATCTGATATTATGTGTAATACTATTACGTCTGTTTGAATGCCCAGGTTGTTTGTAATCAAGTGCTGAAATATTCCATGTTAATAAAATTTTAGACTGGTCATTTTTTCATTCATACGGACAATTATTCTACCTGTATATGGTGCCAAATATTAGCAACAGCTAAGACTAATTTATTTAAGGTGTGCTCGTGACACTACCTACTGCAGTTGCAAGCCTTTCGCCTAGGCTTCGATCTCATGGATTTTCTTCCCTATGATGGTTTCTTCTACAATGTTTATGTTTATCTTCATGGTTCATAATGGATATGTATTCAGTGTTCCGGTTTTTGACTCTCTCATTTTTCAAATCCTCTATTGTTATACCTACAGTTCCTGATTTTGACCTATTTGTGCAGCAATCTCTCACTCTAGTATTTGTGGAGACTAAGAGAAAAGCTGATTCATTGGAGCACTGGCTATGCAGCAATGGTTTTCCTGCCACTACTATTCATGGAGATAGATCACAACAAGTAAGAAGATTATAAGAATTTCTTGACTTAATATTGAAACTGTTCATTCGAATGATTTTTGATGACCTGCTCTAAGTTGCGATGGAATCTGAAAGAACGTTTGTTTGTCATACCATTTTTTGTTTGGTTCGTTGTGTGATTAATCTGATTGATTGATTGGTCTGTTGTTGCAGGAAAGAGAGCTGGCTTTAAGATCATTCAAGAGTGGACACACTCCAATATTAGTTGCAACAGATGTGGCAGCTCGCGGTCTCGACATTCCCCATGTTGCTCACGTGATCAACTTTGATCTCCCCCATGACATTGACGACTATGTACATCGGATAGGGCGAACAGGCCGTGCCGGAAAGACAGGGCTGGCGACAGCGTTCTTCAACGAAAGCAACATGTCTATGGCAAAGTCGCTTGCGGATTTGATGAAGGAAGCGAATCAGGAAGTGCCCGATTGGCTGACTCGGTTTGCAAGCAGAGCTTCATATGGAACTAAAAGTAGGCGTGGAGGGGGCCGGTTTGGCGGCCGCGACTTCAGAAGGGATTCGTCTTATAGGAGCGGCGGCGGAAATGACTATTATGGTGGCGGAAGTGGAGGAGGATACGGCGGTGGTGGAGGATACGGCGGTGGTTATGGTGGTGCCGGAGGACATGGATCTTCGTCTGCTTGGGATTGAGCTTCTTCCCCATTCCATGTTGTACCCTTTTAATGTTATTTGGCTATGGTGGGTGGGTACCCCCATTATGATATTATTACTATTATACCCTTTTTGTTTCTTGTTCTTTGACTCTGTCCCTACTCTCCAACAATGGAGGGAGAAGATGCATAAGATCCTCGATTTAAGGCGATTGATTCTCCATGAGATATATAGACCACAAGACACTGATGATGATGATAAGCACTTTTGACTTGTTGCTATTTAGGAAGAGGTCTGTATTTGTATGTCTGTGTCTTGTCTCTCTTTGCCTGTTGTACCTTTACGACACAGACAGAGTGTTGAGGGTGTAGCAAGATCCTTCCTAAGAATTAATTATTTTTTGTTGCTTTAAATTGGAATTGGAATTGAAATTGATATAGTTGATAGTTTTGTTATGCATGTTTGCTTGCTACTTTAAGGCTCCTCCACATCTATCAAAATTAACAAGTGGGTTAAACGGTGTAAAAACTTCTTGATTTAATGTTCTGGTTGCTGGGAATTTCTTTTTTGTTGTTGATTTGAATCAATCAAGAAAAAAATTGCATCCAATTTAGGAATGACATAATATTTTTGTCATATATGATTATATAATACTTCCCCCTCCCTCCGTCCCAAACAAAGTGCAACATTTATTTTTTTGGTACGTGTTTTTAGGTTGTTTTTAGATATTAAGTAAGATAATTTAAAAATTAAGTGATTATGATGAAGAGAATAATGTGATAAAATGTTGGAGGGTATCCGGGACGGAGAGAGTACTTTGTTCTGATCTTTTATGCCATTTTGTTTGAACATAACAATTAAAGAAATAATAATATTAAAATTTTTGAATATTGAATATCGAATATTTTAAAGCTCTCAACCAAGAATACATCAAATATAGCACTGACTTGGCAGCAGTGGAAAAATGATAGTTCAAAAATACACCACCATTGAAAATTGTTAAACTTCAATGAAAAATATAGAGATATATAATTAGAAGTTTTAACAATGGGAGAAGGCCGGATTCGAAGAGGGATTTGATCAATCTCTTAACCTTCCCGGACTAGATCAGGTTTTAAAATTTTAATATCCCGTAATGGTTATAAAATTCTGAACCCAAATCCGCCCTATTAATACCAGGAACGGGGCAAAACCCGCCACTATTGCCACCCCCGGAGAAATTATATTCACCTATCACACTAGCACAAATCTTTCAACCACTTTCTTCATCAGAATCAGCTTCATCCCCTGATTCATAACTCCCATTTTCCAATTCAAACTCATCTTCATCACTGTCCTCATCCACATTGTCTTCTTTCTCATTATCTAGATCAACAAGATGAGATAGCATTACGTTAGCTTTATTCCGATAGATCAGCCCATTTCTCATAACATAGTAAATTTTATCTCTGTGGCGTGCAAGAGGGTGTGGATCAACCAATCTTCCTCGGCGATAACCCTCTCTCAATGCCACTGTTGTAGTCTTGCATTTCAGCGAGAGGTAAAATATTCCCGGGTATCTGGTAAATACACGAGTAAATTTGTGTGGAAGATTCAGTTCCTCCCTCAAGCTTCTCAAGTAATTTCTTTTTGTCTTCTTGTAAATGGTCAAGCTTAAGAACTCATGCAGCATCCCGACAACACGTTTCTCCATAAGATCACTATTTGGGTCGATCCCCCTTGAATCTTCATAAGGAGAAATGTAAGGCAACTTTTGAAATTCATCCATCCATGCTTTCACCTTCTTTTGTGCCCCATAACCCCTTGGGAAACTCATAGAGAACTCTAATGCAGCCTTTCCCCTCTTGAATGCTTTGTAGCCAGAGAGGCCAATGTTATTGTTACCATTAACATCTTCCCCCATCATATTCTTTTCGTTCATTTTCTGCAATGTAGAAACTGAAAATTCGTCACGCCACCGGACGAGCTTCAAGCAGATTGACCCATCTGTTCCCTTCACTACCTGGAACTGTTCTGGATGTCTTTTAATGAAGTTTCTATCGAAATCATCAGGCAATCCCAAGTCCCATTTTAATGCATGTAGAGATTGCAATGGCAGCTGTGAAGACACAAAAGCATTATTGACAAAAATGAAGACGACAAGAGAACTCCATCAAATTAACATAGCTCGATACTTATAATGCAGCAACCACTCCAGTCTATTCATGGAACAATTTCATCTCTATACTCCACAAATATCTCAAAGAAGAAGAAGAAGAATCTATACCATTTTACTTTTGGTCATCATGATGATCCGGCAAAGCCTTTCCACAATATCAGCTTCGCAGTCCTCGAAAATCTTATTTTCCTTCTCTTGCAACATCTTCCCTACGTCGGTCAACTTGAAACACGGCAAAGAGGGGTACTTTGGGTGAGGGTACTCCTGGAAGAGAGAGGGGTACCTCCGGACGAAGCGCAGGGTTGGAACGGTGAGACCGAGCAGCTTTTGAGAGTCTGAAAGAGATCTCTCCGTGAGATAGCCGGTAGGGGAGCGGGCTATGGCATCCTTGATAAGGCACGCAGCTTTGATGTCGGTTTGGAGGTCGATGATGTGGTCGAGCGAGCGGTTTTTCACCCATTTCAACCGAACTCTGGCAATGGAGCGAGACTGTTGGAGATTGTAGAGCGGTACTTTTGATGATGCTAGGAAGAGGAACGGGAAATTGAAGATCATGGCCGACCGATTCTTCTCGTCATTTGCTTGCAGAATGAATCCCCAATTCGCAAACCCAAACCCTACCTACCAAAAATCCCCAATTCCATCGAGAAGCTAATTTGAAATTGGGCCTATATGAATGGGCTCAGGCATTTGAATCTGAAAATGGGCCGGGCCTGTAACATTAATTGGGCTTAGGGATTTGCGGTGGGGGTATATTCGTCATTTTGCTATCAATAAAATTATAAGGAAGGAATTTACTCATTCATCTGTTCGTCGTCAATCTTGATCGGGTGGAGCTTTTCCCAATCTCCCATGGCTTCCCCCTTCTTCTCAGAACTCACCTACTCCGACAGTCTTACTGTTCTCGGAATCTCCGTATGCACCGCTCTCGTCTGCGAAGCCATCTCTTGGCTGCTTATCTACCGCACCGCCTCCTATAAATCCCTAAAATCCTCCATCGACAAAGCCTCCAAAAAGCTCGAAACCATGAAAACCACCGATGCAGCTTCTACCGTCCTCAAGAAGTCATCCAAGACCAAAAAGATCGACCGCGTCGAAACCTCTCTAAAGGAATCCAGCCGCGATCTCTCCATGTTCAAATTCAAATCCGGCGCCGTTGTTGCCCTAGTTTTGTTCATGGTTTTCGGATTGCTAAACAGTTTGTTCGAAGGCAAAGTGGTAGCCAAAATTCCGTTTGTTCCGATAAGATTGGTGCAGAAGATGAGCCACAGGGGCTTGCCGGGGGACGATATGACGGATTGTTCGATGGCCTTTTTGTACTTGCTGTGTTCGATCAGCATTAGGACTAACTTGCAGAAGTTTTTGGGTTTTGCGCCGCCGCGTGGAGCTGCTGGTGCTAGCTTATTCCCCATGCCTGATCCTAAAGCCAGTTGACCAGCCACAAGATTGATAGCATTTCGGTAATATCACTAGTTATGCGTCTTTTAATTATTTGTTATGCTTGTTATTGGATATTGAGGATCTTAGATACTATTTCTACTTCAAGATCAATGGATTTTCACTAGACTCTTCAGGATCCCATTGATATGTGATTTATGTAAGGATCAAGTTGTACATCGTGATTATCTATCTGTCTCACAAGTTTTAGATCCTCAGACTTTCATATTAGATTTAGGTGAAAATTCAGGCTGACATTCATACTCTTTATGGAGGGTGAATCAATTGCAGCAGTAGCTGATTCAATCACCTTCCTTTACAGTTCTTTCTTTTGTGAGAAAGTGGTGAAATTATGTGTTTTCTATCTGGCCTTTTGTTTTGTTTGTTGTGTAGCTCTTCAATCTATCGTTATTATTATGCACGTTCGTGTAATGTGAAAGTGATTACACTCACGAAATGTGATGCATAATTGATTTTTTTCAGAACTTTTTAAGTGTTTTGATCTCAATACCTTGAGTGTGGGTGTCCCATAGGTATTACTAGGTTGGTGGCTATTATGAATGAACTCAATTTGCTTACTTGTTATTGAACTCTAGTTACTTAACTCGGGTCGTGCTTGTTCTATATATAAGTTCCTTAGAATTTCTCGTATGTTTTTCGTGGATTAGCATATCGAGGGCCCACCCATTGACTAAAGTTTGTTATATACCCTGCAAGATGAAATTTGACTTACTACTTTTGTATGGCAGAATTTAGGCTGATTGAAAAAATCGAATCTCCGTGTCTGTGTGAGAAAGACAAAATGAGTATAGAGTGGCTTGTTAACCTGCGCATATTAATTGTTCAAAATTTGATGTTTTGTAGTTATCGAAGACTTAACTCATGTTTGATCCGAAATTTAAGGGCATTTCCAACCCGGTGCCATTAATGGCTCTGGGTTGGTTGATTTGGCGTTAGTTGGAACCTAACCGACGCCAAATCTCATGCTAATTTTTGGCATTTTGTTGTTGCACCGTAGCAACGCCAAGTTTTGGCATTTTGTTGTTGCACTGTGGTAACGTCAATTTGTTGCCTTTTATTTATTTTATTTTTTTAATAAATTAGTGTAAATTATAAAAATAAAAAGTTATTTTAAATAATATATAAAATAGAATATTTGAAGAATATTAATGAAAATAGAGTTAATAGTTGAAATAAAAATAGTATAGCAACTGCATTTATGAAGTTAAAAATTTACCGGTTGAAGATGGTCTAAATCGGCTGGGGATTTCGGTTTTGATTGTGGCCTTCCTCGTTCAGGTCTTTAGTTTTCATTCCTTAATTGATTTAACTGTTGGATTAGGAGCTTCTGCCCAGCTGTGGAATGATTAAAGGCTGTCATTGTAGTCCATCTGTCCTACATAATTTGTCTTTTTCTTTTATTTTTTAATTTTAATTTAACTATTTAGTTATCTTAATCTTAAACTAAATACATTTCTTAATTAATTACTAAGTATATTTTACCTAAATTTTCGTATATACACTAATACACCCATATTATATGGAACCATATTAAATGGAACGGAGGGAGTAATAAACTGCTTCTTGTTCGTTACATAGTTTCATAGATTTTGTGTAATTCGAATGGTGCAGAGTCAAAAGCCCATTTGGACAACCAATTGATGCCTCAGTTAAATCTGAAACAGATGTTGCTCCTCTGTAAATCTGTGTAGCAAATACTCTTTCGGTCCCGGTGCAAGGTTGCCGTTTACGATTTTTGAATATTAGTATTATAATGAGTTGCAGTGAAAAAGACGAAAATACCCTATTAGTATTGAGTAATATAAAAATAATGACATTTGTGTAATATAGTGTAAGTTGGAAGGATATTTATTATGTTAGATAGATAGTACACTTACTAAATTAGGAAATGAAACCTTGTTTTGACACGGACGAAAATAAAAAATAACAACCTTTCAATATGACAGGGGGAGTATAATATTTTCTCCATCCGGCTCTAAAGGTCTTTTTTATCTTTTGCGTTATTGTACTTTTCATTTAAAATATTCTTATATTTGTATAATTATTTTGTACATATGTCATTGTAATAGTATTATAAGACACTAATAGAAGTATTTTTGTCATTGAGGCCCTTAGAACCGAAGATAACATATGTTGCTCTTCCTTTACAGTGACACAGTCGTTGGGTTCATTAACGAACATTAGTTTTAAGATTCTTTTGCATTATCAATTGGTAATTTCAAGGTTTTGTTTATGGGGGAGATGAAAGGATAGTGTGGTCGTAGGTACCGTACCACCTATTTGTGATAAATAGTGAGGACCCTACCCTAGCATTTCATCTTTCGGGCCACTATAGTTTGTACTAGTGGCTCCAGTTTGTTACTTGGGACTGTAGGAACTGTTGAACAAATGTGGTACACATTGGAATGGGTGTTATCGTTAAAATTTATGGCAGCGTATGATTTAGATTTGGTCTGAAAATAATGTTTAATGAGATATTTTGTGAAAAAAAATATATATTTTTTTCGGAAGACGCAAAGTTCAAATAGTAAAATTTGGAAAAATATTGCTAAAGAAATATACCCTATGTTATTCGGACTAGTGGTCAATTATGTTAAGAATCTAGTTATGGTTTGTTTCTTTTTAGCATGGTAGGTTTCAATTTTTATTTAAGTAATATATATATATATTCAGAAAATACAAAGGGTGTGTTTGTTGCGCGAGATAATTTGAAAGGATATTATTTTATGTGAGGTATGAAAAATTGTGTATAGAATATAGAAATAATAAATGTATATGCTGTCTTAATTTTTTTGAAAAAATGTGTAAAAAAAGATAAAAGTGAACAAACCCAAAGTTTAAGTAGTAAAAAGAATATTAGTGTATATAGAAAAATTTGATTCGACTTTAAAAGCGCTTTGTGCAGGCGAAGCACTTCGGAAGGTGTCTCTCATTTCTTTTTCATCCAAATATTTGCACAAACACACTATCTCAAACTCCCACCACTTTCAAATTGAACCGATTTCTTCGTTGAAAATCCAACTTCTCAATATCTCAACCAAAGGCAAATCGAATCGATTTCTTCATTGAAAACCCAACATTTGAAAATGAGGAAACAATTAAGCGAAACAAATTGGATGGAAAAAATCAAATCGGTTTTGGTGATTCTCGTCCACGGACATTCGCCGTCGGTCATTTCCAACGGCAATCTTCTCCGATGTGCGCCATGGGCTCATCGGACAAAGAGATTTCAGTAGGTAATAAATGCGAGTTGCAAAGAAGGGTTTGAAAAAGGAGATAGAAAGAAAAATGAGACGGAGAGCCACTGTGAACGATTTAGGAATAGCAAAAAAAGAATTTGAGAGAGATTTTGACACAAAATTCAGGACCAATGTAGAAGTATTTTTTTGTCAAAACAATTGTGTGCTCTTACTATGGGGTGAGTTTGGATGTACTAGTGGTGTGTTTGTTTGGGGGATTGGATTGGATTTACACTATTTATCAAATCAAACACCTATTTTTTATTTTTTATATTATACTAAAAATCAATTTTACATTCAAAATATCACATCAACACCTATTTATATCACATCATACAATTATTCAAATTCAAATTTTTTTTACTATTCAAATTCCAACTCAAAATCCAAACTCCCAAACAAACACACCCCGTGTATTATATTAAAATATATAATTTCCTATACTTTTATTGTAATGGTAAGCACTATAATAATTCTATAATTAACGATAATCAATTTTTCTATGTGATTGATTGATATCTAAGTGAATATTCGACGTATGTTATTCTGTATTTAATAAAGTAAAATAAATATACTATTCCCTTCGTCCCACGTATCATGTCTACGTTGCCGTTTCTGTCCGTCCCACATTTCATGTCACTTTTTTTTTGAAAATAATTACACACTTTAATATCATTTTAAACTTTTTAATTTATTTTTTTAATTGTAATTAAACTAATTAGTTATCTTAATCTTAATTTATAATAATTATTAATTAGTATCATCCTACAAAATAAACACATTCTTCTAGTAATAGATTTAAAAATAGGGGGAGACTTTTGGATGCAAACTTCCATTTACATAATTATATTAATCCAAGGATGATCTGATAGTATATGATAGACTCGTGACTGTGAAATCATGAGTTCAAATGTCCAACGTCTTTAAGTTTTGTCTGTCACATATGATTTGTCTAGTGTGATTTGTCTTGTAAAATTTAGTTTGTAGGCTATCAAGTTAGGCTGGAGGTTGTTGAGTGCGACTGCGAATTCCTATGTTATAATAAAACAAAAAGACAAAAAGAGGAAAAGGGGAAGAGTGCTTTAGACAACATGAATTAGCATGCATATTGTACAAGTATTATCGATGCAAATGCGGATTCCTATATTATAAAAAAGAAAAACAAAAAGAGTAGTAGTAGTAGTTGATGTATGATTCTGATCATATGTTATATTGCTTGAGTTGTGTGTGCGCGGGGACGGAACTACATATTAATTTTTTTTAGTATTAAAAATATTAATTTTTATGTATTTATATACAATTTGCTCCCCAAATTTATTTAAATTTATATCTAATTTTGTCATTATTATTTATTTAAATTTATTAGCTAAATATTAAATAAATTATAATATTTTGCCCTCCCGGAATTTAGATACTAGTTTCGTGACTGGGTGTGGGTCAAAGTTGTATGTATGTATGTATGTATATACAAAGATGGATAGAGAGAAACACTGAGAAAAGTGGAGACGAGACATGGAATTAAATCTGGTGTGATTAAGGATTACAACTGTAGAAAAAGTTGACAGCGGAAGGGACAGACAAATTCCTCATCAAGCAATGATAATAATAACAATACATATATCTATAGTATAATTTTAATAATGTCTTTCTTGGTAGCTAGTTAATTTAACCACAAGTAGCTGGCAGGCACTGAGGGCATCTCCAACCCAATAGCGTTGGGTTGGATGATTTGGCGTCGGTTGAAATCCAGCGATATTTTTTGGCGTTGGTTGAAATCCAACGCCTTATTTTAAATTATAAAAATAAAAAATTATTTAAAATAATAAAAAAAAATTGAATATTTGAAGAATAATAGTAAAAAATAAAGTTATGATTGAAGTAAAATTATTGTAGCAACGGCATATTTAGAGTTAAAACGTGCTTATCAGCGCCTCATTTTCATACTTTAAGGCGTGTTTGTTTGGGGGATTGAATTATAAATTCACTATTCATCTCATTTTTTCCCCCAAAAATATCAAATCAAACACCTATTTTTTATTTTTTATATTATACTAGAAATTAATTTTACATTCAAAATATCACATCAACACATATTTATATCACATCATACAACTATTCAAATTCAAAATTTTCACTATTCAAATCCCAACTCAAAATCATGGCAGATTCTTTATATTATAATTATAGTACAACAAGTAAAGAGCAATATATGTTATAATATGAATGATGATTAATGGAGGAGAGCTGAGATTATTCCATATACAAAGAAAAAAAAATCAGTCCGAGTGCTTGTGCATGTAAAGTCAACATCGAAAAACAAACGAATGAAGGAGTATATACTGACACACACATATACATACATATATATATATATATTATGAGTGTGTTTGTTTGGGATACTTTTTCAAATTTTCTATATTAATCAATTTTTTTTTTAAAAAAAATCAAATCAAATAATTACTTTTTATTCTTTTTTATATTATACTATTTCCGTCCGACTCTAAGGGTCTCATTTACTTTTTGCATGTTAGATATTTGAATATTAATTATTATATCAAAACGTAGAACAAATTAAGAAAAAATTACAAAAATACTTTTATTAGTGTCTTATAATATTAATATAAGGATATTTGTACAAAAAAAATTATATAAATATAAGTATATTTTTAATATTAAGTACAATAATGCAAAAAATTAAAAATAAATGTGTCCTTAGAGACCGACGGATGGAGTACTAAAAATCAATTTTACATTCAAAACATCATATCACACATATTTATACTCCCTCCGTCCCATAACTATGTATCCATTTGCTTTTTGTAAGAAGTTTTAGAAATATTAATGTTATACAGAGATATAGTAGGAATAAAATGAAAATGACTAAAATAACCTTATTAATATTGCGTGATATAAAAGTAACGACATCTATGTAATATATTGTAAGTTGTAAAGGTATTTGTAATGTTAGGTAAATAGTTATATGACGGAGGGAATATTACTGATCCAAACACCCGAATAAACACACCCTATAGAGAGGCATAGGCATACGTAGGTGGGGTCCACAGAGGAGTGATATTAGGGGTTTGTTTGTTTGAGGGATTTGTTTGGATTTCTATTATTCATCCTATTTTCCCCCCAAAATATCAAATCAAACACATATTTTTTATTTTTTATATTATACTAAAAAATCAATTTTACATTCAAAACATCACATTAACACTTATTTATATCACATCATACAACTATTCAAATTCAAATTTTTTACTATTCAAATCCCAACTCAAAATCCAAACCTTCAAACAAATACACCCCTAGATGCACTTGGAGAATGAATTAGACACACAATACGAGTAGGCGTTACTACTTACTACTACTACTACTAATAATAATATACGACGAAGACAGACGGACAGACAGACGGCGACAGCTACCACGTTATATGTATGGGTTTAGCTCTTAGCAAGAGCGTTTAGCACTTTACTTAAAAAAGGTTCCATATTTTAAATTTTAGTTCATATAATAATTATTATAATTTTATTTAGATTTTATTCTATATATCTTTTCAGTAATTATTCAATTTAATTTTAATTTTAAAATTACACTCTAACAATAATTTTTAAAAATTAATCTCAATTTTATTGTCTTCTGCTTTAATATTTATTAATATTAGATACATTTTAATTTAATTTAAATTTTATCTCATACTCCTTCAGTCCAAGCAAGAAGTATACATTTATTTTTAGCAAGTAAAAATAGTGTAATGACATTTTTGCCCTTATTTATATTTAATAAAATAGTTACTTCGTAATTAGACGTCCCAAAATAGAAATATGTATACTTTGTAGTTAGAGTAAATATTATTTTCTACAATTACTCAATCTACTTCTAATAAATTCTAACCAGAATTTTTCTAAAATTAATCTCAAATCTAATTTTAATTATAATAAACTCTAGTCAGATTTTTTTTTTTTTTAATTAATCATATATTCATCATCTTTAGAATTTGTAATTATTATTGAGTTATTGATTTTTATAATAGACCCATTAGTCTACCCCATCCCACACCAACAAATCATCCCTTGTGTTATTTATTATATACTTTTGTAAAATTTATTACTATTATATTTGTGGTCGATATAATTTTTTTTAAAAAAATTATTGTTTATTGAGCCTATCATTTATGTTTTTTCTCAAAATCTTAAAAAAAATTTGAAACGACCCAGATAGTAATAGTAACGTGGTGGAACAAATGATTGAGATTGCGATTGTAAGTGCAATTAATTAACTAAGGGTGTGTTTGTTTGGGAGTTTGGATTTTGAGTTGGAATTTGAATAGTAAAAATTTTGAATTTGAATAGTTGTATGATACTATATAAATAAGTGTTAATGTGATGTTTTGAATGTAAAATTGATTTTTAGTACTCCCTCCGTCCCAGATACCATGTCCACGTTGCCATTTCTTTCCGTCTCACATACCATGTCACTTTCCTTTTTTTGGAAAATGATTACACATTTTAATCTCATTTTAAATTTTTAATTTTTTTTAATTTTAATTAAACTAATTAGTTATCTTAATCTTATTTATATTACAGGATAATTATTTTCACTAATACATTCTTAATTATAATACATTTTTAATTATCTACTAATTACACCCCTCCTAAAATACCTAAAATACCGTGTCTACAGTGTAGCAGACACGGTGTCTAGGACGGAGGGAGTATAATATAAATTATGAAAAATAGGTGTTTGATTTGATATTTTTAAGAAAAAAAAAATGAGATGAATAGTAGAAATTAAATCCAATCCCCCAAACAAACACACAGTAAGGGTAAGAATATGTATCTAGAATCTAGATAGATTGATAGAGAGGTCCATTGTAATCATCAAAGTGAAAGGAAAAAGAGGCGAAGGAGAAAAGAGAGAAGAACAAATAATTGCTGTAGGGGTCAAGCTGGCTGGCATGCTTCGCCCCCATATCATAACAAACAAACTATAATTAATAAACTAAACTGTTATCTTCTTCATCTTTTTCATCAGACTAGTAAGACAGAAACTTGTTTTTACTTCGACAAGAAAAAAAGAAGATGCGTATCTACCAATTTATCTCCCCTCATCAACTTAAGTAGTTGTCTTGTTGGCCCCTTGAAAATAGCAAAACATAGAAAGCTGTACATGTTGACAAAAATGTCTTCTTTTCTTATACATGAAGATGACACTCACCTACTTTACTTATTGGGCCTTCTCTCTCCTCCTCTCTCTCTCTCAACTATGTACATATTCTTTTGTGTTTTCTCTTGTGTAAACACACATATAGAGGACTTGCAGAGTATGTATATAAAGAGGGTTTAGTGCTGCTTTAGGAATGAAACAGTACAAACACATGCATATATATATATATATACATATAATTATAAGAGGGATGTGGACATTTTGAGTAAAAGACTATTCATTCTTCCTTTGTGTTGGTAACCATATTCATTCCCTAAATAACTAAAGCTATGTATATGTATATATGAGACAGAGTCTTCCCTGAACAGGAAAATCCAAGGTAACCAAGCTAGGTGATAATTGTAGCAATTGCTAAATCAAGAATGGTTAATGACTGCTCGCATCTCTGTCCAAAATGAGGGTATTGAAGGAAGAAAACCAAGTTGTAGCAAGCAGTACATGTGAAAAATACAAGAACAAGTTAGAATCTCTCTCTCTCTCTCTCTCTCTCTCTCTCTCTCTTCTAGTCCATGTGTTTAGTATTGGATGCTAACAGTAGTAAGTAACATACATATTAGGACTGGACCACATTGCAGAATGGCTCTGATAGACAGGACAGAGTCATTAATTAAGAACTAACAAGTACTTCTAAGTGGTCCCTTCCAATCCCTCCTCCTCCTCAGAGATTATTTTTATTAGTAATTGGAATGAATGAACTAATTAATTAATCACATTTTTTATGATTTATACTCACATTCATAGTAGTAGTAGGCAAGCTATTGCAATAGCTCCCAAAAAACAAAAGAAGATACATACATATGGGCAATTAGCACCAGTCCTTTTCAAATCATAACTGGTACAAACCCCTTTTATACTTTAATACTACTACTAAGATTATTATGTGTTACATTTCAACTTATATTAGGATTGCAAGGAAGTTCTATCTCTATCCCTGATTGCAGCAGGATCTTGATGATGGGATTTAGTAAAGATTAAAGTAAGGACAGAAAGAAAAGGACTAAGGATTCAACAATCAACTCATGTTAAAAGATATTTTTCATTCATTCATTCATTCATGTTGATCATGCTATGCTATACTATGGTTTGATGACAATGCTGATTGTTATGATATCAGACAATGACTTGGAATTAGAGAAGAAGATCCTCCTGTCACTTGTCTCCTTTTCCAAACATCCCAATAACCACACAAGTATACTATAGTATTATATATAATATAGTATAGGTAGATAGATAGATATGCAACAACTGTGCAGGCAGGCAGGCTCCCAAGCTAAAGAATGAGATCTATATTAACCTGCTGGCTTGGTTGCTGTAGGCATATATCACACACAAATGGTGGGGGTGGGGGGGCCTTATCTGCCTTGTTTCATCAAAAGAATTTAGAGTTCAGCTCCAATATTAAACCTTGGATGTATGACTACTCCATTTTAATTAGGTCCCACCATACCACACCACACCTCCCCTCCTCTTCTTCTCCCTTCTTAGCTTCTTTCCTTCCTTTCCTTCCACATTCACCTTAACAATTTTCTTCCCACTCACATAATTAAATTCATGGAGAAGACTGAGAGAGAGACTCGAGATTTCATGAACGTCGAGTCCTTCTCTCAGCTGCCCTTTATCCGCCCTGCTCCCCAACTGCTCAAAGAAAAGGGTGCTGCCATTAGGCTTTTCGGCAAAGAATTCGGCTGCACCACCAGCAGCAGTAGAGACCATGATCATGCAGACTCTGCTCGTGATGCCGAAGCAAGTAAAGATAGCAGCGGTGATAACACTCCAGAGGCCAGCAGCAGGAAATTCGAATGCCATTACTGCTGCAGAAACTTCCCCACTTCTCAAGCACTTGGGGGTCATCAAAACGCGCATAAGAGGGAGCGCCAGCAAGCAAAACGCGCCCACCTACAGTCGGCAATGGTGCACGATGCACATGTTTATGGCCTCATGAGCAACTACACCCGCCTAGGCTCATCAGCCCCACCACTTCCTATGCCTTATCACTCTTGGAGCAGCAACAACAGCAGTAGCAACATCCCCTATGGCGGCCACAGCAGGCTCTTTGGTAGCCATGGCTCCTACAACTCTCATCATCCACAACCCATTAATGGGAGTCCCCTGGGACTGTGGCAAGCACCGGAAACTCATGGATTGTCGGTGTACAGTGCTCGGGATCGCCAGCATCATCAGCAAATTCCACTGTTTAATTCCAAGGATGAGCTGAATCCATTATCATCGTCATCAATACCTCCTGGTTCTCAGTTCCAACTAGGATACAGACAGAAGCCTAACATGCAAGAGACTGTGAGTTTGGATTTACATCTTTAGTTAATACATGCTCATACTGCATCTTGCATCCTCACAGCCACAGGATGTGAATTGATTTTACTATTGGTGTTTCTTGAGCAAAACTGAGGAATAGCTAGCTAGCCTACAATTCTGTTTGTTGAACAAAGTAAGAGGACACTGTCTTCGATTTCTAGTAAGACTACAATCAGTTCAGTTGATTGTTTTCAACAATGAGATTGTTATTATATTGATATTCCCCACCCTGAGATTAGACTAGACAAAACTCCAGTCTTCTGAACCCATATCAATTACAACATAGAATCCAATTCTTAGATAGGATAAGACAGGACAAGGTAGGATTGCTTGCGTATATCTCAACCTATCCTTGTGCTCCAACTGTTAGTGTCGGTAGCTTCAACACAAAATCTTGCCCAGATGGGAAAGGGAAGCAAAAGGGGGGCAACACTTAGCTTTTATGTATGTATGTATGTATGTATATATGTTCAATGGCATAGTAACCTCACACAAATAAATATCTGAGACATTATTTTACATGGCATGGCAGTCACAACTACAAGCAAGTTGTATAGGATTGATTATTGACAAACATTCTTCAACATCCAAACTATTACTGTTGTTCTTGTTGTTTGTTTCTAGAGATTGTTTGGTTACTGTAATATATTAGCATTATCCATAGCCATAGCACACCAGTTGAGGTTTGGGGTGGAAGGTGTGGCCATAGGTTGAGATAGAATGTGAGAGCGGTGGCAGTCTAAAGTCCACATAACAATTTGTCCGTAGAGGAACTCTGACAACGTCATATTCATGGCAATGCCAATTCATAGAACCACGAGCATATATACACATCTATATGTAATTAATGCCAAAACCCAATACAACAAAACCATGATTTTTTTCTTCCCCTAATCCTATGGTAAGCATGCATACATATTCTTATATTGTGTTTTGCAGATTTCTCATGATATTCATTCATATTAATCAAGGTTGGATACTTGTTCAGATTATGAATATTATTATCATGCTCGTTTTGAGAGAGAGAGAGAGTGAAGTATATTCATTACCAGTAAAAAACTAGGGTTGTCTGAAGTTGCATAAATGGGTTCTGAGTTCTGACAAACACATGTATGAGAGTATTTATGGAACTACATTATTAATCCACTCAGAGAGCAAAGCACAGTAAACGAAAAGGAATGAATAATAACGAGGAGAGGGTGAGGGTTTACCTAATTTACCTTACCAGAGTTACTACGTTCGGAATCGGATTGGTAGCTAGCTATCGATCGGTACCACTATTCCAGTGTTCCTCTCCTCCAACTATCTCAAGGCCCACAAATTAATTAATGCACTCTCTGGTGGTGAGGACAGAGCAGAGAAACCTACAGAAACCACATTCGCAGAAAGGTTGTCAAGTTAAGGAGCAGAACAAGGACGTATGTATGTATAAATTACTCCCTAATTCACGACTATACCTTAGGACCACAGTGTCAATGAAAATGACAATGGCCATGGAGCAAACTGGCAAATGGCAATGCCCGACCGAGATCATCACGCATTCTGAACAGCGTTCGTTCGATCAAATCTGCACCTGCATTGGGATATATACACACATACATTGTCGATTCGTATTTGGGCTGGGCCGGCCCACTAAGGAAACCCTGTTCAATCCCATCCAGATTTTCAATCTCTCATTTTCATCGTGATTTGCACAATTTGGCAGGCATTTGGCTCCATCGTCGCCGAAATAAAAAAGCAGGTAAATTCTGTAAGTGTATTTACAATTACACCTTTGCTTTCTGGTCAAGCTAAGAATCATTGAGCGTTCTCGGGCGGAGTTGTATGTATGGTTGATGATTTTATGTATTTTGGCCGTTTTATGGGCTCAAAAGTTGAAATAATGTGGGAAAAATCCTCGGTAATATATGTTATCTACAACTAGTCCATGTATTAATTTAGTTCATACCTCCGACTCAGTCGGATTTACTTGGGATTCATTGTATTTTTGTAAATGTGTACCTTGTGATTATGACAATGTCAGTATGGTTGGTTGGAACTATTGCTTCCTGTTCAACCTGTTTTCTGCTTCATAAATTGCAACCAATTCTAAGACTTGTTTAACAACAGTAGATCTTGAGCCGTTGCTTCAGACCTTCTGATTTGATCCTTACTGGCATTTCTAAAACTCTTTGATATCCCTTTAAATCTTTAGTGGGGAAATTGCTGTTTCTTACTTTGAACAAGACAATTAAAGTGATGTGTGATGGTGCTGTGTTCATTTTGATAACAGAATTCATTAAGAAGAGAATACATGTCCCTTTGGAACAGCTCCTCCACCACAATGCTTCAAGTGATCCTGCAGAGGATAAGAAAAAAAAAATGATTAGTTGAAGGCTGAAGCAAAGGCCCGAGCCTCCAACTAAAAAGTCAGCCGTAAGGGCCGCAAACTCCTTTCATGGTGGAAGGTTGAAGGGTGGCATGAGTTTCTTTATTCTTTGTGCCTACACTTTGGGAAGCTGTTACTTTAAACATATTTTCTCATTCTTGTTTCAATTTTGGATAACGATTCAAAGATTATTGGAAAAGGGCAAGCTTGGGGCAGAATGGTGTCTTACCTGAATATTTATGCACCTTGAAGCTACACATAATGAGTTTTTAGAGCGTGTCAGGCTTCCCTGTCAAATATAATGCTTTGATAAATAAACACGATCCATTTACAATGCACATATCATAATATCAAGGATTGTGACCAAATGAGGTGATTGTCATGTGTGTGATTTAGTTTTAGGAGTGGGCATAAAGGAAAGAACCTGGGCTGAAGTAAAGAAATTGTATTCCCGGGTGGTATTTATGTCTCGCATTTTCGTCATTTCCACTTCTTATCCTTTCCTGTCTGTAGAGAATACTTGAGTTAGGAGTCCAGGTTGTGGACTTGCAGCCATTTGTTCACGATGAAGATTTTATGGGCAGCCACGATCTTCTTCATCATTCTCACCGTCTCCTCAAGTTGTCCTCTTACTTCTTGTTTGTGTGGATCTTCTAGTTCTATAGAATCAATTTATTTGTACAATTTTCAGTGATTAATGATTCAAGAATGATGTGTATATTCATTTGCAGCAGCAGGTGCAGATTGGAACAGCAGCCCGGCTTCGATATGGATTCCGGAGCATAGGTGTCGCCATGTACAAACGATGAGTTCCCGGAAATGTAATACAGCCGAATGCACAAAGAGGTGCTCGGGAAGGCTACTTGGCCATGGAAAATGCCGAGGAGTGTATTGCATATGCACTTACTATTGCCCCCAACCTCCCAACTGAAGTCGACAACATTCAAGAACATGTTTTGGAGATCGAAAAACTATATAATATGTAATTAATGATTTTAGTGTGGCATTTGGTAAATATGAAGAAAAATAACAAGGTTTAACTAATCCTTAATTATCAGTAATATTTGATGCTAATTATAGAATAGACTACTAGTGTGTTATATTGTACTATATATGCATATGTTAGTTATATAGGTTTATGTATTTATTATGTACTCACAGCCAGTCACGCGCGCGCGCGCGTATGCATATATATATTGGGTGGGAGACTGATTTTACTCTTCATTTATCCCATTGTCTTCCTTACTGTAAAACCCTAATTCTTCCGATCAATTAAACCCCCCTCCCCTCTTCCCATCCCCAAGTTTTCCTCCGATTTCTCTTTCCAAAGTTACCCCGTTGTCGTCGCCCTCGCCCCTTCCATCAATTCCCGTTGATTCATCGGTATTTTTCTCAATTCTGGCCGGGATGGTTATTCTACTGAATTGATTCTTCTCCAACTTTGCGATATTTGTTAGGGTTTTTAGCTAGCAACGCTGGCGATTGGCGCCTTGTACGGGTGATGGCGGATCCGCCACAAGTCCGCCCCGGGTTGATGATTAAATGTTCGAGTTTATTTCCTTCGGGGTTCGAGCCATCGTTGGAAAAAAAAGGCGAGACATTGGTTTGGGAAAAATGCTAAGTGTGTCGCGGGTATACCTTCCGTCTGATATACCCATTGTAGGTTGCGAGTTGACGCCGTATGTGGTTTTGAAGCGCTCCGATACGTCTGTTATTACCGACTATATTGACGAGTTGCATCCCGTTGACGGGTACTTTTTGAGATATACTTGGTGAGTTTTTACCTGAGGTTTTTCTTTTTAATCCTTCATGGGTGGTTGTAGTTCTAATCATTCCTTTTATGCCAGTATATGTATTGCTATCAAGTAAGAAGAAGTTCAATTTAGGTTCAAAGTATAGTTTTCTGCAGTTCCTGGTTTTCTTCTTTTTTCGGTCTGGAGAAAGATGGAGAGGCTGGTTCTTTTTGCAAACACCTTCACCTATATTTATGAGTCAATTATTGTCCGGATTGTAGGGCTAAATATTAACAAAATGCATAGCCGCTCAATCTTAATCTTTGAAACCCTTATGCATATGTCATAAACGCATAGGTTTCAGAATCTCCTGGGTAAGTTACTCTACTAAATGACACAGTCTGAGTATATTCAAACATGTACATGCAACTTTGTGACAGAGTACCTTTCTAGATTATGGTTTTGTCATCCTTGCTTTCGGGCTTTGTTTAAAGATGTCTGCCTAAGCAATGGATGTGATCTGGTTCCGTTTGGGGATCAATTGCAAATATCTTCCTAACCCATGGCTTTGACTTTGTTCTACTTGCTTTCGTTGCCACTTCCACTGTATCCCAGGTGTTTAGTAGGTAGTTCTTGGCATGGAGGTTGATCTTTTCCCTTACCTTTCCTGTTTTGTCAATTGGTGATGGTTAAGCTTTTTCTGAAAGAGGTGCATGAGGTTGGTTGTGGGCTGGTCTGATTTTGGCATTTATCTGTCTGATCAGTTTGCACAGTGACGCCGACATATATGATGAACACAACGCATAAATCAGTTGCAACTAGTGCCATATGTTCTGCAGCTGGTCGCTGCTCATTTTTGGGATTCCATGCCTGCCATTTATTTGGGATAGAACTTGATGTGTTACTTTACTTGTTTATCAGTGATTAATGTGGGATAGCTTGTTTCCTTAACTACAAGTCAACTACAAGTTGCTAATGTTTCCTATGTAATTATTTTCTTTCAATTCGTACTGTAACTTGTGAAAATTGGGTTTGTCTTGTTTTCAAACTCTTAATCATCAAACCATGTTTCACTATACAACAAAATAGTTTTTTATGGAACACTTCATTTTGGCTAGTTTCCATGATTTTTCCCTTTTTTGATAGTTCGTGTTGATACCAAGTCACCACTTTAAACATGTTGGATGTAGTTTCCTGTTCTGTAGACTGGATGGCATGAAGTTGTGATCTTCAATATGCAATTTTGTGAATTATGTTTCCATTTGAAGATTGTTGTATGTGGCAGGTATCGTATACAAAGTGAGAAAAAGGCTGCTGTTTGTAGCGTCCACCCATCTGAGCTGGCTACGTTACAATGCCTTGGATGTGTTAAGGCGAAAATACCTGTTGCTAAGAGCTATCATTGTTCTTCAAAATGTTTCAAGGCTGCCTGGCAACATCACCGAGTTCTTCATGAGCGAGCTGCTAGCGCTGTGAATGAAAATGGTAATGAGGAGGATGAGATGTTTGGCCGCTTCAACGGTACTGGTAGCAGTGCAGGATTATCAGCTTCTCAATCAATCCCAAGCTTGTCAAATGGCTCCACTGCAGTGTATCCGGCTTCGGTTACTCAAAGAAGAAGTGGTGAAACCTTGTTTGAAATTGGTTGTTGTAAGACCTATACACCAAAGGTCGATGACATTGGTCATGTCCTTAGATTCGAGTGTGTTGTGGTAGATGTTGAAACAAAGTTAGCTGTGGGATCTGCTACCCCCTTATCAACATCTCGTGTTATTCCAGCTCCTTTGCCAAGCCCGAGACGCATGATTTCTGTGGGTGGAATAGATGTTGCTGGAAATCACGATTTGGATGGTCGCACCTTAGCTGTAGGGACCTTTACACTGCTCTCATACAACATTCTCTCAGACGCATTTGCTACAACTGATCAATACAGCTATTGCCCATCTTGGGCTCTTTCTTGGCCTTACCGTAGGCAGAACCTGTTACGAGAAATAGTTGGTTACCAGGCAGATATTATTTGTCTCCAGGAGGTATGTGGAAACTTCCTATACTTTTGCCCCCAAAGCCTTGAATATTATTATATCATCATTTTATGTTACAATTGTTGGAAACAAGACATTTTATTCTCTTGAGACGCTCTGCATTGGGTAAAGGTGGGACATGATTTGGTAGAGTGGCAGGTGTACCATATATCTGAGCCAATGATTAATTTATAGATGTGCAATTCTTCACTTGGTGGTGTCTGGAGGCCTTGTCAAGATGTGTATGCTAATAATTTTGACCTCTGTAACCTTCTCTTTATTTGGTAATAAATCTTTTTTTAGGTTCAAGGTAACCATTTTGAGGAATTCTTTGCGCCAGAACTGGATAAACATGGGTATCAGGCTCTGTTCAAAAAGTGTACTGCAGAGGTTTGTCAATATATCTTTTGAATCTGGAGGATTTGGTTGTGTTATATTAATTCATGATCCTGTCATCATTTGCAGATGCTTCCTGAGAACATCAGCAGTAATGATGGTTGTGCCACATTCTATCGACGTGATAAATTTTTCCATGTGAAAAAATATGAGGTGGTCTGATTTTGATCCATATGTCTTGATTCATTGAGTTCCATTTTTTTGTTTAAATTATTACGTCTCTAATTTTAGGTTGAGTTCAATAAAGCAGCTCAATCTCTTACTGAGGCTTTGGTTCCTAGCACACAGAAGAGACATGCTTTAAATCGAATGGTTCAGGTCCCCTGCAGTTCATTCTCGTTTCTATTAGACTAAACTATGTTGGTCAGTTCATCACATAAAAAGTGTCATTTAATATCTGCTTCTCCTGTACAGGACAATGTTGCACTGATTTTAGTTCTAGAAGCAAAACTTGGTAACCAGGGAGTTGATTACCTGGGAAAGCGCCAGCTTATTTGTGTGGTAAGATTTAAGCACTGCTTTGCAAGTGGCGACTGAAATTATATATGTTCTGTTATGCAAAAGCCTATTGATACACCTTGTAACCCTATCCTGCTTGCCAAGAGGTTCCCAGTCTAATCTAGTTCTTGTTTACCCCACTGGGCTGCCTTCCTGATTCGAACATAAAAGACTTCCACTCCCATTAACCACTACTAGTATAACTAGTGCACAAGAGGTGCTACTGGAGCTGTGGTGAATTGATAAAATCATGAAATGAACATGCTGGATATTCCTAGGATGGCAATGGATTGTTTGATTGGACCAAACCACTTCATTTTATTCATCTGAGGACTAGACTATAAAAGTTGAGCTGCTTGAAAGTTTGATCTGCTAATCATGCTAATGAATTGAGCTCTATCTTGAGTTAGAAAAAATAATTGAACAATTTTCAAGTACTCAGCTCGATAATGCTCGACGAGAACACAACTTTATTATTATTATTATTATTATTATTATTATTATTATTATTATTATTATTATTATTATTATTATTATTATATTCTACATAGAGCTTGAATTTGAATCAAAATATTGTGTCATGCCTGAGCTCAAGCTTGATCCTGTTTACTTAATCAAGCAAGCTTGAGTTTAGCTTGATAAAAACTTGAGTTGAGTATGAGAGTGAAATACATGGCCCTGCTCGATTCAAATGACTGCTCTACCTAGGACCCTGCCTTACCTTTGCACTTGGACCCAATGTGGGTGAGGTCCTATACCTTTTTGATTAGTATATGATTGTTTTATGTACATTGCAATCAGCTTGTCCCAACTAGATACCAAAATAAACTTTATTTTCATAAGACGAAATTTTGTCTTTTGCTAATGAAATTTGGATGGAACAAATTGCTAACTGTTCAATTAAGAATGAATATATGAAAGAAACTTTCACATGCATTTATTATGCAATAAATGTTTTAACATATTTGTTTTCTTATCGATCTGGTAAAAGTATGGCCCTGGATTCTGTTTATATTCGTTTTTAATTTTTTTTCTCTATAATCTTTTGTGAAGGTTTCCTCACTCTGTTACTCGTTTCCTTTTTCTTCCGAATCCAGGCAAATACACGGATGAATGTGCATCAAGAATTGAGGGACATCAAACTTTGGCAGGTTTTTGCTGTTATCCTAGATATCATTAGAATTCTTGGTTTCAGCATCATATGCGATATGCCATTCATGATTCATCTTTCTCTATGATAGGTTCATACATTATTAAAAGGGCTAGAAAAAATTGCCCAAAGTGGAGACATCCCAATGTTGGTGTGTGGTGATTTTAATTCTGTTCCTGGAAGGTGCTTTGTTCTTGTTCATACATGAAGTGATCTACTTTCTATTTTTATTTTTATTTTTATTTTTTAAGATACTTTTAGTTCAGTTGTAAGCTAAATGCACTCGAGATACTTTATGTAATTGCTCCTTTACAAAGTTAGTTTTAACGAACAGTGCTCCGCATTCACTCCTTGCTTTGGGGAAAGTAGAGGCTCGTCATCCTGAAGTAGCAGTAGACCCACTTGGCATTCTTCAACCTGTTACAAAATTAACACATCAACTGCCTTTGGTAAGAACATATTAATCTCCTATTGTATTTGACATTGTGCATGGACTAATGTTTGGGATGTACGGCCTAATTACATCATTTTGCTATGCTTTTTCATCCAGGTAAGTGCTTACTCATCCTTTGCAAGAGCTGGGAGTAGACTTGGCCTAGAGCATAGAAGGAGAATGAATCCTACTACAAATGAACCGCTGTTTACAAACTGCAGTAGAGATTTTATTGGTACTCATGATTATATATTCTATTCAGGTATATATGATGTCCATAACACTTGCTATTGGTACATATTTGTTTTCTGTACCCCCAACAAGAAAGGGGAAATCCCATTTTCTTAACTTCTACTAGATTGTTTTCTAATATCACACCGGGGTGTCTTACTTAATGATTTTGTTTTCCTTATAGCTGACTCCTTAACAGTGGAGTCTCTACTGGAACTCTTGGATGAGGACAGCTTGCGGAAAGATACTGCTCTTCCTTCTCCAGAATGGTCTTCAGATCACATAGCACTCCTAGCTGAATTTCGTTGCAAGCCTAGGAGTAGACGCTGACAACTGGTATATTTTACACTTAAATTTTGTTGGAAAATTGTCACGAAACCTTTATTATCTGATTCTCCTTCTCTTTTGGTGGTGTTTGGCAGTGTTTATGCTTTATCATGTAATCTAATGTGATAGATTCTCCCGTTTTGCTCAGCTGCAACTTTGATTTTAAAATTCTGTGGGCATTATTTTTGAGCAATGCTTGGTCCATTTTAATTTATTATCTTAATAAATTATTTTTGCTACTTGTACGTGGACTCTGCCTGGTGATTAAAATTATACTAGTTTATTTTACTTGTCTCCGTATGTCGTTCAATGTAATGGAAACTCCAATGAAATACATCAGTTGTGTTTAAAAAAAGCAGCAGTTCCATGAGTATACAAGTTGGTTCATGTCTGTGCAATATGTTATTGCAATTATTTGATGCTTGGTAACTCTATGCTTTTGTTGTTTTGCATCTAGGTCTAGCCTGAAGAGGAATTTCACAAATTGTCGCTGGAACTATTAAAGAACAGAGCGGTTGTCTAAATAGATAATGGTTGTTTTCTCTCATTCAAATATATATGTATTCTCATCTTGGATCTATTCTGTGCCAGCTGCTCTGTATCTCATCACCTGCTTTGTACGATAAAAGAAAAAATAAAAACTCCTTATTTAATGTCCGTCGTTGTGTTAATATTTAATATCCTATCTTTAATCGAAAGAAAATGATTGAGCAAAGTTTCTCTAGCTCTATCATTTTGCCCATTTCTTCTCCTGGGTGGATTAATGTACTCAGCTGGTGGTTGTGGCAGAAGTGAGTTGGCGTTTCCGGGTGAGATCTATTTTCATTCATTTGGATGATTATGAAATGAACTGACGCAGTGTTAACAATGGGCTGGGAGAACTTTACTGGTTGGTCTGGACGAGCCTCGGCTGTTCAGCAATTCCGAGAAGTCGATGGACAGGAGACAACGGCAGTAGCAGCAACAACGGCAATGTATATTATCTCTGTGCTTTCTGCAAGGTAATTATCTCTCTCTCTCTCTGAATTTTTGCTTTGGATTCAGCTTGTGATTCATTTAAGCAAATTATATATGGTCCTTGTTTCTGAGTGCTATATTTTAACAGCTTTGTCTTTGTGGTATGATATATACATAGTAACAAAATAGCATGCTCGACATGTTTGTTTTTCTTTGTTTTTACATTCTCCCCTTTAACAGAACAGATCATTCATTCATTGTCTGAGAAATAGTGTATTATTTGCCTTTCTAATTGTAAAAACCAGAAAGATATCTTAAACCATTATGTAGCAGTGTAGTTAGTCCTCACTACAATACAATAAAATCTGTAACACCTTAGGTGCCTTAAAATTCAACAAAATTTAAATGCCTTCCTCAGCTGTGGACTTTAAAGCACTTGAGTTTTGGGAACAGCTGAAGTAGTTGATCGCGGCTTCGTCTCTGTAATGCAAATAAAAATGTAAGAATATTACTTTTGGCTAAATAAACATGTTATGTATGTAAGCATATGCCTCCACTAAAACAAAACAAACAAGCAAGCGAACCGCTTGCTAATGGCTATTTGCCGGGCTGTACTGCAATGTACACACAAATGGAAATCAAACTTACTTACCTGTATTCCTATACAACCATTGACATCAAGGGTGGTAATTGTTCTACAACAGAACCTTGAAAGGGCCTCCAAGCTCTTGTCTGTAACCCCGACTATTCCAAACAAACTGCATTGTGAAACCATATATGATATATGTTAAATTGAGAGATCCTGCAAAAGATCCACCTAAGATATATACATCAAGACTTTTCAAACAAAACAGAATTTGAGATCACAACAAAACCCCTAGAACAGTTGAACGAATATCAATATCACCTTAAAAATTCAAGTGACCTACACCCTTCCGCAATAGCAATCACTCCTTGATCAGTGATTCGCACGCACCTGTTCGCAGCACAAAAGCAATTGGGTAATTATTTGATTGACGACATGATAAATACTGAGGTGAGCTTCACTTAACCATGTCAAATTGAGAGAAGTCAAATTCCTGCAATTGGCTATACAGGAAAGTCCATTGTCTGAAAGATTCTGAGACGGCAAATATTGTTAACTCTTATTGTCTGATATTCAAATGCAGATGCAAACAAGTAAGGATAAATGCATACCTGAGCACCACAGAGGTCTAAAAATTGAAGGTTAATCAGAAGGGACAACTTCTTGTAAGCTACATCTGTAAAACTGGATGCAAGAATAATGATCAGATCTCTGCATGGAAGGGAAAACTCCATACATTTATTTATTTCTACATCTTTACCTGGAAAGAGCATAAAGATTCAGGCTCTGAATGGAGGAGCACTTGCACAATATTGTTTGCAAACCACTATCAGTAAGCTTGATGCATCTGCATGCACCGATATATCAAACTAGTTTGAAAAAGGGACATCGACCAATTTCTGAGTTATATTCTATATATTAACTGCTTGAAATGAACAAACTAAAATCATCCTATGAAGTACTAAGTAGATTCTCTAGCTACAACATGGTTTCGTACCTTGTCAAGTTCAAATGTTGCAATCCATGAAAATGTTCCGCAATCAAGATTAAGCTCTCATCGGTGATATTCTGTAATAAGATACCGCCTTATACAAGACAACACGAGACACATGTGATAATATATGATGAGGCCATCACAACATTCAGCATACCTTACAACCACTTAGATTCAAGTCGATAATAAGTTTGCAATTCTTCACCAAGCTCTTGATACTGAGGTCTGAAACCCTGAAATGGAAATTGTATCTAAAATTCACTCGTGTTGAATCTGTCAAATTATGCTAAATGTACCAGCTGAAAGTATAAAACCCGTCACGAAGCTAGTGTGTAAAAAGGTAACAAAGTACCTAATGTTCCAATAGATAGAAAAAATCTTTAGCTTTGGGCAATTGGATGTTATAAATTCAATTCCCACATCAGATATCTTCTGGCAGCCATTCAAATTGAGAACCTCAAGATTTTTAAGTGACTTTCCACACTGTGAGACAAGTAGAGAAATAAATTTCTTACAAAAACAGGTGAATTTGGATCACATATTTGTGACAATGTCTCTCTCATATCTGAGGTGTGCCAACATAGTTAAATTTCATTCAGATTAGTCGCAATCAGTATTCAGAATATCAATCACCTTGCTTTTCAAAACTTCAAGATGTCTGTCTTCAATATCATGGGAGAACTCAAGGTTTATATGCTTCACATTCTGGTACCGCGACTGTAAACATGCCCCCTCAAATAGTTAAGATATCACGGTTCTTGATTTTAATAAAGTCAACATTAAGAATGTCAGTTTTCATTTCAGGTGTGAACAAAATCTTATTTATATATTTGATCATATAATTGCCATTTTCCTGCAAAGAAGATTGGCGATGTTGAGCATTAATTACATCAGTTTCTTAAAGTGCATGCTTTGTTGCAACAAACAGAATGCTAAGAGCACTTGCTTCTCTTTAACTGTTTTTCTTAGCTTTAGAGTTACTTTTCGCCAAAGCATCAAATCAAAACACCTTTTTTTTTTCTTTTTTTTTTCCTATATTATACTAAAAATCAATTTTACATGACAACATCACATCAACATCTAATTATATCACATGCAATTATATTTCAATTCAAAATCTTTACTATCTCAAACCATAAATCCAAACCTCCAAACAAACACACCCTAAGTAGACCACAAAAATGATTATCCTTTCTCTAAAGCTGAAGCACCTCAGCCAACAATCAGGAAAGGGAACCAGAAAATATAAATAGAGAAAAGAAAGAGGATAGAAAATATTGACCAGTGAAAGAGCTGCCACAAGGCGATTTCCTGCATTATGCATCTCATGAAAATCAAGAACCTGAGAGAAACCCATAAAAAGCATGAGCTCACATCCATTATTCCAAATTCAACCTTCAATTTTTAAAAATTGGAAATGTCTGATCTTCACTTCACATTATCAGTCTACTCATTATAGAACTACCACATATGCTGGATATGCAGCTCAAGCGAAGCAAGGATTTGTTACAAAAAAATATGCCAGGGATTGTGATTTTGAAATATTGTAACCATCTTTTCTAAACAATGATTAGAGCAATAACAGGTCTTCTTGTATGTTTTTTTACCATTTCTCTGCTTGATTATTGTGGAGCGATTTTTAAAGTATGTGATCTTCACATTATAGACCACAAAATGATTAGAAATTTATCAAGGAAACAGCAGCACAGAGGAAGTACACAATCACTACTAAAACACAACAATCGCCGAATTCAGGCGGTCGGAAGTGCAGGGAAGAGCACACAACCGGCCACAAAAGATAGACGCCGTCGTCAGGAGATAAATCAAATAGCAGCAGCAAATAATCGAAATCATCAGAGATTCTGGTATTTAGAGACAACGGGATCTTCACTAGAGAAATTACCCACCAGCCATAGGGAAGGGTGAGAAAGCAGATTGCGATGAACCGAAGAGCTGACAAGCAGAAGAGAAATCAGGTCCCTCTGAGGAAGTCTGGTGCTGACAATCTTCATCACCTTTGGCACCACATCTCTCTCCCAGACATCCATGGCTTCGCCGCATAACCGAAGACGAAGACGACGATACTATACGATATGATAAATAGGGCAGTTATTTTTATCTAAAAATCCTTTCTGCTTTACTCTTTGCCCCTTAAGTTTATATTAATATTATATTGCTCCCCTATAAGTTTTTTCAAGATAGTTTTTTTTACAAACCTGTGTCTAAATAGAGGTGAATATTTTAATTCTACCCTTTTGGAACCCGCAGCTACTATTCGAAAGTGCGCACTGAGTAAATTTCGGCTGAACTTAATACCCTGCAAACCAAGCTCGACTGACAAATCACATTAAACAAACCAACGTAAAGGTATGAACCATGAGCTCATAAGTGAAAGAAAGGTAAATTGGTAATCATATAGTCTATTTTAGTAATAATACATTTTGTCAATTTTATTATCCAAATAAAAATATTTACTTTACTTTTTTTTTTTGGTAAATATATGTTTTACATAATATTATAAATATATTTTTATTTATACTTATTTAAATTAATATACTCCTAATAACTTTCCATATGATACGAATAAACCCATAACTTCACGGTCATATGTCTAATCCCATGCCACACCAGGGCATCCCTTAGTGAACAATAGTAATATTTCATTTATTAGTGAAAATGTATAAAAGATTTTAACAATTTTGTTTATCCTTAAAGTATAGAATTATTTTTACAAAATAGAAAATAAATATTTTTATCTTAAAATTGATACACGACCGAAGAAATACATATTTTTATTTCAAATAAGCTGGTTATGTTAAATAAAAACAAATAGATATGTGTAGTAATATAGTTATTATTTGTGTCAATATATTATTGTGTGTTGTATGTTCCTATATCATATGATAAATATGATATGAATGAAAATCCGCAGAATCCGCAGCCCAATCTAATACTCTGCAAGTCAAACTAGACGAACTATGTATGACATGTGACATGAAGAAAGCGAATTACACTAGACGAACCATGTGTGGCAGATGATTTGAAGACGTTGGGGGTCTGAACCCATGGCTTCACCGTCATAAGTCCACCTCCACACCACTAGGTCATCCCTTACAGGACATTCACGTGCTATCTTTGTATGATGTATCCGTATGTCCTTATATAATTGTTGTTGTCCTGCGTTGTTAGTTATATATATTGTATTTATACTATATTAACATAATTGTGTGCTGTCATAGTACTGTGGCGAAGACAAGAATTGTTCTTGCTGCCTTGTTTGCTATTCCATCCATTTATGAATAATCAAACTATCTTTGATTAAGTTGCAATCAATCAATCTTCTGCGTGACTAAAGGGCTAAGAGAGAGCAACAAGAAGTTTTCAATATTAACAAATCAACTATATATCACCATCAAAATATCATTATCATTATCATCATCATCATCTAATTAGTCCCAAAAAGAGGACAAGAAGAAGGGTTTGACAGCAAGAACATGGAAATCTCTTTCATTGGAATGATTTTGTACCCAAAAACAGATCATTGCCTTGACAATTATGCCAAACAAGTAGTCAAGTCATATTGTTACTATTATTTATGCATTTGGTTCAGTGCCACCTGGTTTGGAGTTGAGAAGTGGTTGCAATGCCTTGACCACGATCGTCATGTTCGGCCGGAAGTCTGCTTCGTATTGCACGCACAATGCCGCAACTGCTGCCAGCTGACAACCACAAAAAACCATATGAATGGATAACATATATATATATGTATGTATATGTATATGGTGATATTGGGTACCTTGGCAACGGCCTTGGGGGGGTAATCATTGTTTAGTTTGGGATCCACACATTGCTTCACTTTATCCTCACTCAATCTTGGAGTTGCCTGTTGCAATAATTGCAATAAATAACCATTCTTGTATGTATAATCAATAATCAATCATTCATTCATTCATTTCTAGGCTAGGAAGGCAGAGAAAATCCTTACCCAGGTGACCAGACTTTGTTGGCCCTTGGGCATGGTATGGTCTACTGGTTTTCTGCCTGTCAGAAGTTCTAGAAGAACCACACCAAAGCTGTACACGTCGCTCTTCTGTGTTATCTGTCCTGTCATTGCATATCTGATCCAGCCAAGACAAATGAACAAAATGAAATGCATTTAATGATTGATACATCATTAGAGTAGATCTCTATCTATGTCTATGATAATAGACATCAAGTGTGAACTCACTCTGGAGCATGGTAGCCGAAAGTTCCGAGGACTCGAGTGGAGTGCAGGCGAGCTGCAGTGTCCGAGCCCTGGTTTGTCAAGCTGAAATCGGCAATCTTGGCTACAAAATCATCGAAAAGAAGAACATTGCTGGATCGGATATCACGGTGCACAATTGGAGGCTGACATTTCTCATGTAGATATTCGATTCCCTTTGCAGCTCCATAAGCAATCTTCACTCGTTGGCTCCACGTCAGGACCGGACCAGGTTCTGCCCCTTGCACCCCTTTCCTTCCTACAACATCACATCACATAACATAACAAACATAGCATAACCAATCATAAGCTAATTTAATAAGAATTCGCCAGACTATACCGTGCAACACATCGTGTAAGGAACCCATTGTGGCATACTCGAATGCCAAGATTTTGTTGTCTGGCTCTAGGCAGTAGCCGAGCATCCCCACAAAATGTTCGTGCTTAAGCCTCGAGACCGTTGAGAGCTGTGAATAACATGTAATACCAAGCATCTTCACAAAATGTTCGATAATAGAATAGGATACAATAGAATAGATGATCATCTTCATCATCATCATCGTTACCTGAGCTGCAAAGTCTGCAGAGTCTCCATCTGGTGCTGAACTGTTGTCGAGCTTCTTGAGTGCCACTTCCTGGCCATCGTCCATTTTGGCATAATGCACGCGGCCGTAAGAGCCCTCTCCAATCAGAGACTTGGGCCCGAAGTTGTCTGTCAATCTGTTCAGCTCATCCAATGACAGAGCTGGTATCTCGATAGGCAATACTTTCTGGGGAGCACCGTTTCTTGCAGAGGCTCTTGGCTCTCCTCCTCTTTGACTGCCTGAATTTGATTAATTAACAAATTAATTAATTGTAATTCGTAATTCAAAAACCTAGAAGACAAGGAAGGAACAAATATAGGTATAAATATAAATTAATTCGATCTACCTGCGGAATTGCCGCCGGGAAATGCATTACCAGCAGCGCCTCTAGGTGGACCGGCGTTCTGGTTTGCAGGTGGACCGGCATATGGTTCCTCTTCTCCTCCTCCACAGCAGGACATTGTCTGATTTAAATAATTTCAGGCACACCTACCTTCAATTCATGGAATGGATCATGGAGCAACATAAACAGCAATCAGTAAAACACAATCACAACCACAACCACAACCACATTAATTTCATTTTTGGGGAGGATCATAAAAAAAAAAATTGGGGATGATAGATAAGCTAATGAAAAATTCGTACAATATCCATAAATGCAGAGTGAATATGAATGAATACAGTGATGATGATAATACATGGAGAGAAAGACGAGACGAACCAACCTGTAGAGAGGGAGGCGGTCGGAGAATTGGCAGAGACAGGCAGACAGGGAGGAGATGGAGGAGGAAGGAAGCCTTTGCTGGTGCTGAAAAAGAAATAATTAAAATGATAATAATAAAGTGGGAAGGGATGGATGGATGGATGGATGTTCGTAATTTGGTATTTAATTTTGGCGGGTGGGTGAGCGCTGAAATCGGAATTTCAATATGAACCAACCAACCAACGGAACGGGACGGATCTAATAAGTCAAGTTCTAGCGTAATGTAACGTGCTTGCCACCTTGACGCTGCTTCTTGCACGTCAATTACACCTAAATTAATTCATATTTTTCCATATTCTTTTTCTCATCTCATAAATAATATTCCCTCTGTCCAGATACTTGTAGACACTGTATTTTAAGAGGAGTGTAATTAGTATATAATTAAGAATATATCAGTGAAAATAATTATTATATAATATAAATAATTATAAATTAAGATTAAGATAATTAATTAGTTTAATTAAAATTAAAAAAAATTAAATTAAAAAATTCAAAATGAGATTAAAGTGAGTAATCATTTTCCAAAAAATGAAGGTGACAAAAACGGCAACTTGGACATGGTATATGGGACAGAGGGATAAGTAGTAGTAACAAACATTAGTCTATAACAATAATAGTAATTCATATATGTATATACTAAATTATCTTCAATTCTTAAAATTTCATTTATTTTTTTTAGTACTGAATTACTATTTTATCCATTGAAAAAAAAAAAAAAAAAAAAAAAAAAACTATATTGAATACTGCAATCATAATATAAAATATATTACTCCCTCCATCCCACGTAATTTGTCTCTATTTTCTATTTTCCGTCCCACATAATTTGTCGCTATTTTCTATTTTCGTCCGTCCCACGTAATTTTTTTAATCTTAATTAAACTAGTATTTAGTTATCTTAATCTTAATATATAATTATTTTTACTAAATAATAATTATTTTTACTAATACATTTTTTAATTACTTACCAATTATATTTTACCTAAATTTCCGTATCTACGACAATAACGGAGGGAGTTCAAACTATTTTCATCCATGTATATTTGCATTGTAAGTTTGTCCTTTTAACTTTTTTTAAAAAAATAAAAAATAAAATTGTTATTGTACAATTTCTATGAGTTTAACTGGCTGTGATTTAAAATTAGATATTGATCTAAATTTAATATAACATTTTATAAAAAATAATAGTTCCTCCGTCTAATTTCTATTGTCCTAAAGTATATTTGTACGGTTTTTTAGGTAATTGTACAAATTTGCCCGTAATTGTATGATAGAAATTAAAAGTAATAAATGAATGAAGGGTAAAAATGTAATTTTTTTTTGTTTAAAAAATGAAATAGAACAATAGTTGTTGGACGTTCCAAATAGGAAAGTAGAACAATAGGTTTGTAGACGGAGGGAGTAGTATATTTTTATTGAAAAAAATATGCTCTAAATTTATACTCCCTCCGTCTCATAACAAAGTATCAATTTTTTCATGTTAGTCTGTCCCATAACAAAATATTCATTTCTTTTTTTTTTTTTTTTTTTTTTAGTAATTGTACTATCTACCTAACATTACAAATACTCTTACAATTTACAATATATTACACAAATGTCATTACATTTATATCACACATATTAATAAGGTTATTTTAGTCATTTATACTTTATTCCTACTATATCTCAATATAATACTAATATTTCTAAAACTATGTACAAAAAGCAAATGGATATTTAGTTTCGGGAAGGAGGGAGTATTTGAAATTATAAACAAACAAGTAATGGGTATGTTTGTTTTGTTAAATGATTTGAAAACAATATTGTTTTAAAGAATTTGTCAAATAAACCATCTATGTTTTTCTAAAAAATATATATATATATATATGAGAAGTCTAAAAAGAAAGAAAAATATTCTAGAGCTTCAATAAATAGATAATACACAATCTCAACAAAATTGTTAATTTAAATAGACATATTTATAATGCTTTGATTACTATATTGATTGGGTCAGACACATATTCGATAGCACATATTTATATTAGTAGCATATAGCCCACATTACAAACGGTAAGCATATTATAAAATTTTACGTAACACAATATATACTTTACACAATATAAAAATATGTATTATATGAATTATATGGTACGATGTTGTATAATTTATTTATTGTGTTGAAATCATATACTCCCTCCGTCCCGCAAAAGATGGAACCTTTTGTTAGGAACACGGTAATTTAGGTAGCGTAGATTATTAAGTTATTAATAATAAGTTAAGATAATATTTTATTATTTTTTATATGTGTAGTGTTGTCGGTATTTTAAATATTTTTAGAATTATATTTCAATAAAATATATGCAATATGAATATCATTTTGTAGACAATAAAATTTTATACAATACAAATGAATAAAAAAATATACTATATTTATTTATTTATCATTACCGTAAATTAGATTTATAAAAATGAGAAGTTTTAAAGGTAGATAAAAATATTTATTAATTGAGAAGAGAGATAAAAATAAAGGAATTTTGAGTTGATCATAACGTTAGAAGTTTAATTAAATTGATTTATATTTGTTAAATATGTTAAAGATTGATAAACTTACTAAAAATAAAAATAAATCATCTTCTGTGGGATGTACCAAAAAGTAAAGGGATCATTTGTGGCGGGACGAACGGAGTATTATGCTATATTAGTTTGCGATGTAAGTTATAGATTGTTTATCAAGTTCAAATCTTGTGTTACATATAATTATATACTCCCTCCGTCCCAATACAATAGTCTTATTTATCATTTTTGTCCGTCCCAAAACAATAGTCTCATTTCCATAAATAACTATATTACTATAAAACTACCATTTTTCATTATTATTACACAATTGTCACTAATTTTACACTAATACACTCACTAGGACAAAAAAGTCTTTTACTCGTACTTTTTACCCACTACCAATATAATATCAATATTTCTTAAATCTCAGCCCATACTATAATTTTGGGACGGACAGAGTATAATACTCCCTCCGTCCCTTACAAAGTTTACATTTACTTTTGAGCGGTGTTTAAGAAATAATAGTATTTTAATTGTAGTGAGCAGTTAAAAGTAATGTAATGACATTTTTGTCCTTACTTTTTTTTTTTTTTTTTTGGTAAAAGTAACGATGTGATGTAAAGTAATGATATTTGTGAAAAAAAAAAGTAAGGTATTTAATGAAATGTTAACTTTGTAATTGAACGTCCCAAAAAAAATATGTAAGCTTTGTAACTGGACGGAGAGAGTATATCATATACTATCAAAATATGTGTGATATATTACATTGAAATTACCATTGAATATAGACTACTTTTATATATATTGAAATTACCATTAAATATAGACAGACTAACTCTTTTTTCTTTTCTTTTTTTTTTCTTATCAAGACGTGAAAATCCGTAGCTGTAGCTGCTACGGAAAGTGCCGAACCTAAATATAGACCGACTACTTTCTTTATATGTGTTATATATTATAATGAAATTACCATTAAATATAGACTACTTTCTTTATAAACATACTTATAGATAGATATTACCATCGTAAGATACATATTTAGCAAATCAATATCAGATGCTTCATGAGAAATCAGACAGCATATGCCACATAAAACGTATATAGATAGATAGACAGACAGATAAATTACAAGCAACAACATATGGTTAAAGTTAAACTACAAAACTGGAAACATTCTTAGATACGATATAATGCCCATACCAGCTAAAGCTACCTGGAAAGAAAACTAACCATTTCTGTAGAGCCTTCCGGCCGCGGCGACGACGATGACGACGACGACAATAGAAATATAACGATCAACATGTACCCAATCGAATTCCATGATCAGTTCAACCTTCTTCTCCTCGGCGCGCGGGAGTCACCGCTGTCCACATCTGAAATTCTCGACGCATCATTTCTTCTCCTGGAAGACGAAGTAGAAAGCGAAACTGTCGAATCAATTTCAACGGCATTATCGACTGTTTGGCTCTCCGAATGTATAACAGCAGCAATGCTCGATAGAGAATCCCTATCGTCGACAGGGAGAGGTAGCTCCTGATTTCTATCGACAGGGTTTCCATGGAAGTACGATTCAACCAACCTCTCAGCAACGAGGCTCTCGGCAGAGTTCACAACGGACGTAAGGTTAGAAATCGTGGCAGCCCGATGAGAATTCGACCTGCGAAGCAACAGTGATGAAAAACGACGATTATCCCTCATGTCATAGCCGAGATTTCCCGTCGCAGTTTCCGTCAAATCGATCACATTATCCGGCGGCGCCACGGGACCCCTTTCTCTTCGAATTCCTCTCGAAGTCAAGAATCTGTTCAGCAGCACGTTGCTTCTCTCCGGCGAGTCGTGAGCGGCGTCGGGACTCCGGGACTGCATTAGCGACAATTCCCTACTTAAATCGAACGTATTCCCCAAACGCCGAATCATTTCCTCCATCGGAATAAACGCAGTCCTCTGAATAGTCTGCCTCCAGCTCTCAATTCGTCGGGCTTGCGGCCTGACTGGAATTTTCATATTAGAATCAATTTCTGGCTCGGGATTAACATTCCCACGGCCGTAAATTGGCGTCACACTTTTTGTAGTAACCTCGCCCTTGCAAACAGGGCATTCCTTGGCATCGGAATGATGATGCAACCACTGGTAAAGACATGGCCAGCAAAATAAATGGCCGCAGCAAGTAACAACCGGATCCTTAGCTAAATCTAAGCATATATTGCAATCAAAGAAACTCCCGTCATCGCCATTACCTTTGCCACCATCTTTCTTCTTACATGGGACCTCGTCTTCATCAAAACCACCACCATTTTCACAGATTTTAGCTACCTCGACAGGCCGTTCCTCAGAAGCCACACTACCCTCGCCAGTTTGGGGTGCACTGTCGCCGATTAATTCCAGCGCGAGATTTTGTGTTTCGGGGGGAATAGGAAGTTCCCTCCATAACGATCTCCGCCACCGTTGACTCCTGTGTCCGACAACACCCCTAATTCTATGAGCTGGATCATCTAACCAATCCTCCAAATCCACAGTAACATTACCATAAGATCCTGATGTAGGCTCTCTATCATCATTAGAATTATCACCAGGTCCTAAATTGAGATCAAGGTTCATAGTACCATTGTTCTCTTCCTCCATTTTGCAGACAAATCTCCCACCAAAACAATGGCAATTACAGCAAAAAACAGGGTTTGGACAGATATGTCTAGACAAAACCTTTTAAGGAACAAATGCAAGGCTTAAATGATGAACACGATAAGCAGAATGATAATCACCAGCAAATCAATAGATTTCTAACAGTAGTCCAGAAAAAGGAAAAAACCCTAAGTTTTGCAGGTGAGTCAACCCAATCAGAATACCAGAACTCCATTACTGACGAAGAAAGCAAATTGAAGAACAAGGAGAAGGTAAATTACAAACAGAAGTAAGTACACGATATCCGTTATACAACACCAAAGAAGTATTAAGCAAGCAAGGACCGTCCTGGCTTGAAACAATAAATATCAGTATGACCCAACCCAATAAATTAAGCAGCCATCCCTTCCGATGGAGCAATCAATAAAAATGGAAAAACAGATTCAAACTCGAGGAAACAAAAAAAAATACGAGTGGACTGGAAGAAGAAGAAGATAAGACGAGGAGCAGCGACCACCTCAGGGAATTAGGGTATTAATTTGGAAGAGAGTGATTGAGGGAGCTTAGATGGAGGGTGGAGACAGTGCGTGACATGGAATCGAAGTTCTTCCCTTGATTATTTCTACTCGCAGCAGCTCCCTGCCATGGAAGGAATAGGGATCTGGAGATGCCGAGATGGTGATAATCTGGAGATTTGGAGAGGGAGAGAGAATTGAGATTTGTGTGGAATTAAAACTAGGTTCGCTCAACCATGAGAGAGAAAGGGGGAAAAGACTGAAGGGCGGGTCCCTATCAGTCAGAGGTGGGTCCTGATTTATAGGCCATGGCTGCCTGCTGGCTAGATGCAACGGCATAGCCATGGGCCGCCCAGCTAAGCCAATTCTTGAACTAAGCCAAGTTATTACACTTCAAAAAAAAATCACAGATTCATTCATTCATAAAAAACCATCATCAACACAAAGCCATCATCTTCCTGCTCCAATTGCAGTCTTGATCAGATCTGAATCAAAGCCCCACTGTTTGCTACCCATGAATCTAATAAACCAAACCACAACCCACATACACAGAAATTCAGCACATGTAAAGGGGGACTCAAGAACAAGGAAGGCGAATGGAATGCTTTAGAGTGGTAATACTTAATTTATCAAGAAAATGAATGGTTTCAATGACTACTAGTTAGTTATTTAGTTTTAAGATAGATGAATAGTGAGGTGCAGTGCAGTGCCTGCCTCCCTGCCTGCCACATGGAAATGAACAAGAATGTTTTGAGTCCAATTCCAATTCGAACTACAAAAGGACAAATGAAATCCCATTAATTAATGTATCTGATATCTGCAATTTCTTGCTCTAGGAAAAAAGAAAATACATGATCTCAGTAGGCATAAGTCATTGATCAAATTCAGGAACTTAAAAGATCATATATAGCCAAACATACAGCCAACCATTGTCATTATTATTATTATTATTATTATTATTATTAGACGACGATTCCATAACTTGTAATAAGAACACCCCAATACAACAGCTAATTAGGAAGTGAATATTTTTCAGTCTCCTTGAACAAACAGTACAAGCCATATATATGTATCCACATTTCTTCTGTTTTTTTAACTACTTCAGAAAGAATCAATCAACAAGCCACAGGCCGGCCGGCAGCATTAATATTAGTTTCCGGGCCGGGACCAAAAATAATATTTTTCTTAAAATTCTTACCCAAAATGGCCACACCTTCTAATCTGGTTTGATTAGTATATAAGAAGGGGCTATCCATCCACACCATGTCCATCAGCAGCAGCAGCAGCTCGGCACAGCACCTCCTTAAGAATGGCTGCAATTGTTCTTCACCACCACCACTTGTGCTTAATAGCTTTCGGTTTTTTCTACATCGCCTTTGCCTTTGCCTTCGAGCCTAGTCCTTTGCAAGATTTCTGCGTCGCAGATGCCTTCAACGCAGGTAAAGAATTAACTATCTAACTAATCGATCATGCATTTTATTCCTTCAATGCAACTTAACCATATTCTTGGTTGGATCTGCAGTGAGAGTGAATGGGTTAGCCTGCAAGAACCCTGCATCTGTTCAAGCCAGTGATTTCTCCTTCAGTGGGCTGCACCTGCCGGGGAACACATCGAATGCTGTTGGCTCCTGGGTGACCCCAGTTTCGGCAGCCCAACTTCCAGGGCTGAATACACTGGGAATCTCTATGGTGCGCATAGACTACGCTCCGTGGGGAATCAATCCTCCTCACACTCACCCCAGAGCTACTGAAATCTTGACAGTCCTCGAAGGCACCCTCAATGTTGGATTCATCACCTCCAACCCTGAAAACAGATTAATCACAAAACAACTAGTGAAGGGTGATGTGTTTGTGTTTCCAGTAGGACTGGTTCACTTCCAGCAGAATGTGGGAACCAAGAATGCTGTTGCCATAGCTGCCCTGAGTAGCCAGAATCCGGGAGTGATCACCATTGCCAATGCAGTCTTTGGATCTAAGCCCGATGTTAGCTCCGACGTTCTTGCCAAGGCTTTCCAAGTGGATAAGAGCATTGTGCAGCAGCTCCAGTGGAAGTTCTAGTTCTAGTTCTAAAATCCAACAAAACTTCTTCTTATATCGGGCCTTAGCCACCCCCATTGCTTTCTTTCTTTCTATATGTGTGTTTGTTGTTTTGCCGTCAAGTGAATTTGTTTGCAATAAAATTCTGTGATCTCAAGTAACTCGTATAGTCGTATTCCCTATCTCACCGTTTTGATTTTAGCTCGAAAGCTTCAAATGGATGGAATACATCAATGCAAATCATCAAAGAAAACAACATTTCCAAGGATAAAAAGCTTGCACTGAATAAAAATGAAGCAACTACATAAGAACACAAGAATCCGACACGCATTGATTGTCAAATACAAGACACATATGTATGGATCCTTCATCAAGACTCAAATCACAATACCACGAAAAAGAACTTAAATATATATATATAAATATAAAGCATACGGGGGACTCTCTACGCCATAATACTTATAAGAATATTGTTTTCATGTCCAAAAAAGAAAAAAGGAAATCATGTAGGAAGCAGTGATTAGCACAAACCACCTCATCAATCTTTTTAGCTCCGGAGCATTCATTTTAGAAGCATTTCCTGTGGACAATTGATGGCCCGGATTCATCATACTCAGCCTTGGCGATCCACATCTGCATTCCAAACACAATATCATTCAGCACAAATTCTCAAAGCTCTCATCAAAATCACTTTTTACATTTTTTTTATGTTTTAATAACCAAATCAGCAATCCAGACAAGCCAAACTTTAAAGAATCCAAGAATCAGTAGATAATATGTCGGTATCATGGCAAATATCACACATACCTGCTGGAAAGTGCTCAGAGAGGCCAAAATGGAACCTCCAATCCAAACACTGTACTTCCTCTCAGGAGGAGCCACAACCTTAATCTTCATGCTACTTGGTGCTAGAGCTGTAATCTCCTTGCTCATCCTGTCAGCAATACCTGGGAACATGGTTGTGCCACCACTAAGGACAATGTTGCCATACAGATCCTTCCTGATATCAACGTCGCACTTCATGATAGAATTATAGGTGGTTTCATGAATCCCAGCAGCTTCCATCCCTATAAATGATGGCTGGAAGAGAACCTCAGGGCAGCGGAAACGTTCAGCACCAATAGTGATTACCTGTCCATCAGGCAGTTCATAGTTCTTTTCCACAGAAGAGCTGGTCTTAGATGTCTCTAGCTCTTGTTCATAATCAAGAGCAATGTAAGACAACTTCTCTTTAATGTCCCTCACAATTTCTCGTTCAGCAGTAGTGGTAAATGAATAGCCACGCTCCGTCAATATCTTCATGAGGTAGTCAGTGAGATCACGTCCAGCCAGATCAAGACGTAGGATTGCATGGGGAAGTGCATAACCTTCATAGATGGGGACCGTATGGCTGACACCATCCCCAGAGTCAAGAACAATACCTACAAAGAAAAAGCACAAGCATATATATAATTTGTCATCTCAGCAAAAGCAGCTCGATTTAAAGTGTTGGATTGAATGGCAAATTTTTTTGCAGGCAGATATGTAGCATTAGAATTAAAAATCAAGTTACTCCTAATCCTTGTACCTCATCCAACATTACTTTATGACTCATTGGAATACAGAATTTGGCTCAAGTGGCACATTTATTATCCTAACAAACGATTTCCAGAGGAATATTCCATCTTTGAATCAAATCACGAGGATTTACATCTTTGTATGGGAATTTTTTGTAATATATATAGGAAGATAGAAAACCTAGCTCAGGCATGCATCAGAAGGTAGAACAATCAAATTAGTGCAGCATTCCTTACCAGTTGTACGACCACTGGCATAGAGCGAGAGAACAGCCTGAATGGCAACATACATTGCAGGGGCATTAAAGGTTTCAAACATGATCTGGGTCATCTTTTCACGATTGGCCTTGGGATTGAGAGGAGCTTCTGTCAAGAGAATCGGGTGCTCCTCTGGAGCCACACGAAGTTCATTGTAGAATGTGTGGTGCCAAATCTTTTCCATATCATCCCAATTGCTGACAATGCCATGCTCAATTGGATACTTCAGAGTCAGAATACCTCTCTTGGACTGAGCTTCATCGCCCACATAAGCATCTTTTTGACCCATGCCAACCATAACACCGGTGTGACGAGGACGCCCCACTATGCTAGGGAAGACAGCCCTTGGAGCATCATCTCCAGCAAATCCAGCCTACCATTTATCATAACATCATGAAAAGCAAATGTTCAATCATAACGAGCAAAACTTTATTGTTTCATTCAGGGACACCATGCTGCTATATAACTATTTAAATAAATAATATGTAGATTACCTTGACCATTCCAGTTCCATTGTCGCAAACAAGAGGTTGAATATCCTCACCTTCAGCCATCTCTTAATGTGCTCAACTGAAAATATGAAGATCCATGAGTCTTTAATAAAAGGAAAACAATAATAAAAACTAGTGCCTAACAAAAGAAAACACTACATTTCATCGAGTTTGGTTGCCATGGGCAATAGTCATGCAAGATCTCGTGTTGACTGGTTTCAGAATTCAAAAGGAGACATTGTAATGGATAAACAAATTCAAAAAACATCTAAAATAATGCTCTTTCAAATGATGCACAGATCAAACTCAAGCAAATGGCCTTGGAGAACAAAAACAGCAATTTTGGCCAATACAGATATAAAAGTTCGCGATTTTGGTTAAATTACAACGACTCGATAGGAACACAACTCCTAATTTATCAATCACTATATGCGATCGAAAATCAAGAAGCCTTTTTTTCTAAATCGAGATCCCTGAAACGATCGACAAATCCAATAGCATATTAACTTATGAGCGTGACTCAAAACATACGTTTACAGATCGGCGAATCGAGATCCAGAGAAGCATATAAAAACAGATAGATCTCATCACAATAACACAATAAAAGCAAATCTCCGACAGAAGAATAATGCATCGGGAACAGGCATTGCAAGATCCGAATGTTTTTTTCCTTAAACATGGAATTACGCGATATGAGAGAAGAGAGACAGCAACTTCAAACATAAACACCTACCTACCTAGCGTTGACGCCTTGTCAGAAATGAGTGTCCCGAGTGCCTCTGGTTCCTCTCCTCCTCCTCCCTCTCGTCCCGTGTCCTTTCACTCTCTCTGTCTGTGTGGATCTTGTAATGTATGTATGTATGTATATGTGTTGGTGTTAGAAAAGAGAGGAGATGACGCTGAGCCGCAGACGGAATCGGAAGATCTGGACCGTTCGTTAGGTGATGATTTCTTTGTGTGGAGTGTGGGCCACCATCTATCTCAGACACACACATTCATTCATCAACATTCAATTATCGTCGCTTTTTGAATTCAAAATTAATTTAGTGTGAGGACGGATATGCCCTCGGATTCAGACGCATCTTTCGAGGGTAGTGTTGGAAATCTGCATCAATAAGTACAACTACTATAATAAAAAGATTTGGCATTTTATTTAAATAAAAAATTTTAAATTTAAAAAATTAAAAAACTAATATCCCTGCTAAAAATTGCACAAATTCTATTTGTCACGTATTAATGTAAAATTTGCACAAAATATTAATTTTTTTTCAAAATTGATATTTAATTTTAAATAAATATTTAAATTACACAAATTTTATACAAATAAAAAACATAAAATATTTTAAATAATTTTGTTGAATAAAATAAATAAATGAATCATTGATTATATATTTTTACTAAAAATACAACGAAATATTATATAATTTACCAACTAATAATAATAACACTCCTATGTCTAAAGTATATTTGTTTTATTATTTAATTTATCTATAAAACATTGTTTTGACATCTATATTTGTTGAATTAGCATTTTAAATCAAAATTAATATTTCATCGGTCCTACTTAATTTATCCATTTTATAATTATATAATTATGAATTTTAAATTATGAATAATTATATAATTATACACTTTAATTACAATTTAAAATTTATAATTTTAAAAAAATAATTAAATTATTTAGTCATCTTAATTTTAATCTTAATATATAATTATTTTTATTAAATTATAATTATTTTTACTAATACACTTCTTAATTATTGATTATATAATACCTAAAATTTTGTACCCGAGTTATGGTGGACTAATTAGCTGAGATGGGTGAAGTATTATTCATCATATACGATTTTTAATAAAAATATATTTTTTCATTCTCACAAAATATTATATTAAAATAATATTTAAAGAAAAACTAAATTAAACCTCTCATTTCAAATAAATTTTAAATCATAACCAAACAAACCCTATATTTCTTTTTTTATTTGTTAATATCTCATATGTTTTTTAGACATGTTCTATTTTAATCCAAAAATTACATCGCTAATATAGTTAAAAAAAAAAAAAAGTAATAATAATTTTACCAATATAAAAGCAATTTTAAAATATGACACAAAAAGACATAAAATCCACCTATAATTTCACGAATTTGAGTTAAAATTCTCATTTTTTTCAAAATTGTGGAGATCCTTTATAATTTCATAAACTGTGTGATTAACCCTCCCCTATCATTATTTAATTTGTATTTGATTTACACATGTCAAAATGTAGGGTGTGTTTGTTTGGGGTTTGGATTTTGAGTTGGGATTTGAATAGTAAAAATTTTGAATTTTAATAGTTGTATGATGTGATATAAACAGGGGTTGATGTGATGTTATGAATATAAAATTGATTTTTTTAGTATAATATAAAAAAGGAAAAATAGGTGTTTGATTTGATTTTTTGGGGGAAAAAAATAAAATGAATAATAGAAGTCCACCAAAATTCTTCAAACAAACACACTCGTAATGTATTTCAAAAATTTCATAACTAAACCATCGAAATTACAAATATAATTTTTTTTCTCTTATTTTTAGATTTAAGTAACTATAAGAAGGTTTAATTAACTCTAAGAATGTACTTTATATTCTTGTTGTAAAATTCAATGTATTCTCGAAATTATTACTATCGAAGTTATCTTAATCGTTATCGTTGTCAGCATATTCGTCATTCTCATCTTCACAGTAACATTCAAAGCTATCATCTACTCTTATATTTCGAACTTGAATGTCTACATTCTCCATCATATTCTGCAACATATTCCTTCTCTCATTCAAATGTATATTTACTTTCCTTTTTGAATTGTCATAAAAAAATATTATCATTTTTTTAAGTAAAAAATTATTACACTTTTATACATTTTTTACTATAAAAGAAGAAAATAACAATTATTATTCGCATGACGGAGAGAGTATATGTTATCATCGACCATATTAACATCATCTACCAATAAGGAGAAAAAAAAATTAAAAGTGAGAACATGCCCTACAAATTTACACGTTGCAAAGTGGGAAGAAAACTCATACTTACCAATCATTTGGTCGTAATCTTTGCGTTAAGTGCACACTTTCGGGTAGCGACTGCAAGTTCTCATATCATAAAAAAAAAAAAAAAAAAAAAACATACACGGCACCAAAAGTTGCACCAATGAATCCATGCTCAAAATCTAGCTCATAGTTTGTAGATTGTTGTTCGTATTGTTGTCCATCCTTGTTCATTCGGTTCGACGTAGCAGTTGTAGGCGGTGGAGGTGGTGGTGGCTGCAGTAACAAAGTGGCGGCAGCTCATTCGTTCTTTTTATTCGGCGGCGGCAGCTCCTCCAATTTCTTCCTCTTTTCTTTTCCGTTAGTGGCGGGGCAGCGGCAACAACAATGATCTACGGTGGTGAGAAGATTATACATTTTTTTTAAAAAAAAAAAAAAAAAAAGAAGAAGAAGAAGAAGAAGAAGAAATAATAATAATTGCTTAGAAAATTTTGAGACAATTATCAATAATAATCGAGTTTGCAACCTCGAATTCAGTTTTGGAATAGCTCTGGAATTTCCCAGACCGACTAGTTTTACTCCTCGGGTGTATCTGGTGGAATCTCAGAAGTTTAAAAAAATAGGTTCGAAAATTGTTCAAAATTCCGAATCAATATTCCGAGGCTAATTTGATAGATTCTATGTTGTTCAAATCAATTTCAAATTTCAAGTATTTTGAATTCCTCTAATGAGTTTTTGACCAGTTCTAAGTATATTTCTAGTTTGATACATAAAATGGTCTTATTTAAAAAGAAAATGTTAGAACAACTACCAAACAAATCCTTAGGAAATGATTGAATATGAAGTTATTTTAGAATTGTATTACTTCCTCCGTCTCACAAGTCATTGGTTTTTTTTTCTTATTAATATTTAAATATTAATTATTATATAAATACGTAGTACAATTAAGAGAAAAAAAGATAAAAATATGTTTATTAATCTCTACATTTGTAGAGTAAATTATTCAAATACAAATAATATTTTTAATGTTAAATATAATGAGACAAAAATTAAATGATAACCAAGCGGGATAGAGGGAATACTATTTTAACAATCCCATTTAAATATGTAAAGGGTTAATAGGTGAATCATCTTGATTTTTGTTATACAAATAAATTTAATTAATTAAGTAACATATAACATCATAAATTATATAAATTTAATCAAAACTGTTTTATTTATATATTCCTCCACACAAAAATAATATTATTTATTTATTTATATTATAGAAAATTTTATGTTAATTATAAATAAATAAAAATATTTTTTTTTTTACTTTTATTATAAGAAAATTTATTGTCTACGAAATAATATACATATTGTATATATTCTTTATGGCTATATAATTTTTAAAATTTTTAAAATTTTTAAATATATATTATAAATATTTTAATAATTATATTAAATTTATTTTAAATTATTAATATTATTAATTATATAAAAAATAATATCATAATTAACTACTCTCTTCCCTTCTTCCCACAGGATTAGTCCATTTCTTTTTTTTTTTTACTGTCCACGTTAATAGTTTCAATTAGATTTTAACTATATTTTATAACTATTGACACTCATATTTTTAAGTTTTGTTAGATAATTAAATTTGAGTTTAAAATAATAAAATTGTAATTTGAATCAATTATTTAATATTATATAAATATATATTGATATAATATTTTGATTTTAGAATAATTTTTAATGTAATAAAAAATAATACGTACTTAATTTAATATATTCGAAAGAAAAAATTAACGAATAATAAAATCTGAATTCGAAAGAAAAAATTAACGAATAATAAAATTTAAATTTGAATTTTGTTTCTTCCTAAAAATAAAAATAATTACATAATAAAATTTTAAATTTTAAATTTTTATAATTATTTAATGTAGTATAAATATACGTTACCATGATGTTTAAATGTTAATGTCAATTTTACTGTAAATTAAAAAATAAAAATTGAAAATTAATTTTATATTTTATATGAAAAGTAAAATTTATATTTGATTTTTTCGTTCGGAAAATAAAAATAAAAAATATATTCACCCATCACAGTTATTTCATCTTCTTAGTATAGAAGAAAATCAATCAATATTATCTAGAGTAAAGTTTTTTGAAATTTTTTATGTAAAATATTGCTTAAATTAAAACTTTTATAGTTATTTTATATTTTTATTGTTAATTATATTTATTTTTATTTTTATGTTGGCTTCATCTCATTTTTCTTTGGTACCTACAGCAAAGATTGGAGGTATTTGGCTCCAAAACGGGATTGGGATTTTAAATATTGAAAAATTATAATAAATAAAAAAATATTATTTATTTATTTATATTATTTAATTGCTTGTATTATTTTATAATTGGTAAAATATTCTTTGGATGCATAATAATTTAATATAAAAAATTTAAATAAAAAATATTTCAAATTTTATTTTTTCGGTTATCTAATAAAAAATAATTAAAATAAATTTGCATAACAAATATTAAATCAAATTAATTAACTAGATAATATTCCTTCAGTCCTAAACACCCTACAATATTTTCTTTTTTATTTGTCCAAATTTAGAAATAATTAATAATATTTATATACATATATTAATATATATTTCACTTTATCCCATCACTTCTCTCAAATAAAAAAACGAATAATCATTTCTCTTTCCAATCACATATCTCAGTATCCAATACTCCCCACCTAAATTTTCGTGCAAAACACAAATGTTGTTTAGATTTGAACAGTTGTATAATATGATATAAATATGTATTGATGTAATATTTTTGTTGGGACTGGGTCACTCGGGACTTACAAGGTGTAAAATTTTCTCCATAACTTCCGATATGGGACTTGAGTTTGCACCCCAATAATTTTAATATAAAAAATAAAAATAAGTAAGTAAATTTAAAATTCAATCACCAAACAGACACACCTACTGGACCCTACTTAGCCCAACTTGAATTATTAGAGGCAAATTCAAAATTTGAAATTAAACACAATTTAGCAAGTTATTGATGACCTGATGAGTGCATATAAATAAAAATATTTTTTAAATTAGCAAATCAATCAATTTGTCCATTTTTCCTAATATATATATATATATATTTAATTTAAGGTTGAAAAGGTCCAAATAACATATAAAATATTTAAATTTTGCCCACAACTCTTCACTCACACGCGTAATTAATTATTGATTAAAATTTAGCTTGAATTTCAAATTATACACTAACTTAAAACGCTTTCCTTATTAATTTCAAAATTCAAAATTAAATCACAATCGAATCCGTCATATTCATAATCATACAGAAAACCCCACCCGAACCTAATTCCAATTCCGAGCCTAAATCCGAACCTAATTCCAACCTCCCCCTACATCGTTGGTATTTACCATTAATTTCGTTTATTCGTTGTTCTACTGGTTCTTCTTCTTCGTCTATATGTACGCACGCAGATCCCGTCCCCATTTCCCATCTGAATTCTGAAGCTTAACTGCTACAACACCTACTGCTGCAAAGCTCAACAACATTCGCTTGATTGCTTGATTGCTTCGTCTCCTTCACCTATGAAGGCTTCAATCAAGTTTAGGGATGAACAGGCGCCGTTGATGAGGGCTAAAGTCCCTCTCAACATTCTCAATTTGCCATTCCAGTCTGGGGTTTCCGCCGGCGAATCCAAGGAGTTATCTCTAAATCTCAGCACGTTCTTCGATTCCGGTCCTTCTCTCAAATTCTCCTACCGTCCGAATGATTCCCACAACCCTTTCAGCTTTGTTTTCAAAACGGGGATCGGGAATTTCGGCTCCCCCAACAAAAGCCCTCTCACCATGAGCGCCGAATTTAACCTAATTGGAAATCAGAACCCTAGCTTCTTCATCCACTTCAAGCCCGATTTCGGCGATTTCTCCCTCAAGAAATCGCATTCATCGGGGCTTGTCAAGGGATTTGGGGAGAAATTGAGCGGCGGAGCTGTTGGGGAGGACAATTTCATCAACAACGGGTATTTGAAGGGGACTGGTTTTCTTCCGGTGACGGTTGAATCGAAGGCCGCGGCGGGGCAGGCGTTGGGTCGGCTGGTCAAAGGTACGGAAATGAGCGCCAAAACAGCCATGCCACTGCGGGATTTCGCGGTGGTGAACTGCCGATGGGGGCTTAGGTTTCCACCACAGGAGGCGGCGATGGCGGATGAAATGGACGCTGTGGTGGTGGGGAGGAAGGGGAGCAATCGGATGGCTGGGATTAGGCTGCCGCTGTTGGTGATGAACAAAATTGGGATAGAACACGTGAGTAAATCAAATTCGAAGGGGAAGAAATCGGGGGGCGATGATACGTATGAGAATCTTGGGAAGATGTGTACAGAGGTGAAGAAACAGCTGGAGGTAATCCAAGGTGAGAATGGGTTGTTGAGTAAGGCGCTGAGTGAATTGAGATCAGATATGGCTGCCGGAAAAATGGAGTTTCTGCTGTCTGATCCTCAACGGGAGAAGTATCCGAGGAGCAGTGGGGATAAGAAGTCATTGTCGGCGGCGGCGGCAGAAGCTGGCAAAGAAGCTAACAATGGATTGAAAGGTGCACAAAATAAATGATTGATTTGTGTTTGTGTTTGTGTTTGTCCATTGATTCATATATGGATGGGCATTGAGTTTTGATCAAGCTTGTTGCTTTCTTTATTGAAACGAATCATGTCATGCCTGAGCTTCATCTATCTATCTATCTATCTATCTGGTTTTGCTTTTGATCTTGAGCAGCAGTAATAATAGATTGTAATTATGTTAAAGATGAACAGTCGATGGATTGATGCAAGGTGTTTAGGGTGTGTTTGTTCGTGGCTTTTGGTTTTTTGTTTTAATAAAAAGTTTTGATTTAATATAATATAAATAGATATTGATTAATGTTTTGAATTTAAAATAAATATTTAATATAATAGTATAAATTAAGAAAAATAATTGTTTGAAACAATTTGAATAGCAACTTTGTTCATAAGGATTTTGTTGGACTTTTAAAATGTAAGTGTATTCAATCAAAGATTTTTAAAAGTTTTTAAAAAGACTAGAGGTATTCAATACAGAAGTTTTTTTAAAAATTCCCAAGTATTCGATTTTCAAAATCTATGGATTTTAATGGAAATTTGTGAAAATTTTGTATAGTATAAAATATGTTTGATGGATTCTTAAAATTATTATTATTATTATTATTATTATTATTATTATTGTTGTTGTTGTTATTTTTTTTATTGTATAAGAGATAAATAATATGATAATATTTATTAATATTATTATAATTTTTAATAAAAATAATAATTAAAAATTAAAATATATTAGCAAATTATCATTTTTTTAAATATATTTTTTTATATTATAAATATAATTTTAAAAAATATTATTATCATAATAAATATGTATTATTATCGTCTTTTCTTTTCAATTGTCGAATATAATATATTGTCATTTCGGTATTATTTTTCTTTTTCAATTATCGAATATAATATATTTTTATTCCGATGTCATTCTTCTTTTTCAATTATCGAATATATTATATTGTCATTCTGATGACAGTGAAATAAATATTTTAATAATATATATTTTTCGTTGAACGTTAATTTATATTTATTTATTTATTTATTTTAATATTTCATAAATTATGTTTTTTATTTTATTTATATATGTATTTATTTTTTATGTAAAAAAGTTGTACTCCTTCCATCCCGATGCAAAGTTGCCGTTTACTTTTTATTATTTGGACGTAGATTTTTGGATATTAGTATTATAATGAATTGTAGCGAAAAAAACAGAAATGCCCATATTAGTATTTTGTAATACAAAAGTGATTATATTTGTGTAATATAGTGTAAGTTGGAGTGTAAGTTGGAATGATATTTATTATGTTAAGTAGACAGTACAATTACTAAATTAGAAAATAGTAACATTAACGGATAGAAATGAAAAATGATAACCTTTCATTGAGACATAAATAATAATAATAACTAATAAATAAATATAAAACTAATTTGATATATTGAATGATAATATAATACTAAAATTATAAAATTTAAAATATTAATATATAACATAGTAGTGTTACATATGTTACCATGCTTCTATGTTATTAATAATTAATATTAAATTTTATTTTATAAAAATATAATAATATATAATAATTTATAAATATATTACATTTATAAAACTTGTGTTTTAATAGTATATAAGTAACTTTAATTATAAATATATTATATCTATAAAATTTGTGTTTGATATAAATTTATATAATTATATATATTCATAAAAAGATTATTCTACAGTCTCAAGACATTTATATAAATTCATAAAGAATTCAATTAAATCTATAAAAATTCATGTAAATCAATTACTAAAATCTACCGTAGACTCCCAAAAATTCATAAAATTTTTAAAATAAAAAAAATAAAATCCATTAAAATTTCAATTGAATACACATCCGATAGTGCCACGTGGAAAACAGAAGATAGCAAACATGTTCAAATGGACTAAAATAGATAGACGATAGAAAAAATGCAATAAACAAATGAGAAAGAGCTCCTCAAGTTTGCTGATACATATATTTGAATTTGAATTTGAAGTGTTACAGGTGACAGGTTCGTATGTACGTTATTATTATTATTTATTTATTTATTTTTTTGATCGGTACTAAAAAAATATACGCACTACATAAATCCCCGATCAAATTTAATACCCTCTAAATTAGATACGCACTGCATAAATTCCCAATCAAATTTAATATCCTCTAAATTAGATCTGACAAGCAAGTCATACTAAGCGAACCATGTGTGACCTATATTGTCAGGAGTTTGAACATATAATCTCACAGTCAGTCAGAAGTCATACGTTATTATTTGCTTAGATTGAAATTCAATAAGACACAATCAATTGAAATTCAGGCCCAGTTTTGTTGCTTTGAATTTATCTGATACTAAAGTAAAACCCTCCTTAATTATTAAATCGATTACCATTTACCATTAATTTCTTTTTAATGAATAACATATATATATATTTATTTTAATATTAGTTATTATATAAAAATATAATACAAATCTAAAAAAAATAAAAATAAAAATACTTATATTAGTATCTTATAATATTATTATCCTTATAACGGAATGGAAGAGTATTAAAAATCAAATTTATATTTAAAACATTACATCACATATTTATATTATATCATATAATTATTTTAATATAAATTTTTACTATTTAAATTCAACTAAAATTCAAACTTCTCAAACAAACGCACCCTTATTTCAAATTTAAATACATATATTATTCAAGATTACAATTCAATAAATTCAATATTTTGAAGAAAGTTCTAGCACACTATTTCCTCAACCAACCTAGGAAAAAATATACAATTAAATATTAATTTTTTTATTTAAACAATATTTTTATTAGATTACACGTTTATTTCTATCATATTAAATGTATATTTAAATAAAGCTATTAGTATTATTATATAAATAAAATGTTAATGTAAAAACAATTCAAAATTTAAAATAAAAAATCCAATCACACATATGGACAGTCGCACCGTAAAAAGACGTCCAAACACGCAATGCCACGCGCACCAGCCAATGAATGTTGTAAGGGTGTGTTTGTTTTGGCTTTGGATTTTGAGCTGAGATTTGAATAGTAAAAATTTTGAATTTGAATAGTTGTATGATGTGAGATAAATAGGTGTTGATGTATTTTGAATGTAAAATTGATTTTTAGTATAATATAAAAAATGAAAAATAGGTATTTGATTTGATATTTTTGGGGGAAAAAATGAGATGAATAGTGTAAATCCAATCCAATCCCCAAAACAAACACACCCTTAAGTAGTTTATCTTACTCCATTTTTCTTCATTTTTCTCAATCTTTTTTATAAATAAAATACTCTCTTCGTTCATCACATCCGTTTACTTTTTACACGTAGATTTTAATATATTAATATTATATTAATACGTGGTACAACTGATATACATAAAGACTATTATACCCCTTAACATTTATTATATTAAGTGATATTATTTGATGACATTTGTATAAAGAATGAAGTAATTTTATATTTTAGTGGAAAATATATTTATTGAAAAAAAAAGAAATTGATACATTTGCGATGGACAGACTAAAAATAAAAGTAAAAAAACTAAATTATCTTTATTAGTATTGCATGATACTCTCTCCGTCCCACATAATTTGTCCATATTTTTTATTTTCATTCGTCCAACATAAATTGTCCTTCAATTTTTTGGAAATTGATTATATATTTTAATCATATTTGATTTTTTTTATAATTTTAATTAAATTATTTAGTTATCTTACTTTATCTAAATTCAAGTATCTACACTAATAGACGAAAAGAGTATAAAAATAATAATATTTGTATAATATATTATAAATTGTAAAGGTATTTATAATATTAAATAGATAAAAAATTAAATATTTGTTATCAATAGAGCAAAATAATAAAAAAAAATGGATAGATTGAATAGACAATAATATAAAATAAAAATGTTGTGGAAGAAACTAGAGAAAGGAAGTGTGTGTTCGGTTGTAAGATTCTTACTATTCATCCCATTTTTTTTCCCTAAAAATATCAAACCAAACACCTAATTTTTATTTTTTATATTATAGTAAAAATAAATTTTACATTTAAAATATCACATCAACATGTGTTTATATCACATCATACAACTATTCAGATTCAAAATTTTTACTATTCAAATCCCAATTCAAAATCCAAAGCCCAAACAACCACACCCGAAGAGAACATTGGGTTGAGGAAAAGAATTCATAACTCATAACTCATAACATAAGCAACATGTATAAATAGATGAGGGTGTGTTTGTTTGGGAATTAAATTTTGAGATGAGATTTGAATAGTAAAAATTTTGAATTTAAATAATTGTATGATGTGATATAAATAGGTGCTGATGCAATATTTTAAGTGTAAAATTGATTTTTAATATAATATAAAAAAATATGTTTAATTTAATATTTTTTAAAAAAATAAATTAATAGTATATTTAAAATCCAATCCCAAACAAACACGCTCTAAATAAATAAACAAAAGGGGCCTTTTAAAAAACCTTGGATTTAAAAATGTATAGGATTTCGAATTTTTTTTATTTTTTATTATTATTTTTTTTTAATTTAAAAAAAACATGTATACAAAGGAAAGGTATAGATGGATTATTTCATAAACCAAATACAAATCTCCTTCCTTATTTCCTGCTACCCGTCCGTCCGTCCCTCCTCCGTCGTCTCCGACGGCGACTGTCACGGCACCTCCGCCACCCACCCTTCATACCTACAGTACTCCTCCTTCCTCGCTCTACATAAACATATAATCATCTGCAGAACCTACTTCTCTACAGTTGGTTGTTTTCAATGACCAAACCGGACGGCATCCCCAAAGACACAGGCGCAGACGACAAAGACGCCTCCCCATGGGGCACCTGGGAGGACCTCCTCCTCGCCTTCGCCGTCAACCGCCACGGCCCCCACGCCTGGGACTCCATTGCCTCCGAGCTTCACAAACGGAATCTCTCCCTCACCCCCCATACTTGTAGCCTCAAGTACCTCGACCTCCAGCGCCGATTTCTCCACGATTCCAAACTCCCCCACGCTCACCCTCTTTTTCTCGACCACCTCCGCAAATTAAGAGTCGCCGAACTCCGCCGTGAACTCCAGCGTTACGACCTTAACATCGAGTAATTGATTCCATTTTTTACTATGTCCATAGGCATTTTTGTTCGGCTAGGGATCGCAACGGAGATGATAAATAGTTAAGGAATTAAATCCCAATTTTGTTGATTAGGTTTAGTCTGTACAGGTCGTTGGAGCTGAAGATGAGAAGAATGGAAGAGGAGCGGGAGAGAAGCTTGAGGGGAGAGACATACGAGGCAGATCTAAAGGACGGCGAAGGGGAAACGGATGCCGATCCGGTTTCCGCCGCGCCGGCGGAAGACGGAGATCCGATCGCCGGCGAGGGAATCGAAAAGGATCAACTGTCGGTGAACGAATCGAACTCTACAGATCCGGAGTCAGAGAAGTTGAGAGCCACCGAGAAAGAATCGGAACCGGAACGGACGGCCGGAGAAGACGCCGGAGAAGATAAAACCGGGCGAACGAGCGAGGTGAAGTCCGAACCGGACCGGAAACCGGTTCGAGAAGACTCCTGCAACGGGAGCTCGAATAGCATAGAGAAGTCGGACCGCCGTAAAGCCGAAGCCGAGCCGAGCAGAGGGGAGGCCGGCGGGCCGGTTGAGTCGGAGGCGGAGGGCGGAGGCGGAGAGGCCATGAAAGAGAACTCGGACGTGCAGAGCTCGGCGAGCAGATCGAGGAAGGAGGTCGAGGAAGGGGAAGAGGGGAGTGATAAGGTGCGGCGCGGGTGCACCAGTGGCGATGATCAATCTCGATCTCGAGCCGCAAAAGATTCGCCGATTGAATCACAGCCGTTGATTGGGTTTCTGCAGGCCATACGGGCGCACAAATTCGGCTCTGTTTTTGAGCGGCGCCTTCGCAGCCAGGTCAGCTCAAAACTGTATTTTGATCATTATTTATTTATAATAATAACAACAATGATGATGGTGATGATGATAATGTGGTGCAGGAAAGCTCCAAATATCAGAAGTTGATTCTGCAGCACAGAGATCTTGGAATGATTGAAGCAAGGCTGAAGGAGGGGTTATATTCAGATTCGGTCAAGTTCTTCCGGGATCTTTTGTTACTAGTGAATAATGCTCTTGTATTCTTCAGCAAGAATTCTGCAGAGGCCAGTGCTGCCTCTGAGATCAGATGGCTCATATCCAAAGAGATTTCTGAATCACGTAAACAACATGCCAAATCAGAGTCCTCATCTTGGAAACATGTTTCGTTGCAATCTCTATCAACGGCATCTAAGAAAGAAGAAGAATTAGAAGAAGAACGTGAGCCGTCCCGCTCCTTAATGTTGCAGCCATTGATGGTGTCTCGCAAGCGCAGTTCAATTACAGCAAAAGCATCAGCATCAGCATCAGCATCAGCTGACAACAAAACAAAAGAGAAAGAATTGGGCGAGGAGGAGAAGGGTGAGAAGCTGCAAAACTCTCAGAGCACTGCAGAGGAGCCTAAGATCACCAAGAAGAGAACAAGAGATAGAATCTCTTCAGTTTCCGCGAGCGCAAAGAAAAAGGGCAAGAGCAGCCAGTCCAGCAAAAGTAGAGCGACGCAATCGGGTAAACAGTCCAGCAAAAGTAGAGCGACGCAATCGGGTAAACAGTCGTCTTCCCAGCAGCAGGAGGAAGAAGAAGAGGAGGCAGAGGCCCAGGCAAAGAAGAATCAGGCATCATCGGACTCGAAGAAACGCGGAGCAGCAAACTTCTTAAACAGAATGAAGCAAGGGTCTCCCTCCAACAACAACAACAGTGTGTTGTTAGATGCCCTAAAGAACATGCCATTGACAAGCGAAAGCAGCTGTGCTGCTGTCAAAGGATCAGGATCGAAACAAGAAGCCGAGAATGCGAAGAAAGGAGCAAGGAGAAGTAGAGGAGGAGAAACAAAGACAGGCCAGGACCAGGAAAAGGAAAATGGTAGCCCCGGAAAGAGGAATGTTGGTAGGCCGCCGAAACGAGCAGCCGGAAAACGGAGCCGGGAGGAGGCCACTCCTGAAACAGAAACCACTCCACCACCACCACAGCCTAAGAAAAGAGCAAGGAAGTTAAAGCTGTGATGATGTATCATCAGTAATAGATGGATGGAGGCAGTGATTCGGGTAGGTTAAACTTATTCTAGTTATTAAGTATGTATGTATTGCTTTACCTACCAGTCTAGTATTATTATCGTCATCTTACCTATAAAGAAAGGCTGTATAGGCTGGGCCATTCTTTCATCCATCCATAACCCCACTTTCCAACCAACAACCAACCTCCCTTACCTCAATTCAATTCAATTCAGCCGTCAATATTCAAAGCAGAGGAGAGGGAGGAATGGATCCGGATCTGAGCAGCAGGAGAGAAAGTTGTATAATCGAGACGGCGTCCGGCGTGAGCCTGGACGCCCGAGTGTACAGAGGTAAAGGATCGGAGGTGGCGGTGGTTCTGGTGCACCCGTACTCAGTGCTGGGGGGTTTCCAGGGCCTGATGAAGGGGATAGCCATGGGGCTAGCAGCAAGAGGGTTTACCTCTCTCACCTTCAACATGCGCGGAGTCGGGAACTCCACCGGCCGCTCGTCTCTCACCGGCTCCTCCGAGGTTGAAGATGTTGTAGCCGTCTGCCAATGGGCCTCCCGCCATCTCCCCACCTCTCGGATTCTCCTAGTCGGATCTTCTGCAGGTGCGGCCATAGCAGGGTCGGCGGTGGATGAGGTGGAGGAAGTGGTGGGGTATGTCGGGATCGGGTACCCGTTTGGGTGGACAGCGTCGATACTGCTGGGGAGGCACCAGAAGGGCATCCTACAGTCCCGAAAGCCGAAGCTGTTTGTCATGGGGACCAGGGATGGGTTCACCAGTGTCTCCCAGCTTCACAATAAGCTACTCGACACTTGGAATAGTCAGACCCACCTCGTCGACGGCGTCAGCCATTTTCAGATGGAAGGCCCTGCCTTTGATGCCCAAATGGTTGATCTCATTTCTCAATTCATCCACAACCACTTCATCACCACTCCTACTTGTGCTTGATACGCTGCTCTCAGTTTCTTTCTTTCTTTTTCTCTGCAGCTGCAGCAGCGTTGTAATTTTATGATATGTATGTTTCATTTGACATGCTTCAACCAAGACACTTGCAGCTATATTCATTACATTACATACATGTAAACAATTCTTACTTGTTTAAATTGAATTAAACGAAACAAACCTGGTGATGCTGTACATTCCCTTATAGCTACACACTCTCCTTCCATCTCTTTTGTAAAGAACTCGGGATCGGGAAAAACAGCAATGCCATGACAATATTGAACAACAAAAAAACAACACAACTGCTGCATCATCCCTACCTACCCTATATATGGGAAGAATAAGAATAATATCTGCTACAAGAATTTCTCAATAACATACAAAAGGTAACACAGAACATGATGGTGACAAATCTGTATCAGCATCTGCATTTTTATGCAAGTAATATCATGACAATCAACAGACGGCATTACCTTCGGCAACATACAACAAATATAAATTTTCCATCAGATAGTAATACCTGAGAGATCTTTACACAGTTTCTTTGAAAGGGTTGGGTTGGATTCCAAAGTTATAGACAATTAGACTATCCTCCAAGAACTATTCTCAACTTTCCCCCAATTCATAACTGTTAGCCCTACCTGCAGTCTCAAGCTCATGCCCTGGTCCATGAAGAACAACATCGGTATTTTGTTGCCTGCCACGTTGGGGTCCAGAAGGATGCTCATCATCTGATGAAGAAAACATTGAAACAGATGATAGCATAAGTTTGAATCACCAAGCTAGAGTTCTTGCATGTATTATATATAAAGAAGGGTTTGAATTCCACCCGAGTGAAAATTGTAACAACAATACTGTAGAATCAAATGACGTTGAATTTTAAAACATCTCTATTACCGCTATCACATGCAGCAGCAAGTTTTTCAATCACTTGAACCAATGTTTGTTCGTGCTCCTGCATTAGTAGGTATATTTAGTGCAAAATAATACAAGTCATTAAGTAGCACAAATATATGCAATGTAACCTTTAGCATTTTCTTAGCCTTGTCAATCTCTGATCTATCAGGTTGATTGGCATCAAGTATTTTCTCCACCTAACATAGCAAGGAAATTAATTAGTCCACTTGCAAAAGCCATTACACTCCTAAAACTCAACGTACACAAACCTTCTTAATCAAGGTGTCAGTATGCAATATTTCAATCTCCTCAGAATCCTCCAACACAATTCCATTTCTAGAAGGCTGGACTTCAATTGAAGTTTGATTTATGGAGGAAACTCTCCCTCGTCCAGAGCTTGGTGCACTTGGCTCAACAAGACGAGACGTAACAGGATCGTTGCCAACCCACCTAATATCCTCTGGAGGAATCTACATCAACATAACAAAGTTTGGTGACTTGCAAAGAAGAAACCAAATTAACTGAGTGAGATGATATTGAAAAAATAGCTGTAAACTGCATCTAGCAAATTGTTAAGTCTTTATGAAGAAACATAACATTGGGCACATCACTCATCTTAAAGAAGCAAGAGGCAAATTTATATAAATACAAATTTGAACACTATTATGATGAAAATAAAATAAAATTACAAATTTCTTCATCAAATAAAACAAGCCCATATAATATTAACTCATCGGAAGGTAAAGAAGAAAAAACATTAAAAAGTGGAAACTAAAAACCTATAAATAAACAATAAGAGAAACTAACTGAAGTGAAGAAAGGTGCATAGGGCAAAGATTTTGGGTTAATTCTTGCAGATGTTGCTGGCAGTGATCAAGGTGTCAAGTTGGTGGTGTGGTGCATGCACACCAACGCATTTAGAACCCAAGTGCAAAAACGGCATGGGATAACATCTTAGTGCCTGAGCCATAGCCCATGCCATGCACAACTGTAATGCAGAGTTTGATTTTTGCAGCAGCAGAAATTGCAAACATAAATCCATCAAATATAAGCATCAACAGCTTTGGTTTATTTCACAAAAACAGCTACAACCAAAGTTGCAAATGTCTTAGCCTCATAACAACCCGGTGAGCATTACTATTGGTCTAAATCAGGTGCCAGGCAAGTGGTTGAATGGCATATAGATAAATTAATCTCAAAGGACAAAGCATCTTTGATTTTTACTGAATCCGTAAAGTGTGCAAAATATTAAAACACATGGTCAATCTAATAAGTTTTTCAGACATCTAACTTTGACCTTATAATGCATTCAAGTGTGCAGCACAAAAAATAACTATCTCAATAACAATATGCAATGAGTAGGAATCAAAATGCTACCTCTTTGATGTTAACCCATTCCATGGTTGCATTAGGGGTGTTACCATCATATTCCAATAAATGGAGTCCCTAAAATATGAGAACAAGAAGCAAAACATAGAATGAGTTTGAACGTTTACTACATTCATCATACAAGTGAGTAACCCCATTAAATCTTAAATGAGACAAAAAGAACTCCAGATATATGCCATAAACACTTAAACATCTAAGTCAATTATAAAAATGGTAGGAACCATGAGAGTGTTCTTTGCTTCTCATATGTGTGTGCAGGTGAAAATTAAAGTGGTCAATAAATACATTACAGAATTGTATTTCAAAGTCTTTCACTAGGGAAACATGAAATAGCCACCATACACGATCATCTTTGACTTACTATCGCTAGTAAAGTAGATATTATGACTAATAATTCAAGATATATCATTCCATTTCTAGGAGAAAAAATTAGTTTCTTTTCATAAATCAAGGCATTGCCCAAATGAAAGCCAACTGAAACATAGCAAATACAATCATAGATTAAAAAAGTGACAGGAGATATACATATTATATGTATGTATCTATATGGAGGTATGGAATGAAGTCAGTTTCGCTCTTCATATTAACTGCAGCAAGCAAACGGAGACCATTAACTACTATGGAACCCAAACATCAAGGTACTCAAGGTTTTAATATTTAAATCACCTAATTTCTAGTGTATAGATTTGCAAGAAGTTTTCCATACTTCTCACTTGCACCCCTATGCTTCATACATGCTCACAAGTTAAAACAGAATTACTACCAAGAAAAAACTTCAGAAATTTTAAACCACCCAACAAATAAGTTAAAAGGAAGGAGAAGAACATACATCGACAGGATTGTATTCATTTATGACAGCCTCATAGAAATTATTGTCAGCAGGCCACCTTATCATCACTCTTCGACCAACTAATGAGTCATGTAAGTTATCAGGAGTATCACTCATGGGGGCGCCAGAAGAGAGACGACCAGTGAACGGATACTGCATAGGTTTAGCTGGTGTTAAAGCAGGCAGACCCTACGAAACAACCAAAATACACATATATTAACCCACAATCGATGAACTATCTCAAAACATTCCAAGAAATTAACTTGAACATACAGTGTTAGGCCTTCGCCCACCAAGCCCTGAAGTAGGCCCCCATTTCACGTTTGAAGACACTGGCTGTGTAGAACCTGCCACTGACTGAGGGTGTAGAGATTGAGAATTAGTGCCATACGGAGTTGTTGAAAAGGACACCTTCTGTCTCTTACGCGATGCAGAGACTGTAGGACTCGGTAACTGATTGCTGTTGACATGTGGGGCAACACTTGTCGCAACATTTCTAATTCCACCTGCTTCTCTCCATTCTCGAATCCTGCGTATAAGGTCATCGGCATTGACTTCAGTAAGAAGCTCTCGGTGCTCATCATCTGAGACTCTTAGTTCCTTCCTCAGTTCAGTGATTAGTCCTTCTTTTTCCTAGTTAACACATCATTAAGGTCATAAACAAGTCAGAAACACTCAGTTTCTTCAAACACCAGAAACTAGAAATTTTCTGCGAAAAAGAAAACAAAAAGGAAAACACAATATACCCATGTCAGTGCATCAGATTGTGCTTTGAAAGCACGAAGAACTGCACCATACGCTATCTGTTCAAGGTTGTGGATTTCAGACTCCATGTCGATTTCCATCCTTTGATACAGGGATGACACTCAAAACTGCGAGCTCTTCAACTAGAACTTGATTATCTAGTGGCTGGAAATTACTGCGATCAGCACGTGCTCTTTATCAATTGACAGATATAGTAGCCAATATATTAGGAAGAAAATACTACTGGACAAATGCATTTAACGGCGAAATTCGGAAGATAAAAAGACAGCTAAACGACAAAATATTAAACGAAAATATCCCCCCACTTAAAAATTTCACATTTGGAAGCTTCTTGATAAACTAAAAACTGCTTTGCCATTCCCAAATGGCATTCAAATAGCATAATAACAGAAAATGATGTTTTAACAACAATCAGAACTTTCCACATAAATTAATGCCTAAATCATACAGAAAAAATTGATAAAAGTTCATGGTGTTTGGGAAGAATCGGCATGTAGGCCTATATCCTGGTCTATCCTCAATCTCATCACCTGAAATCCAACCCAGGAAATTTACAAGTAGAATTTGACAGAATTTTTTAAAATTGGATGCAGCATAGCTGAATTCTCTTTAGCAAAAACAATTTCATCAGCAACTAATCAGGTCATATTTATCTTATGCTCACAAACCCTAGCCTTAGGCATCACCCCCCAAGTTCCTGACCGCGCCGTAAAACTATTGATGAAACAATCAATTGTGCCTAAATTTCATGTAAACCACAACGAAAACAGCCTCCACGAAACCAAAATTTTACCTAAGATCTGATTTACCCCCAAAAAATAAAAGACCTGGACACGCCCACAAAGCCAAGAACTTTAAAAATGAAAAGCAGTACAAGGCAGAATTTAATGTGAGGAACAACGTAAGCATGCTTTGCTCCATAAAAAGATTAATCTGAAACAAACAGAAATTCACTAACCGGGTGTGGAGGATAATTCCGAATTTTGTAGAAAGACAGGTGCCAGAAATGCAGGAGCAATGCGTTGAGAGATTGTGCTAAGAAATGTTCCGAGATGGCGGAGAATCCAGAGCGGGTAGAGGATTTAGAAGACGAAGGAAGAGCAAGGAGGGTGAATTTATAGCTGAAGAAGATGCGGGAACGCGGTGCCCGTGAGACAGCTCCTATCTTCCTCCCTTCGCCGGCAACAGGGAAATCTTCGAAATTGGGCCGGTTCGGCCGAGTGCGGATGGCCCGCCGCCTTAATATATGATTTTATTTTATTTTTTATTTTTTATTGAATATTGATTGCTTTGGTTATTTGTGTAATAATATGTCCTTTAGATAGGAGAAATACGAAAGGGTATAATTAATAAACAGTATTTTATAATAAAAATAAATTTAGATTAAAATAATTTATTTGTTTAATTAAAATTAGAAAAATTATAAATTTAAAATGTTATTTAAATATATAATTATTTTTTGAAAAAAAAGGAGGTTAGTCAGAAATAAATAAAAAAATAGACACGATAATTGAGACGTATAGAGTAATATATAATTTTATTATAATATTTTTAACAAATAATTAATTAATTATGATCCTTTATTAATCAACCACTTTTTTATTATTCATAAATTGAAAATATCATTTTTACTATTTTTTGTTTCATATTTTAAAATATTTATTTTTTATTTTAGTAAACTTTTACTATTTTTTTATCTAAAGTACAAAAATATTATTATACATATAATTATTTTATTAATAAAATTAAAAATACTATTTTTACTATTTTTTTTTTGTCAATGCACACTTTCACTAATTAATACAATACTAGTATTATTTTTTTAATCTATTACAAAATTCTAAAAAAGTCTTTTCGAGTGGGACATATAGAGTATTTTTTTATATTTAATCAAACTTATATAATTTTATCAAATTAAAGAAGTATTAAAATTGAAATTTCAATTTTTTTATTTAAATAATTCTTTTATATTTGACAATTTTATATAATTTTATTTAAGAATATAAAATTTTAAAATAATGCTTAATACTTCAGATATAAAATAAAATAAAAAATTAGAATATTATAAAAGTTATTAAAATTTGATAAAAAAAAATAAAAAAATATACTATATTTGGAATATAGCACTAAGCTTATTATTATTTATTAAAATATAATAATAAAATTACAAACGTATAAAGAGTTTACTGTTTTATTATAAACAAACTATATATATTTAATTGAAAAAAAAAATAGTGAAATAATTTTAGAAATATTGATTTTTTTTTAAAATATAAAGTATATGAATTTGTATAATAATATAGAAATAATGAGGATGTACATATATTAATTTTTTTTAAAAAAAGTATGTTGAAAATCATTTGGTGAAGAAACAAAAGATGGTAGTATTTAATTTGATTTATATTTTTTTATAATTTAAATAATAAAAAAAGAAAAAATTATTTTTAGTTTCAATATAATCAAAATATATTAATTTTATTCTTAATATAAAAATCTTATTAATTTTGGTCTCAATATAACTAAAACTCATCCTTTTTGGTCAAAATATAAAATTTTTATCAATTTTAGTCTCAATATAACAAAAACTCATTGTTCCAATATAATCAAACCTTATCTCTTTTTTTTGTCCCAATATAATCAAACATTATCTTTTGTGGTCTCACACCGTCAACAAACCGACGGAAAATGCTGACGTGAAAAGAAATCAAACCTTATATTTATATTTGAAGAAATTGTATAATATTGCAGCATTTTCCGTCGATGACAAAGAAAAGATAAAATTTGATTATATTGAAACAAAAAATAATGAATTTTGATTATATTATAATTAAAATTGATAAAAATATTATATTTGGAGAAAAATAATTTTTTCCCTAATAAAAAATTATAGAGAGTATCGTAGAAGAAGCAGTGGGGTTTTGAATTATAAATTTACGATTTCTGCTAGTTAGGTCACACAATGTAGTAATATTTTTTTTCTTTAACTAACTGCATAAACATTTTGCCGAATTTAATAAACTTGTCATGGCCTTGGCGGTGGTAATAGGTCGGATTTAGCCGGACTCATGATCCGACCCAAATACACATGAATAACCTGAGAATTGAATCGGACACGGCTATACCCGGATCCAATTATACCGTACCCGACTCAAACTATACGTGACAGTACCCAAAAAAACTTTAGAATTATTAAATTTTAATTTAAAATTGAACCCGATTTTGGACTTCAAATGTATTAAAATTATTAGAAATTATTATTTTATATACATATGTGATATATTATTAATATATTAATTGAGTTCGGTTAGGATCTATCTTTAGATCCGGACCTGATCCACCCGATAAAAATATACTCTCTCCGTCCCACATAATTTATCTCTATTTTCGTCCGTCCACATAACTTGTCCTTTCTATTTTTGGAAATATAATTATGCATTTTAATCGCATTTCAAATTTTAAATTTTATAATTTTTTAAATTTTGATTAAACTATTTACTTATCTTAATTTTAATCTTAATCTATAATTATTTTTACTCAATAATACTTCCTCCGTCCCATGTATGATGGGCCTATTACCGTAGATACCAGAATTTAGGTAAAATGTGATTAGTAAGTAATTAAGAAGTGTACTAGTAAAAATAATTATTGTATAATAAAAATAATTGTAAATTAAGATTAAGATAACTAAATAGTTTAATTAAGATTAAAAAAATTATAAAATTTAAAATTTAAAATTTAAAATGAGATTAAAGTGTATAATTATATTTCTAAAAAATGAATGGACAAATTATGTGGGACAGACAAAAATAGAAAATAAGGAAAAATTATGTGGGACGGAGGGAGTAATTATTTTTACTAATACATTTCTTAAATTACTTACTAATTATATTTTACCTAAATTATCGTGTCTACGGTAATACACCCATATTACATGGGATGGAGAGAGTACAATATCCGATTCATATCCCATTCAATATTTAAATAATTGGACTCGATTCCATAGATACCAAAAACATTTAGGGTGTGTTTGTTCGGGGGATTGGATTTTGAATTGAGATTTGAATAGTAAAAATTTTGAATTTGAATAGTTGTATGATGTGATATAAATAGGTGTTGATGTGATGTTTTGAATGTAAAATTAATTTTTAGTATAATATAAAAAATAAAAAATATGTGTTTGACTCGATGTTTTGGGGAAATAATGGAATGAATAGTAAAAATTAAATCTAATCCCCAAACAAACACACCCTTAATTAATAAATTAATTAAAAAGAGAATCCAATGGTTTGTTTGGACTTTTAGGCTTCGGTAGATAATAAAGCCCAATTACGCCTTTGTAAAGCCCAGCCCAATTAAAACTTTGTGCTCATTTTGATCAACTTTTCCATTATAAATCGCTGCTTTGGTTACCTATATATATATATTGAAAAGTATTAACATTATTGATTAATTTTTCTAAAAATTATTATATGCAATGCTAATTTATTACACATATAGGGAAATAAATGTGTAGTTTAATGGCAAAGCTCTCAACCAAATGTAATATACTCAACTCTTTTTCTGAAATTCTCAAAAAAAAAAAAAAAAAAAAAAAAAAAACTAAACCAAAACTCTTAAGTAAATAGAGTTAATATTTTTTCTTTAACAAAATAAAAAAACACTTTGCTTAATAATATTTAGATAAATAGTACGATTACTAAAAAAAAATAGAAATTGATACTTCGTTACGGACCAATCAAAATAGAAAAACGGGTAAATGATTCCAGCAGGAAAATGAATTAATACTCCCTCTGTCCCAATTGGATGTCTGGGTCACTGTAAACACGAGAATTTAAGATAAGTATAATTAGTAGATAATTAAGAATGTATTAGTGAAAATAATTATACTATAATATAAATAATTATATATTAAGGTTAAGATAACTGATTAGTTTAATTAAAATTAAATAGTTTAATTAAAATTAAAAAAAATAAATTAAAAAATTTAAAATAAAATTAAATTGTATAATCATTTTCCAAAAAAAAAAATGATATGAATGTGGGAAAAAAGAAAAAGAAAAAGGCTTCTTTATATTTGAATATATGAATTTGAATTTGATTTTGATTCTGATTCGATTTGAATTGAATTGAATTGCACAAATCCCACAAAACACACTTTGAACCAAAACCAAGAAGACAGGATAAAAAAGCAAAAGAGAAAACCCACCCCACCTGCTGCTATGGTGGCTCAAAATTCAAAATCGAAGAAAAAGATTGAAGAAGAAGAAGAAGTAATTGCAGTAGAATTAATTAATTAATTAATTAATTAATTAATGATCGATCATATGTGAATGTGAGTGATACAGTTAATTAATTAGATGATCGACGGACGACTCTAGAAACCTCCTGTAAGACTCTTGTTTCTCCAACCTAAACTTCTCATGGCAATTGGCAATGAACAAATCTGCAAGCTTATCAATCTCATGATCATTACAGCACTCAGTCTCATCATCTACTTCATCATCATCCTTGTTCTTGTTGTTATTCTTATTCTCCTCCAGCCATTCCAGGTACCTTGACAGTGACAGTGCCAGCTCATCATCTTCATCACCATGGTTGTCGTCGATCTTCACAACATTGTCCTCAGCAAGTCCAAGAGGCATGACATGAGAATTGGATGAGTTGCACCAGTTGTAGTGCAGCCTGAAAGATCCAAAAAAGGCGACTTTCTTGGGGTTGTTCTTCTTCTCCTTCTTCTGCTTGGTATGGCTGATAATTTTCATCGTCTTCATTATGATCATCCTTAACCTCAGCTTCCGGAAGATGAGTTGCAATTTGGGGAAGTAATGCGCAGTGTCGTCTCTCATACTTACCAGTAGCTTCAGGAGAAGCGATTTGGCGGGGCGAACAAGACGACTTATGCTCGGGAATACTAGTAGGGTTTTCAGCGATCTTGAACCTGCAAAACCCGAACCGGAGTAGAAGGAAGAGGAGGAAGAGAAAGTGGTCGTAATTGTTGGATGGATTTGGAGATGGAGTCGCCCTTTCGTCATCAGCTCGCCTGTAGGGCGACCCATCTGATCAATTATTGATGATTCAAATCTTATATATATATGTATGTATATGTATATATGTGGAGTGGAATGGAATGGAGAACACACTAACTACATGAATGATATTTGCTCCCAAAATGGGACTGCTTAATGTGTGATTTCAATAAAGTGGCAACTAATATATATATATATGTATATACATATATATATATATATAAAACTCTCTCTCTCTCTCTCTGTGACTTTTTCTTTCTTTCTGTTCTTGTATTACCAGCTACATGATCTATGGCCAGGTCACCCTCTGGATCCCGCTATGGATCTTTGAATTTGAAATTGAGGTAATTTAGTAATTCGATGAGTGGAAGAATTAATGAGATGATCGAATCAGGTTATAGAGAGAGAGAGAGAGAGAGAGAGAGAGAGAGAGAGAGAGAGAGAGAGAGAGAGAGAGAGAGAGAGAGAGAGAGATGACAAAACAAAATATTCGATAATGGATCTCGATTGGGTATATATATATGTATATGATGGAGGTGTGAATTAAGATCTGAGAGAATCTCGTTTGTTCATGTCGTCGTCTTTCGGATTTGCTTTAACAAAACCCCAATTATGGGAGGGAGAGGGACACATTATTGTCATTGACGTAAGAAAATCATCTATACATATGTATATATATATATATATAATTTTCAATCATTATTTATTAACATAATGCTATTTAGGGGTGGACAAAAAAATCGAACCGAACACTGGAACTATTGAACCGAATCGAATTTTTGATTAACCGAGCAAATTCGGTTCGAATACAAATACTGCATATTTGATATTTGTTCGATTTGGTTCAGTTTCGATTTTTGATATTTTTTCGGTTCAGTTAACCGAACCGAATATATTTATTTATTTATGTTATTATATTTTAAATTTTATATTAAAAATTATATTCGGTTCGATTTCGGTTCAGTTACGGTTCGGATATTTGAAATATTTGTAAATATTTTGATTTAATTAGAATTTAAATTATTTTTTAATATACATTATTTTTTAATTTCGGTTCGATTCGAATTATTTGCAAATATTGCAAATATTTTCGGTTAACCGAAAATTCGATTAACCGAAAATTCGATTAATGGTAATATATGTTATATATCTTTAATGGTTATGGAGACAATTTATATGTATAGAATATGTTGTATGAAAATATATCTATTGTAAAGATTAATGGTAATATATGTTATATTGATTATTGTCTTAGTTAATGTGTTATTTTTATATTATATTATTATAAATTTCATATTTTTACTTGATATTTCGTGTATTGCCTATCTATATTTCCTAAAAAACAAATTTTATCTCTTATTATATACATTTTGTATATATATATTATTTTATACATATACACGCGTGTATAAATACACATTGTGTGTATGGGACAGCGTGATGAGGTTTCGTCTATCCCGTCTGATTCAAAGGGTTGTTTGCCAGGTTGGATTAGAGTTGTTAGGGTTAGGGTTAGGGTTCTAATTAAGGGTGTGTTTGTTTGGAGGTTTAGATTTTGAGATAAAATTTGAATAGTAAAAATTTTGAATTTGAATAGTTGTATGATGTGATATATATAAATATTTATATAATATTTTGAATGTAAAATTAATTCTTAACATAATATAAAAAATAGATATTTAATTTAATATTTTTTTTTTTTAAAAAATGGATGAATAATATATTTAAAATTCAATTCCCGTACAAATACACCATTATATATAGATGACTTCATCATATCACATTATATCATCATATAGTACTCTATCATCTCACCAATCATTGATGCATACATGCATGCATTTCATTCAATTCTTTGTTGCATCATTGTGTCATTCTCAAGATTTTCATTGTCATTCCCAATTGTTTTGACATATTACTCCCTCATCTTTTAAAATTACTCTACCTTTCCTCTTTTTGTCGTCCTGCGAAATTAGTGTATTTTTTAATATAGTAATAATTAGTAAATACTAATTACAATTACAAATTTAATTATATTTTATTCAATTACTAATATCACAAATTTTTATTGTTTATTTTGTTGTAAATTTAAAAGTATGGCTAGAATTTTGAATAATAAAATTAATAAATATTCAATATGATATAAATAAGTGTTTATGTAATATCTAAATTTTTTAGTTAATTTTTAAAATAATATAAAAAATATTTGATTTGATATTTTATGATTGAAAATTAATTAATAATGAAATTTGATTTTTATATTTCACTAAAACAATTCATTTATCACTATTATTAAGAGTGAAAAATATCAATTTACTCAAATAATGTAAGTACCGTATAAAAAAAAATACTAAAGTGTCAAAATTATTGTATATCATAAATTTTTTATATGGTATGATACCATACCGAACATTTTCAGTACGACAATTGCATATACTTTTAGCATTGTTGATATAAAATATACCAAAAATATCAATACAGTTTGATATTTTAGTATTTGATATATCAATATGTATCAATAATTTAGTATATTGATTCTAAAATAATTAAGTTTCTAATATATTCTTAAAATTGTAAAATTATTTTTAATTTTTATATTTCAGCGTAAAATATTATATTTTGATACCATACATGTAATTCGATTAGAAATAACTCGATACTGTATTCAGATAATAACGAACTATATTGTATACCACAACGATTTTTTGGTATATTAAAAAAAATATTGATACCATAAAAGAAAAAAAAATTGATATACTGAAAAATTTGGCATTTTCGGTAGTTTTTAGTACATTTTGTGATATTTCTTTAATTCAGTATTTTTTCATCTATAAATTCGGTATATCAAATTATTGGTACAATATCTCATTACGATAAAAAAAAAACATACTAAAAATTTTAGTATATAATATCGAACTATCCCTACCAACAATCAAATTCGAAAAATTTGATGTTTTGTTTATATTAAAAATTTTACTACTTCTGTTAATTTTTTTTCTCTAATTGCATAATTTACAATCAATATAATAATACTTTCTTGAAATAAAACAATTTCAATAAATAAAACATTAAATTGAAATAAAATAAAATTTCAACTTTTATTTCAATATTTCATCAAATAAAAATAGTTATAATATCATTTTATTATATATATTACATTAACTAATCACACTAATTAACTGTATAAATTAATTTTTCTTAAACTCTGCGCAAAAAAGAAACGCGATTAATTTCGCGGGACGAAGAAAATATAATTTATATTGAAGTGTACTTATATATGTTAGTTTTTAAAACAATACAAAAAAATAAAATTAATTTCGCGGGACGGAGCAAAAATTATTGTAAGCAAAATAATAGTTGTGTGCATATACTTCGAAGAAAAAGAATGGAGAAAATGAGTTATAAGCAACATTAAAGAAAATACTGGAAAAAATATGATCATCATGTATAATTTTGGGAATGAAAGGATGTGTTTATTTTGTGTTATAAGACTAAGGTAAATTGAATTTTTTATCATGTCTCAAACTACTCGTAAATAATTATTATTTTTTTTTTTTTTGCAATTTTAAACATTTGGTGTCTGAGATTCCTACATCCATTAGGCTCGCCGGAGGACACGTGTCCGTTAAGTCAACGACACTTGGGGCCTTGTGAATTTTTATTTTTATAAAAAATTTTAAATTTTCATTTTTTCTAAAAAAAATAATTTCTACAAAAAGACAAAATAAATAAATATATTTTTAAAAAATCCACATATCCGTCAAATATTGCTGACATAGTGAATACTTGTTCTCCAGCGAGCCACACGAGTGCTATGTAGGTATATCCGGCGCCAGAGGACTAACAATACGAAAAATTTTTACTTACGGGATTAATTTGCGACATCATGCAATTACGAAATTAAAATGATAAAATGTATCCAATTAATGGACTCAAAAATCAGTTTATTCATAAGGTTATTATAAGACATAGAACTCCCTCCGTCCCACCTAGCGTATCCGGGTTATTGTGGATACGAAAATTTAAGATAAGTATAATAAATAGATAATTAAGAATATATTAATAAAAATAATTATCTTATAATATAAATAATTTTAGATTAAGATTAATATAATTAATTAGTTTAATTAAAATAAAAAAAATAGAAATTTTAAAATGAGATTAAGGTGTGTAATCATAATAATAATAAAAAAAAAAGACATAAAATATGAGGCGAATAGAAATGAGTGAATATAGTAGGTGAAACTGAAGAAATATTATATATACTTGTACGATAAAATAATTTAATATTTATTTTAATTAATTAATTTATAAAATTATTAATTGTATTAAATTAGATAATAATAAAAGAAAATATTTTTTTAACATTAATAATACCTTAAGTATTAATATCACCTATAGATAGGGGCGGCTCATAAAAGGTGAGCAATTTGTTCAAGGCCCTAATTAATAGAAAATCTTTATTTTAAATATTATCTATTATTATTATTATTAAATTTTAATTTTTTTTTTCTTTGTAATTATCCTATTTAATTTTAAAATTAAATTTTGATTTCTAATTCTATATATATATTTTTATTTCTTTCAAATCGTCTTCTTTAGCTTACATTCTATCGCATTGCCCCTGCAACTCGATCAAACCTGCCTCACATTTTCTCTTATATCTTTCACCCTAATTCAATCCTTCTTACTCTTAAAATTTTCAGACATACCGTATTTCATCTTTTTTTCTCAAATTGACATTGTCCGGTCACGTTCAACCTCTTGTCCAATCAATGCTAATAAGTAATATTATTAAAAATATATTTTAATTATGTATTTGTAGGGCCTATAACTTATTTTTGCTCGGGACCTAAAAAAAATCTGAGACGCCCTAGTTACAGAACTAAAATGATAGTATTTATTGATTGAACCTTTTCATTTACTTACTAATCTATGGTGAAATATATAAAAAACTATGTACGGGTGTTTTTTTTTTTTATTATTATTATTATTATTATTTATTATTTTCATTAAATTCTCAAATTTTATTATTTAAATTATGTTTTTTTTTATAAAAAAATATTTTTTTATTATAAAAATATTATTTTAATATCAAATTTAAACTAAAAATTTTCAAATCAAATAAAAGGAGACACTTATTTTCATATATATATATATTATTCATTAGATCGAATCATAAGTTGGTTTGTTACACTTGTATGAATTAATAAATTATGTTGAAAAAATGAATTTGGAGCAAATTAAGATTTGTCATCGAGTACATGTCAAAATACAACACACAATAATATTAGTATTATTAATATGTACTAGTATATAAATTAAGAAACCTTGTACGGACAACAATATATCCTTTTCAATTTCATTGACAAATTATTAATTATAATAACCTTAGCTAATCAAATTATATGTCTTTTGAGTATTCTAAGGGTCACACTATTTAGCTGGCTTTGGTTGATGGCTATCCATCTCTCTGTTTCACTCTTTTTTTAAAAAAAAAAATAAAATTATCACAGCCGCTTTGGAAAGTCACACTAGGTAAATCATATATAACAAGTGACGTGAGGCGTTGGAGGTATGAACTCATGACCTCACGGTCACAAGTCCAACTCCTGTACCACAAGCTCATTCATTCTTAATTTCATACATCATGTCTTGAATCTATCTATCAATAATACACGTTTCGGTTTCGTGCCGTAGAGTCTTCAAATAATTTATGTAAATAATACCAAAACTTATTCTATGGTCAATTTCAGATTTTGGTACGCTGATGTACAAGATATTGAAATGTGAATATTTTTTGATAGAGCTACGTATAAAGAATAATTGTTCATATTATGTAATTAATAAATAATTAAGAAATGTGATTAAAATAGATTATATTAATATTAAAAAAATGACAAATTATGTAAGACATACCGAAATAGAAAGAACGGAGAAATCATGTGGGACGAATGAAGTATATTATAAGTACTAAAGTATGTTTATAGCTTGTGAAAATTTTCTTTCTACCTTAATACTCGCCTCCCGTATATATATATATATATTTATTATCCGTTAAATTTAAATATAATTTATTAATAATAAATAATTTTATACATTTCAATTTGTCATTATCTTTTCCACTTATCCTATTATATTATTAACACTTAATAAATTTTCTATAATATCATCTTTTTTTTTTTTTTTTTTTTTTTTTTTTTTTTTACATATTTTCACATTTAAATTGAAATTAAATTACTATTATTTTTTAGTCTTCGTTTTCGGATATTGTGGCGTATAGTTAGTACAGAGTAATTGATTATTTTTTTCCTCTCAATTCAAAGTATATTTATTACTCCCTTCATCTCACATACTATATCCATGTTGCCGTTTTTATCCGTCCCACATGCCATGTCACTTTATTTTTTTTTAAAAAAATGATTACACACTTTAATCTCATTTAAAATTTTTTAATTTTTTTTTTTAATTTTAATTAAACTAATTAGTTATCTTAATCTTAATTTATAATTATTTATATTATAGGATAATTATTTTCACTAATACATTCTTAACTATCCGTGTCTATAGTGTAGCAGATACGGTATGTGGGACAGATGCAATATTATTTTTGTTAGTCTCGCTTCAAAATATTGCTTTCATATTTTAGTAAAAGTAATCATATGTTAATATCAAAATATTCTTAATTTTTACTTAAATTACAAATATACCATTAAATCGATAAACAAAAAAAATCAAAAGTTTTACATATTTTTATTAATTATAAAATATTAATTTTATATATTTCTACTTATTAATAAAATATAACTACCTCCTTCCCGGATATTTTGTTCGATTCACTGTAAATACGAGAATTTAGGAGGAGTATAATTAACAAAAATAATTATCATATAATTATATATTAAAATTAAGATAATTGATTAGTATAATTAAAATTTAAAAATTATAAATTAAATTTTTTAAGATAAATTAAAATGTATAATTCTTTTCTAAAACAAATAAGTGAGACTAACCAAAATAAAATATAAACATGAGAAATGGAACGAAAGAAATATTATTTTTAAATTAAAAAAAAAAAAAAAGCCCAGATGAGCGTTAGGAGGAGGGAGTATTATATTGTTCCATGTCATTGGAAGATTAATTACTTTGGGTTCATTTATTGTCGTTTCTTGACTACTCTCCATTTGCTTCTGACGGCACATCGCCAAAGACAACTTACTAAAAGTTGCAAGAAGCCAAGAACTCTTCGTTATGCTCTCATCTGTCCCATAAAATTTGTCCTTATTTTCTATTTTCTTTCATTCACATAACTTGTCATTTTTATTTTTGGAAATATGCACTTTAATAGCATTTTAAATTTTATAATTTTTTAATTTTAATTAAACTATTTACTTATTTTTACTAATACATTTCTTAATTATTTATTAATTATACTTTACCTAAATTCTGGTGCGTAATTTATAATCATTATATTTGTTTGTTTGCTTATTTAATTGTTTATTACAATAGCAACGACCACTCATGAAACGACAGCAATCTAATGCAGAGTGGATTCATCACACACATTTAATTTATATATGTATATTTATTTGTTCCTTAGCTTTAGCTTTCTGAGGTTCTTTGCTTTTTTGAAGTTGTCAAAGAATAATGATATTTTTTATTCAATTATTGCTATGTGAAATAGAAAATCAAAACCCAGAAATACTAAGGAAGGAATCACGGCGTTGCATATCTTCTTGGAAGGAAATGACAAAATTGAGATATATACATACATTGCATGAATTGTTTACTAAGCTTTGGTTTTGTCAATGCCTGTTGTTCATTCCTATTTCTAATCTTATCCTGTTTAGGGGGATTGGTGATTATGTTTTTTTTTATTGTTATTAAGAAGCTTCATGAGCTGAGCTGTACGTTGACATGTTCATCAAGCATCCTTGGATTACAAGGCTACGTTCGTTAATCATACTATCCATTCTTTGGTTCACCCGCCACCTGTTCGACGAAAGTCCTCTATGAAACTTGATGAGAAGCATTTTATTAGTTTGCTGTGCTGAATCTGTTTTCAGACAAGAATTGGTGATACTGGGAATCAAGACATTAGATTAGATTCAAATTCGATTCGATTTGATTCGATTAGTTTTGTGTGTTGCTGCTGCTGCTGCTTCTGGTTGGATTGGTTTGTTATTACTAACAAATGACAGGGATACATCATCATCTTTATCATCATCACAATCATTATGGATTTGGGAGTGATTTCGCCTGCGATTTTCCGGATTCCTTCCCCCAAAGCTATGGCAGCCATCAGCAATTTGCACAGGTATGGAGCCAATCAGGTGCAGTGCTGGAGAATGGCTCACAGCAGCAGAGCAGCAGCAATCTATGGCCTAATAATGATTCTCCATCTGCCATGATCAGTCGAATTGGCTCAGGCGAAGGTTCGCCGGCTTCTGCCTTCTTTGCAACTGAATTCTACATGGGGTTGCCGCAGCAGCATGGTGCACAGGTTATCAAATCCACTTGCTGCTCCAGTGATCATCATCATCATCATCAATTCAAGAATTCCAATCAAAGTTGCCAATCCGGTGGTCGTGTATTCCTTGGAACTTCTGAACCAGGCAACCGGTTCGATGATGGTTTGCCATCAAACTGCAGGAACCAAATCAGTCTCTTGGAGAGTGAACAGCTGCAACACCTGAGAAACAGGCTTCTTGGAGATCTTGATTGTTCCATTAATGGCGGAACCCCATCTCCTTCTCTTCCATCCAATTCAGATCAGGACCTTCAGGTAAGTTCTTGGAATCTTTTCTGCTTTCCATTCCACTGATGATCTCCTCATCATTTTCAACTGCATTAACACAGACACAGGTGGCGGCGCAAAGTTTATTCTCGTCGCATCTTTCCAATATAAAGCAGTTTGCAAGACCACCGGTTTCCCCTGGATCCAGCTCATCAAGCAAGACCAGGATCAGATGGACACCAGATCTTCATGATCGATTTGTGGAGTGTGTGAATCGACTCGGTGGCCCTGACAGTAAGTAATTCGATACATAACCAACCCTGCCTTTCTTTTCCATTCCATTCCATTTGATGAACACAAGACAATCTCCAATTTTTAATTTAACATAACATAGGAGCAACACCAAAGGCAATCCTAAATCTTATGGAAACAGAAGGACTCACTATTCTACATGTCAAAAGCCACTTGCAGGTCTGATATTCTCAGATTTCAGATTTCAGACCTCACTCCATCCTTGTTGATTTTGGTTTGCTGTTTGTGCAATGTTTTTCTATCTTTATGTGTTGTGTAGAAATATCGAAATGTGAAGAACTTACCAGAATCAGTGGAAGGTAGATCTATCCTACTTTGTGCATAATTCTTTAATTTCTCCAAACTTTTTAGTCCTCCTAGCAATTGCATCTGATCTACTGACTTTCCCTCTTCTGCTACTGCAGGGAAATCGGATAAGAAGACCGGAACAGCGAGTGCAACACAAATCGATATTGAAACGTAAGTAAGTTACTGCTATTCCATTAGGATAGAGACTGCATGATTATGATTATGATCATGATCATGAAGAGATGAGAATTTTGTTGCAGAGGCGTGCAACTGAAGGAGGCACTGCTGCTGCAAATAGACGTCCAAAGGCGTCTTCACGAGCAACTAGAGGTAGCAACGGGACATTTTATTTTCCTCCTTAGAGCCACTACTATTAGTATTATGAATATTGGTTTGTTTGTTTGTTCCATTTTCAGATTCAAAGAAACTTGCAGCTGAGGATTGAAGAACAAGGGAAGCAGCTGAAAAAGATGTTTGATCAGCAACAGCAACAGCAACAAAAGACATTGTCCTGATGAGATTATCATTCATGTTTAAGATAGCTTAAACAACTATGGATCTCTCTCCCAAGAATAAGATTATTCCTTTTCTTAAAAAAAAATAAAAATTAAGTTATAAGAAATTTATTTTGGCAGCCTTTAAGTGCAATAGCCTACAACGTTTTGAATCTAGACCTTCTAGCTGTAAATTCACTAGAGCTTCGTCTCTGGTTAAATTTTTAAATGTGGTAAAAATTGTTTAATACAAAATCAACCCAATTTATTTAAATGAGTTATAAATTCCACTCATTAAAATACAATAGGTTTATAAGATATTTATGGTCACTCAATACTATATAGATTAATACTTCATCCACAAAATATATGTTTATTTAGGTTCAAACATAGTTTTTAAGGAATGTAATATTATATTAATTCATTGTAACATTAAAAATGAATGAAATAATAAACTAATTTTTTTTTTAATATTTTTATAGATTAAACATACAAGTAATTGGGGTATTTTTGTAAATAACTAAATATCACAATAGGTCTGGACGCACAATTTCATAGTTATACCGGGTAGGATTTGATTGTCGGACGTTTTGTATATCAAAATTTAAAATAATATAAATATATTGCTAGAAAACATTTTTTTCTATATATAGATCCGGTCCGAACCCAATTAAAATATATAATATTCAACTCGATATCCAAATAATTAAACTCATCCCCCAAATATATGAATTGGGTTTGGGTCAGATTTTGGGGCTTATTTGGAACCATTGTTATCTCATATTTACTGTCGAAAGGTATAATTAAAATAAGGGAAAAAAAAGAACACTAGGAATTTGTTTGATTGCAATTTAAAATTTATTTGAAATGAAATTTTGATTCGAATGATATTTTATAAAAAAATATTATTTATTTTTATTGAAAATTATGTTGAGTAAATAATATTATATTTATTATTTTTTTTTAAAAAAAAATAAAATTCGAAGAATAAGTCATTAGTATTGAATATATTTAAATTAATTAAAATAAGAATACAGCATACCTATCTATAATGTGATTTATGGTGCAATTATTCAACTTTTTGCCTGACGAATGGGCAATAAATAATAATACACCTACGGCCCAAAAGATTGAGGCCCAATATTATAAGCATACGATACGCTCATACCATCCGACAAAGAGTAGCGCTTTTAACAAACGCAAATGCGACATTAGCTAATTACTAGTATTATTTTGTATAAATAATTACAGCCATTGGTAGGGGTAGGGGAATTAGCGTTCTCTTCCGCAGCAGCAGCAGCAGCAGCAGCCATCAATACGAATTACAGATATTTCCTATGACTGTGTGAGGGTTTCTAAGTTTCGCGCGCCACCATTGACTCTAGAGGCGGCGAAAGGGTTGAAATCAATTGAAAGGAGGACCATTGGAAGAGGGCTTAAAAGAATATAATGGAGGACATGAAGAAGAGGAAGCTGGATGAAATTGGGAACGGCCAGTTGCTGTCCAACTTGACTGACGTCACGCCACTTTCATCCGTCGAAGAATTGCGTACGCTTCTTGACCCGCTTGCCAAGCCTCAACTCGTCGATCTTCTTGCTAGAGTGTAATTCTCAACCCTTTTACCATGTTTATATAGCCATTTTCGGGTGCCTGCTTTATTTCAAGAACCTGCATTTTATATATTTTTGTTTCTCGTTTCGTGATTTTTCTTTTTCTCTAGGCAAAAATTGGTGCCTGGAGGTATCTACAGCTATCGCTAGTTCATTCTTGGATTTGTGAAGTTGGAAATTTCTGAAGTGTTGATTTGTGTAAAAATTGAAAACTTATATGATTCTGTAACTTTTGCTTTTCCAGTCAATTTTAACTTGTTTAAGAAATTCTTTATCTGCCCAAATGTTCTTTGTTTATATAGAGTTTGAACTTCGTAAACATAAGCTTATATTTATGCGAGAATTGTTGTCACTAGAGCTAAAATGTAGATTTCATCTTGTAGTTTGGAATAAGATTACCCTATGTTTGTAGCCATTGGTATTTTATTGATTATTATCCGTGCATGGACAATTGTTTCTATCCCGACCTGTGATTAGTTATGATCATCAATAGTACTGTGGTTGATTTGAAAAATGGGTGATTAAGGGCCAGCCGTGTAGTTTGTGTGTGTGTTGCATGTTTGGATTTTATGTGAAATTTGGACGTGCATGCCTTAATTTTGGCTCTATATGAAGTCAGGCAGAGTTGTGATAGGATCTCCTTAGGGATTCTTATAGAAATTGAATAGATTTCTTGCGTCTCTATCTGTTCTGGGAAAAATTCAGATTCGTGGATTCAAAGCGAATGTTGTTAGTGGATGGTGAGTTGGGGGTGCTCGAATTGGTGTAGTTGTTTTAAATGTGACATGAACATTTATTCATTTATATTATTCAGGGTTGAGTGGTGTTTATTGATTTGGAAGCTTCCTGTTTGGGATTGACACACAATGCGCCATGTCATTGATGGCATTCCACATGCATTCGCCCCCCCTTATGTGCATTCATATGAATGAAGAATTGTGTGTGTGATGTGTCATTTGGATGCTTGTTGTGCATTGGAATGTTTTTGCTCTTCCATCCGGGTGCTGAGTGGATTGACATTGTATGTGTGTGCTTGTTTGCATGTTCTGGTGTGAAGAGGATCCCAATATCCTTCTATTGCTGAAGAAATTAAAAGTATTGCAAGTGCTGATCCTGCCCTTCGCAAGCTTTTTGTTCGTGGTTTAGCATGGAATACTACTTCAGAAGCTTTGTGTGCTGTGAGTGAATAGTTGCATGTACTGCATTTTTTGTTTATTGGTGCTTGCAATTTTTGATGTTTCTATTGGTGTCTGAATTTGTCCTTTGACTTCTTTAATAGGCATTGTGTCGTGTTGTCCTTGGTAGATTGTATGATAGAGAACCTTATGACTTATTTTTGGTTGTTGATTAATTGTAGGCATTTCTAGAGCATGGTGAAATAGAAGAAGGTGCTGTAATCTACGACAAAGTAACAGGAAAGTCGCGAGGTTATGGTTTTGTTACATATAAAGATATGGAGTCAGCTCAAAGAGCTCTAAAAGCACCCAGCAAAATGATTGAAGTGAGTATAATTAATAGGTCATTTGTAACCAGCCAAATCCACCCCCACCTGGCAGCCTTCTTTTTATCCCTCACGTTGAGTTCTCATATGTTTTTTCAGGGTCGAATGGCTGTTTGTAACCTTGCAAGTGAAGGTTTAAGTAGCTTCAGCATTACACCTGATCAAGCCCAGAGGAAGCTATACATTGGAGGTTTGTCACCTGATACAACTAGTGAGATGTTGCTCGCTTTCTTTTCAAGGCACGGAGAGATTGAAGAGGGTTCTGTTGCCTATGACAAGGACACAAACAGATCTCGGTAAATATTTTATGCATTTTCATTTTTTATGTATATAAATTCTCTTTTTTTCTCTTTTGGAGCTGACGAGCTTGCTTGCTCTGAAGTGGCTTTGGCTTTGTTACCTACAAGACAGTAGAAGCAGCAAAGAAAGCTATTGATGACACACAAAAGATGCTTGGAGTGAGTGAATATTAAATAATGAACTCTGTGTGCATACTTTGTTTTGCTTTAACAAACACCGTATAATTTTGCAGGGAAGAAATGTCACCGTGAAGCTTGCTGATAACTACAAAGGAAAAGTTACCCAATCACAGATCGCAGCTGGTATGGTTCCAATGCCATTACATCTTACAGCTGGGTATCATCAGACAGGAGGCGGTGCCCCTATTAGTTATCCTTATCCCCAGGCGATGGGAGCATATCCCACGGCCTCCTATGCAAGTTCACCAACTGCACCTGCCTCATACTCCACACTGGGACAGTATTCTTATCCGCAGTATGGTGGCGGTAAGAAAGAATCTACCCCACCCCATTCGGGTCGTGGAGGATACCCTTACTACATGCCCAACCAATAGACCTTCAATGTCAGCAGTAGGTAAGGTAGGCTGCCTAAACATCATTACTGGCATTGTTATTGTTAACGATATTTGGCTTCTCTCTGATGCCTGTTCTAATGGTGTTTTTTTGGCCCCGTGTAGTGGACATGGCTGGCGGAAGAAATGGCTGCAGGCTGCAAAAAGATGAGAGAATATTCAGGATGCCCTCATCCTCTCTAGTCCATATATATATATATATTATAGAGATATGTGAATGCTGTTACTGGCTGGCGGTTTTTAGGTATAGTTAAAGCTGTTATGGCCTAATTCTGGCGATTCTTGGGCACCACCAATTGATGATGAGGATGAGGATGAGGATGATGGTGAAGGTAACTGTCACCAGAACCAGATGGACTAATGGATTATGTAGAATCAAGAAATGAATTGAATTGTATTGATTAATTGCTGACTTGGTTTTGCGGTTGGTTTGTTTAGTTTGGAAGAAATAATTGTGTTATGACTGACTGAGACTGTATATAGATGATGATGATATTGCAGCTGACTACTTTACTTGTTGGGTGCTTTTATCTAATTTATAGGGATTTGGATTGCATTGGCATTGGCATTTGCATAGATAGGTCTTTGAAAACTCATATCCCATTCTCTCTGTACATGTGCATATTTGTTTGGTTTGATTTGATTTGATTTGATTGATTCCCAGACAGAGACCACAACATGTCACGATGGCGCCCGAGCCGGGGGGACGACATGCGCCGTGCAGCGAGTTTGATGCCTCTCCGGGCATCGGGCTGACGCACCACGGAGCATTACAACTTACGGCTCGGGTGGCGTGCCGGATCGCCTCACCTCATTCGGTGAATGGTAAAATTTTGAATTGAAATAGTTATTTGACTTGATATATGTGATGTTTTTAATGTAAAATTAAATTTTAATGTAATATAATAAATAAAAAATAAAAATTTGATTTGATGTTTTTGGGAGTAAATTATATTGGAATAGTAAAATTAAAATTAAAATTGTACAAGTAAACACAATATACTGTTTTTTTTGTTTGTTTTTGTTTTTATGTTCATAGGTTTGATTTTGGAGCTCGTAGTTTTGATGGACGTGATAGCTAAGAAAATGTGTTGGATTTGATAATTTGGTCAATTGGATAATTTACTTTTTTTTTTTTTTTTTAATTTGTCTCCGCATATTCTCATTTTATTGAAATTTTCTTTTTCTTAATTAATCATTTTTTTCCTTCCAATCATCTAAATTTATTTATGTAAGCAAATTTTTATTTATTCCTATAACACTTCAAAAGTTGCGCCTTGTTTAGACACCAATTTTGGATGTTCGATATTATTTCAATAATAATAATAATAAATAACAAAATTAAATATATATATTTTTTACAAAAACATCATATCAAATATTAAATTTTTATTATTCTTAATATTTTTCAAAATTTTAAAACCCCCAAAGTTTCTTTTCTGAATGAAAATTTGTAAAACTAAGAGTGTGTTCTTTTAACAAAAAAATTATTACTCCCTCCGTCCTAGATACCTGTCTACGGTATTTTAAAAAGGGTGTAAATAGTAGTTAATTAAGAATGTATTAGTGAAAATAATTATTATATAATATAAATAATTATAAATTAAGATTAAGATAACTAATTAGTTTAATTAAAATTAAAAAAAAATTAAAATAAAATTAAAGTGTGTAATCATTTTTAAAAAAAAGAAAAATGACATAGTATGTGGGACGGACAGAACGGCAACATGGACAAGATATCTGAGACGAATGGAGTATTTTTTTTAAATATTAATATATCACACATATTAATTCTTTCTATAATTTTAAAAATATCAAATTAAATATATATTTCATTTGTTTCAATAAAAAATATTAATATATCTAACACATTTATTATTTTTTATCAATTTTTTTTTTCCTTCGAGTTCTTACGAAATTTAAAAAAATACTATTATTTTTATTATTTTTCTATGGGCCACTTAGTATTTTATTCTTATTATAATAAAAAATAATTATATATTAATATCAAAATACAGTTAATTTTTACATAAATTACAAATATATTATTATATATATAATATAAAAAAATAAAAATGTTAAAATAATCTTAATATTTTTAATAACTAATAAAATATTCCATCCGTCCTATTACAATAGTATTGTTTACCATTTTTGTCCGTTTCAAAATAATAGTTTCGTATCCATAAATAATCATATCACTGTAAAACTATCCATACTTTTTCATTATTATTACACAATTATCACTGCTTTTTATACTAATTATCCTTACTTTTTACCTACTATCAATGTAATATCAATATTCTTTAAATATCGTGTTCAACGCAACAAGACTATACTTTTGAAACAAAGAGAGTATTATTTTTTAATTTATTATAAAAATTTAAATACATATTTTTATAAAATATTATATCAAACATATATATTATGTACGTAAATTTGGAGCCACTAAGTGCATCTCCAATGCAACGTCAATTTTGACGTTGCAATCCTATTTATGCCGCTAACGGTCTCCAATCGGGCGCCAATTGCAACACTATTTTTGGTGTTGCACTGTAGCAAATGCCATTTATGATGTGTTTGTTTGTTTTTTTTTTTAAAAAAAAATTTAAATTATAAATTTTACTTTTAAATTTAATTTAATTTTTTTAAAATTTTATTTAAAATTATAAAAATTAAAAGTTGTTTAAAATAATAGAAAAAATTGAATATTTGAAAAATAATAGTAAAAAATTGAATTATGATTAAAGTAAAATTATTATAACAATTATTTGAACATAAATCTGGATAAATAAAATTAATGAGTTGAAGATGGCATGATCAATCGATGTCATGCAATTACTTTTGGCTAAGTAATACTGAGAATTAGGACGTACACGTATCGTATATGGACTCTCTTTTTATTTATTTATTTATTTATTCTTATAATGTTAGACATATATGGATTTGTAGATTAACAAACCTAAGTAATTAAAATAAAATAATTATAATACTGCGAAATACACGGGAGCGGCACGTGCGAGACCCGACCATAGTCGTGGCACGCGTGACGTCGGGTTCCGACACACAAAGACAGCTGCATTACAATACATACATACAAATATTTGTAATTAATGTGTATTCATTCGAACAAACATTATTTGCACTTCACCCCTCCCAACTATTATCAATTTACAAACGTAAGGACTCTTTCTGTGCCTTCTTTTTACAAAAATGGAAATATTGTTTAATGTTTACTCCGTCCATAAAAAAAAATATCTACATTCCTACGGACAGAGCAATTTAGATAAAATATAATTAATAAATAATTTAAAAATATATTAATAAAAAGATAAAAATAACTAAATAATTTATTTAAAATTAAAAAATTATAAATTATAAAATTTAAAATATAATTAAAGTATATAATTATATTTTTTTTTTTAAAAATAAAATATATAAAATAGACAAAAATAAACAGTTTCTATGAAAAAAAAATACATGATAGATTACAATATACTTTTTCTTTCTGTCACTTAGGCCATATTTAACCCATCAATTACATTTATCCACTTTTAACTTTAAATATGCGGTTATAGTAATTTTACTCCAATCATAACTCCAATTTTTACTATTATTATTTAAATATTCAAATTTTCCTATTATTTTAAACAAATTTTTAAAAATTTAGAAAAATAAAAAATAAATTTAAAAGTTAAAATTTAAAATTTAAAAATGAATTTTTTTTTTTTTTTAAAATATATAAAGCAAACACTGCAACGCCAAAATGGCACAGGATTTGGCAACGGTTGGAGACAACCGACGCCAAATCAACCAACTCAGGGCCATTAGTGGCGCTGGGTTGAAGATGTAACAATCTATCTATTTTTATCTTAGTGTGTCTCGTAACAATGTATTTATTTTTTTTAGTAATTGTATTTTTTACTAACATTAAAAATATTCTTACAATTTATAATATATTATACAAATTTTATACTTTTATATCACACAATACTAATAAAATTATTTTTATTTTTTTTACTTTATTATTCGTACTATATTTAAATATAATATTAATATTTTTAAAACTTTAGTATAAAAAAAAGCAAACCATTAAATAAGGGATAGAGGACGGGGTAAATTATAAGAAGTTAAAATGGACACGCATGAAAGAATGTGGAGGGGAAATCAAGCTATATTTAAATCTCATGTGCCTTTTACTTACTTAAAAGAGGGGTGAAATTGGAATTCCCAAAGACTCAGAGGGGCAAAATGAAATTAACCAGCCAGGTCAGGACAGAGATAGAGATAGAGATAGAGAGAGAGAGAAAGAACATACGCAGTTGGGCAGGGCTTGGTGCATTTTAAAAGCAAATTCATCAGACAGAGCCCTCTGAGTGTCCCCCACCGTTTTCCCCACCCCACCCCCCACCTTTTGCTTTTCCTTTATTTGTTCCTCTCCGTCTCCGTCTCCGTCTAGATCTCTCTCCAAAGAAGAAAAAGGAATACAAGAGGGGAGGCCTCTCTCAGGTCTGTGTTCGTGTTCTTGCTTTTTCTTTTTCATTAATCAGAAAAAAAAAAAAAAGGCCACAAGCTCCAAAACCCTTGAATCCTTTTTACTCACCGTCTTTTCCTTTTTCTCCTCTGCTGAAGAACCTTATCGTGAACCTTCAAGGTATATTCATATGTGCCTTCTCTTTTCCCACCTTTATTCGTATCTTTATTTAAAGCTCTTTACTTATTTGACTGTGAAATTAAAAAAAAGAAAATTGACATAAAAATCTGAGGATTGGTCTCCAAGCGCATTGTTCGGGTAGATTGTTTTTCTCAAGAAGAAGAAATGTTTTTATGAGTTTTATATATAATGCAGCATGTTCATCAATGTCGTATTTCGGATATTTACGTTTGTTTTTGTTGTTAAATAGGTTGTTGTGTTCTTTCTCTCATCGGCTAACTGTTTACTTGGGGATATGAACTGATGTGTTTTTTCACAGTTTTTATGTTCCCAGATCTGAAGGATTGAGTTAATATTTTGGGGATTGCCAGGTTTCTTCTGTAGTAAGGCTCTTTCTTTATTATTTTTTACTAATCACATCTGGTTTTGTCGGTATGGCTATTTGATAGCTCCTTCGATCTTTCTTGCTGTTCGATCATTTTAAGCGGTTAAGAGAGTGACCTTTAGAAGTGTGTATATATATATATATATTTGAGCTCTTAGATCTGTTTGAATTTTTTTATATGGACATGGACGTGATTCAGTATTTAAATATTTGCTTGTCTTTTCTGTTGCCTTAGGTATGAGTTTAGCTGTGAAGACTACGAATTTTTGTTGGCTGTCTGTAAATTGATATATTGGAAATATTTTTCGATGATCTTTAATGTTTCTTGCTTTTTGTTTGAGGGGTTTTCACTTTTCAGCTCTTAGATCTGGAGTTTCTCATGTTTAGGTTTTAGGCCTGCATAAAAATGGAAAATCTTTGAATCTTGGCTGTGTTATTTCGAAGTTCTTGGCATTGTTTATTGTTGAATGATTGCAATTTGCAAACCTCAATATCTCTGATCATTATTTGTAACATAATTTTGTGTTCAGGTGTGTAGAAAGGATACAAGATGCAGAGGCCACTGCAGGAAGATTTTTCGTTGAAAGAAACCAAACCCCACCTCGGTGGCGGGAAGATTACCGGAGATAAGCTCACAAGCACCTATGATCTCGTCGAGCAAATGCAATACCTTTACGTCCGGGTAGTGAAGGCGAAAGATTTACCCGGAAAGGACGTCACCGGAAGCTGTGATCCGTATGTCGAGGTTCGCCTCGGAAACTACAAGGGCACGACTCGTCATTTCGAGAAGAAGTCGAACCCGGAGTGGAACCAGGTGTTTGCCTTTTCGAAGGATCGAATTCAGGCGTCGGTTCTTGAGGCCACCGTGAAAGATAAGGATTTCGTAAAGGATGATTTCATCGGTCGAGTTCTGTTTGACTTGAACGAGATTCCGAAAAGGGTTCCCCCGGATAGTCCTCTGGCTCCGCAGTGGTACAGACTCGACGATCGAAAGAATGAGAAGGCGAAGGGAGAGTTAATGTTGGCTGTTTGGTGGGGTACTCAAGCCGATGAGGCGTTTCCCGAGGCCTGGCATTCCGACGCTGCTGCCGTCAGCGGCGCCGACGGGCTTGCGAATATCAGGTCGAAGGTCTATTTGTCGCCGAAGCTTTGGTATCTGAGGGTGAATGTTATCGAAGCTCAGGATTTGCAGCCGAGCGATCGAAGCAGGTTTCCGGAAGTTTTCGTGAAGGCCATTCTCGGGAATCAAGCGTTGAGAACGAGAGTGTCGATGAACAAAACGATAAACCCTCTTTGGAACGAGGATTTGATGTTTGTTGCGGCGGAGCCGTTTGAGGAGCCGTTAATACTAAGCGTCGAAGATCGTGTCGCTCCAAACAAAGACGAGGTTCTCGGCAGGTGCGCGATCCCGTTGCAGTACGTCGACAGGAGATTGGATCACAAACCCGTCAACACTCGGTGGTATAATCTCGAGAAGCATGTCCTCGTCGAAGGGGAGAAGAAGAAGGAAGTGAAATTCGCAAGCAAGATTCATATGCGGATTTGTTTGGAAGGCGGGTATCATGTACTCGACGAGTCGACGCACTACAGCAGCGATCTCAGGCCTACGGCGAAGCAATTGTGGAAGTCGAGCATCGGCGTTCTCGAGTTGGGGATCTTGAACGCTCACGGGTTGTCTCCGATGAAAACAAAGGATGGTCGAGTAACGACCGACGCATACTGCGTCGCAAAATACGGGCAGAAATGGGTCAGGACGAGGACGATAATCGATAGCTTTACGCCGAGATGGAACGAGCAGTATACTTGGGAAGTATTCGATCCATGCACGGTGGTGACGATAGGCGTGTTCGACAACTGTCACTTACAAGGAGATAAGTCGGGAAGGGATGCGAGAATCGGGAAGGTGAGAATTCGACTTTCGACTCTCGAAACGGATCGCGTCTACACGCATTCGTATCCGCTTCTGGTTTTGCATCCCTCCGGGGTTAAGAAAATGGGCGAGATTCATTTAGCCGTACGGTTTACTTGCTCGTCGTTGGTTAATATGATGCATATGTACTCGCAACCCCTGTTGCCGAAAATGCACTATATCCATCCGCTAACCGTCGGTCAGCTCGACAATTTGCGACATCAGGCGACTCAGATTGTCTCGATTAGGCTCGGTCGAGCCGAGCCGCCGCTGCGGAAGGAGGTCGTCGAGTACATGCTCGACGTTGGTTCGCACATGTGGAGCATGAGGCGGAGCAAGGCGAATTTTTTCCGAATCATGGGGGTTTTGAGCGGTTTAATTGCCGTCGGGAAATGGTTCGATCAGATTTGCAACTGGAAGAATCCGATCACGACCGTTCTCATTCATATACTGTTCTTGATCTTGGTGATGTATCCCGAGCTGATTCTGCCTACCGTTTTCCTCTACCTGTTCTTGATCGGCGTATGGTACTATCGATGGAGGCCGCGGCACCCACCCCACATGGATACTCGTTTGTCTTGCGCCGATACTGCACATGGCGACGAACTTGACGAGGAGTTTGACACATTTCCGACTTCTCGCCCCGCGGATATTGTAAGAATGAGGTATGATCGTCTTCGGAGCATTGCAGGGAGGATTCAGACAGTGGTCGGTGACTTGGCGACCCAAGGGGAGAGGTTACAATCGTTGCTGAGCTGGCGCGACCCTCGAGCGACGGCGCTGTTTGTTATTTTCTGTCTGATTGCCGCGATCGTGCTCTATGTGACGCCATTCCAAGTGGTGGCGCTTCTCGCGGGGTTCTACGTTTTGAGGCATCCGAGGTTTAGATACAAGCTTCCTTCCGTGCCGCTTAATTTCTTCCGGAGGCTGCCGGCGAGGACGGACTGCATGTTGTGATGAAGGTAAGGTTAAGGGTGACTTCTTGATGATGAAAACTTGATAATTTGTGCATTTTAGGGTTTCTTTATTTTTGTGGGTATCAGATATCATCTTCCCCCATGAGACAAACTAGCTTCATGGTAATCTTGCACCGTACTGTTACTGTAGAGTTTGTCTCTGTGTCTGTCTGGATCATCGTCATAATCTTGAATTGCTGCTGTTTATTTATTCAAACTTGAGATGTTCATGTCAAGTCAGTAAGTCTGAGCATTATTTATTCCTAATCTCTTGGTTCTTCTTGATCATCACAAATTGGCTTTTAACAGATCAAAATTCGAACAGCATTAACATCAATGAGACCTGGCAATGGGTCGAGTTTTGTCGAGTTTATGTCGGGTTGAATACTTTAAATGAGTTAAATCACTCATTCCTAACCCGATAATTATGTCAAAATCCTTGATTAAAATCTAATTGATTTTTGTCGAATTGTCGTGTTATGTTAGTTTTTGTAGGCTCTAGTGTAATGTGTTCAATGAACTAGCTTAGATTATTTTAAAAATTAATAGTCAGGGTTGTTGGGCAGGTTCGAGTTGAAAGTTTCAATCATAATCCGACTTGTTTATTATCGTGTCGGGTTCGTGTCAACTCGTATACATAATTGAGTCAAAATGTTCGACTCAAACTCAATTATTTCATGCCGGATTGTCGCGTCATTTTTTGTGACTCTAACATCAATGTATACCAAACCAGACCAGAATAATCATAAGATAACATTTCACTTTGAGAACAAGAATCGGAATTTGATGAAGAAGCAAAGTAGATATGCAGCTAGAGCTACAGCATGCTATCGGCGCGTGCCGGGAGGCGCCGGAAGAAATTGTTCGGCGCCGACGGCATCTTGCTTCTAAACCTGGGATGTCTGAGGAAGAAGAGGCCTCCCAGCAATGTAATAATCCTAAAAGGAGTGACATACAATGCAACAGCAGCAAAGAGGCAGAAAACGATGAAAATGCTCGTCGCCCGCGGATCCCTCCAGCTCAGTAGCGATTGAAACCTTTCTCCCTGCGTCGCCATGTCCCCAACGACTGTTTGTATCCTCCCGGCGACGCTCCTCAGCCTGTCGTACCTCATTCTTACCACGTCCTGCTGTTTCGATGTAGGAAAAGTGTCGAATTCCTCGTCCATTTCATCCTGATGAACAGCTTCTGCCCACGAAAGCTTCGTGTCCATATGAGGAGGGTGCCTAGGCCGCGACCTGAAATTCCAAATTCCGATCAGAAACATGTACAGAAACGCCGTGGGGAGGATCAGTTCAGGGTAGCAGATCAGGATGCAGAAGAGGATGTGGACTAAAATGGTGGTGATCGGATTCTTCCATTGACAGACTTCCGACATCCATTTACTCATCGATATAAGCCCGGAGAAGAGGGAAACGATTCGGAAAAAGTTGGCCTTGCTTCGCCTCATGCTCCACATGTGCGAGTCGACGTCCAGCATGTACTCGACGACTTCTTTTCTCAGCGCCGGCTCGGCTCTCCCGAGCCTTGACGCAACAATGTTCATCGCCTGATACCTCAGGCTGTCCAATTGGCTCACCGTGAACGGATGGAGGTAATGCATTTTAGGCAGCAAAGGTCGACTGTATAGATAAATCGTATGCGCCAACGACAGGCAAGTAAATCGAAACGCGAGATGAAGCTCGCCCATCTTTTTCATTCCCGACGGCTGCAGGACGAGGAGCGGGTACGAGTGAGTGTAGATCCTATCGGTCTCTAAAGTCGAGAGACGAATCCTAACTTTCCCGATTCGCGAATCCTTCGCCGGGTTCCCTCCCAAATTGCCATTGTGAAAAACGCCGATAGTGACGACGGTGCAGGGATCGTAAACTTCCCACGTATACTGCTCGTTCCATTTTGGGCTCAAGCTGTCGACTATAGTCCGCGTCCTCACCCACTTCTGCCCGTATTTCGCGACGCAGTACGCGTTAGTCTTCATCGGGAGCAGCCCTTGCGCGCTCAAGATCCCGACTTCAAGAATCCCGATCGGCTGCTTCCAAAGCTGTCGAGCAGTAGGCCGTTGATCGCTAATATAAAGAGTCGACTCGTCGAGAACATGGTACCCGCCTTCGAGACACACCCGGATATGAATTCTCGTCGAGAACTTTAACTCCTTTCTCCGGTCGCCTTCCAACGCGCCGAACCCAAACTTCTCGAGGTTGAACCAGCGCGAATGCACAGGTCGATGATCCAAACGCCGCTCGAAGATGTTCAACGGTAAACTGATCCTCCCGCTCAGCTCGTCCTTCGACGGCGTGACCTTGTTCTCCAACGTCAGGACTAATTGCTCCTCGAAAGGCTCGGCGGCGACAAAGATCAAATCCTCGTTCCAGAATGGATTCGTGCTCGGCGAAAAACAGGGGCAGGCCTTCGTCTTGAGTATTTGATTCCCGACTTGTGCTTTCACGAAGACTTGATTTTGCGAGTCGGAAACGACAATGTCCTGAGCTTCGATCACGTTGACTCTGAGGTACCATAGTTTGGGAGAGACATAGACTTTTGATCGAACAGTGAAGACAGCTTCGCCATGGACGGTGGCGGCGTCGGAATGCCAAGCTTCGGGGAAAGCTTCGTCGGCCTGAGTTCCCATCCACACTGCGAGCATTACTTCTCCTCTCAATTTTCCCTCGCCGCCGCGGCGTTCTTCGAGGCGATACCATTGAGGGGCTAAAGGGCTGTCGGGGGGGACTCTGGTCGGGACTTCATTCATGTCGAAAACTACTCTGCCGAGGTAGTCGTCTCTCCCGACCATCTCTCTGTCTCTGACAAAAACTTCGACAATGGAGGATTGAATCCTGTCCTTGGAGAATGCAAAGACTTGGTGCCATTCGGGATTGGCTTTCTTGTCGAAACGCTGCGTTTTGCCTTTGTAGTTGCCGAGCTTGACTTCGACGTAGGGATCACAGCTCCCGGTGACGGGGTTTGGAGGGAGGTCCCGGGCCTTGACAACGCGGACGTAGAGGTAGTACATCTGTTCGACGAGGTCGTAGGTGCTGGCGGCCCTGTCGCTGCTGATCCAGCCTCCGCCGCCGCGGACGCCGCCGTGCGGCCACCGCTCTCCCAGCTGGGGCTTTGTGTCTTTGATTTTGTAGTCGCTGTCTTGGCCTTGAGGAGGGTTCATCGTCATCACTGGAGCTAACTAATTAGGGTTTAGGGTTTAGAGTTGATTGTAATTTGTAACAGAAAGTAAGAAAGAAAAGGTCTACTGGCTTCTTCTTCTTCTTCTTCTTCTTCTTCCTGTCTTTTGGATATGAAGAAACAGGCTTAAGTTAGCTTGATGAGTGGAAAGCATATTTTATGAAAAAGGGATGGTGTACAGAAAGCATAATGTGAGGGGTTTAGGGTTAGCTTTATTAAAGGGATGATTCCAATTCCAATTCCAATTCCAATTCCTACTCTATATATATTATATATATATATATATGATCTCTTCTTCTTCTTCCTCGTCCACCCACAGGCCACAATCAAGATCACAATAAACAGGCAAATTAAAAGTAAAGGGAATGACCCGACCCCATCCATGATGACAAAGGTTCCCTTTTACACTCCAAAGTCCAAAGTCTGCTGCTTTTCTTTCTTCAGATTCTTGGATTAATTTTTGTTTATTGCTGAGCTGCTGCTGCTGCTGCTGCTGCTGCTTCTATGCTAAATAATTAATTACAGAGGTGAAAGCCAGGAGCATTACCTGCTGAGAATCAGAGCTTCTCATGGTAATAACAAGAACAACACTAGCAATTGCTCATGTAGCCTTTATTTTAAGAGAGTTTATATTTTTAAATTTTATTCAATTATGCTTGAATATATGAAAATTTAATTTTAAATTTTCCTTATAATTTTTTTTTCTTTATAATTATCTAATTCAATTCTAATTTTATAATTAAACTTTAATTATATATATATTTTTAAAAAAGTTAATTTCATCTTCCTTTGCTGCGAATTTGTAGCTATTATTATTGGTAGATGTGGTGTTGTTATTGGATATATTATTAATATAATTTTTACTTTTGCGTAGTTTATTACTTTCTTCGTATAAGTTTACATTTATTTTTGTGTCATTGTATTTAATATTAAAAATATCGTTATATTTGTATAATTTTTTTTTATAACCGTCATTCTATTAGTACTATAAAACACTAATAGATATATTTTTGTCATTTTTCCTTAATTTGTACTATGTTTTGATATAATAATTAATATTCAAAGATCAACACGCAAAAAAACAAATGTAAACTTTACAAGTGGACGTAGTTTTAGAAATATTAGTATTATATTTGGATATAGTAGGAATAAAATAGAAATGACTAAAATAACTTTATTAGTATGTGTGATATAAAGGTAATGACATTTGTGTAATATATCGTAAATTGTAAGGGTATTTGTAATGTTAGGTAGATAGTACAACTACTAAAAAAAAAAGAAATACTTTATTACGGGATGAAGAGAGTATTATATTTGTCATTTATAATATTTTAATAAAAAAACCTTAAAAAAATCGCCGGTGAGAATGAATTAGTAATGTGATGTAAAAGTAGAAATGGCTACAACTAACTACAAGAACAAGAGAGTGTAGAAGAAGGCTCTTTCTTAGTCTTACACATTGAAGAATCTTCAACTTTATTCTCTCCATCTTTATTCTCCTTGATCACACATTTGAGCTGTCTTTAATTAATTTCTTCACAACTCCCTGTCCTAAAGCTGATTCTTTCTCAAACTATTAATGTTACAAATTATTAGCTGGCTTTTGAGGACAAAAAAATAAAAATAAAAAAATAAAAAAAAATGCAAAAGTAAAATGTCATATTCGGGTAGCTCTAAAATTTAGAGTCGGATTTGATTTGATAATTGTTTTTGTTACACCCGTGGCTCCGAAAAAAATAAATAAATTGACACTTCATCTATCACTTTTTGCTATTGTAAATAAATATTCCTATCAGTCTTAACTCAGAGTGCATTTTTTTATTTTATTTTTTTATCTGTCATACTTCATATATTTAAATTTAATAAAAATAATCATATATCAATATATAATAATACGTATTAATTAATTTGTATTTAAATTATCAATATACAATATATATAATTAATTTATACATAAAAATAATAGCTTTGATTTTTTTACTTAACTTTTTCTTTAACATATTTTTTAAAAAATTATATATTCATTATTTTTATATATTTGGACTTATAATTTTCTAATGTGTGTTTATTTGGGGGTTTGGATTTTGAGTTGAGATTTGAATAGTAAAAATTTTGAATTTGAATAGTTGTATGATGTGATATAAACATATGTGATGTTTTGAATGTAAAATTGATTTTTAATATAATATAAAAAATGAAAAATAGGTGTTTGATTTGATATTTTTGGAAAAAAAAAATTAGATGAAATTCAATCCCCAAACAAACGCACTCTAAACGTCTTACACACCTGCAATTAATTTACTCGTACCCGACAAAGATGTTAAACCTTCGGGAATCTCACTCTGTATGATCCGTGGGGGCGGAGGGAGACTCGTAGACATATTTTTGGCATAGTCTCATAATCTCACACTCTGTATGATCCTTGGGGAATCAATATGGAGCATTTGTGTGATTACGATTAAGCCCTCGCAGATTTGCCGTATCTCGGTCTCCCCGCTGTAAATCTCTCCTTCACTTCCAAGATTTCGCAGGCCGGCTTGTTTTGCCATATCGATTCCTCTTCAACTCCTTTTCCTTAAGGTTCAGTTTCAATGTCTTCCAACTTTATGTGATTGAGTTTTTGTTTTGGTTTGGTTTCTGAATCTTTATTACGTTTTTTTTACCTTTGCGATTTAATTATTCACTATTTTTAGTTTCAAACCTAGGAACAGGTTAAATTGTATTGTTGATAATCTAAGTGACTGGAAATGTATTCCAATGATTTAATTCGCAGAGGCTGGAGATTTCTTTTTAAAAGTTTTTTGTTGTTGCCAACGGTGAAAGTTTGCGCTAGACATATGTAATCTTGTTCATCCCGTTTTCAATTTCTTGGATGTGTTGATGTTTTCTTGTTTCTGCATTGCTATTTTGGTTGGTTAGTTGCAGGGCGCTCTTATTATTATTATTTTTTTGATCGGAGTTGCAGGGCGCTCTTATTGATTTGTTGGAATTTGGTTTTGAACTATAATGCAGTGAATGAATGAAGTGTTAATCGTTTGGTTATCCTGCGTTAGTATACTACTAGGTCATGTGTTCTTGGAAATCGTCGTTCATGTTCTGGGTTCCACATATGCAATACTGAAATATGACAACACATTATACAATTTAAAAAATATGATAAAATTGATGAGCTTGGGCTCTAAACCTATTTTGAGTTTTTAGTTTTTCGAAATCGAAAACAGAGTTTGGCGCCAATCATAGAACAGGTAAGAATGGAGTCCCCGCTGTCAGCAGCTAGCAGCATCCGAAACCCTAATGGCGACCGAAGATTTCTTGGTCTTTTCGAAAATGTCAGGAAACATAAACAAAGCTTCATACGATTCTTCGCTATGACGGGCATTCTACTGCTAAGTTGCCCATCGCTCGGCCAGAAGTACCGCATTTACGGCCTCACGGAGGACAACGCTGCATTGAAGGAGGAGCAGGAACGACTTATGGCACGCATGGATCACATCAAGCAAGGCCTCCAAGCTGAAGCTGCTCTCGAGCCGACCGGTGCTTTCTCCGCTAGGCTTCCTCTTCTCTTTAGAGATGATAGTAATTGAGTGAGAATTGATGAATATATTTGTTTGTTTGATGATATTATCATATTAATAAACTCCAATGCCCGGTTTTATGCTCAAGAAAGAATAAGGAGTTTAGACTAAACTTTCGAAGATATATCTTATCCTAATGTGAAATGTGGTGCTAACTTGAGGTATTATGGGATGATTGCGAGTTCTTGTTATGACATGGTTTTGTGTAGTATGAATTTGAGACCAACATTCATACCAAATTGATTCAATTGGCTATTTTTGTTGGTACAATAAATTCCTGGTTTTTCAATAGAATCATAGATAATTCTCAATGCTATATTTTCGTCGTTGATTTTAGATAGCTATATTATTCTCAATGCCAAAGTAGATATTATGAACATTAACTTCTGATTTGGTGAATTTAAAGCTCACTTAATTTAATCATCTGTTTCCATACGCAGTTTTGTGTGTATGTTTGTTGTAAATTTTTTTTATTTAAGTCAAATACTTATGATATTATGAAATATGAATTTGAAGAATCTGACAGGTTTATGCTTTTCCACCTAGGCTAAATAATATTTGAAGGGCATTCATTTTGGAATTAGATTTTTGTAGGTTATATTTTGTGGAATTTTTATATTTCACAAGCTTGCTATGGCATTTAGTTTCATTTTATTGTCCATGTCGAGGAATTAAGTATGAAAAGATGTAAAAAGATGCAGCTTCCTATTAACTTAATCTTTTATGCAAGGTTAGTTGGTTGTTCAATATCCTCAACTTAGAGGCAGCTCATCCATAAGTAATGGTAGCTTATAAAGTTATATTTATGTATGACACTATGACTTGAGCTGTGTTTCCCTTGCAGAAACTTATGACCATTGATGGTCCTTACCTCTCGGGGCTTTTTTGTTGGTCTATACGCACACATGTCTATTATGTTTAAAGGAGTCCCTATGATATTGAAGTTCTTGGGATCACAACTCATACCTAGGAATGTTGTTGTCTGATGTTTTGTTCGTATTGCTGTTATCTGAAACAACTGATTTCTAAATGTGACCACTCTCCTCGATATTCAATAGTCATGCTTATAATAAATTTACATTTGACTATAAGGTAAGGAATTTACAGTTCTAACTTTCTAACTCATATTATGATTCCGGATTATCCATCAGTGTCAGACATTTAATTGTTTGTGGAATTTCTCTTGTTGTCAGATATGTAGGGCATCTATGGATAGAGTGCTTCTAAGAAGTAATGTAATCTGTTTCTATCTTTGCCTAATAGAGTAGTAGAACATCACATATGTCTGAAACTAATCTCCAACAATAAGTGAATTCATATTTATTGTATTTCTGACTGGTGATGAATATTTAGTATCTGTCCATAAAAACATCGCTTTTATGCATAAGCTCACACTGAACCATCAATTTAAGATTTGACTGTAAATATGAGAACACTGCTATAATACTGTATTGAAGATGGTGAGAGGAAGGCATAGAAGTCTTAATACTAAAATAGAATGAAATCATATATTTGTCTTAAAAATTTCAGAAGAATTTAATATCGAAACTGAACTGTGGCCATATAGCAGCAATCACAGCACATGACATGATATCACTTTATAATAAAAATGAATCTTCAAGAAACACACCTATTTCTTTGCTTAATTCTTGACATTTTTAAAGTTTCAATTATTCATGTCCACATGTGTTCATCTCAGTTTTCAACTTTTCATTTATTTATTTTTACTCTTGTCTTTCCTTCCATGTCATGATATTTGATTTGAATAATGAAAATATATAGTCCAAGTTGGTGAGCTGGGAATGAGTTGTTTCTTGGATCTGTAAATTTGCTGGCATTTGATATGATCATGATGATGAATATGGTTCGATTACTTATTTCCCAGTTATCCCAGTTGATTATTTTAGTTCATTAATTGTGTATTCAGTTCTTGAAGCGTGTTGAACAGGAACCCTTCTAGAAACAGCCTCAGATTAGTGCCAGAAGAAATCTTCAATCCAAACAGGGCTTTGAATCACGTGCAGTTAGTATGCTGGATCAAGTGAGTCGAATTGCATAATTCCCTTGTTGCAATTAAACACCAGGTATTAATTAATTTACATTGTATGCAAATTGTAAGAATTCAAAGAGCTTTACTTATTATTGCTGCTGTACAAAAAAATATATATATTTTTCCTAAGCGGTTGGCTGCAGCATAGGCCATACGGCACGTGTATGCATGCATTTTTCTTCCTTTATAATTTTAGTTATGATGATAATGATAATAGTAATGGAAACAGGGCATGTGGGAATCTGTTGAGTTATTTCTAATTTTGGTGTTGGATCTGTCCACCGACTCCCTTCACTGTTTATGTGTTTTTTGTTCCTTTTTAATGATTCATTGTTTTGTCTTTTGAAATTGTGATATATTCATTCTGAAAATATTGAGGACTTTTGAAGTGGGATGTATATCAAGTCAATAATTATGATGCTCTTATGTTCTGTCACTCACTGCCCCTATTAGCCTTTTATTGTTTTTCTTTTCTTGGCGTGTTTTTGTTGTCTATCTTTCCTATAAAACATCAAATTTTCACATTCTCAAATACCCGCTGCATTGAAACTGTGATTTCGGCCCCTCCCGTCGTTTTAATTTATTTTTCATCGCTAAAAGAGAATCAAGTATGAGAATCTTTAAATATTTACAGCAATTTTGAGTTTTGTAGTGTTTGATGTTTTATTAATTCAAGTCGATCTTCATGCATTCATGTTTTCATTGCTAAATGTTGCTGTTTTGTGTTTCCAACACTCCAGCAAGGTTAATTTAATAATAATAATCAAATGCTTGCAGCATTCAATCATTTTGCAGAAAATTAGTAATTTCAATCGGCTATCAGATACTGCAGTCAATTTTTTCTTCTTCTTCTTCTTCTTTTTTTTTTTTTTCAAAAAGGAGACATTTAAATAAAACTATAATTTTGCAAGAAGCGCAAATTTAAATAGGGGGAAAACATAGTCGTAGTATGAGGAATATAACTCTGTTTATTTCAAGGGAAAGGTGCTAATGGTTTGTATAGACAAGTATAGTTCTGAACCTCCCTATTCAAGAAACTGTCAAAATGGTTTGAAAATACATCAGCTTCATATCTTGGAAGTTATACCTGTCTTCACTGCTTCTATATATTTTCAAAATTTTCAACAGAATACTCAATAATTTCTATGGACTTTAAATATGGATTGCCAACTGATTGTTTTTTTCAGTGCATATATGTGTGTGCTAGACCAGAGCTCTTATTGGAATTGTTGCATAGCTAAATTGATCTATATAACATAAAACACGGAAGCTCATGTGTGCATATATATATATATATATGACTGAGGAACATATATTTTATGTTTTGAAAGTGCTGATTTATGTTTCATTAATTTGTGCAGCATTATTCATGACATTGGTTGGTAGTGATTACATTTTAAACCTCATCAATGAGACTCTTGCGTTGGGTTTAATATTTCTTGAACTAGCAGTTAAGAGTGATCACTTGCAGCGTCGAGCTCCTTACTTTCTGGCTAATGATCAGAAGCAATATTGCATTGTGTTTGTGGAAGGTGTCTCCCAATTTCCGAAGCTATTCACTCTTTTCATCAGACCATCAATACGAGAATCTCATTTCCCTTCTACAATCATGCAAGCACACCATTCAAATTGCTCAGATTCACTGTTTAATGGTCAAGTCCGGGCTCGACACCATCCCATTTCCACTAAGCAAGCTTCTTGCGAGGATTTGTTTGCAAGACATTTGTTATGCATCCAGTATTTTCAGGGAGATAAAAAGCCCCAATCTTTACATGTTCAACACAATGCTTAGAGGCTATTCGTTGAGCGATGATCCGCAGAAGGGCTTAGTCTTTTTTAGTGAGATGATAAGGAGTCAAAACTACACTGGAAGTGCCTTGCTCGATCAATTTACTTTCGTCTCAGTTCTAAAATCTTGCTCTCACTTGTTGGATGTTTGGAGTGGGATTCAAGTTCACAAGTTTGCTCTGGCATTAGGGTTTGATTCATTCTTGAATGTTAAGAATGCCCTTTTGCATTTCTACAGTGTTTGTGGGAGCATTGGCGATGCCCATCGGCTGTTTGGTGAATTGGCTGAAAGGAAAGACTTGGTTTCATGGAACACCTTGATGGGGGGCTATCTTCACGCGGCTCAACATGAATTTGTACTGCTTTTGTTTAAGGGTTTGTGCAGGGACAACGTTGGCTACAGCGTGACAACTATGGTGAATGTTCTCTCTGCTTTGGGGGAAACAAGAAACTTTTCCTTAGGAGATTCCCTGCACACATTATGCATTAAGGTTGGATTCTTGTCCAATTTGAATGTGGCTACTGCTTTGATTTCCATGTATGGGAAACATGGCTGCATTCGTTCTGGACGTCGAATCTTTGATGCCATTGTTGTAGAAAAGGATGTTGTCTTGTGGAACTGTATGATTGATGCATATGTCAAAAATGGACTTCTCAAAGAAGCGCTGGAATTGCTGAGATTGATGAAGGAAAGCAATGTGCAGCCCAATTCATCAACCTTGGCAGGGCTTCTTTCATCTTGCTCTGCATCCGTCGCACTGTCCACTGCAGAGTGGTACGTTCATGAGTACATGAAGCAACAGCATCAGCAGTTGGAGTTTGACGTCATTCTCGGGACAGCATTAGTCGACACCTATGTCAAGAGTGGGCTACTCAGGAAGGCCATTGATGTTTTCGATAAAATGGAAAGCAAAGATGTGAGGTGTTGGACAGCCATGATTTCGGGCCTTGGGTTACACGGACAAACAGATCGTGCAGTTGGGCTGTTCCGCAGAATGGAGGAGGAGGGATTCACGCCGAATGAAGTAACCTTCTTGGCAGTCCTGAACTCGTGCAGCCATGGAGGGCTAGTAACCGAGGGGGTGATGTGTTTAAAAAGAATGGTGGAAGTGTACAGATTGGTGCCGAAGATTGAGCATTACGGTTGTTTAGTGGATCTCTTGGGCCGCGCCGGTTTGCTCGAAGAGGCATATGAGGTCATCAAGGGATTGCCAGTCGAGAAGGACACCACTGCCTGGCGTGCATTGCTCGGGGCGTGTAGGACTTATGGCTGTATAGAATTGGCGGAATGTGTGAAACTGGAATTGGAGGAGATCCTAGGTGAACATCCAGCTGATTCGCTCGTTCTTTCAGGTACTTACGCCGCATTAGGAATGCCTCCGGGACAGAAATTGGACAAGAAAAACCACCTGCAGCATGAACATGTTGGTAAGGAAGCTGGATACAGTGCAGTATTGGGCTAGCGTAATGAATATGATAAATTGTAATGAAGACATTATAGACCTTTGATTAACGCTCAGATTCAGGTGTTAAGATCATTACAACTTACAGTCATGTTGGGAGAGTTGGTATGCCTCTGCTCTGAATAATTGCTGCATCATCAAAGACACGGCCATGTCAATTGCCTACATCACGGTTAAAATATATATATTATGTAATAAGCATTATTAAACACTGCGACACATACCCAATTTATTTCCATTTCCTCTTGACTTTCGTTGCTAAGTCAGCCATGATTGGAAAGCCAATCGTCAGCTAGTCATTTCTCACGAGTTTCCCAAGGTAATATTTCTGGCTTTGCACCTTTGGTGAATTTGTTACTCTTGGGTCTTGGTTTCCGATTAATGTGACTTCCGGTTGATGTTCCCGAGGTAACTGTTTTTTTGGTTCATTCTGTGGGTGAATTATGCGTGCAGATGATTGTATACTTATACTGAAAGGTTGGATTCGAAATTTCTGTTTTTCGTTTTTAAAATGATTTATTGATGTAGTTGGAGAGCGTAGAATTGCAGGGATTTAGTACTGTATGCACTTGGAGTTGGTGTGTTCAAAAGATGCTGTGGATGACAAGGAGCTGAAGTATGTTCCAGTTTGGTCACTTGAAAGGGATTGTGCACTTGAAATCAAGGTTAAAAGATATTTTTGAATTTGCAATTTTACGATTCACCGGCTTATTTTCATAATGAATTTTTGATACGCCAGTAGAGTGTGATCTGCCGATATATTTGGGATTGGTTTGGCTCTGCTGTTAAGACTGTTGTGTTCTATGCTATTTTATTCATTATCTGCATTCTAACATTAAGTTTTGGGGAAAATATTGTAGTAGTAGTATTTGCATCATGCTAGGAAGGATGTTAATTTAGTAGTACATAAGCAGCAGGTCTTGCCTACAGTTTCTGTTTTATTTTCTGATTTGCAGTCACAGCTGTTGAAGATTCCAGGTTTGGATTAAGTACTTATTTTTGTGTTTGTATGTAAAATATGTGGATCTATGTAATGTATTAAAGCGATCTTGGTTCGCTGGCACAAATTTGTTGTCTGAGCACTTTCTGCTGCCTAATGTTGTCCAGATTGGATCCTCAAATCTACAAACCCTTTCCTTCTAATGGTTGTGTAAGTTTTTCAGCATTTGGCTTGAGCTCATTTTCCATTTATCCATGTATTTATTACTATGTTTGTACCTCTTTGATTTGGTTAAGCTTCTGAGCCTATTTTGTTAGTGCAGCTACTGACAAGGCAGCTGTTGTTGGATTGCATGATAAAGGTTAGCTTCTAATAAATACACTTGATAACATCCAAGTTGCTTACAATTCAATGTATGCATGTATATATATATACACAATTATATTAGAGGGGGCACTGCTGGCTGCCGCCCCCCCCCCCCCCTCCCCCAATTCATGGGGTTTTGTAAATGATATTAACCGATTTTCAAATTGTGCTCAATAGTACCTTTTATAGTTGTGAATTTGAGAACCAAGCAAAATTTGTGTTAATTCTTCTTTCCAAACCTAACCTTACTGTAATGTTAAGGGTGGAAATACCTTTTCTATTATCCTGTATGTTTGATCAACAAAATTCGGATTTTGAAGGCCCCATTGGTGTTATATTATTTTCAAAATATAGTTTGGGTGTTTCTTGCATTTTTTGTTTAGTTTATGTTGATAAATATTTGTATTTCTTCACCACAGAGTAGCCATTTATTTGAGGGATGCTGGCGGTTTCACAAAATCCCCAAAACCCAACCATTTGCCATGTGAAGAATTTCACATCCATCACAGGTATGTGAAATAATTTGGGTGAATTTTGATATAATAATTAATATTAAAATATTAAACTTTCGAAATACAATAGGGAGTAAAAAATAATTATTTTTAATTTTAATTTTTTTTTTTTGGGTTTGTTTGGTTCTATTGGAAATAAAAATGTATTATTATTATGGTTTGTTTGTTTGTTAGATGGAGATTGGTTTACTAATAGTCAATATATGTATGCATGTATTATTATTATTATTATAAAATTTTAATATATGCATGATATTATTATTATTATGGTTTTTAGATCAAATACTTATATTTTATTTTCAGTGATGCATAGTATTTTACGATGGGAAAACATACATCAGTTTAGTTATATCAATAATTATTATTAAGTGTGAAAATACATTTGGGAATGAATTATATTATTTCATGAATGCATCATAGAAAATAGTTAGCTGCTACATACTTTAATAATTTATTAACTATTAATATAGTAGGGGAGGTAATTAATGGTAAAAGTACAAATAAAAGTTATTGCTAACTATTATTTACTTTAAATTGCAGGTTGACAATACGTGCAAATTTACCATTACCCACACACACTCTCCTACCCAATTATATATATATATATATATGGGGGTCGGGGCACATTATTGTAGATATTGGATTTTTTTCCAAATTTTAGTTCGTAATTGATGTGCAACGTAAATAACCTAAATGGTATAATTAAAATATTACCCCCTCCGTCCAAGATACTGTGTCTGCTACACTGTAGACATGGTATTTTAGGAGGGGTATAATTAAGAATGTATTAGTGAAAATAATTAATCTATAATATAAATAATTATAAATTAAGATTAAGATAATTAATTAGTTTAATTAAAATTTTAAAAAAATAAAATTAAAAAATTTAAAATGAGATTAAAGTGTGTAATCATTTTCCAAAAAAGAAAAGTGACATAGTATGCGGGACGGACAGAGACTGCAACGTGAACATGGTATCTGGGATGGAGGGAGTACTTTTAACCTAAATGGTATAATTACAATATTATTCTTTTCCATCCACATATATATTTTTATTTTTATTTTGGATTGTTTAATTAAAAATAATCATTTTATTAAGTACTTTATTTTATCATAAATATCCTTATTTGGTAGTAACATCATTATTTTTTAGACAAAAAATAAAAAAAAAAATTATCTTTATATTATTTTTAACTATTTGTTGCAATTAAAATACTATTATTTTTAAAACTACGCGTAAAATGTAAAAATATCTACTTATTAATTGGACGAATGGAATATTATCATGACTGATGTTCGATCGTTTGAAATTTTTTCAACATTTATATTATTCACCAAACAAATTTTCCTAAAAAGTATATATTTTTTAATGTTATATTTTATATAAAAAATAAAATTTGCATTTAAATATTCTATTTATATAACATCAAATAACTATTCAAATATAAAAACTTATTATTCAAAATTTAATCCCCTAGACGAAAATAATAACAAAACTTAAAAAGTTGATATTATCTCGTACAAAAATAATATTATTAACAATAAATGAATATATAATTCTTCTAGATCTATGTTTTTAATCCCTGTTTTTAAATGTACTTCTCAGGGCATCTATTAACTTTTATTTATAAAATTTATCAATTAACTTATATATATGTTATTAATTTCCTCACAAAAAATTTCAAGGCAAGTTGACACATATAATAATAATAATTTTATTTATTATTATTGTTAATTATATTTATGTATGTATTTTTCTATAAGCATGGCAAGTATGCAACTTAATCGAATATTATAATTACAAAATAAACAAATTCATTGACTCATTGGATTTGAATAGTAATATTATTATTGAACAAACAAGATTTGGTCACCTAAATATGCTTAATTCCAAGTATAGCAACCCAAATGCAATAATAATAATTAACAGTAATATACATAATACTCCCTCCGTTATTTGTGTGCTCATTTGACCGGATATGAGTTTTAAGAAAAATATGTAAGAATAAAATTTTTTATTTTTTTACTAAAAAAGAAAACGAAAATAAATTTGGATGACCGATGGAGTATGTAATTTCATTATTAATCATATATTTACATTATAATTATTTACCTATTTCCACTTCAACCACTCCAAAATTAAAATTTAAAAATTTTGAAAATAGTAAAAATCAAGTATTTGATGTTATTTTATAAGATAAAAAAAATTATTTAATGTGATTTAAAAAATATGAAAAATTAATGCTAATAGTATAAAAAAATTCTGAAAGTATCAATGTAACATAATAGCTAAATAAATTAATGAAGTGCAATGGATGACTATACTCATCACATTTACCTAATTCAAATTATTATTATGGATATTTATTCCCACTTCAATATTCTTTTTAATATTTATTCAAATCATATATGTGTATATATATATATATATACATATAGGGTTTTGTTTGGCTGTGTTTTATAAGAATTTTAGTATTTGTGTATTAAATTAATAGTTAACAAAGATAGCTGATAATTATATATTTAAATATAATTTGACTATCGTCCCAATATGGATGTAACATGCAATCCATAGTCATAAAATTTGACCTAATTATGTAATAAATGAAATGATTGGCACACATTCATAATGTTCCTAAATTGTGGAAAATTAGAGAAAGACACGCAATTCCCATACAAATACATCATCATGTTCTGTACCTGTGGCTACACACACACACACGTACATATATTATATACTCTCTCCGTCCCATAAATATAATTTTAATTGGATTGAGCACGAGATTTATTGGTAAAAAATATTGATAAAAGTTTTTTTTGTCATTGTTAATGTATTAGTGTAAAAAGTAGTGACAATTGTGTAATAAATATAAAAAAAAATAGAAATAATTTTATGGTGATATAATTATTTATGGAAATAAGACTATTGTTTTAGAACGGACAAAAATAGTAAATAAAATTATTGGGACGGAGAGAGTATATTTTTATATAATATTGAGATGATTAATTGGGTGTTAATATGTATATAAATTGCATATGTATTTTTTCAAACAAGAACAAAACGATGACTGGAATATTAGGCATGCAAATATGTCAAATTTTCCCTATTTTTCCTACCCCCACCTCCACCCCCCAACCCCCCCCCCCCCCCCTCCCAAAAAAAAAAAAAAAAAATACAGAAAAAAACCTAAGTTGTAGTTTGCTATATTAATAATAAATGGAAAAAACAAATAAACAATGTATACACATACATATCAGGCTTAGTTATATATCCTTTTTTAGGGTGTCATAGTAATATTATTCAATATCTTATTACAATATATAATACTGCCTGTGTTCCACGTTAGATATTCGAGTCACTATAGACACAAGAATTTAGAATAAATATAATTAGTAGATAATTAAAAATATATTAGTAAAAATAATTATCTTATAATATAAATAATTATAAATTAAGATTAAAATAACTAATTATTTTAATTAAAATTAAAAATTTTAAAACGAAATTAAAGTGTGTAATCATTTTCAAAAAAAAAAAAAATAACATGGGATGTGAAACGAACAAAATCGGCAATGTGAACATGGTAGGTGTGACGGAGAGAGTAATAAATAATTTATTCTGACATACCTATCATTATACCATTAAGCACATACAAACATTACATATTAGCATAATACTTAATACTCAATTTATATTAAAATAATACAATATATAAATTTAGTAACACAACATAATAGATAACATATAACTAATACCATATTCTAATGATATATTTAATATGTAGTTTTTAGAAAAAAAATATATATTGAGTTGTTCATCAAGACTATTTTTAAATTTCAAATTTTTCAAAAATAATATTAAACAATACAAAATACTTTTAATAAAATTAAAAAAAAAATCAAATTCATATTAAAAAAATCAAAAATTTATTTTAAAATAATATATTTTCAATCATGAAAATATTTACTCCATCCTTCCAACTCAAAGTACAATATTTACAATTTTCTTTTGTATTTTATTTTAATAAAAGTAATTATAAATTAATATCAAAGTACCCTTAACTCTTATTTAAATTACAAACATACTATTAATATACGATTAGTTTATACATAAAGTCAAATGAAAAAAATATTAATACATATTATTCCACTTACCAATAAAGTACTACTCCCTCCGACCCACATACATGTTTATGTTGCCGTTTCTGTCCGTCCCACATTTCATGTCACTTTCCGTTTTTGGAAAATGACTACACACTTTAATCTCATTTTAAACTTTTTAATTTATTTTTTTAATTTTAATTAAACTAATTAGTTATCTTAATCTTAATTTATAATTATTTATATTATAGGATAATTATTTTCACTAATACATTTTTAATTATCTAATAATTACATCCCTCATAAAATACAGTGTCTACAGTGTAGCAGACACAATATATGAGACGGAGAAAATATTATTTTTTAATCTATTATAAAACTCTCAAATGGTTACAGAGTGTGACGTAGGGAGTAGAAATCAATTTAATTAACTTTATAATATATAATATCACACATCGTATAAATCCGCTCAAAATTCTTATATTTTTATATCTTTTTAATAAATAAATAATTTTATCTACATTTAAAATTCATTCTTTTATTAAAAAAATCGTATTTAAAATATTTAAACATATTATTAAATTATTTTAATTATATATATTAATTCTTATTTTAAAACTACTAACAATACTACTAGTATAAAAACATAATATATAATAGTAGTATAATACCATGTTCATATTGCCGTTTCTGTCTGTCTCAAGTCTCATATAACTTTGTCTTTTCGAAAATGATTACAAATTTTAATTTTAATTTTAAATCTTTTAATTTATTTTTTAATTTTAATTTATTTTAATCTTAATTTATAAATATTTATATTATAGATAATTATTTTTACTAATATAATTATAACTATTCTAAATTCTTGTGTGAATGATAATCTGGACATGTAATGTGGGACGAAGAAAGTATATTTACTAATTAAATCTTATAATCTTAAACATAAAGTGCATTTATTTTGTGAAATAATTTGAATAAATAATTTTTTATATGAAATATAAAAAGTTAAATATATAATATAAAATGTAATTTATTAATTTTTTAAAAAAAATATTTAGAATAAAAAAACTAAATGAACACACTCACTATCTTTCAAATCAAATAAGTTATTTGAAATGAGACAAAGAACTATAATCTTCGTATTTGGAAATAATAATAAAAATAATACTCTCTTCCAAAAGTATAATTTTGTTGCATTGGAGACGAGATTTAAGGTATATTGATATTATATTGGTAATTGGTAAAATGTAAAGATAAATGACGTGTAAAAGTAGTGGCAATTGTGTAATAATAATAAAAAAATAGATATATTTTATTTATGAAAATGAGACTATTATTTTAGAACGGACAAAAATTGTAAACAAAAGACTATTTTATTAAGACGAAGGATTAGCGAATAAATATAATTAGGAAGCGGATGTAGATACATCCATATATATATATGTATGTATATATTGGCGTATGTATGTATGTACGTATGTTTGGGAATTGGGACCATGGAAAGACCAGACGATCGGCACCATGCATTCATCGTGTAGGTCCCACAGAATGAATGATGTTGATCCATCTGGATCTGTGATCCCAGGATCTCCGTAAGGAACAGGAGGCTGCGGCAAGAGAGAGGTGGTGTCATAAGGAACCAACCATGGCGATGACATCCTCCATGGCTTAATTAATTAATTTGCTGATGAAGATGAAAATTAATATACAGTGACGACATATATAATTGGGTGAGAGCTCTACCTCTTCATTTTATTTCTCCAACTCGTCTTCCTTCAATTCAATTCAATGTTTTAAGATTTGCAGAGATCACAGCACACCTTTTTTAATTATTCATCAGTTTAATTAACTCAATTCAATTCCAGAAAACCATTCACCATTTCTTTCTGATCGATCATCTGTATCTGTATGTATGTATATATATATATATATATATAGAGAGAGAGAGAGAGAGAGAGAGAGAGAGAGAGTGATGGCATGGGGGAGTGGTGGTGGTCTTGGTTGCAGGGAAAGATGGGAACCTTAAAATAGCTTTGTCTTTTGCTTCTTTCGCATTTATTTCTCTCTCTCTCTCTCTCTCTCTCTCTCTCTCTCTCTCTCTCTCTCTTCTTTCTATCCTTTCTACCTTCTCTCATCAAATCCCCTAACCGACTCCTCTCTCTCTCTCTCTCTCTCTCTCTCTCTCTTCTTTCTATCCTTTCTACCTTCTCTCATCAAATCCCCTAACCGACTCCTCTCTCTCTCTCTCTCTCTCTCTCTCTCTTTCTCCATAGCCGCTTCTCTCTCTCTCATCTCAACTTTCTGTTTGTTTGGTTGTACTTGTATGTGCATCGATTATGGTGCACAGCAGTCTTCAAAGATGACAGACTAGCAGACCTTCTTAGTGTATGGGGTGTAGCAGAAGAACAGAAGCTCAAGAAGAAGAAGAAACACCAAAGGAATCGAATTGAAGGTTGTTGAAGAATATAATAAATAATTTGAGGTATTGAAGGAGGTCTAGATCGATCGAATTGAATTAAGTTGTTGATCAGAGATGAATAAACTCGACAGCAGCAGCGACCCACTTCATCATTCAGCATCGCCGATGCTTATCTATCATCAACCTGCAGCTGCTTCTCAAAATCATAATCAAAATCAAATTCAGAATCAGAATCATAGGAATAATATTATCAGTAGCAGCAGCAGCCAGATTTCTTTCGGGAACATGAACACGATGATGCAGTCGTCTTCATCTTCCCCGCCGCCACCACCACCAGCCACAGGCGGAAGCTTCAACATGTAAGAATCTGTTTGTCTGAAAAATCAACTCTTTTATACATGTTTGATTTCGCTGATGACGATGATGATGATTATGATTATGAAATTGTGTAGAAGCAAAGATGGTGGAGCTTATGATTTGGGCGAATTGGATCAAGCTCTCTTTCTGTATCTCGATGGCGGCCAAGATCATATTCATCATCACTCTCAACACCAAAAACGTAAATCATCTTCTTTACACTTTACATACACCCACACAGAAATTCTATCATTAATTTAATTAGTTACAGAAGTACTAGGATAATTTTAATTGTTGAACACTTACACACACACATATATATATGAAAAATAAAAACCCAAAAGTTTTCCAGAGGTAACAGATCTGTGGAGATTCACATGGGGAATTATTTTCTGGAGTCACAAGGAAAGAATGCTCAAAAAGCATCAGATCATAAATCACCAGAATACTGTACTTTTGCTTTGACCAGATCTTCTTCTCAGTAACAAATCAGTATATACAGATACACTATTAATTATATAAAAAAAAAAAAATTACTATATTATATATCTTCACTTGACAAGAAAAATTACAGAAGAGAAGTAACAGCAGCATCTGATGGATCTTTTCTGCTGTTTCATTTCTTTTTAGATATACAACTGGAGGGAGTGTTATTTATGTGATAAAACTTTCTGGGACATGGATTTCTTGGAAATTGAACTCCCAGAACTGGAATTGCTATCAATTTAATGAATTAGTTTATAAATATCACAAGCACATACCAATTGTATGAAAGGATCAATATATTATGTTTGCTTGACCACCTCCTCTTCAATGGCGTTTTCCTTTCCATTGGTTTTTCCAGAATTTTCTTGTTCTTATTTCATTTTTCTAACTTTATTTATTCGTTTCAGAAAATTCAGAGATGAGACTACATACCCTCAATATATTCCCTTCTCAGCCCATGCATGAAGAGCCCTCTGCTGCAACATCTAATAAAGTCAGTCAGTAACCAAATTAATCAAAAGATTCATCATACATATATATATATATATATATGTTATCTGCTACATTAATTTGAATTTTTGGAGCTAATGTTTGTTGTAACTTTTTGGTGTATTTTTAATTTGGTAGGGAAATGTAAAGAGTAGTGGATTAGGTTGTGCAGAAACGAAGAAGACATCTGAGCCGTCCATCCGCCTATCTAACCCTAGATCTCATTTGGCTTCTTCTTCCTCCTCTCCTCAACCCCAAAAAGCAGTTAAGGTAATTGGGACATATCCTGATATCCATCCATTTATTGAGATTTTTTAAACCAATTCGTCAATGGAGTTAATGAAATAAATCATTTGTTTGATTGATTAATTCAATTCAATTCAATTCCCAGCGTGAGGGAAACCGCAGAGGAACATCCTCAAGTACTTCTGATCATCAGCAGCAAGAGGGCCCAAAAACACCTGACCCCAAGGTTTAATTTAATTTCCTATTTCTTACTAATATATATATATGTGTGTATATATATATATTATCCTCCTGTTCTTTACTGGAGTTTTGATGTTGAAATGTGGGTGGGGTACTGCAGACTCTGCGGAGGCTTGCGCAGAATAGAGAGGCTGCTAGAAAAAGCAGGCTGAGGAAGAAAGTACGTATACATACATATATATATGTATATATATGTATATATGCAATTATGATTAAGCTGTAAGTAATTATGGAGGGAAGATTATAATTAATTAATGATTAACTGTTGCAGGCTTATGTTCAGCAGCTGGAATCGAGTAGGATGAGGCTTACTCAGCTGGAACAAGAGATTCAACGAGCTCGATCACAAGTATGTATATATAGCTAATAATTCAACTTATATATATATATTGATTGATTGTATTGGGTGGCCATCATCGTCTTCTTCAACAAATTAGGGATTTTATTTGGGAGGAAACGCAGCAGGGTTTTTACCAGGAGATCATCATCATCAGGGCCTTCCTGCTGTTGCCAACATAAATTCAGGTATTTATATATATATATATGTGTGTGTGTGTTCCATGATTGATTACTTTAATAAATTAATGGTACCTGCAGAAGCTGCGTTGTTCGACATGGAGTACGCGCGGTGGCTGGAGGAGCACCACCGCGTGACGGTGGAGCTCCGGAACGCCGTGCAGGATGACTTGCCGGAAAACGAGCTCCGGCATTTCGTTGACAGCTGCTTAGCTCACTACGATCAGCTCATGTGCCTGAAGAACATCATCGCTAAATCCGACGCCTTTCACCTCCTCTCAGGCATGTGGCGGACCCCCGCCGAGCGCTGCTTCCTGTGGATCGGCGGCTGCCGCCCCTCCCACCTCATCAAGGTTCTCTCTCTCTCCTCTCTCTCTCTCTCTCTATATATATATGTGTGTGTGTGTGTGTAGTACCTGATGAGCTGGTTAAAACTTAAAACCCTAATTAATTAAATTAATTAGCAGTAAAACCCTAAACGACGACTAGATTCTTTGATACAAGATTGAGATTGAGATTGCGTGAGGTAGTGATGGAGATTAAATGTGTTTTTGTAAGTACGATGGAGGATGACGTAAGGGGTGTAATGATGAATTACTGTTGTAGGGTATCCGTTGGGTATTGTTCCCAACCAACCCATAAAGCTACCTCGTGTTCATCTCCATCTCCATCTCCATATATCATACGAATACGACACTCCATTTTTATCTATCATTTGCAGAAAGTGTCTATCCTACTTTCTCCTGATCTGACTTAAATTCGATCCCAACTGGGGAATCAGATGGGATCGTATCGGAATCAAATTCGATTCTTTTTTTTTTTTTTAACTTGTAATTAATTAATTAGAATGAATTGATTAATTAGGGTTTGTTGATGCAGGTGATGGTTAGGGAAATAGAAGAGGGGTTGACGACGGAGCAGGAGGTGGTGGGGATATGTGGTCTGCAACAGACAACTCAGGAAGCTGAAGAGGCACTGTCTCAGGGTTTGGAAGCTTTGAATCATTCTCTTTCAGAAACCATTATTTCTGATTCACTCAGCCTTCCCCCGAACATGACGACCTACATGTCCCAGATGGCCTCCGCCATTAACAAGCTTTCTGCTCTTGAAGCTTTCCTCACTCAGGTATATATCTACATACAGACATCTTCTTGATTAATATAATTACGTCATTAATTAATGTCTTATTAGTTGATTGATTATCAGAATAATATAGATATAGTTAGAGAGATGTGTCTGTGTGTGTGTATATATATATATATATATATAGGTATAGCAAGATGTGAGGAAGATGGGAAGGTAGGCGATACAAGAGGAATTAGATAGCTAGTGTTGCAATAAATTAAAAGGGAGGAATTGAAGAAGATGCAGATGCACATGTGCATAAATATATATGTATAATAATAAATTGTGTAAGAGGGAAGGTATATATGCTAGGGCTTGAAAACAGCAGCAGTGATAGTCCAGAATTAGAACAAAAACAACAACGATATTGTGGGTGGGACCATATATATACCTGCTATATATCGAGATCACCACCCCCACCCCCACCCTACCAGACCCACCCCACAAAATATATATATATATATATATATATATCCACAACTAACTATCAGTTTGACCCGTTCCCACACTAAATTGACCCTTCACCTAATTACATTTTGATAGAATTGAATTGTGTATTAAGTAGTATTAATTTGTGATTGATATATATATTGACATTTTACACATATTGTATTGTCTTAGTTTATTTGAATAAATTTAAAAAAATAAAATTTATAATCTTTAATCTTATCATTTTAAATAAATCTGTTTTTCCACGTAAATTTGTGTCTTTTTTATTATTATTTTTCTTTTGTTTGTCATTTGATGATTAACCTTAATCCGTCACGAACAATATATATATGTATATTGTAGGCTGATAACTTGAGGCAGCAAACCCTTCACAGGGTGAGACAAATACTGCCGACCCGACAAACGGCGCGGTGCTTTCTGGCAATGGCGGAGTATTTCCATCGTCTCCGAGCTCTCAGCTCCCTCTGGTTAGGCCGTCCTCGCCCCCAATGATCCATCCCTCAACCTCCATTATTAGTTATATCATCTTTTCATCATCATCTGAAGCTAGCTAGCTAGGTTGATTGATGCAATGCTCATGGAATCATCAATCAGCCTCCTCCAATCCACCTGGTACTACCCCATATATCAATTATTTGTAATAATAGTAGTAAGAATTATTATTATTAATAATAATTTTTTAATTGTTTTTTTGGTCCTGGGTAAAATTGAACTAATGTTTAAGTGGTGAGAGAGACAGAGCAGATCAGGTGAATGAGCAAGAGTCTGTTTTGATGAATATATATATGTGAATGTTGATAATAGCCCTCTTGATCTTAATTAAATAATAGCTGAATCAATTATACATACATATGATGTACTGTTTCTAGTTGAAAATTATAATAAAATATGTAATGTTGTTTATATATTCAGAATATCGATGGAGTGGGAAGTACCAAGTACACTTACTTTGAATAATTTGTTTGGTTTCTAATCTTCTTTTTCGTATGTTTCTTTCTGTCAAGCAGCTTTCTCTCCCCCTCCTTCCTGCCAATACTAATATTATTATTATTATTAGTTGGTAACAAAAGTAGAAGATAAGGAAACCAAAATCGGCTGCGAATTTTCACGTTATAAAAATAAAGTAATGAATAGCAAATGAACCAACCAAACCAATCAATTTATTTCGAAATAAATTCACAACAATTAGCGGGCGGATAAGTTAGTTATACAAAGCAAAGCATCACCCCCTACTTCTTTCCATCCGGACTTGCCGAATCCATCTAAGCGGATACATCGATTCATTCATTCTTTCCACTGCAGCCTGTCGAGCGCGTCAATGATGGCTCTGCGGAACTCACCATTGTGAAGAAGGAACGATGAGACATGCCCGCCACTCACCCACCTCACTTCTGATCCTGGCCAAGCCTTCTGAAGCTCCATTATCGAATGCTTCGGGATGTATCCATCATCCTGCATCACAAACAAACACAAAACCCCCAAATGTTCAGTTAACCTCAATATCCCAACTAAATTCTGAATATATATGTCTTTTACACAGCCACACAATCCATTCAAATGTAAAAATGAATTTCCGAGTGCTTGGAAATATAAGATAGCCAATTCCCACCAGAAAAAGGAACTTGAATAGTATTCTTTTCAGTTATATAAATATATAGGTATGCAAAAGAAATGATAACCATGTACTTAACTGTAGCAGAAACAAATATAACAGCATTGGAATTTTTGGGGACGGGAAAGCGTGTAACATCTGTAAGAGATAACACATTTCGCATCCGCTCCCTCACTTCCTCAAGTGTCATGGCAACCTTCTGCATGGCTAGATCTTCTCTGAGAGCTTCCCATGCAGTGGCATGCTTTAACACCCCTTCGCAGAATGCCACAACAGCAGAGTGCGGGGAAAGAAATGGGAGCGTAGCTATGGGTGTCGGATGCAAGGATCCAACCATAGCAGCATGTACTCCACCTGCATTTAATTTATGCAAGTAAGGGATACACTTTTCCAAATCATAGCATTGTTTTGTTGTATAATGTTTTAAACACGTATCAGTGGTGATCCTAGAGAAAGTTTTACATAAAAACTATTGATACATTTTCCCCATTTGTGTCGAATAAAGATCTGAAGGCACAAAGGAAACAGAACTTCTATGTTGTGAATGAATTTGACACCTCAAGCAACCCTGCCTTATGAATCTGACAACTAGCTTTCTTAGAACTCCAAAGGCTTTTTATAAAGCATAATATAATGCATGTGGATCAAAGAAAATTTTGATAAAAGGGAATATGTACTCGAAAGGATGCCACAACCAACAGGCAGGAAGAAACCACAAACATATTTAAATTGATGCAGGCATTTAACAAGGCGGAAGAATACTATGGTATATGTCACCCATCACAAGGCCGTAAAGACATTTTACACTCTAGAATCCTGATTTGCATACGCCAAAGTTTACCCTTGTACATTTATCTCTACGTACTAAGTGCGTCAAATGTCCATGGCTCTGTCTTTGTATAATTCCTAGAGGACTTTGTTCCCAAGTTTGACAGAAATCATATACCATAGAAACAGCAAGTACTTTCTCAAAAAAACTAAGAACCGTTAATTCAAAAAGATCCTTTGTTTACTATTGCAACCCTCATAATATATAGATCCAAATAACTAAAACAGAAAATACTCAAAATTCTGAATGCTGTATGCGCTCTGCTATATAGCATATTAAGTTTGTAACTTACCCATGCTAAGCCCACATACGCCTGTTTTTCCAAATCCTTCTTCAGAGTCTAACCAATGCAGTAGACTTCGGGCCTCTTCGATGGTGACTCTCCCTAATAAAAGCAGATCACTCACACACAACAGTTTTGCCCCCCGCTGCAGCACTGGACGTCTCCTTCCATAGAAAGGGCTGAAATGTGTAGAACATAAATTTGTTTACCATTACAAAAACCTGCAGTTTGATGAAGCCATTAACAAGAGAGATTCATTCAACCTCTCAAGCACCATAGTGGCAATATTTTCCTTCAGCAAAGGCCCACCAAGACGCAACCTCCGCTCAAATGAATGATCACCCGTGCCTGAAAGGAAGAATATAAACTAAGCAGCATTATCATAACATCCAAATACTTTCATCAGACCGTAAAAAAGAATTAAAAAATCAGAAATCAAAATTGGAATGAATTTGATTTAATGTCATAGATGTAATCTATTTAGGTAGATAAATTGAATGTATAAAATTCAGTACAGTAACTACCTAAAAGGTAGTACAAATTGCAAATATAAACACAGGCCAACATGCAATTTGATGAACAGATGCTGAATATTGTACTGCAAAAAGTTCATGAAATTTGACATAAGGTGATTCCCAACATGGGAAATCTAACCACTTTTTTCGAAATGGATATATCCTTCATAATAATCAGGAAACCCTCAAGAACAAACAAATAATCAAATAGGAAGCCAAACATATATTGAAATTGATTGGCAATACATCTTTTCAACGCACAAACCAAAAACCTAGAAATAGAGACTCATTCTATCTGATATCCGAGTCCAAAACTTATTAAAGTCTTTCAGAAACAAGGAAATAAACAAAAGGGAGATGCATTCTATTAATCCAATATTCAATAAACACACCATACCCCAAAAATCAAATTAAGATCGAAAGAAATACCTGCTAGGTGAACAACACAAGCCATCTTCTGAGGCTGCACATTTTTTGGTGTAAGGAATGCGACTCTTGCGGTGTGACTCTCAGGTGGCAATGCATTTAGAAGCTGCCCGTCGCAAGGGGTTCTAAAGACCCCTTCTCTAAGGCAAGCACTCTTCGATTCCCAAACTGTTTTCCAAACCGGCTGCACCAAGACAGGAGGCCAATTTTGGCCTTCCACTTCGGGAAACAATTGCTTTATCATCTTCTCCAAAAGCTCCAACTTTGTGCCGCCCCATCCCCTAGAAAAGAATTGAGGGCTTAACTTCGTTCTATGCAACAATGCGCCATAAACATGATCCAGAACGTAGTAAAGGCTGCCTAGATTTACCGTAACCATTTTGGGTGTTTGGGGTAGGGGGAGGTGAATGAATTGGAAAAACAAGAGCGACTTCAGATTGATTCGACCGATATGGAGGAAATAATCACGGATGGAATGGAGAAGGGTCAACTCAAACGGATCTTCGATTTAAACCGGCTGAGATTTCAGATTTCCCCCTTTCTTCCCGGAATTGTAGATTCAATGAAATTTTATCAGAGTAAAAAAGCTGCAAGTGAAAAGACCTAACAAGACCTAACGCTCTGCATCTGATAGAAGTTTGAATGAAACATGCTTCGCTAAAAGGTAGAGAACATAGAAAAGTTACGAAAACAATGTGAATAAATCGGCGTTGAAGCACAAAAATTAAAAATATATATATATATATATCTGGAGAGAGAAGAGGAATTGGCTTGGACGCCAATATACGTATGTATAATCGCAAAAATATAGGATTGTGCGTGAGGGAGGGGCGGAGGAAGAGGAAGATGGATTGCTTAGAATCTAGTCAGCGAAACTGTGGGCGGAGAAGCTGTTGGTTATGGCGGATTTTAGAAACAACGGACCCACCTGCCTACTCAGTGGTATTATCCAAAAACACGCCTATATATATAATATAAAGACAATACAACATTTATTTACGCGTAATAAAGTCGTCATAAATGAAGATGTAAAAGGGTCCAACGATAGTGTCCCCTTTTCCTATTTGTATTCCTTTTACATCATTTGTACTTTCTCAAAAATATAGTTATATATTTTAATCAAATTTTAAATTTTAACATTTATATTTATATTTAATTATTTTAATTTTAATTTATAATTATTTTTATTATATTATAATTTTTTTATTAATATATTTTTTAAATACTTACTAATTACAAAATAATTAAAATTTTGTACCGCAGCTAAGATGGAGTCCCAACTAAGATGACAAATTAGCTAAGGGTGTATTTATCTGAGGAATTTTTTCAAAAATTTACTATTTATTAAATTATTTTTTTTAAAAAAAAATATCAAATTAGACATTTATTTTTTATTTTTTATATTATATTAAAAATTAATTTTAAATTTAAAATATCAAATCAAATGTATATTTATATCACATCATGCAAATATTTCAATTCAAAATTTTTAGTATTCAAATTACAATTTAAAAATTGAACCTTCAAACAAACACACCGTTATATGAGTTTTGCATATTACCAACGCCCATCCTTATAACGTGTCTTAAAATGATTTTGGCGTATATCATCATCTAGCCATTAAAATCCAGACTACTAAACTAGCTTCAAATACAAATCAATCAATAAAAAGCAATAACCCAAATATAACTAAAATCGTGAATGCGATTTCAATCGAAAACGCTTAACAACAACAATGCAAAAGACAACTGACTAACCTTAAACTTAACCTCAACCTACCTACCCTAAACAACAACCATCTCTGGCATTGGCATCTCCTTCACCACCAGGAACAATAATGGCAGTACCTTTGAGGGAGGTAGACTTGTCCAAGTTACTACCACCACCACCACCACCCCCCAATGTCTTCTTCCCGACTATTCGATATATCTCCGTAAGAATCGTCATGAACGCGCTTTCAACATTTGTTGCATCCAGCGCCGATGTCTCCATAAAGTATAGATTCTCCCTTTCAGCGAACTCCTGAGCATCCTCCACCGGAACTGCTCTAAGCGTCCCCAAATCACACTTGTTGCCTATCAGCATTATCACGATGTTCTTATCCGCGTGCCCTCTCAGCTCCTCCAGCCATCGGGCCATGTGATCGAAGGATTGGCGCTTGGACATGTCGTATACTAACATTGCGCCTACCGCGCCTCTGTAATAAGCACTTGTTACCGCACGATACCTGAAACATATATATCATATCATATCATAGATATGTCGAAGTTTAGCCTAGCCAGTTATCATAATTTGCTATGATCATAATTCATGAAAATTATTAAACTATGACAAGAACAATCCATGGATGATATCTGTTCATTCAAGAGAATTAACCATATGGAATGAAATAGTTTGAACTGACAGAGGGAACTGCACTGGAAATGAAGTATTGGAACAGAATTTGAAGGAGGAATCGAGAAGGAACCTTTCTTGACCAGCAGTATCCCAAATCTGGGCTTTGACAATCTTCTGATCAATGCGGAGAGTTTTGGTCTGGAACTCAACTCCAATGGTGGCCTTGGATTCCAAACTGAATTCGTTTCGGGCAAACCTAGCAAGCAATTGCGATTTCCCCACCGCCGAATCCCCAATCAATACCACCTTAAACACGTAATCGATCTTCTGATTAATGTATTCCCCTCCATACGAGCTTGACATTGTAATGTCAATGCCAAACGCAAACCCTACCTCCTCGATCGATCTGATCCCCAAATTTCACAATTCTCACCGCAACATCTTGGGAAGCGATCCTCGTCCAAATTATTCATTCAAAAGCCTGCCTGCCTGCAACAGCAATATTATCACTCACATCAACCACAACTCTGCTTCGCTTCCCCGAAATAATTTGATATCGTGAAGAATTAAGGGCGTCAGATCGGATTCGGCTTTAGGGTTCATCGATCTCAACAGCTTACGGGGCAATCAATTCGTTGAAAGCCTTCATAACTGTTTTTTGGAAAATGGGAATTAAAAAAAAAAAAACAAACGGCAACTGCGGGACCCCTTAACTGTTTATTTTTCTCATTATAATAATTATTATTTTTTAATAGAAAAAAAGTAAAAATAGAATAAACATATTTAATCTTCTTCTTCTTCAACCCTTCCGAGCCATCAACACAAGACATGTTCAGAAGAGTCCCGAAACTGATCCATAGCCGCATCATATGCATTCCATCAATCAGACTCTTTGCCACAATGGCCAAATCAACAACCAAATTCTCTCCTTGTTCTTCTTTTCCAGAGGTCCACGATTTCATCAATAATCAGCTGCATGAAGTTTCCATGCCCCTTGACATGAAATTCAGAGACTACGATGCTTTGTTGAACGAGTGTGTGCGCCACAAGTCGTTGAGAGGAGGCCAACGAGTGCAAGCTCACATGATAAAATCCCATTATCTTCCCCCGGTGTACCTCAGGACAAGGCTAGTCGTGATGTATATTAAGTGCGAGGCTTTGGTGGATGCACGTAAGGTGTTCGATCAAATGCCTGAAAGAAATGTAGTGTCTTGGACAGCAATGATCTCCGGGTATAACAAAACCGGGCGTCACTCTGAAGCTCTCAATCTCTTTCTCCAAATGCTACGTTCAGGTATTCTTCTGAAAATCTTCTTCCAGAGATTAAATAGGTTAAATCCATCAAGCTCAAAATCAAGAATCTTTATGCTGGCGTTTTCTTCTATGTAACATGTAAAGTTCACAGGAACTGATCCCAACGAGTTCACATTCGCAACGGTACTCACTTCTTGCGTAGGCGAGCATGGATTCAAACATGGAACGCAAATTCACTCACTCCTCATCAAGAGCCCTTTCGAATCCCACATATACGTCGGCAGCTCCCTTCTCGACTTATATGCTAAAGCTGGAAGAATCAATGAAGCGAGGATCATATTTGAAGGCTTACCTAATAGAGACGTTGTTTCTTGTACAGCTCTTATTTCAGGGTACACTCAATTGGGACTCGATGAAGAGGCTGTTGATCTGTTCTGCACATTGCAGAGAGAAAGCATGCCATTGAACTATGTCACTTACACAAGTCTCTTAACTGCATTATCAGGGCTGGCTACATTTGAATACGGAAGGCAAGTCCATGCCCGTGTCCTTCGATCTGAGCCATCCATAAACGTAGTCCTTCACAATGCTTTGATCGATATGTATTCAAAATGTGGAGATCTGAGTTATGCTAGGAGGATCTTCGACAAAATGCCAGAAAGAACCGTCATCTCTTGGAATGCAATGCTTGCAGGGTATGGTAAGCATGGGGATGGGAAAGCCGTAGTTGATCTGTACAATGTAATGACAGAAGAAGAAGAACAAATCTGCCCTGACAGCACGACTCTGTTAACTGTGTTGTCCGGCTGCAGCCATGGCGGAATGGAGAAATTAGGCCTTGAAATTTTCGACACAATGAATGGGAATGACAGGGCTAACCTTGGCATCGAGCACTATGGTTGCATTGTAGACTTACTGGGACGAGCCGGGCAGTTAGAGAAGGCCCTGAAGTTCATCGAAAAAATGCCGTACGAACCAAATGCCGCTATATGGGGCTCACTTTTAGGAGCTTGTAAGGCCCACAAGAACCTCAGAGTTGGAACAATAGCTGGAAACCGACTTCTTGAGATAGAACCAGAAAATGCCGGAAATTATGTAATCCTCTGCAACTTATATGCATCCGACCGAAGATGGGACAAGGTAAGAAAACTGAGAGAGATGATGAAACAAAAAGCTGTGACAAAGGCACCGGGGAAGAGCTGGATTGAGGTAGGCCAAATGCTGCATACCTTCTACTCGAATGACCGGTCCCATCCGAGGAAGGAAGAAATAGTGCAGAAGGTTATGGAAATCTTGGACAAGGTAAAGGCAGCTGGATACAATCCTGATGTGAGCTCTGTATTACATGATGTGGATGAAGAACAGAAGGAAAGATTGGTGCTTGGACACAGTGAAAAACTGGCTTTGGCTTTCGGGATGATGAGTGTTAGTGAAGAAAAGCCTTTGAGGATAATGAAGAATTTGAGGATTTGTGTGGACTGTCACAACTTTGCCAAGTTTGTGTCTGAGGTTTTTGGGAGGGAAATTGTTGTGAGAGATAAGAGTAGGTTCCATCACATTGTACATGGTGTGTGTTCTTGTTCAGATTACTGGTAAATCGAAGAAGAGCTGTCAAGATGGATTGATTTAGTCGGGATGTCCGGCGATACCTCATTTTAGGCTCGAAGAAATGCGAGTCTAAACGAGTCAATTCATATGAGTTGCGGATTAAGAGCCTGCTAGTCTTTCATGGCTAAGTAAATATAATTATAATTTATATTATATCTTTGATAATTTAATTTTTTATTCTTTTTGGAATCAATTTATTTCTTTTTCTTTGTCCGAAATCAATATTCCAGTTTTTTATATTAATTTTACTTATTACATACTCGTTTGATCGCATTTAAATTATTCACTTTAGCTTATGTAAGAAGATTTGGTATTGTATAATTAGTAAATAATTTAAAAGTATATAAATAATTGTTATTTATAAATATAATTATTATTTATATTATATATTTAATATTTTTTTATTCTTTTTGAAATCAATTTATTTAGGTTACTCTTTTTCTTTGTTCGAAATCAATTTTCGGTTCTTTATATTAATTTTACTTATTACATATTCCTTCCGTCAAATAATTATGACTTAATAAAAATAATTATAGTTTACTTAAAATTAAAATTTTTTCTTTATAAATTATGAATATTTTTTACTGAAATAATTTCTTATAAATATTATTAAAAACATACAAATATACACACATTAATATAATATATATACTTCATCCGTCTCGTAATTAAATATTCATAGTTTTAAAAATATTAGCATTATATTTGGATGCACTAAGAATAAAGTACAAATGATTAAAATAAAGTAATGACATTGGTGTAATATATTAAAACGAACTGAATTATTTTCGTTTGACTTGTAAATAACCGGTTTATCCACCCAAAGTTTTGATAGCTTATCCAATTTATACAGGGGTTGGATCGTCATTCAACACAAATGAAGGGGTAAATTATGAAATATCCTCTTTTGGAAACGACGTCGTATTGGGTCTCCTAAAATCTAAATAAAACTCCCTGTAAATAGTCGTAGCAAGAGACCTCGGATCGGTTCCGCCTCTGCACGCTCAAAGCGAAATGCCGTCGTACAAATCTCTCGCGACCGCCGCGAGCACTATTCGTGCCAGATTGAGCCCATCACTCCGGACCCGTGGCGGCGGAGAGGGACCCAGCAGATGGGCAACCCAAGGGCACGAGGATCGGCCGAAGGGTTTCGCCTTCAGTCGTACCCCGCCGCCGCCTGGCGAGTCTCGAAAGTGGGAAGACTGGGAACTCCCTTGCTATGTCGCTTACTCTCTGGCTGTAGTTATTCTGGGAGTGGGGCTCACTGCCAAGCCCGATGATTTGAGGATTGAGGCCTGGGCTCACCAGAAAGCTCTCGAAAGGCTCAAATCGGAATCGGTTGAATCTGATTGAAGTAAGTCGATGGTGCTTGTTGGTGGTTATTAGCTTTGGCAGTTAACTCTTTCAAGGAATAATTGTAATCCGGCTTGTCTATCTGGCTGGAATTTGTGAATTATTTTTGTTTCTAATGCTCTCAATCAACTGCGATTTCCAGGATACCTAATTTGATGAAATTGGGTAATAGGGTTGGTGGTTTTATATTTCACTTTGTTTTTGCTATATCATGAATGGCTTGTGCTGCCCTTTGCAAACTATTTAAAAAGATTCTCCTATTAAGATTTATCAGATTTTAATTTCGATGTCTGCTTCTGTTGTGAAATGTTCATCCTTGAGTTTTGTTATTGATCAACAATGGTATATAAAATTTACCCGTGCCAAATACATGTTTGTATACTAACCTTTTGTGCAATGCGTATATTGATTGTATGGACTAGGGCTCCATTTGTTTTTGGTTTGTGTGTTCATCTGTTGTGTTTCAAGTTGCTGTGTAGTTTAACAATTTTTGGTGGTTGATGTCAAGTGATTAGGAGCTTAGATGGTTCTTTAGTCAATCAACTTTGATGGATGGTTATAATTGGATGTCAATTTGCTTTGTAAAGGACTATGAATTGACTAAGACTAATTTATTGGTCTCATTTTTTTTATGTCTTTAGTTTTTGAGTCATTCTCCTTTTACAATCTTGGGTTGCAGCTTGATTGGTTTTCTATCTGTTTCCTTATTTTGTTGTCGAAATTACACAGTTGTTTTATATTGATGAAATGAGTGGTTGCTTAAACTGCAACAGAGCATAGACGGGGAGCTCTTTTCATCTATTTCTGGAACTGTTTAGCTGAATGAGTAATTTCTTGCAGCAGATTCAGGAAAATTGTTTCTTGTTTTCAATTGCTATGTGGCTTTAATCTACCCGAAAATGTGCCGAATTCTCCCAGTACATGGCTATCTTTTTGCAATCTATATATTTCCATGCTAAATTTTGTGTAAAAATCATTGCTTTGTGCTTGATACTATGTTTTATATTGTATACCTAGAAAATTACCATGTTGCTGTTACCAGAATGAAGTGAATTTGTCATCTATGACAAGATTCTTTTGCAACAATGAAGTGTTGCCCCCATTAGACCATTCTGTGCTAGTTTGAGCTTCCACTAGTGGCATTGGCATTCTTTTGTGTTCAAAGAGTTTTTGTGAGTTTCACTTTCTAATAATTTACAGTAGACATAACCTAATTTCTTATCAAGATAATATTTTATGTTGATCCCAGGTGATGAATTGTAAGTTGTGGCAAAACATTCTTGATTGAATTGGAAGCAATGTTTAGCCAACCACTTCATCCATCAAAACATGGTTTGCTCAACCACCCATTGGCATGCAAAATCTACCATACCAAATTTGATATATATATATATATATATATATACATATGTTCACTAATAAGATGGGCAAATTACCAAATCCATAGCAACATTAATCATGCCATTGCCACCAAATAACAAGTTTCAGACTGGAGCAAGACAACAGCCACTTTTGACAACCACTCCAGAATTCACCAAATGCATAACAATAACAATATATCACAATCATCATAACCAATTTGGCCACATTTGGACCCTGCTTTTTAGATCTTATCAATCTTCTCTGCTTTAACAAGAGGGTTCGCCTTCGCTATCGCATCCTGTGCAGCAGCCCGGTAGTCGAACGGGCACTCGTGCTTGTCAGAGTATCGATGAACTGAACAGAATAGATCACCACACCTGCAACTGAAACCGGTGAGACCAACACGTTTGCGGCAAGCAGCACATCGATTCGGTCCTGCCTTCGCCACTGCCTCTGCTTTCTGTCCCGATCCAACTTCAGGTAACGATTGGGGCGAAGAAAATATAGTTTTCGTGTCGAGTGCATCAGCAACAATAGTTTCCGTCTGCTTGCTGCTTGAAGAGCCATTGACAATGTTCTCGATGGACGTCGCTGCAAGCTTCGCCTGCTGCTGTTTCAGCATCGTATCCTTGTGGCACTTGGAGCACATGTTCATCGTTGCCGCGCTGCCGAAGAATCCACAGTTATTAACACAAAGAACCGGGCCTTCGGGAGCTTGGCAGCCTGTCTCCTTTGAGGACTCCATTTCTGCAAATTCTTCGACCTTTCACCAAGATACAAGAAAACTGTCAAATTGGAAATAATACCATGAAAAAGGATCAACAAAAACATGTATTATCGACAAAATCTGTTTCCCAGAATCATTTATGGCAAGAACAAATTACCAGTTGGAATTCACATAGTCAATTCAAAAGCAGATAGTGTCAAAAAAGAAGATTACTTCGACAATCAAGCACAGGAAATTCAGAAGAGTTTTCAATTGAAGAAAAAACACACCACAAATCCCTCAATACATGAACAAACAATATGATTGACAAAGAACCTCAAATTCCAAAAATTACTGTGAAGAATTTGAAATATCAAACATTAAGAACAGAATCACAAGTTTATATATCAAGCCCAATTCAAATAAAAACTGTAAACTGAAAAGAAAGACGAAGCGATGAACCCTAGCAGGAAAACATCAAATCCAAATCAACTAATACACGAGGAAGCTCTGTATGATCTTGAACTCGGGGAAATTCAACAAAATCTTCTTAGACTTACAACCCAAATAAGATTCATTAACAGAAACCCCCGATGCCGACGGTTGAATCCCCGTCAAATTTTGCGAATAGAATACAAGAAAGAATTAAAGTACAAGACATGATACAGCAGATAATACCTTGGTTTAGGAGATAATTAGAGCAATTTGAGGGGTGAGGAGAGAAAAGTTAAGGGTTAAGAGAGAGAGAGAGAGGGTTGGGAATGGGGAAGGGAGGCTTGATATTTAATAGTGTAAGACTTTTGCCCTTTGCATATATACTTTTATAGCAGATGCATATATCACTTTTTGGCCCCAAAACGGAAAAACAAAAAGGTGACAGCGAAGAATCGGAAAGCAAGAGTCGGTGGAAATTACCTGCGACGCCCTCGCCGGAATCTCTTGTCTTCTCACGGCTCCATCGTCATACATTAATACATACAGCAGACATTCATATAGTAGTATTTGATATTCAACACCACCACTTGTGAAAAGTCCCTTTCACCTTCACATGGAAATTATTAAAAGATTAGCTTATGAGAGATTATGACGTAGAACGATTTGGACAAAGGGCTGTCTAAATTAAATCTCACCCAAAAAACAAAATCCGTGCCATCTGAAATTTTTTAGATTATCGAGTCGACCCGAATTCAAAACAAAAAAAGAAATTTGTGTCGTGTTCGGAAAGAGTTTCGGGTTGATCTCGTAATCGAAAATATAAAAATTAAGTCGGATTTTTGGCTAGACTTAAAATTATTTATTATTACTATTTTATTTTAATATAAAAACTAAAATAAAAATGATTAATTTAACCTTTTAAATTTTCAGATTTGTTTCATGTTGGATTCGTGTCGGAGTTTATTCGGTTTTGGGTGACCTAAAACTAATTCAGGTCAATCTGAACCCGATTTAAAAGAATTTGTGTAAATATAGGGTTTCAAATCAAGTTTCAGGTTCGAGTAGGATTCAAATCGACAATTTTTGTGTTATTTCATGGCTCAATCCAACACGAATACAACCCGAAAACTGGATATAATAAGATCGTAAGGGCAAAGAAGTATTTGATTTTTTATTTTTTTAATTGAATTTTGAAAAATAAATAATTAAATGATGAAATATTACGTGATTTTAATAATGTGCCAAATCATGTCTTAAGCCTTTGGACATTCATTAACTGAATATAATTACGGTCGTCACGATAATTTATTATATATTTTTACGGATGAGATTTCCTCTAAAATAGTCTTTAATGATTTGATAAATACTATATATATTTTTTTATATATTTTTAATTCCATTATCAAGAAGCATAAGCACAACCTAATGGGCCGCCAGGCTTTAATGTCCATCTTGATATTGGGCTTGGGCTTGGGCTTGACTTTCTTTCATTTTTGGTACTGGTGACGTTCTTCTTCCTCCAAGAAACCAATCTCTAATTCCAACACGGCACGAAACTTCTGAGTTCTGTGGATTCGGTTACTGGTTTGATTCATTGGGTTTGGATTACGTCCCCTCTACTCAAGGTCAAGGATCATCGGGGCGGGGCAGGGCATATTCGAGATGGTGGGAAAATTGAAAATTTTAGGGCAAAGACGGCGGGAAAGATCTTCCCTGTTACCTGGCACGCCTCAATTTCAATCGTTTTAGTTTCCCTCGAGCAGGTTCGGAACGCGTAACTGGTTTCTGAAATTGCCTTTCAGAGCATACCGCGCTTCGTTAAAATGGGAAAGAGGAAGACGGCTAGGGTTTCAGAAGAGGCTTTGGAGAAGGAGGACGAAGAAATGGAGGAAAATCAGGAGGATTTCAACGCGTCTTCCGCCTCTAAGGACAAGAGCTTGTACGAGGTATTCCTTCTTTATCTTCTTCTCTGCAATTTTACTAGGTTAAACACTTTCTCCTATTTGTATCAGATTCTTGGGGTTGACAGAGCTGCGTCTCAGCAAGAAATAAAGAAAGCTTATCACAAGTTGGCCCTGCGGCTACACCCCGACAAAAATCCTGGTGATGAGGTAATTGTGTGTAGTTGCACGCCAACGCCATTCTTATACTGTAAGAGCATCTCTGGTCACGCACAGCCTTGAGATATTTTCATTTTGCAGGATGCCAAGGAAAAATTTCAGCAGCTGCAAAAGGTTATTTCTATCCTTGGCGATGAGGAGAAGCGCGCAGTGTATGATCAGACTGGATGCGTTGATGATGCCGTAAGTTATATGATCTTCAATTTTGTTCTTTAAACTTAGACATTCATTGTTGAAATCCATTTCAAACATTGCATATTTTGATAGGATTGATCCGATGTACAATTTAACTTTGAGCACCTGTTGTCTTTAGTTATCTTTGAATTATAAAATTTTGTATGCATGAAGTTCTTGAGTTTGAGCTTTTTCAATTGAGAACCAAATCTTATTTTAGAATGTGGGATCTACAGCACAATGGTTTGCAATTTCTGGTAAGAGTGCACATTGAAGTTGATAAGTAATTAGGGCAAGATAAAAGAAATACTGTGTAAAATTGGATGTTCAGCATTGGACATGTTCTAAATCTGCTCCATAATGGTACATGTCGTACTCGAAGAAAATAACTTTTACTACTTCAAATCATAATATTTGCTACCATAGTTAGTTATTGAAATTGCTATCAGCTTTGGATTGCTCTGATTCTTGAATGGAAGTAATTTCTTGAATTTGTCCAATTACAGGAACTGTCTGGAGATGCCATTCAAAATCTGCGTACGTTCTTCAGAGCTATGTATAAAAAGGTTATTTGCATCGGACAATTGATAGTAGTTTTTTGTTTTTGATTTTTTCAACAAGTTTGCTCGTGTAAAAAGCATATGGATCTTGTTTTCAGGTCTCCAAGGCTGACATTGAAGAGTTTGAAGCAAACTACAGAGGATCTGATGTGGAGAAAAAAGATTTGCTTGAACTATATGAAAAATGCAACGGCAATATGAACAGGTATTCCTCAATCGGCTTTAATGGCTAATATCAGCTCGGCTCGATCCACCACTCATTTTTTAACATAAGCATTCTTTATCAGGCTGTTCTGCTGCATGATTTGCTCTGATCCTTTGCTTGATTCCCATCGCTTCAAGGATATCATAGACGAGGCAATTTCAGCAGGTGAAGTGTCTAACAATATGCAACTTCTTGTTTAATCATTGAATACCTTTGTTTCTTCATGTTCAAAATTCAAATAGTTTCGCCGGGTCGACATCAGTTTTTCTCAGTGTAATGAGCATTGCTGATATGCATTGTGTGAATTGCTACCTCAAAATCACTTGAATGGATGTAGGAGAGTTGAAGACGACGAAAGCATATGAGAAATGGACCAAGAAAGTGTCGAAGATGAAGCCTCCCACGAGTCCACTGAGGCCAAGAAAGAAGTCTGTCATGTCACTTTTGCTATTACCATGTGAACTAAATCATCTGACAATTTAATCAATGCTTGTGAAACATGAACATAACATGCAGGTCGAAGGAAAGCTCGGATCTATGCGCCATCATAGCCAAGCGACAGAGCCAGAGGAGAGGCGAGATTGATTCTATGTTCTCGTCACTTGTTCAAAAATACGGTGGGGCTGAATTGTATCCAGAGCCTAGTGAAGAAGAATTTGAAGCTGCTCAAAGGAGGCTCAAGAGTAAACCGGCTTCTTCCAAACGAAGGTAACTGCAGCCATCATCATCAAATTAATCCTATGGTGTGAAAAAAGAAAGTAAATTATTTATGTTTGATAAAATCACAAATGTCTGTCTGTCTTTTTAATTTGGGATGATGAACTGAAGCTTGTGGGTGAGGGTGGGGGTGGGGTCATTGCTATTTTAGTGGGCAGCTTCGATGAAAGGGGCTTGCACTGGCCATGCATCAAGAATCAAACTATAAGATTTTTCTATTTTCTTGACCATGGGTGCAACAAATGATGAAAGTGTGTTGTGGAAATAAAGCAGGGTGGTATGGGTGAAGGAGGATTCTTTTGTTGAAAGCATCAATGATTAAAATAATAAGTACTTCTTTCTAGCCGTGAGGCAAGGGCAAGAACAAGAACCATGATTGATTGATTCAACTCACAATTAACTAACTAACTAATTACCCTTAGCTCTCTTTTAAGCCCACAACTTAATCATTATTTTTCTTTAATCATTCTATCAACACATATCTAATTTTACTTTTATTTGATCGAACATGAATTTATTAAAAAAAATTATTTTTTTATTAAAATGAAAATAAATTAATGTTAGATGGATAGAACGACGAACTAAAATAGAAAAATAAATAATTTGTTATGAGATTAATTAAAATAAAAAAAAATAAATAGTTTACTCTGAGACAGAGAGAGAGTACGATGAATCGGATACACAAATATATGTGTAATAATTAATGAGACAATTCATACGTGTGTCCGATTAAGACCTAACTTCCATTATGAGAGAGAGACAGAGGATAAGATTTTCTATCAAAATGATGCATGCATATTTTATATATATATATATATATATCAATGACTATGTCTATGTCTATGTATTTTCTCAATTATTTCTTGATCCTTAATTTCCATTTGGGATAATTAATTAATTAATTCATTGACGCCATCAACAATATTAAATCAAATACAGCCAGCCAGGAACTGACCCACTGGTAGATGGATAGATAGATAGATAGATAGATGACTACATATATCTCTAAATTAAATTAAATGAGGACCATAATAATTAATGGATTAATTCTGACAGAAAAGAATACCAGCAGCAATAAGACATTTCATTACTACACCAATTAATCACGACCAAATATTGGTTTTTAGCCCCTTTTGCTGTCCCACAAATTAAATTAAAGTTGCCCCAATTTTTTAAAAATGTATTTTCCTCACCAAACATCGTCACTATACTCTGGAATTAATTCATGACTACATATAATATATATATATATATATGTTATGTGGTTGGGTGTTCATCATTAATTCTTTAGGCCAAATATATATGCATGTATGTATCCAATATATGGAGAATATACATATAAAGTCAAAATAAAAATCAAAAGAATATATGCATTGAATTGAATTGAATGAGAGATGGTTCACACGTACGGACACACAGTCAACATATATATATATATATATTAATTTAATATTCATTTATGAGTGACACAAAAACAATTGTCTGTGGTCCAAATTCAATTTCTTGCCTTGCCACCAAACTCAATTGCGCGCGCGCGCGCACACACACACATATATATATATATATATAAATAGATCATGGATCACAGTGTGCCTTCTTCAATTAGGAAAAAAAAAAAAAAAAAAAACCCTATACCCCACCCCACCCCACCCCACCCCACCCCACGATTGTTGGTTTATATTTTCCTAAAATCAATAAAAATAGATGGGAGAATATATATATATATATATATATATATGTACGAAAGAAACAAAGAAGGGTGGTCGGTCATGCATAGATTATATTACACATTATTGGTTAGGTAGGTAGGTAGGTAGTAATATATATATATATATATATTAATATATATTGTTTTGTTTTTTGTGTTGGGTATGAATGAGAGTGTTTATATTCTTGAGTTGAGTTGAGAATATTAATAGAGCCAAATAGATAGACAGTGTTACAATATAAAATTGAAATATTCTATTTCAATAGTAAGAATATGTACATATTTATAATAATATATAAATTGTTTAAACAAAATATAACTATTATAAATATAATATATTGCTTCTAAATATATATATATATATTTTTTATTGGATGCTTCTAAATATATTTTAACAAATAGAGAGGTTGTTTATGCATTGCAATTATATATACTAGTTAATTTAATTGTATCTCTATTAATTGATCCATTTGAGTCACTCACCCATAACCAAACCAAACCAAACCAAATCATAATCATGCTCATGCATTCTCTACATACAAACCAAGCTCAAATTATCTCTCTCTCTCTCTCTCTCTATCTCCTCTCTCTCTCTCTCATTATTGTATATGGCAAATGAATCTTAAGGTATGTTTCTTAAATGGAATTTTCTCGAATTTTACTATTTGAATTTTGCGTTTTCTGAAAAAAAAAATATATATTTTTTTCTTTTTTTTCATAAAATATCCCATTAAATATTATTTTAATATCAAACTCAAATTGAATTTTCTCAAATTCAACCTAAAGAAACACACCCTTAATTTCTAATGCAAAGATAAGAAATTTATACTATATACTCCCTCTATTCGACTCTAAAAATTATATTTATCCTATACGTCATTATACTTAACATTAAAAATATTCTTATATTTGTATAATTGTTTTGTACAAATATCCTAGTATTAGTATTATAAGACATTAATAAAAATATTTTTGTAATTTTTTTTTAATTTGTATTACAGTTTTGATATAATTATTAATATTCAAATATCAACGCATATGAACCTTAATTTTTTTCTCTATGCTGATGGAGACGTGTAAACCAGATTTCTCTCTCTCTCTGCAAAGAAATTCAACAAAGAAAGGCAATGGAATGGGACGGGACGTAGGTGGATTAGGGTTGGCGTGGCCACATATATACAAAAGTAGCACTAATTAATCAATTAATAATATACAATTTTACAAATACTAATATTATATTGCAATATAATAGAAATAAATGCAAAAATACTAAACTAACTTTATTATTAGTAAGTCATGATATAAATATTTGTGATATTGTATAAATAGTATGTTTAAAAATAAATAGATACTTTGCTGAGGAAGGAAGAGAGAAAATAATACTCCCTCAGTTCCATAATTATTATTTATTTATTTGTTTTTTGCACGATAGTTTTAAAAATATTAATATTATATAATGACTAAAAAAAAGTAATGAATATTACAAATTGTAAGGGTATTTGATAGTACAATTACTGTAAATTAAAAAAAAAAAAGAAATGGAGGAGAAGTTTATTTATTTTTAGTTAGTTAGTTAGTTAGTGTTGTAAGGCTAGTCTGCTCTGCTCTGCCCTGTAATTACTGGGACTAGTGCTAATGCCAATGGTAATGGATTGCAGAGCATCAACCATGAACATGAACATGAACATCAACCTCTTTTATCTTTTTCTTTTTTAATATCCTAGTCCTTCCTAGTATACTATAATTAATGTTTCATATTACTGATTGCCTTTAATCTTTCTTTTTTTTCTCTCTCTAATCACACCAATCACCTCCTCCTCTCTAACTTTCGGCAAACCTTCATGCTGCTAAACCATCGTTTAATTTTATATCAGCAGGCGTTTGACCTCAATATGTCTTTCCCTGGCAACCAAACGCCACCGACTGCCTCCCACCCCACCCCAACCCCACGTCTACTAAACCCAAATCAACAAACAAACTGATAGATAGATAGTACAACCTTCCTTCCTTCCTTCCTTCTGCAGTCGACAGTCAGCTGCTGAATGATAATTGCTTCCCAATAAATTCAAAGACACACCCACCCACCCACCTCCTTCCTTTGAACAGGTCTTCTTTCTGCTCAGAGCTTTTATCTATTCATCTCTCTGATCCAATCGAAGACGTCCAGGACTTGTGCTTCTCAGTCAAACCAACTGATCACTCATATTTCTTGCTGGGATTTGATCTGGCTATTTCTTCAGATATGCATGCCCACTCACAAAACTATGGTGATCATTTCAAGATGGAAGACTATGAGATCCTTGAGCAGATTGGCAGAGGCGCCTTCGGACCTGCGTTTCTTGTGCTTCATAAACCTCACAACATCAAGTAATTACAGATTGCCACTATTCAATCTATCTATCTTCACATAACAGAAAACTTACATGATCCCTGTCTTGATTCACTTGTAGGTATGTCCTCAAGAAAATTAGTCTCCCTAATCACACCACAGACAAATTCTGGCGAACCGCCCACCACCAAGTATTAACTAATTAAAATCGAATACTTTCTTGCTGCAACTTCCAACTTGTTATATCTAGATTTGCTCAAGTTCAAATTTGTTGCAGATGGATTTAATTGTGAAGCAACGACATCCATACCTCGTCGAGTATCAAGATTCTTGGGTGAACGACCAGGTAATACTTCCTTCTCCCTCTTCACAAAAAGAAACAAACCCATTAATCAAACATCATTATTCAATCTGCAGGATAACTGTATATGGATCGTTACCAACTATTGCCAAGGGGGAGACATGTATGTAATTATGTTACTGCTCTGCTCTGTAATAACTCATATACAATTGCAGGATCCTTGTAGATTGTCTTAATTCTTTCTGTATCTGTATATGTCCGAAATGAAGGTCTAAGATGATAAGGAGAGGAAGGGGATCATATTTTCCTGAGGAGGTGATTCCTCTACATTGAAATTCTTGCCAAATATTATCTGCTTTGGCTAAACTCAGTTAACACTTGCAGAAAATATGCAAATGGCTTACTCAGTTGTTATTAGCCATCAATTATCTACATTCGAATCGAGTCATTCACCGCGATCTAAAGGTTGGCTTTTGTCTACCACAAAGTTTTCCATTCATGTAACCTGACCTGATGATCCCATTTTCTTTGCCCTCCCAGCTGTCTAACATATTCCTTACAAAGGAAAACGATATCCGTCTTGGTAAGAATCCGACTAACACTTACCTTGTTTTCTGCTAATCTAGTTTCTGCAGTTCCCTCACTACATTGAACTTATTGCAGGCGATTTCGGACTGGCCAAGCTTCTTGACGAAGGAGGTCTCACCTCATCGGTAACAACACTTTTCAATGTGATTTTGCTTGTGCAATGACAGAATTTGTCGTGATAAACTTGTGAACCTCAAACTAGGTTGTTGGAACCCCCAACTATATGTGCCCTGAGCTTCTTGCAGATAATATCCCATACGGCTATAAATCAGACATATGGTCTCTCGGTAATAATCTAAATCAATCCAGAAACAAACAATTCCTGCTCTGCTGCTGAAACAAGTCGTTTTTCTTACATCTAGGTTGTTGCATGTTCGAGATTGCAGCACACCAGCAAGCATTCAGAGCTTCTGTAAGTTCTTCTTCTTGATTCACTTGTTTTGTGCTTGCACTAACACTATAAGCATCTAAAACAGGACATGTCGGGACTCATCAACAAGATCAATCGATCTTTGATCTCTCCGCTACCTATTATATACTCGTCCACTCTGTAAGCATTTTTTCCACACAGACTACTAATCGTTCGCCATTCCAAGTTTCTGTTTCCAAACACCATATGATTGTATCTATTGATCATTGCAGAAAACAGATCATCAAGAGCATGCTAAGGAAGAGTCCCGAGCACAGGCCTACCGTGAGTCTATACTCTTTTATCATTCGCCTCTCAGTGTTATTATTGTCGATTCTTGATGATGTTTGAATTTGCATTTCATAGGCAGCCGAGCTGCTAAGACACCCGCATTTGCAGCCATACCTTCTTCGCTGCCACAACCCCTCGACTGTATTTCTTCCTGTGATGTCTCCATCTCCTAAAAACACAAAGGAGAAAACAAAGAAAACGGCAACTAGCAACAGCTCAGGGAAAAGGAAAGACGCGAAAGAAAGAGAGGCTAAACTAAAACAAAGGGATCTGCTACCATTATTTGATGAGAATACAGATGTTCAGTACCCGAATTTGCTGGAAGGCGATGTCTTGATAGAAGACAGGCTTGAGACGAAGAGGGTCGATCCGACAAGCTATTCTGGAAAGGCTTCTCATGACAGCGAAGATTCTAAAAGCGGCGACACAAGATGTGAGACTACTGCTTGCATTGCAGATGATCCACTGGAGTCTTCCTCACTTAAGAGGAGCTTTGATGTAAAGGATGATTTGCCTGCATTATCCAATAAAGGGTTGATGGCAGAATTGTCATGCACTCCCCAGCAACCTGCAAAACTAGAAGTCGATGATGAGAATGTCACTAAGGAAATTGAGAATAAGCAAGAAGATACCGTGACTTTTGCCGCCAAAGTTGTGTCTTTTATTGAAGAAGACACATTGCTGGCTAAAGGAACCACAAAATGTGCAGCTGATAAGATAGAAGTCATGAATGCTTCCGGCGAATCCGAATGTAATGCTCTATCATCTGCAGTTCTACCAAACCTCGATGTCGATAATGCAGGAACTCAAGCAGACAATTCAATTGAGTTGAGACAAACTGATAAAGAGGACGAACAGCAGTCACATCAACAATCCAATTATAATGATCAAGGCAATGAGGAAAGTAAGAATGAATCTGAAATCCCTGTGCCACAGAGAGCTGATGCTTTGGAATCATTGCTGGAGTTATGTGCAAAATTGCTGAAGCAGGACAAGTTCGATGAACTGTCAGGGGTGCTGAAGCCATTCGGGGAAGGAGTTGTATCTTCAAGAGAAACAGCAATCTGGCTGACTAAAAGCCTCATCAATGCACAGAAACTCCCCAAAGAATCCTAATTATAAAAAAGCAATGAGTGAATATGGTGCCCTTTTTTTAAGTCTTTTTAAGTTATGGTTACATGAAGAATGTGTGCTGTGTATGTTCTTGGGATTGAACTTGTAATTATTATTGAGTGTGTTGAATGAATGGATTACAATTTTTGATTATTTCTTCTCTCACTTGTAGTAAAACCCTTTTCAATTCTAATACCAGCATGCCATGTAAATACTCAGAGCAACAAATATTAATCATCCCTAATTGTCTGAGTGTTCAATCAAAACTTTGCAACAAATTTCTACTAAGCTTCTTCCAAGAACTTCAATAGTACTTGTTAAGCTTTGATCAATGTTGTATCACGTGCACATCTAGAAGTGACAACTACCTCCCACATCAAATATTTTGTTGTTTTTGAGACCTAACAGAAAGGGAAACAATAATGTGTTTTTTTCTTAAAAGATACTTTCTTCTGTATGAAAAGAAAGTAGCCCACAAAAATAAAAGTCTACCAGAGAGGCTTTGGTTGCCTAACTCTCAATGTTAGAGAGAGCATCATAATCATGACATATATATATATATATATTATTGTGGAACCCATAGAGCCACCTCACATATCATAGCCCATACCATAAAACAACAGAATATTAATTTACTACTAATGAAATCACAGACCCCAAAAGTGGCATTATCAGCCTCATTTCAGCCCCCATCAAATTATTCAAACTATACTACAATTCTTGACAACTAAGCTATTTGTCGCCTTCGCCTACATTTGCAGCTGGCCCCATAATTGTTACTCATTAGCCACAACCCTAATTTGCTGCTCTACACATTAGAATCAATGCCCCTGTTTTTCCTTTCTTTAATTCCTTGCTAAGAAACACAGAAAGTGTTTTAACTCAGAGGTGTGAATGAAAGAGATGAGTGTATTGTACAGTACCTTTCTTTGGGGGCAGGCCACGTGTTCGCATCCAATACGATGCCGTCGCCGACCAGTCTATTTGGAATCATTCACACTGCGGGTGTGACTGCCTGTCACCCTTTCTTCTCTGTCACCAGCTGTCACTGTAGCCTTTCCCATCCCCACCCTCGTCTCTTTCCCCTTTCTCTCTATAAATTGTACAATTCCCCAAAGCACCATGTACCACCTGACTTCAAGCCATTAATCGCTCCTCTTCTCTTCTCAGTCTTCGAAATTTGCTCTTGATTTTCGACAATGGCGCAAATCAGCATCCTCGAGGTCGCGGTAATGCTGCTTGTTGCGGTCTCTGCGTACGCCGCCACCGCGTCGGCTCAGGCATTCGCTCCGGCGCCTTCGCCCGACGCTGGAGGTGCGTTCTCTTTGCCGGTCTCCGGCGCCGTCGTCGGAGCTTCGCTTCTGGTCTCGGCGTTCGCACTGTTGAGGCATTGAGTTGAAGCTGAGTATGGTGGACTTGTTGTTAGGCAGAACAGTAACATTATTATGTGGTTTGCAATTTTTGGTATGCAGTTTGGCATTTCTGTGTATCTGCTTTTGTGCATTGTGATTGCTCTACTATATTACTATTATTATTCTTTTGTATGGTTGGTTGCATTTGTGTAAAATAAAATTGAGGATTCATATTTATCAATTTTCTTGTATTGTACCATTGATTATTGTTTATTTTCAAAATCAAGAATTTGAAGCATATGCAAGGAACATTTAAAATGTCAAAAAGAGACCAACAAAATCAAACCTCATTACATTCTATGGTAGATTATGACAAGATAAGATAATCCCACCACTGACTGATATATTTATTACATATGTATTGTTGCTTAAAGACTAAGTCGAATAATCACACAGTTATTCCCCACCTGGAAAGAAGTAAACAGCAAGAATCAGTCAACAAACAGCACATACCTTTACCAATAATATGGCAGACAACCATCCCACAAAAACATGTGCTGTACATTTTAATACTATCATATACCTATATATTAAAAAATCAATCAAGCCTGTCTGTCATCTTCCCAAACTTATGTACATTATGTTTTCTTACAAATGGGGTTGGGGATGGGGTCTCATATTATAAGTTTTCTTTCTTGTCATGGAGAAATCTGGACATAGCAAGTTAGATACATGATAGTTCATTACAAACAAAACAGCAAAAAGCTAATTCAACTATAAATACGGCCCATGGGCCTATTCTAAAGCTCAGGCAAGGAAAAACCATAACTGTTGGTGGGCTTGGGTTCCTATCCAATAATTGAGAATCAATAATGTTATTGGGTTCCTATTCAGCTATATCATCTCTCTGGAGAGATATCTCAGCTAGACACGATCAAGAACACACAATGCACAAGAAACAGACTGTGATTATGAAAAACATATTTGAAAGATGTGTAAAGAATAATGATATTGGAAAAAAAACAAACACATGGTGTTCTACTAACTAGAACAAAGTGAATGTTCTACTATACTACCCTGAAGGGGCCTTACTTAGCATTTTGAATCTGGAAAAACCATCGAAGCGTTCTTCGTATGAGGTTGTGGTGTGGATTAAGAACACCCAATCCCAAAAGTAGCCAAATCATTGGTGAATTCTCAGCATTGCAAGGCACTAGAGTACATCTGTGTTGCTTTCGATCTCCTATGATCTCTGGCATCTGTTTCTTCTTCTTTTCATCGTCCTCCACATTCTCTAAACTTGCCGAGACCATTCTAAACCACAGCAGGGTTATTCTCATTTGGCTTCCCATGGTTATCCAACTTCCCCTCTGCAATTAATTTCTTCTTCATCCATGCCTCATTTCTGAGGATATGTATACCCTATCGATCACCACCCTTTAACTTTGCAACAGTGCCGTGATCACAAGTAGCCATCAAATGCCCCAAAGCAATTGCCTCCCCTTTGTTGTGATCAACATTATCTTCCTCGCTAACCTCAATATCATATTCAGATTGGGAATCATCATCTTTAACACCACAACAATGGCGTTCATTGCCGAATCCTTCTGTAACTAGTCAAAATAACCTAGTAACAGCATAATTACTCTCCTCGAATCATAACTCTGGTTCCTATCATCGTCTTTAAACCCACTGGGCATCCATTACATTGTTACATAGTGCATACTCAGCATATTATCCCAGACCCGTTCCACTCCTCCTCTGCCCACCCACACCTGGTAAAAGCCCTAATTGCACATACAAAGTTCCCACATACGAAATCCAGAACACAATCAAATCCCTAGCTTTCTTTTAACAACAGAGATTAAAGGTGGTTGCCAAAAAACCGCACAAGTGACTTCACCAATTGCGTACATCTATCGATACAAACGATTAGGTTACCTGATTTTTGGATCGAAACCCAGAATGACAGGTTTTCTCAACTCGAAGAAGACTAATTAGATGATTTGTCCAAATTCAAAATGCTCGCATTTGAGGTATTCGAATAAGGGACGCAACGCAATCTAGAGAAGTGGAGTATAGCGGCCGGTCCAAACCGTAACTCTGAGGCTTTATCATGGCGTCACTTCCATCCTCAACCTTTCTCACTGCATTTCTCTCCTTCTCGAACGAGGGTTTTTGTTTATTTTGACGCAGAGGATCTAGCACTTCAGGGTTTTTAACATTGGGCTTTCGTATCATTGGAATTCAGGCCCAGTGTATGCAATTGGGCTTCCATTTGTTGTTAAAAAAGAAAATAAAAATGACAGATATTGAAGCTCTATCAATTTTGTTCTCTCTCTCTCTATAAATATATAATCCCCATGCAATGGAAAAGGTTGGTGGTACATGCAGGCAAAGATTAATGATTTTTTTTTTGTTTGTTTTTCACAGTTTTTCACTATGTAAATTATAAATATATATATATTTAAATATTATAGGATAAATTATATAATACTTCGCCGTGGTTTCGTAAGTTTATATAAATAAAAAACGTAAAATATTTTAAATAATATTTTTAATAAAATACTCCATCCGTTTCAATACAATGGTCTTGTTTACTATTTTTGTCCGTCCCAAAATAATAGTTTTATTTCCATAAATAACCATATCACTGTATAACTATCCTTATTCTTTTATTATTATTACACAATTGCCGTTGTCTTTTACACTAATACACTCACAAGGGCAAAAATATCTTTTACTTATACTTTTTACCAACTATCAATATAATATCAATATTCCTTAAATCTCGTGTCCAACACAACTAAGACTATAGTTCTGGGACGAAGGGAGTACAAGAGAATGTTATACTCCCTCCGTCCCATAAATATAATCTTAATTGGGTTGGACACGGGATTTAAGGAATATTGATATTATATTGGTAGTTGGTAAAAAAGTATGGATAAAAGACTTTTGTGTCATTGTGAGTGTATTAGTATAAAAAGTAGTGGTAGTTGGGTAATAAAAATAAAAAAATAAAAAAAATTTTATGATAATTTGGTTATTTATGAAAATAAAATTATTATTTTAGGATAAATAAAAATAATAACCAAGAATATTATATTGCATCATAGACTTACTGATGAATATATATATGTATATTTGGAAGAAATTGTATTATTAGTAGGGAGTGGGTGGCAGTGCAGTGGCCCCTTTATTCTGTGTCTGTTTCTTTGACAGTCTTTGATCACTTTCAATTCAAAGAGCAAATCGTATTACGCACACACAAACACAATTCGTCGTATTCTGTGCCCCAGCTTCCCATTAATTCCTCCATCCTTTTTTATTTATTACTATTATTCTTTCCTCAAAGCCCTCAAAAATCTGTTCTGTTAAATTTTGTGACAATAATATCATATATAGATAATTCCCCCTTAGTGAATTAATTAGGATTATAAATATACATAGATTCACACACACACACACATACGGGTCTGTGTGTGTATCTGGAAAAAGATGAAATTGAGAGTAAAGCTGAATAGCCTTTGGTACTGGTGCAATATATATATATATATATATTTTATTAATATTATTAATTGGTCGTCCTTGTCACCACATGCCTTCCACTTTCCCATTCCCAATTTTCTTTGGACCCCTCAAATTTCCCCTTTTTTTTTTTTCTTTTCTTTTCTGTCCCAAAATTAAAACCTCATCTGCAAGGAAAGAAGTAACCATATATCATATCATAGATATCCCAATTAATGATCCATCCATTTTGCACTTGCCAATTCCTCTTTCTGCTGCCCGCCATGAAACCAACAACTTCCCACCTCTGATCCTTCCTTAATTAGCTAGGGTTTGCATTAATTTTCTTGATATATATATATATATATGTGCAATTGAAGATGAGACAAGGTGGGGGAACTGTGCAGCACGCGCTGACGGCGGAGGCCGGCGGCGTCGTCAAGCAGGCGGTGGTGCTGGCGAAGCGCCGGGGACACGCGCAGGTGACGCCGCTGCACGTCGCGAACACGATGCTGTCGGCGTCGACCGGTTTATTCCGTGTCGCCTGCCTGAAATCGCACTCGCATCCCCTCCAGTGTAAGGCTCTGGAGCTTTGCTTCAACGTCGCCCTCAATCGACTTCCGGCGACGGCGTCGCCGTCGCCGTCGCCGATTTTGGGAGCCCACCACCGCTCCTCCCAAAATCCGGCCATCTCCAACGCCCTCGTTGCGGCGTTCAAACGGGCGCAGGCTCACCAACGGCGCGGATCGATCGAGAACCAGCAGCAGCCGATCCTGGCCGTTAAAATCGAGCTCGACCAGCTCATCATCTCCATCCTCGACGATCCCAGCGTCAGCCGCGTGATGAGGGAAGCTGGATTTTTGAGCACGCAGGTGAAAAGCAACGTCGAGAAGGAGGTCTCCTTGGAGCTCTTCACGCAGACGACTAATTCATCATCATCGTCTCCATCAAATTTGGGGAAAATCACCCCCGCCAATTATCCAGGCGAGGAGGAGCCAATTAGGGCAGAAGATGTGAACGTGATAATCGAAACATTACAGACCTGTGGAAGCGGAAGAAGAAGTCGAAGAAGAAGCCTCGCCATAGTCGGAGAATCCATATCCAATTTACAATCATTAATCAAAGGATTGATGGACAGAATCGACAGAGGTGAAGTTCCAGGGAGCTTGAAGGAAGTGAAATTCATAAGCATTCCTCCTCTAGATTCCTTCTGCAATCGTCACAGGGAAGACGTGGAGCAGAAGATCGGAGAATTGACGTGTCTAGTTAAGAGCCTCGTCGAAAAGGGGGTGGTGCTCTACCTCGGAGATCTCAAATGGATAAGCAATTACAAGGTCAGTTTGGAGCAAGAGAGGGGTTACTACTGCTCTGTGGAGCACATGATCATGGAGATTGGGAGATTAGTTTGGAGAATTGGAGAGACTGAGAGGTTTTGGCTGATGGGAATTGCCACATTCCAGACCTACATGAGGTGCAGAAATGGCTGCCAGTCCCTCGAGACTGTCTGGGGTTTACATCCTGTCACTATTCCCGCCAACAGTCTGGGATTAAGTCTTGCTTCAGACAGGTAATGTAATAAAAACCTAATTCAACTTGCAGATGTCTGAAATTAATTTAATTTCATGTTTGCGTGTGTAATGATTTCTCTCAGCGACAAAAGGGAAGAAAGTTTATCGATGATTGCAGATGGGCAAGAAACCAAATTTGAAGATAGCAATGGGGCCACTACACTGCCCTATTGGCTTAAAGATGAATGCAGTAGAAGAAGATTCAACAATGATCAGGTCATTATCTGTTCATCTTTATTTAAATTAATAATATATATATATATATATACTTTTATCACTTTTATTTATTTATCTTTTTGGGTTTTCAGAACAGCGAATCGATGAGGGTAATGTGCAATCAATGGAACAAATTCTGCACTTCATTACAGAGACAGCATGAAGGAACCCTAACGTTATTATCATCGTCATCATCTCCTCCATTTCAAAACCCTAACCCTAATTCTACAGCAAACTCGAATTCTTCGAGCGACGTGGTTATGGAGGTGGAGCCATACGTGCCAAAGTTCAGAGAATTCAGCGCAGAAAACCTGAACATCCTATGCGACGAGCTGGAGAAGAAAGTGCGGCCATGGGAGAGAGATCTTGTCCAGGATATCGCTGGAACTGTTCTGAAATGCAGGTCCGGAATGCTGAGGAGGAAGCTGCAGATGCAGATATCAGCCATTAATGACGGGAAAGAAGAGACGTGGCTGTTCTTCAACGGCCCCGACGACGCGCAGGCGAAGGAGAAGATAGCCATGGAATTGGCGAGAATCGTGTTCGGATCTTATTCGAGCTTCGTGTCCATCGGATCGAGATCGGACGAATTCAGGAGGAAGAGAGGAAGAGATGAACAAAGCTGCTGCACCAGTTACGTCGTCGACAGGTTTTCTCGAGCGGTGTCTGCGAATCCTCACAGGGTTTTCTTCGTCGAAGATTTCGAACAGACGGATGACTGCTCGAGATTGTGGATGCAGAAGGCGATTGAGAGGGGGAGAATTGGGATTGGGAATGGTGGAGAGGAGATCGGATTTGGCGACGCCATTATCGTTTTGAGCTCTGAGCAGTTCGGCGGCGAGACGAAGAAGACGACGACGATGCACTGTGGACCGTTGGATTTGAACGTTACGGTTGATGATGAAACGGCAGAGGATCGGACGGTTGAGGATTTAGGGATCCTTGATAATGTTGATTGCCATGTAGTCTTCAGAGTTCACTTGTAACGCCATTAGGGTTCTTTTAATTTTAATAATCTTTTTTGGTAAATTGCTTTTTGTTTTTAAGAAAAAAAAAAGAAAATCCATTTTATAGATCTATATTAATTAAAGAGAGGGAGAGAGAAAATATTTATTAGATTACATATTTGATATTTTTGGTCTTTGATTTTTTTTTTTAATAAAGTAATTGTAATTGTAATATTATATTTGTAATTTAAGTAAAAATTAAAAATATTTTGGTATTAATGTATATTATTTTTTCTCATATTTTGACAGTAAAATATTATTAATTTTAGTACCTAACTATATTTATACAACGTCAATATAAATTTGTACGTGCTTTTATATGATACATATATCGTGCTATATAAAAATATATTGTTCGCCTTCTATATATATATATATATACACACACGTGTGTTTATCCGGATCAGATCAACTAAAAATTTCACACCTATTAATTAATATGCCAAACAAGTTCTATAATAAAATTAAATTCAATAAGTAAGATGATATTTTACCATTATATATATATATATAACAGTTAAATATAAGGTGTGAATTTGAATAATTAAAGACAAAATTCCTTTTAAATTAAAGCAAAGAGCATCCAAAAATAACAAAAAAAAGGTAAAGAAAAAAAAATAAATAAATTAAAGAGGGCAGTAAAAATTGGATAAAAATAAATAAAAAGCAAATTAAAGGTGAAAAATTGGTAGCTTTCTCTTTCAGTTCTTACGAGGACAGAAAGGAAAAGGGGAAAAATTAAAGTTACTTAGACAAAAACATTTCCCGATCTTCCAAACTTTTGAATTTCTTCAATCATAAGTTCGAGAAAAATAATACATTATAAAGTTAAAGTGTTTTTTTTTTTTTTAAAAAAAACATTAAATATTTTTATAGATGGAATATATATATATATTATATTTTCTTTTTCTTTTTTTAAATTAATTAATTATATTAGGGCAATCTATTTCACTTGCATATATTTTGTGTTCTAAAATTATGATTGTTTTTTGTGTTTTAGAATTTGAGGCTTTTGTTAATTTTTTGGTTATTGAGGATTGTGATGATGTTAGTGAAATAAATTCTATTATATTTTATAATATTTCGTAAAAAAATAATACTCCCTCCGTCCCACATCTCATGTCCATCTTCCCATTTTCGTCCATTCCACTTATTTTGTCACTTTTATTTTTTGGGAAAAGAATTATACGCTTTAATCTTATTTTTAAAAGTTGTAATTTATAATTTTCTTAATTTTAATTATAATAATCAATTATCTTAATCTATAATTATTTTTATTATGCAACAATTATTTTTACTAATACATTTTTAATTATTTACTAATTATACTCCTCCTAAATTTCCATATATGCAGTAGAGCGGACAAAATATCCGGCACGGATGGAGTAATATATTTTTATTAAAAATTATAAGTATTTTTTGTTTTTATTGAAAATTATAAAAAATAGAAGAAAAAAGATTTTATTCTCTCCCGTATTCAAATTACTATATATAATTAATATCAAACTATTACACTAAATATTTAGTTTTTATTCTAGAAGTAGGACATTTTTTTATAGTGTTAAGGTAATGGTGATGATCAAAATCGCGAACATACTACATGGATGCTTTATAAGATACGAGTATTGCATGCATTATATGTTCATATTTAAATGTGATATATAGAATTTATCATATGTTCTATAATAGTATGTTACATGTTTTAAATTTTTACATTATATTTATGTTATATTAATACATACGATGTTTGTTCTGTACTAAGATCATTTGCTACAGTAAGATATACTATTTACCACGTTCGGCACTGTAACTTGTATATATACATGGAAAATTGAATTAAATATGATATTCATTAATAATTTTATGAACTTATAGAACATCAAAATAAAAATAAAAAACCCTAAAATATAAGGTTATGGGTTTTTTTTTTTTTTTTTTTTTTTTTTTTTTTTTAATCTTGAATTTTGAGATCAATAACTAGCTGGAACATGAGGGTTCATGACCATTACCTCGTCCTCCCTTAAAAAAATAAAATAAAATAAAATAAAATAATCGACTGTCATATAGTTGTCGGTTAATATAAAAGTGTAAAGTATGCATGAACTGCAAATGACTCGATAAATTATTTTATGTAATAAAAATTAAGGGAATATTTTGTTATTTATCAATTTAGATTTGTAATAAAATAGTCTAATTTGCACAATCTTGATTGCTAATATTCCTCCAGTTTTGTCAAGCTCACAAACTTCTAATCCAAGTGAATATAGCCCAAATTTTATATTAAATTACTACAAATAAAATATATTATAAATATGTGTTGTAACTAAATGTTTGATCAATACCAATTTAATTTTTTTTTTAAAAAAAAAAAATTAAAACAAATACCAATAAATACGTCAATAGACAAGTGACCAATAAAAACTACATCATTTTTTTTTAAAGATTATTATTTCAATATAATATTGTATATATAACCAGAAATAACTAATAAATATTGCTTCATTATATTATTCCCTAAAAAAATAATAAAAAAATAAATACAAAACATAGCTAAATAAGGTGTGAACGATTCATAACGTAATGGATGTGCAAAGTTGGAACATCTCTTTTCTGCTTTAGAACATTAAAGCTATATATATATATATAATAGTAAAAATTAAACTAATAAAGCAAAAAATAAATTAATAAAAATAAAACAAAATTTTCTATAAGAAAATTCAAAAGGAAGCACTACTTTTAATGGCCAGTCTTATCCCTATAAAGTCGAAGAACAAGGGTTTTTATCAAACTACTCCCTCCGTCCCATGTAATATGGGTGTTTTTACGTACTGACGTAAACTATAATTAGTAAGTAATTAAGAAGTATATTAGTAAAAATTATTATTATTATTTAGTAAAAATAATTATAGATTAAGATTAAGATAATAAAATAGTTTAATTAAGATTAAAAAAAATTAAATTTTAAAATTTAAAATATGATTAAAATGTATAATTAATTTTCCAAAAAAGGAAAGGACAAATTATGTGAGACAGACAAAAATAAAAAATAGGGAAAAATTATGTGGGACAGAGGGAGTAATAATTAATATATCACTAATCTTGCTAACATAATAAAATCGAATATATGTTTTATTTTCATAATAAGTATATATATATATATATTTCTTTGTAAAGTATTTTGATCAATCATTGAATTCAATATTTTTCGATGTTATTTGAATCAAATACCATCGTCAATTAAACTCTTGTTTTGGAAAAATGAATTAAAAAAACTTATCTCTAAGCCATGAAAGAAAAAAGTTGATGTTACACAATTAAGAAACACTAATTATTGAAATCTATCAAGGAAAGATTTTTAATATATATATATATTTGAATATAATATATAAAATAAATAAATTGATTACATCATATATTAAAATGTAATATTTGGTTGATTTTGATTTGAATTTGAATTTTTTATTTGAGTGTTAATTTAAATAATATTTTTATATGATATTTTATGAGAAAAATAATATATTTATATAAAGAACTGTATGAATTAAATATAATGTTATTTTTTGCTTGAAAAAAAGAAAAGAACTTAGAGTATTATTGAAAAATATTGTTCAATATATTTTGTAGACAGACCATTAATTATTTTTCATGCAAAATATAAATGTTAGATTTTTTTAAAGATTTTTTTTTATTTTTTATTTTATTTGCATTATGACAAATTTTGTTGTCATTGTATTGTATTATTGTATAGTTTGTGTTTAAATTTGAGTTTTAATTTAAAAATTAGTATTTGAATATAATATTTTATAAAAATAAAAATACTCATTTCGTCAACTCAGAAAGAACTATTTCTATTTTGTATTGCCAATTAAAAAATTCTATATATGGTGAATTTAAATTCTTAGCACTTGGGCTCAATGGCTTGAAATATAATTATCTTTAAATATATAAATTAAACAATTTTAATAGTAAAAATTAAGATATTAAATTTCGAAATATTCAATACATGTGGTGAAAATTAATTTCAACAAATGACCCATTCTCAAGAAACAATTGACAAGAAGTTGGTAAAGGAAATCAATCAAATATGCATGGATTAGTCAAGTAAGTCGAAACATTGTGAGGATGTCACACTTGAATTTATAATTCTTGAATTATATATTGTATTATATTCATTTTCAATAATTCGAAAAAATAAAAAAAGAAAAAAAGAAAAAAGAAAAAAGTGATGCATAATATATGCTCTACTTTTGTTTAATATTAGTGGATTAACCTTATTTGCATGCTTTTTATGTCACCTTTCAACAACACACACTATATATATATATATATATTGAAAATTTGATCTGTAAAATATTTAGGAATCTTTTGAAGCCATGTGAAAACCAACACATATTAAGATATATATATATATATATTATATAGAATTAGATTGAGGATTAATATATAGAAATTAATAATTTAGTAATATATATTACTCTATTCGTCCCACTTCTCATGTCCATCTTTCTATTTCCGTTCGTCCAATTTATTTTGTCACTTTCTTTTTTTGAAAAATAATTATACACTTTAATCTTATTTTTAAAAATTTAATTTTTAATTTTTTTTAATTTTAATTATAGTAATCAATTATCTTAATCTTAATCTATAATTATTTTTATTATACGATAATTATTTTCACTAATACATTTTTAATTATTTACTAATTATACCCCTCCTAAATTCCAGTGTCTAGTCAAATTATCCGGGACGGAGGGAGTAATAATTTATTGAATATATATGCATGTAGAGAGGCGAAACTACACGGGGGCTTAACCCCCAACTCTCAAAATATATGTATTTTAAAATAATTTGACCCTCCTAATTTTTTTTATTTTGTAATGCAAAAAATTATAAAATTTTTATCCGTTTGTTGATTTATACTTTTAGTCTTTACATTTTTTTATAGTAAAAAAATATTAAATTTTATGTAATTTTGTTGAATTTTTTTCTAAACATTTAAATTTTTCATTTTTTTTTGCAGGATGTACTGTGAATAAAAAAAATAATATTGAATCGATAAAAAAAATCGATTTTGTCCTCCGGACTTTTACTGCTGGTTCCGTCACTGTGCATGTATATATATATATATATAATTAATATTGAATGAGAAACATCCCATATGAAATGGAATCTTAAAAACTTCCCTCAAAAGAAGAAATTGGTGGAAGACACTAACACTCACATTCACTCCATCTTCTTCATCTTCATCTATCATCGATCATCGATCATGCATCACCACACCACTAATTAATTAATTAATTAAACTTAATTATTATTAATAATATTATTAGTATTAATATAAAAAAATAAATTAATGCAGAAAGTGGACAGCCCTTTTAACACAAAGCTGTTTGCTTTTTTGCAGTCCTCGTGCAATATTATTGAAAAGACCACTTTAATTCATGCACCCCTTTTCCCACCCTTTATTGCATGCATACTTACATTACATATTTACATGCATATAATATATATATATATATATGATCTTGAATTTTTCTTCAAAATAGACATTTGGATCACAAGAGATGGCGATGGATCAGATCAATCGGATCCGAGATTCGGCCTGAATACATATGATTGGATTTAAGATTCGAATCGAACCCAATTATGCCCAGAATCGAAAGGGTCGAAATATTTTTACAATTTTTAAAATTGAACTCGAACTCAACATATATTAAATTTTATATTTTTATTTAAAAATAATACGCCCCCCCCTCCTCCCTCTTTCATAATTTGTCTCTATTTCCTATTTTCATCTGTCCCACATAATTTATTCATTTTTTTTGGAAATATAATTATACTTTAATATCATTTTAAATTTTAAATTTTTAAATTTTTTTAATTTTAATTAAACTATTTAGTTATCTTAATCTTAATTTACAATTATTTTTATTATACAATAATTATTTTTACTAATACAGTTCTTAATTATTTACTAATTACACTTTTTCTTAAATTCTCGTATTTACAGTAATACGTCCATAATAGATGAGATGGAGGAAGTATAATAAACTAATAAATAAATAAAACTCAAAAAATATTTTTAATATAATTATATTATTATAAACTAATATTTTTAATATATGTAATTGCTATATTATTAATATATTAATTGGATCTGAATTAGATTCAAGCTTTTAGTATTTGGTCTTAAGTACACAATATGATCCGATTCGACCCGACCCTAAATAAATAGGTTAGGTCTATCGGGACCCAACATTTATTATTATTATTATTTTCTAAGTTTAGATAATCAGATCTGAAATTTATTTAATTTGGAATTATAAAACTGTCACACAATTACACAAATAGTATTGGGCTTTTATTATGGGCCAACCCATTCATTATGGCCCATTTGTCAAACATGCATTATTCTTGATGGATTGGCTGTTATATGATCATTGGATATTAATTAGTTGAAAAGGAAGTACAATTTTATGATCATTTGAGTTTTAGTTATAATATGTTGTTTTCTTTAATTTTATTTATTATCTAAGCCTAAGGAATGAGTATTGCTCGATGTGATTTGAATATAATATTTTATAAAATAAATAAATTATATTTTTATAAAAATCACAATAATTGGGAAATAAAAAATTTGAAACTAAAAAGCTAGAAGCTCAATCTCAAACAGTCACAGTTAAATACCTATATGAATATAATGCGTAAAGCCCAATTGAGATGTGAAAAGACGGCCCATTATGAATTTAGATGGGCTGTCTTGAAGCCCAATAATATATTGAAAACAATTATGGTGGTAGATTTGATATAATTCATAAATTGGATGGCCTGTATGAAAAAATAAAAAAAATAAAAAAATAAAATAAAATGTTTAGTTTTTGTAATAAATAATTTAAAAAAAAGAAATCTCATCTATTAACCATTTCACTTAAAAAAATAATTTTATAAAAAAAAGCGCAAAAACTAAAACACACGCAAAAAAATGTAAGTTGTATTGTGTTTTGAATTTATATAATAATTTAATATGATATTTAATAAAAATAATATATTTTTATTACAATTATAGATAAAAATTGTATTATTAATTAAATAATAAAAACTAGGAGCAAAACACAATTTAATAATACGTCCTCTCCCCCGTGATTCAAATCTATGTTTATTTTTCTTTTTGGGTTGTCGTTAAAAAATATTCTCGTTTCTTTGTAAAAAATTATTACATTTTTATATTTTTTTTACTATAAAAAAATAATCATTACTATTCATTTTTATTAAAATTCGTGCCCAATCAAATGAGCACAAATTTAGACGAGGGTGGGAGTGTGATTGTTATACGAGTGAGAGTGAAAACTACCCTCCCAACAAACCCCATGTGAGGAAATACGGGCCCACGTCACCCATCAACCAGCCCCTACCCCCCTCCCCTTTACACGTGTGTCTATTATATATATATATATACATATTAATTTATAAAATTAATTATTACTATAAATTACAAATATTGAAATAATTTGATACAATTATTAGAGCTTACAAATCCCTTCATTTCTACGTAAAGATGATTATTATATTGGTGTGTTTCTCTTAGACTTTTTTTTTTTTTTTTAAATTTGATAACTTATTTAATTACTACCAATGTTAATGTATATATGTATTATTATTATTTTTTCTTCTTTTTAATTGCGTAGAGTTTTAATTAAATATTCTATATAAGATCAATTAAATAAAAGTTGTTATTTATGTATTTATATCTATCTATTGAATTTTTATAATTCGTAGTAGTTAAAAGTAGCCAATGACAGTCACATGGGTTGCTAATTTTTTGGTAGCAATGGTCTTTACGTAAAGTCACAAACAGCTCATCACTACCCACAATTTCAAGACGCAATTAATCATTACAATTACAATTACAATTAAATTTCACTCTATATTAATATGTAATAAAAATTACATTTTAATTTCACTCGAAAATTATTGCACATATAGAATTAATATTGCAAAATTAAATGCATATATAGATGTTACACCATCAGTAAATTTCAAATATTACAATATATTTCTCTTTAATTAACTTATTCTCTCCATCCAGCAAAATTTACAATTAATAATCGCCGGCGGCGGCGCCGGCGGCCGATCAGACATTAACGGAGCAGGTTTGCGAGAGCTGGTACTTAACGGCGTTATTCCCGACGACGATTCCGGTGTTGCGGCTGTTTCCGATGGGGATGTAGGCGGGGCACGTGACGTGGAGGTGGTAGCGGCCGGAGATGAACGCGCCGACCTTCCACCGGACGCGGCCGGAGATTTTGACGACGAGAGAAATGGCGCCGTCGGACTTATCCTGCGCGAGGGCGACGCCGTTGTACGGCGCGACGGGGACGTTATTGCCGTAGATAAACGGCGACCAGACGTTGACGTCGTTGTGGCCCTGGTAGACCGGCGGGATGGCGGAGTAGTAGGTGATTTGCTGATTCCGGTAGGCGGCGAAGACGGTGAGGCGGTCGTAGTAGATGCCAACTCTGGAGTTAGGGTTGCGGGAGTTGATGGAGACTTGGACGGTGGTGGAGATGACGTTAGGGGCGGTGACGTTGAGGGAGAAGATGGTGGCGTCTTGGAGGACGAAGCGGGGGTTTTTGGGCTGGAGGATGGCCCAGATGAGGAGGATGACGAGGAGGAGGAGGAATCCGGCCACCAGAATGACGCCGCATAGCCGCCGGAGGATTTTCCGGCGGTCGTCTTGGTGGTGGTCGCAGACCTTTTCCGACATGTGGAAGAAGATTGATTTTGGTTTGTGAAGGATGCTGGGGAGATTAGGGGTTTGGAGGGGTGGTGATATATAGGTGCTTTCTATAAAAAGGGTGGGGTGGGGTACCCACCAAAGAATCCATAATTAAAAATGAAGTATAAATACACATAATTCACATAGTTTGTATTAAGGATTAATTTCATCCTAGGATGGATGTTAAGAAAAGATAAATCTAGTGTATGAAATTAGTATGGTATTGATTTGACCAAATCAGTGTATGTTAGACGAGTGATCAATATATGTATATATATATCAGTATATGATGTGTTATAAGATAATATATGTTGAGTTATAATATAATATACGTTGTATTATAAATGTAATGAGTTGTAATACTCCCTTCCTCCTAGATAAGATGAACGTGTTACTGTATATACGATAAAGTATAATTAGTAAGTAATTGTGAAATATATTAGTAAAAATAATTATAAATTAAGATTAAGATAACTAAATAATTTAATTAAGATTAAAAAAATTTTAAATTTTAAAATTTAAAATATAATTAAAATGTATAATCAAATTTTCAAAAAAAAAATGACAAATTACGTAGGACAGACAAATTATGTGGGACTGAGAGAGTATAATATATGTTTTATTATAAATATGATGATATATATATGTTGATCAACTTATAGCATATGTGATCCATTTAAATGTATATTGATTTAATTAAAGTCATACATTACAAATATAATTATTTAATATAAAATATTGGTGCTATTGTATTTTAGGTGTTATTTGGTTTTGATTTATTTTATAATTAAAGTCATATTGTTCCATATATTTATTTTTAATAAAAATTATTTAAAATTATTTCATTTACAAATATTGAAACAAAAAAATATACAAAATAAAAACTAAATACATTGAACAAATAATTGATGTTTGAAAATGATGCAAGGCGGAATACTCTTCATTATATAAAGATAGACTCGTTTTCGTTTGGTTAGCTGTTCGCAATTTCGGATAGTGGCTGTGAATTCAAACGTTATTAAAAAATAATAAAAAAAAGAGATAGACTCATTTGGTCTGGATAAATGTAGAATGTATTTTTGGTTTTATATAGAAAAAAAAAATAGTTAAAAATGGGTAAAAAAAATACTCTCTCCGTCCCAGAAGAAGCGTCTTGTTGGGAGTTGGCACGGGAATTAAGAATAATAGTATTTAATTGAAAGTGGATATAAAATACAATGTAAAAGACTAAAATATTTTACTTTTTGAAGGTTTTTAAAAAGTATATTAGAGTAATAATTAGGGGTAGTTTGGAAAAATATGAATATAAATTAGATACCACGATTACTAAATAAGGAAATATGACAATTAATTTGAGACGGACAAAAATGAAAAAACAAGACAATTCTTTTGAAACGGAGGGAGTATGATTTTTTTACTTTAAAAAACATACATATCTTTTTTTTTTTTTTTTTTATGATAAAAAAAGAGTGAGTTTATTTTTAATTTATGATATAAGGAGTACAAATAAAAAGAGTATATAAATGTATTATTAATTAATGATTGAGTAATTCAAGATTAACTTTGAATCACAGGCAATTTCGATTGAATCAAATTAAACAATTGGATTATTATTATTATTATTATTATTATTATTATTATTATTAAACTTGTAGCGGAACGGAGGGAGTATTATTATTTTATAACATTTTGTTAGTCTGATTTCAATTTTTTATTATGTTGTCTTTATATTTCTTTAAATAAAAATATATTATTTTATAATATAAACATCCCATTAAACACATATTTCTCTTTTAAAATCAAGGAAATTTTGAAATAGATGGATAATTTCAAAGAATCAATGAATTACTAGTGATGAACGTATATGGTAATTTTAATACTATTTTCATTTTTTAGATCCATTTCATGAATGATTTAGTTATCATGTTAAATAAATTGTCCATAATAAGAAATAAGTATAATTAAATTAGTAGTGTATGCATAAGATATAGGCTCGGTTAATATATATGATTTTGGAATTCTTTTTTTTTTTTTTTTTAATAAGGGTGTGTTCGTTTGTAGAATTTTGATAAAATCCTACTATTCATCCAAAATTTTTTCCCCAAAATATCAAATCAAACACCTGTTTTTCATTTTTTATATTATACTAAAAATCAGTTTTACATTCAAAACAGCACATCAACACCTATTTATATCACATCATACAACTATTCAAATTCAAAATTTTTATTATTCAAATCCCAACTCAAAATCTAACCCCCAAACAAACACACCTGAAAGTAGTAAAATATCAAATTTTTAATGTGATTTTTTCTGTATAGAAAAAATAAATATTTGATATGTTGGGATATGAAAGTCTGATTATATCCTAAAATCTAATGATATGATTTAGATATATTGGATATTATTGACATAGGTTTAGACTATAAATATCTATTTATTCTCACTTTAACATGAGTCTGCATACTTTATAGTAAAATTCCTGACTTGACAGTGCCCCTCGTGATCGAATTGGGTTACCAAATTCTTGTGTTATTTTGTGTTTGTTATTTCATCTTGATTTCTTCGTAATCGAATTGGATTACCAAATTCTTGTGTTATTTTGCGTTTGTTATTTCATCTTGATTTCATGAAATTTTTGTAACAAGTGGTATCAGAGCCTGGTTCGTTGGAAAGATGGACTGGGAGGCATCGGATATTGATTGTGGCTGTGGGAATCCCTTGTGTCGAAAGTCTACTGACAGTGTTGGGTCGGTCCCGACTGATAGGTCAGGCAACGGGTCATTTGTCATAAGCGGTGCAAGGTAGGCAGAGAAGGATAAGAGTTTCGGCAAACGCAGCGGAGAAGATATCAGAGATGTGCTCTCATATCAAGTGAACCTTTGGTTTGTTTGTAGGAGTCAAGATGGGTGATCGTCATGTTGTCAAGGTATTCGATGGTATGAACTTCGATTTATGAAATATGCAAATAAAGATTATATGTGTGGTAAAGATCTAGATGCGGTATTGAAGGAGAAACACGAAGATATGGATGAAGCCGAATACAAGGAGATCGACAAGAAAGCAATGAGTGCAGTTCGACTAACCCTTTGGGAGAATGTCTCGACTGAATTTAGACTTGAGGCAAAAGGAAATGGTGAAGATCAAGAATGGTCAAAGTTGAAGCTGAAGAACAAGGACAAGGGAGATGCAAATTCAGGTGGATGTTGTCCGATGTGCTGATTCTGAGCGTTAACAGTCCAATGAAGTCATGGATCTTGAACTCAAGAGCATCATTCCACTCATGCAGTGATTCGGGAATCATGAAATCTTATACCACAGGTAATTTTGGTGTTGTTTGTCTTGCAGATGATGAGACACTGAAAATTGTAAGTAAAGGAATGATTCGAATCAGAACAGAAAATGGTGGGGAGTGGAGATTGAATGACGTGAGCCATGTTTTGGGTCTGAAACAGAATCTGATTTCTGTTGAACAATTGGATGAGGCAGGTTACTCGACAGTTTTTTAAACTAAGGATCCATTGTGCTGGCCCAATTGAGAAAAGATAAACTCTCTACATGACAAAAAGTATGGAATACGGAATCAGTTCCGTGGCCATAAATAATGACACAAATTTATGGCATTCTCGTCTCGGACACATGAGCGAGAAGGAGATAGAGGAGCTTTGAAGGGAAGATTGTCAGGTCTCAAGTCCGTCGATGTTGGAATATGCGAGGACTGTATCTTTGGAAAGCAACGAAAAGTGACGTTCTCAAAGGGTGAGAGAGACCTGAGAAAGATAAAGTTGGAGTTAGTTCATACGGACCTGCGGGAACCAGCTTTTCTATCGACCCTTGGAGGCTCACAGTACTACACCGCGGTCATTGACGACATTACAAAGGAGGTATGAATATATTTCCTTAAGCGTAAATATGATATTTTTGATACCTTTAAGAGGTGGAAAGTACATGCAGTGGGAGTAGTGAGCCAATTTATGAGGAATACTGAAATACAGTCTAAGGTGGTGACCTTAGATGAATTAAGGTTGTGTTCAACCTCAAGTGGCCTCGATGAGTGAACAAGGAGACTTGGCGCCGTCGTTGCTGATAAAGTAAAATGTTGAAGTGGAAGATGCAATCAATCTTCAAGTGGGAGATCGTTGGGATATAAAGCCTGATTATATCCTAAAATCTAGTGATATGATTTAGATTTCTAATTTGGATATTATTGGCATAGGTTTAGACTATAAACATCTATGTATTCTCACTTTAACATGTGCCTGCGTACTTTATAGTAAAATTCCTAACTTGGCAGCGCCCCCAGAGGTAGATCTCGTGATCGAACTGGATTATCAAATTCTTGTGTTGTTTTGTCTTTGTTATCTCATCTTGATTTCCTGAAATTTCCGTAACATGATATAATATTATTGTTGATGAAAGTGCCAAAACTTGCAATATATATCTAAATACATAAAAGTCATAATAGATATCTAAGATACCTCCTTTATGTGAGAAAATAGAATAATAATCTCATTTACAATATTTGTATTATAATATTTCACCGTTTATTATAATTTTTATAAATATATATTATTATCTTAACAATACTTTATTTTATTTATTCTCGTAATAAACTTAGCTTCCAATTGACATCTTCTCTCCAACAACAATAATAATAACGAGTTGAATCTAATCCTTACTCAATTATACTAAGAATGAATTAGGATGATGTGTTTGTTTGTCTTTATATATATACAAAATTATATTTTTATATAGAATATCTCATCCAACTATTATCTCTACAAAAGAAATAACTAAAATCAAAATATTCTAAACACAAAAAGAACTCACCATTAGTTTGTGTTTGTCGATATACCTCTCTCTCTCTCTCTCTATATATATATATATATATATATGCATATAATTAGTGGTGGAAAAATATATAGGTATCATGTAACTGAACAAGATTTTTATGAATGCTTAAAAGGGTTAGTTGACAAGTGACTATCACAAAAGTAAGTATTAAGATTTCCACATTGTGATTGAGAGAGAGAGAGAGCTAGAGAGAGAGAGAGGCAAAAATCTCTCTCAACTAACATCAACTTTCATCCCAACTTTGTTTGTTAAACTTGTCTGCTTTTTCACCAAACCATTGATCAATTCAAAATCAAAACTCATGTAAAAAAAATTGTGCTCAAGTGGGATTGGAATCTCCACAAAACTTTTGCAAAAGAATCAAAGGGCAAAATAATTTAAATAAAATAAAATAAAAAGGACAAGGAATGTTCTAAAGTCACTGTAAGAGTGAGTGAATGAGGTTCAGAAAAGGGATATCAAGATTCAAGAATTCCTCTCAATATCCCCAACCAGCAATTCTTGGAAGAGCCCAGGAGTTGAACTCCAGGTGACATCCAAGCCGTAGATCTACACAGTGAAGGCTCAGATTGACTTGAATGGAGCCATCAAGAATCACATGGGGTGGGGTGGGGTGGGCGTGGGTACAGATCCCTAAAAGCCCATTTATCTTTATTCTTCTCTGACAAGATGATAATTCTAATCTGGGCTTTCTGTACAGGTCAGTCCCTACAACATGCACAGAGCATATCATCTCTGGAGTTTGGGACAACCTTAAACCTCCCACTGCAATTTTCAGTTTCATTATTGCCTTTCAAACAAGTAGTGATTAAAAACAACCTTAACTAGTACAAGTACAACAACAATTGTTATATATAAGTGTATATGTCGAGAAAGAAAAAGGGAAATATTCTAAAAGGGTATGGCTTTGTTCTTTTGGATATGTTTATTTTGTATTTAAATAATTATTTGAGATAATATACAGCTAAAAAATATATATATTCTTATAAAAAATTGTGTAAATTATTTAAAAAAACATGAAGAAAACATAAATCAGTGGGAACAAAACCTTTGAGTTTTCTTTAAATTTATTTACCATGCTGGTGATACAATTCTTTATAAAATTTACTCTTATAGAATATTATATTGGTGATGGGAATTTTAAAATCTTGAAGGTTTTTGTGTTTTAAATTACTTTGAATTTTATTTTTCATTAATAAAATAAAATTTGAATTTATTAGATTAAAAATATATATGTGATGTAATATTATTTATACAACATATATATTTAATAAATTGTATGATACTAAAAGAAAATTAAAAACACAAACAAACAACCTTTGTAGTTTTTGAAAATGGGGTGGGGGGGGGGGGGGTTTGATAAGAATCTGACCTAAAACGAAAAAGGGGCATAATGACAAAAAGTGGAGTGGAATAAAGGAAAGAAATGCATATTGTAATATGGAGAATTGTTGGCTGTAGAAAAGGGAGAAAGGATCTTATTTTATTTTATTTTTTTATCTATATAAAATAAGACTTCTCTGCACACAATTAAAGTATCAATTTATAATTTTGAATTATCCACATTCAATATATATATATTTTTTAATTTAGTAAATATAGTTCCCACATAAAATATTAGTAATATTTTTTATTTAACAAAAGTAAATTATTATATTCATAATGCAATAAAAATAAAAGGGAGCTGGAATCAAGTGGCATTTAAGAGTACAAACTATAATGGGACCTCATTTTGTTGTTTCAATCATTTTCCAAAGTGACAATATCATTATTTGAATTGCCCTCATTGCTTGTATTGCAATTTTTGGCTTCAATTTTGTGCATGATTATTGCCATCATTTAAAGGGTATGCCTATTTTATGTATTTTCATTTAAAATATTCAGATTCAAGGCCATATTTTAATATATATATATATACTTTGCCTACTAAATTTAACAAGGACCATGTAATTTAACAACCAAAAAAAAAAGATTGGCCCAACCCACTAACAGTAATTTTTGGGTTCAATGGGCCATAAGCCCAAAATCCTCTTGCTCCAATAGGTACCTGAAATAGTCTAATTTAGCCCATAAATGAATACATTTATGAAATTTTAGCTCATAATGGGCCAAGATTGTTTTCTATGTTATATGGTCTTTTTAATTTTATTTTTTATTTTTCAATGGATTTGGATATAATATTTTAGATAAAAAAAAAAAAATTATTCAATAATTGATCATATGTTTTAGGTGTGAATTTATTCACGATAAAAAATAATTTTAAGTAAATTAAATGTTGCCAAAGTTAGATTAAAAGCACAAACCAAAATACATTTTGACATTTTCTTGCACAAAGCCAAATTATGGCTACCACACAACCTTGAACTACATAATACAGTTGTTATTTACATATGTTGTTAAGCATTTGATGTACCAAAAGTAGTACATTATGAGTTTATGTAAGGAGAGTTTAAGATTGATCGAATCGAAAGACAATATTAAAAGAAGAAGATGGTCGAAGCTCGTGCAGCCACAGTAAACTTTCAGATGCTCTACAGAAGAGATGTTAATAATTTGTTTAATCGATTCTAGGAATTTAACTTGTGTAAATTATATTATTATTTCTCAAAATCAATTAATGATGATGATATATATAAGATACCTAGATAAATAAATAATGGAACTTGATACTTAATATTAGCTAATTAAATAATTCATTTGTACTAAATGTTTGGCAAGAAAAGTCCAAGCATTTGTAGATCAAACAGTGACGATCTTAGGTGGGTGCATGTGTATCGGTGCTTACATGGAGAACCAAATTGTAAGAATAATAATAATTTTAGAATAATAAAATCTTGAATTGAAATGATGTTGATAAAATATAAAAAGATATTTGAAAATATTTTGAATAAAAAAAATAATTTTTCGTAAAATATGTATTTAATTTGATAAGTTTTAAAGAAATTTTTTATGAATAATATCACAACTTCGTACATGAAACTTAACCATTATTCTCAAGAAACAATTAGACCTTAGCTTCATATCACATGCAATTTCATGTTATGTTCAAATAAAACCCTAATTTAAAGAGATGGTCGTGACAAAGAAGTTAGGAAGCATACAAAGATCCTTCGACAAATGGATTGTTCAATACTATGATACTATTTGATTGAATTGGAACAAGTTCGAGCCTTAGCAAGAATTTTGGCACCTTTCATTTGATACACAAAACTCTTAATAATACAATTCTGTATATTTTGACAACTTGAAATCTCATTTCAATAATCGGAACTTCATCCACATACTTATTTAATTCTCAATAAACACTTTTCATTAAGGTTAACATAATAAGATTAAGGGAGATGATGGACATTTCAAATAGGTGATAAGGAAAGTTGTTTCACAAAAAAGAAAACAAAAAACTCATTGTAATCCCAAAATCTTGAGGGTAATAAAATAAAAGAATAGATCAATAAAGACGGATTAGATTAGACATATAGCGGCAACTTACCACGTGGAAACAATTTTGTTTTTCTCAAGAATTATAGAAAGTAATTAATTATTGTGTTTTTTTGTTACGCGCAATAAAATTCAAAAATAATTTAGACATCGGCAGATTTAGTGGAACTGACTTTGTGGCGAATAAGACAATGATCATAGTCTCAAAACACGACAAAACATCCAACTAAGAATCCGTTGTTTGTCTCAACTGCACAAGTATCTTGGATCTTGGATACAAATAAATAGAATTAAATACAAAGAAAGACCTTTATTTATTAGTAAAGATTGTACAAAGAATCATAAAAATTTGCAGAAGCAAGTAACAAATTTCACAACCATATTCACTAATAATCCATACATCGATAAATTTTATCACTTGATAAATATATAATTAATCATTGAACATGAAGATTTATTTAACTATCCTTTTGTGTATATTCATTGCATTTGTTATGTCCATACATTGAATGTCCACAAGATTTTCTGTACATATATAGAATGAAAGCTTTTTTCCTTTTTCTTCCCCACCCCCCCCCCCCCCCCCCTTAAATTTGCACTTTAAATCACATTTTTCCTTCCTTATTCCTTAATTTCATTCTTTTGTCTTCAAAACAAATTACATATAAATCCAATATTCTCAATTTCAAATATTCATAATATAAATCAACCATATCCATATTCAAAATAAATTTTTGATAAAAAAACCCCGTCATTTCGACATATCTCGAATTAGGGTTTGATGCATATGACAATAAAAAGAATTGCAAAAGGATGAAGTAATAAAACAAACAAACACACAAAACCATCAAATAATTTGAATTCTTCTTCATAACTTACATTACAACATTAAAATTTCCATCTCCATCTCCATCTCCATCTCCATCACCATTCCCAAATCAGAGAGGGATCCATCAATCACTTACTACAAATAAAAAATACAATTACAAAAAATGTTCATTACCGAGATATGTAAGTGTAGCAGAGTAAATAAGGATTCAAAAACATCCCGTGATCGTCGCCGGAAGTAAACTGGAAGCTGAGGCCACTGCAGTACCCATCCATGGCAATCGATCCAACCCTCCATTTCCAGTTCCGAAACTTAACCTCTGCCCTAATCCAGACCCCAAGAGTCAAGCTCCCTCGATCTATATCCTGCTTCATGGATCTCACCCCGTCGGCTCCCAGATCCACGCCGGAGAAGCTCAGATTGGCTCTAATGGTGGTCCGATTGGGGCCCGCCTGAGCAAACGGAAACGCGTAGGTTTCCGACAGGATGGTTCGGGTGGAGGGATAGATCAGCGAGATTTCGATGCTCTCAAAAATGGTTGTCAGATGGGGACTGGTGTTGTCCACGAAAACCGTGACGCGGCAGGTCCCCGTCGCCCGCGTGCCGGAGAATTTGACGGCGGCCAACGCGGCGTCGGCGACGTGAAATTGAGGGAAGACGGGGTGGAGGAGCATCCAGCCGATGAGGGCGAAGGACGAGATCAGAAGGAAGAAGAGGATTCCGACGAGGAAGGACCGGTAAAACCAAGCGTTCGGTCCCTCGAAGAAGACCATCCAGCAGGGCAGACGGCGGTGCATCTCGTCGGCGTAGACCGGCGCAGGCGGATTGTTGAGACGGAGAGGCTCCGCCGCCGGATCCGGAATTCCGTTGGGCTGCCGGCCGGCCCTCGCTCGGGCGGGAGGAGGATTCGCAGCGCCGACCTGTTGGTTGTCGGCAACCACCACCGGCGGCTCAGCTGTTTCTGCGGCTGCGGGATTCATGGCGCTAATTTGTTAGGGTTTGGAATTGGGGCTAAAATTGAGAGTGAGGGGATCGAGTGGGTAGAGTGAGAAGAGGGGGAAAGTGATGGGGGGAGGGGAGGGGGTTATAAAGGAGAGTGGCGAATGGAGGAGAGTACACGTGGGATGGATGGCGTCTGCCATTGATGACGTCAGAAAGAAGGCAAAACAGTGGGTAGACTTAGGGTTTTCGTAGCTGTGAAGACGAAACCGGGGAGGGTACAAAATCCTTTAAAAACCGCCATAATCACACTGGATATTTTCTCTCCTTTTCTCTCTCTTCTTCTTCTTCTTTTTTTTTTTTTTTTTTTTTTTGTAATTAAAAAATTAAATCTAAGAAGAAACACACACAAACCATTAAATTGGTGTTTTTTGTGGGTTTTACAATTTTTTATTATTTTTGAAATAAAAAAAAAAATAAATCTAAGAAGAAATCTAAGAAGAAACACACACAAACCATTAAATTGTTATGTTCTTTTGTTTGATAGTGATATTTTTGGAGAAAAAAAAAATTTGAATAGTAAAAACATGCGGTAAAATCCACAAAAACACACGACCACAGTTTTCTTCAACACCATTTTTTAATTACGATTTCCAAAAATAATAATACAAAATATTTTATAGAAAACAAAAGAGTAAAAAAAAAAAAAATTCAAATATTAATTAAAAAATAAAAAAAATCAAATATTCAAACTTAAAATAATATAACCAAGTGAACAAAGCCAAAAATATCAATTTTATCCTCAAAATGGCTTTGTAGTGTTGGGTGAATTCAAGACTGTGATGTCAAATGTTGCACAGCTGAAGAAGTATAATATTTATTTGGGAGATATTAGTTTGTTTGTTCTCAATCTTTGATTGGATTTGAAGGTTTTAATTTTTTTTTATTTAAACAATATTTGTTGTAATGTTTTGTAAAAGTAAAAATAAAAATATAGTTTAGGAAACATTGAGTTTAAATAATAAAAACGTGTGTGAAAATTGAAAAAAAAAAATGCTTGCAATAAGAATGCAAATAAAATGTTTAATTAATTGGGTTAGATTTTCATTATTCAAATTAAAAATATGGCCATATTCTTCCAACATTATTTTTGAATTGCAGTTCCTAAAAAATAAATAATAAAAACACAAAACATTTTTAACAAAAAGTTAAAAAAAAAATAGTAAAAAAAAAGGTTTACAAATACTCATTATAAAAAATCAAAAAGTAAAAAAAAAAATTCAAATACTCCTTATAAAAATAAAAAAACTTAAATATTTAATTTATAATAATATTTAATATTTTTTAACACAACTTCTCATATAAAACAAAAAAATAAAAATAAAAAATCAATCCATTTAATTTAAAATCGTTGGGTGAAAAAAGTCATACTTCACAGACCATATTGTAATTATATTTGTTTGTATTGTAAATCATAATGTCATAATATTTTGGTAATAAGTTTATATTCTAATAACATATGTCCTAATTTCCAATTAAAATAGTGCACCTAAAATATTACTTTCTTATTACCGTAATTGATAGTAAGATTTATGTTCATTGAAAGAAAGAGCTTCCTCATCGTATTAAGTAAAATGACTATTAATTTTACATAAAATGAATTAAAACTAAATATATTAGAATTATTTTTTCTTTGCTAGGTATCCAGTCAAAAGACTAAGATCAACTCGTACGTTTAGTTCTGATTAAAGAACTACAACAACAACAAAGTCAATGTCTTAAACCATATAACTAAGCTAAGACAGTATCAAAAGCTAACTAGTCAATCAAGACATATAAGTTCCAATATAGGCTAAGTTGAAAAATCTACCGAAACTCGAAATTCGAAAGTCTATTTTTGTCTGCATTAAGAAACCCTCGAGCCACCAGACTACATATATTAGAGTTAATATATGTAGTGTGTGTGTTTTTTCAAGTTCAAAGTCTTTCATCAAAGAACTCTCCCATCCTTCTTTCAAGATCTTCTAAAGTATACTAATTTTATGAACTTTTGCCAATATGGATCATGGACCTGTTCTTCAAATTCCTCAAAATAATTCAAAAGAGAATTCAAACATTTACTTCAACATATGTTTAGTAGAAGAGTGATAACATAAGACTATAGATCAATGAAGGCGGATGAGATAAGGTGCATAGCAACAACATACCACCCCGAAAATATTTTGCTCTTTTCACGAAATGTAGAAAGTAGTTAATATGTGTGCTTTATATTACACATAATAAAATTGGAGAATAATTCAGATATCAAAGGGAATGAATTCGATATCCTCAATGTTTTAATGAAACTACCTTTATAACGAATAGAACAATGATCATATTTTCAAAATACGACGAAACATCCAACAGAAAAGCAGAGATATCGGATAGAATAAATAGAATTAAATGCAAAGAGAGCAAATATTGTACAAAGAAGAATAATAATTTGCACTAGCTAGTAACATATATAGTTCAATATTCACTAATAAGCGTTGAACATTGATCAATTTTATCATATGATTTTATTATTATTATCATTATTATTTCTATTATGATTAATTATATATACATATATGTTAATTTTTGAACATGTAGATTTATTTATCTTCCCTTTTGTGTATATTCATCCACTTTGTTATGCCATTACAATGGATTTCATCAAGATTTTATGTATATATATAATGGATGTTACTTTTTTCCCAAAACTTTCACTACAAGAAAAAATAATTTTTTAAACAAAATTTTTTTTGTCTCTAAATCTACTTTTTCCGTTACTAATGACGTTAGAGACGGAATTAGGAACAGAATTACGATAGCTACGTGAACTTTAGGGACGGAATTCCGTTACAAATATATTATTTTTTTTTTAGTGTTTGCACTTTAAATCACATGGTCAATTCCATATCTTTAATTCTATGCATTTGTTTTCCAAAACAAAGATACAAATCCAATATTCTCAATTACAAAAAATGCTATAGCTAGAACTAATGTATCTCAAATGTTCACAAAATAAATTATCCATACCCATATTCAAAAAAATTATATATATATATATATATATAAAATACCTCCAATTCTAAATTAGGGTTCGATGCATATAATAATCAAAATAATTGCGAAGCGATTAAGTAACAAAACTAACAAAGACACAAATCCACCAAATAAATACAATTACAATACAAGTACAAAAAATTGTTCATTTCCCAGATATATAAGTGTAGCATAGTAAATAAGGATTCAAAACCATCCCGTGATCGTCGCCGGAAGTAAACTCGAAGCTCAGACCACTGCAGTACCCATCCATGGCGATCGATCGAACCCTCCATTTCCAATTCCGATACTTAACCTCTGCCCTAATCCACACCCCAAGATCCAACCTCCCTCCATCTATATCCTGCTTCATGGATCTCACCCCGTCGGCTCCCAGATCCACGCCGGAGAATCTCAGATTGGCTCTTATAGGTAGGATTCCGACAGGAGAATTGCACCGCCGGATTTGGAATTCCGTTGGGCTGCCGCCCGGCCCTCGCTCGAGCAGGAGGAGGATTCGCAGCGCCGACTTGTTGGTCGGCAACCACCGCCGGCTGCTCAGCTCTTTCTGCGGCTGCGGGATTCCTGGCGCTTGGTTAGGGTTTGGAATTGGGGATGAAATTGGGAGTGAGGTGATCGAGAAGGGTAGAGTGAGAAGAGGGGGCAAGTGAAGGGGGGGTTATAAAGGAGAGTGACGAGGGGGAGGTGAGTACACGTGGGATAGATAGAGTCTACCATTGATGACGTCAGAAAGGAGGAAAACAATGTGTAGAATTAGGGCTCTCGTAGCTGTGAAGAAGAAATATATACAACTGTATATAAGAATTAATGCAATGATTCATTGAATTACATAAGAAATTTATTGAACTATGTTTGAACAATAATAAATATGTTTTTGAACTATATTTTAACAATATAAAATTTTTGTTGAATTGTTACTTCGATATATGAAGACATTTTTGTGTCTGTGTTTTGTGACTACGTCAACATTTCTATCATATTTGTAGGAAGAGAATTTGTATGATAGATAAATAAATCGATTTAATGAAAATCTTGAATCTCTTCTAAATGCATGCTATTTTATAACATGCTATTTTATTTGGGTTTGAGTTTGATTTTTATTTGAATTTTGAGGTAAGTTTGAATTTATTTATTTATTTTATTTTTTTTGTGTTTAGGTTTGGGTTAACTTTGGAGATTTTTTATGTGTATTGTTTGATGACAATAAAAATATAAATGTATATTAATTTGTAATTTGATTATAAATTTATATTATACCTATATATATATTTCAAAATTTTTATTTATTTATATTATAAAAAGTTTTATTCTCTATCAAATGAAATATATATTGTATATATTTTATTAAATTATAATTATTATAAATTTTTTTATATTTGTGATTAAAAATAACTAAAAAAAAAAGAAAGAGATAGACACTTTAAGGACTGTCCTCCAAACCTCTCCAGCCCAGTTTTAGGCTCAATTACTATGCAAACACTCTGGTTGGAGGAACACACACTTAGGGTGTGTTTGGTTGGGGATTTGATTTTAAATACAGTATTTATTATATTTTTTTTTCAAAAAATATCAAATCAAACACCTATTTTTTATTTTTATATTATACTAAAAATTAATTTTTTACATTTAAAACATCACATCAACACTCATTTATATTACATCATATAACTATTCAAATTCAAAATTTTTACTATTCAAATCCCAACTCAAAATCCAATCCCCCAAACAAACACACACTTAAGTTATTTAATGTGAAATTTATTTGGGAGACACTAAATTGTTTCTTTTCAATCTTGATTGAATTTGAAACTTTGAATATTTTATGGACATAATATTTAATGTGATATTTTATTAAATATATATATATATTTAATATATATATTTGGGAAATACAGATTCTAAACAATGAAAAGTGGTGTGAGACTGAAAAAGAATAAACATGTTTGGAATAAAA